TTCCGATCTTTTGACTCTGAAAACGTTGATATTTCCGCTATTGCGGGAACTGGGAGTCAAAACTTATTATGCGAGGAACCGCGCAGAAGGAACTTGAAGTTGAAGAAACTCTCTCAATGAACGGCGGCTTAAGAAGGTTTCTCCACTCAAGCCAACACAGACCCGGCACGTTTGCGAAAAAATGCCGCCTCAGCCAGGAGTCGAGCCTGCTGCGGTCCTTCGGTTCTATTTTTAGCGTGAATCTCAATGTTATCTCAATTTTAGATTTTGTTTGCGCTAAACGCCACAAAGGCGCGCTACAGCGCTACAGTTGACTCCTGAGAATCCGCTTGAAATAATTTTATGCTCTCGCGGAAAATAGTGTCTTCGCGCGGTGACTCCTCTCGTCGATCAATGTCGCCGCGATCAATGCGATTTACATCCGAGTGCTGCATGCGCTACATGACGTGGCTCGTGTTTGAATTATACGCTCGCCATTCTTCGCATTGATATCCGAGAGAGTCCCCGTCGCCGCATTTCGACCGCGTCGCTTTGCATCCAGCCGGCCTTCGTTCGCTTCGCTTCACTTCGTTTCAATCCACTGCAGCCAGGCGACCGCTAACGTTCCGCCGGTGCTCGGCGATTTAACGAAAAGTACACGACAAATTCCGGCACGTCCCGGGAGGTGGATATACGAGAGTCGAGAGTCGCTCGGGGGAAAACTCGCGAAAATCGTGCAGGGGATCACGGCGCTCTCGAGCGCAGGTCGGGGAAGGAAAAGAAGACCTCCCTCTCTCTCGTCGGGCGCGCGTTTGTACCTCGTCAAGAAATGACGTTTTTCCTCGGCGGAAATTCAAACTTTCGGCAGATATGATAAATGTACGCGCTCAATTCGGCGTGAATGACGGCGACCGGGATGACATAGTAACGTCAAGCGCGGCGGAAAATCTCCGGAGCTGGCAATCGCGCGAACGATGGTGAGCGATTTATCGCGAGCGGAGCGGATATTCGCGAATTTCGTAAAACGATGCCGCATTTCCACGGCGCGTGCAAAGTATCGCGCGAGCCGTGTAAATCGCGTCGATATCAAACGATCGTGCGGTCACTTTTGTAACGTCAGCTGACGTCACACTACGCAAATTTCGCGCGAGCGAATGAGCGAGTGATCGATCGGCGGCGATGTGCGGCTCGATTTCTGTTTGACAATACGACAGGCATGGCATCGGCGATTCATCCCCCATATCCCGCAATATTAATAGATTGCGCACGGGAGCGCCAATAAGCCGTGATGCAGCGCAAGTGATAGCGTAATCTCTACATCGATACGTAATAAGCTGAGAGCGCAGCGGCGGCGGCGGCGGCGGCGGCGGCAGGATACAATTATCGTTTGTCCGCGTTGATAAAATTTATCGTGTCGCCGCATGCAACTGCGATAGCATTTCCGAGCCTGTGTTAATCCGATTGGCCGAGCGGGATCGAAGAAAAGAGGCCCGGACTCGCGCCCATATACCCAAAAAGGAGTATTCTATTTGTAAAGTGATTTTTTTCCCATAGTCTCATATTCTAAGCGAAGCCTTTTACAGAAAAAGAATTCCTCTTTCGATAGAGCGATCAAAGTGTGAACCATTCGTCTTTTTATTAATTTTAATTAATTTTAATTTTAATTAAAATTTTATTAGACATTATTCCAACTATTTCCTCTTATTTCAAAAAGATCTCCTCTTATATCCGATTAATTTTCCTCTTATACGAAGAGGAATATGTCGATTTGAATGTCGGATTCTTTTGTTCAGTCATGCTCTACCTCCATGACATGAACGAAAAAATAATCATATGTTCATGGGCCAGAATATTTGGCTTTTTGAAAAAGTGTGTGTTGTTGTATGACATATAACGAAAATAATTTATCCATATTTGGTCAAATACAGTTTATAACCTATTGCAAGAAGTTGAATAACATATTCTTTCCTTTAACTACGTTTCATACAACTAGTTATGATGAACATCTTTGTAGCTATGAAGTCCATAACAAAACTGATTGGAAATTTGTTTGTTGATGATGATCTCATTTCGTTTGTGCCTACTTATTGCAGAATTAGAGCCAAAAGTACATCTATATATATATATTACTTTTCGCTGCGTATTATAATAATTTTTTCAAATTAACTAGTGTAACCTGTGAGAATAGAGTACAGCAAGGATAAATAATAATCCTCCTAAGAGAAAATTAAATAATCTGTATATAAAAAGAAATTTATGTTGAAATCAATCAGATTTGCATTATACATGTAACATACAATCCCTCTAACTTTAAGAATAATATGTTTATAATATTTTCCTTTTAATCTTAGAGGAATCCTCTTGAGGCCATATACAAGAGTAAAATCTTCTAAAATTTGAATGATTCCGCTTGTTCTGAAACTACTTTTTTTTTGGGCTATATCTATCCTATTACTGTATCAAGTGCCGTGTAATCTGAAGATAGAAGCCGGAGACTGTCTACAGCCCCGGAACTTCATGAATTATTTAGCGTCGCTGGGCATACCGGGAGAGCCGTTTAATAAAGCCGCGGAAATTCGTACTTATATACTTGATTTTCATGATTATGAGATATTCACTGATCCGAATACACGCGCGGCCGAATTAGATGCATGAATTTGTCGCACCCGCGCCGCGCATATGGCGCATACGGTATCGCGTTGAATGTGTTTCCGCTTTACGAGCGCACTGGATGATTCTTGCCTTGGCTATTTTCAGCCGCGCCTATTTATTACGCGCATGTCGATAAACGCGTGACTCGACTTTTCGAGCGCAGATTAACGTCGACGCGTCCCTCTCGTCTAATTACCCGTGAAATTCAGCGCGTCCGTCCGTTCTCACAAACCGCAACAAAACTCCATGAGTCATGTCAGCCGTCATAGATCACAGTTCCACCTCCGCAGCGGAACTGTGATAAGTCATAAAAAGGATATACAATTTTCAAATTGAAATGAATCTCTCTAGATACTTGCAGGAGATCGAGATAGCGTCTCCTGAAAGCGTTGCGTCTATGCGATTGGTCGGCCCGATTGATCCGACAAATTCGTCCCCTTTCGACGCAGATCGATGTTCGTGTCTGAATCTGAATTTAACCGGAGTTGACTTGCCGGTGCCGTGTCGGTGCCTGCTTGTTCGGTAGTAAAATGTTTGTCTACATTTTGCGCGCAACTTGAGCCGTGGCTGGTACCTTATTCATAAGTAGCAGTGGAACGTGAAAGCATGGCCTGCGGCTTACGTGCTGCCGCATTGTTAATAAGTAACGCGACGTTTGTGTGCGTATGCGTATGCCGAACTACAAGAATAATGCCCGCGCTGGCCGACCGCATTACGGAGCGGAAGGGTTAACATTGCGCCAAAGCTCAAAAGCATCAACATCCGGTCATCCGGCCGTAATAAATATAGAAACAGGTTCTTTGGACCGTAAGTCCCCTCCGTCGTGCGTCATTACCGCCTTAAATATTTGATAAACGGGGATTTTACTGACCGTGCTTTGAACAGGATCCGGCTTCGCCGCGCGTTTCCTGTTTGCCCGCCAGCCAAAAACGATCGCCCGATTCGCGTCTGGTCGCAGGAGCGGCTGTCCTTGAGGCAGGTCGTCGTGTCCGAATAGCGAGTTCCATAAACTTTACTTCGTGCCTGGTGGACATTTGTCATACACAGGACAACGTTACGACGTCCTATAACTGGCCGACTTTGCTTTGCAGATGGGGCGAAATTTGCATGCGTCGGCGTAAAGGAAGTACGGCGGGTTATGTTGGCCGAAGCCGTGAGGATCTTGCCCGAGCGGATGAATTTTAAAGCGACGAAAGGCGAACGAACACACCATCTCTCGCTCGCGAATATCCCTCCCAACTATCGGCGAAGAATAAATCGAAACAGAAAGAGAGGGAGAAGAAGAAAGGAAAGACGAATAAGATAAAACAAAAGGACGAACGGACGCGATGAAGTTTCACGACTCGTCAGAACTACCGCGAGAACTTGCAGCCGATCCTGATGATCCTCAACCGCAGCTGAGGTTGCGCTCCATCTTCCCGTATTCGAGTAATTTGATGGGTTTCCGAAAACTAGTTTCGAGTTCGACGATCCCTGCGGGATCTCGCTAACGACATGGCGAAACTGCTACTGCGATCTGCTAGCACTCGAACGCGAATTTTTGTGTCCTCAGACTCCTCAGAGACCTCAAAGACGCCGTATAAACGCCGTGCTGGGCAAAAAGCGCAGAAGGATCCTTCCCGTTTTAACATTTTGATTGCGAATCAACGATTCGGCTACGCCTCTCGCTTCCCTCGCGCCCCTTTGCCATCTTCACAGAGAGAATATCGTGTGTCATTCCCCAAAAGATTACAATTTTTTATTTGATCTTTCTTTAATCTTCTTTTATGGGCTTTTATAGGAAGAAAAAACTTCGCGAAAGCCACTCACGTATTGGACCGAAGAAGAAAAGCACGATTCTGTGATATAGATAAACTTGTTAAATCAAAATTCCAATTTATCAACTCAAACTGCGTTTCCGATTGTATCTTGTGTTTGAAAAAAGAGCTGGTTTTTCGAATATATTAGCGGGGTACGTGTGGAAAGAACACATTTTACGTATAACGATACTTGGTGCAAATCAGCGAGATTTACGATAAGGCTAGATACGTCTCGAGACAATCTAACGGAATAAATCGAGGTGGTGGTTATTTCCTCCCACGGTCCACGTGCGACGAGATTACGGCGACGACACGATAATTAATCAAAGAAGCGATCGGGGTCAGATTCGTGTTACTCGCTCTCCGCTTCGTCGACCCTCTCCACCTACAACTGCGTAATTTCTTGACGAGATAATGCGATTGCCAATTGCACAGTACGAATTAATAAGAGTGAGGGCGAAAAAGAGAGAGAGAGAGAGGGGGGAGGGAGGGAGGGAGAGAATTAAAATAACACTCTAGGAAATTCTCCGACCGATCCAAAGTGAGAATATATATCTGCGATTGTTACAGTGGCAGCAAAAACTAAACGGAATCTACGAGGCGGGATACGCGATATCCTTGGTGGCGCTATTGCTCTCCTTGGGAATCCTCACGTACTTCCGGTAAGTTTGTAATTTATCGGCGCCTTTATTACCGCCGTTATGTCGACAGTATATGAAAATTTGTATCCGCGCGCGCCGGTACATCGAGACCAACGCGGAGTTACCTCTTGATACGTCACGTACGTCTGAGATTGTACGTACGTGCGACAGCAACGAATCAAATTGCTCGCAAAGGGGGACGGAGGGGCCGTAATATTTTTTTTTCACAAGCACCTCTCTTCCTTGAAACGTTTCGCGCGATGATTGCTGCATGGCTCGAAAAATTGGCGAAAGGGCAATATATACGCGGAGAATAACGCGGAATAAGGACAAAGGATAACGTAAACTGTGGAAATTGGCGACTATATAGCGACCGACTAGAGTCACACACGATATAGTTGCGCGAGATATATCAAGTTGATAAAGGCGACTCCATTTAGACGCTCGCTCGTACAATTGTCCGGTGGATTTGGCGAGATCTCTCTTTCTCGCCGGGTCGCGTGGCGCGCAATTAGGATCCGGCGATTCCGATAAAAGCTAATCCTAATTAAATCCCCCTCTCCTGCTCGCAGATCTCTGAGATGCGCACGGATTACGCTGCATATGAACCTATTCACTTCATTCGCGCTCAACAATGCTCTGTGGCTGATCTGGTACAGGTTCATCGTGGCCAATACGGATGTACTAATTAATAACGACGTACGTACGTATTGAGGCTATTCGCGAGCATGATGAGGTGTTATCGTCGATCGGAGATAAGACGCGCAAAGACTTTCACGTGAAAATGTGAAAGCATTCATCCGCCGGTACAGCGGAAACGTATTGGTATTTCCGCTGTGCTACCATCTCCAATATCAACGATATCTCAATTGTTTTTATATATCATTGGAAAAAATAATACATACGGATGTAAAGCGTGGAAAAATCGCAGCTGCGACACGCGGAACGTTATGAAAAAAAAAAAACAATCGGTTGACGTTTGCTCGGGAGATAATACAGGTGGAACGTACGCGGGGACCGGCGTAACTTTATTAGTATCCTCCAATCGCACACGTTATTGACTTATTATTATTTGATGCGCGCTACTAACCTCATGAAGATCAATTGATCAAACGAGAATACGTACATACGTGTCTCAAGCTAAACGCACAAAGTTGGTTTTGTTGGGAAACGTTCGCGCTGTGACGGCTTTACGTTAACAATCAGAAAGAAATGTGCGCGCACTTAGGAAATGCCAATAACCTGATTATACGTACTACGTATTAAGGCTGCTTCATACTAGCGATACTATGATAATCGAGCGAAGTAACTGTGGCATTGAGTCGTAAACACGTAAACACATTTCTCAGATCGCAAAATGCAGAAGACGATCGCAATACCGCGAAGAGAGAGAGTGTTTATGCCGTACGCGGTAATCGCGGAAGAAGGACATAATAACCGGTCAACCGCACCATTAAGAGGCACGTCGCCGTCTGTATCGGATTTTGCAGCTCGATGTCACAATTGCTCCGATTGACCGCTCTGTCGTCGCGTGCGCAAATAGTTGGGCAGTTTTGAAAGGACTTCCATTCATGAACTTCCACGCCTTGCAGATACCGTGCCGCGTATTGCATGTGGTCCTTCATTATTTTCTATTAACAAACTACGCCTGGATGCTCTGCGAGGGCTTCTATCTGCACACCCTGCTGGTGAACGCATTCACCAGCGAGCACAAATTAGTGAATTGGCTGATGGGACTCGGATGGTCGGTGCCGGCTGTAATCGTCACCTTGTACACGGCACTGCGCGCCTCCAGCAACGATCCTGCGGACACCGAGCAGTGAGTAACAATTCGTCAGTTGACGATCGCGTTAAGAGGATTAGCCCGCGAGAACATGAGCAACATTTAACGAAGAGAGGCCCTCATCGCGCGCGACGATGGGAGTGCGGTGGCGAAAACTGAGAGAGAGAGAGAGAGAGGAAAAAGGAACATTGAGCGGGAAATTGGGTTTTAAGGCGCGATAAAGAAAGCTTTTATCGCGCGAAACAAGAAGAGGGCGGGAGACGAGAAATAAAGTCGCTTTTGCACTCATTTTCTACCAACTGTTTTTTTCCGCGAGATTCGGGGAGAAATTTGCTAACATTACACGAAGGAGCGTCCTTCTGCAGGAGATCTGACAAAAGATTTCCAAGAGATTGCGAATCTATCGCTCTGTCCTAACATCACGATGTGTCGGATTTCTTCTTGCCGACGGTTTCGCAGCGCATTACTGAATAGTTTCTCCATTTACAATGTTTCTTCTTGAATTCAATCAAACTCGGCAATCCGTGAAAGCGATGGATAGCGTAGCTCGACAATCGGTTAGAGTATTTCCTATTAAACTTCTATTTGATTTGAGTTCACCGCGTTATGTCTGTGTGGGGCAAAGACGTTAAATGTTTTTCCGATGTCAAGATAATATCGATTCAGAAAACGTAAAGGTGTTCTCCAAACGACTCGGGGAACGTGAATCAACATTGATCTAAAATTGACCGCGTAAATGTTGGACCGATTTAAAAATGTGCGTGAGAAGAAAAAAAGAAGGAGAGATTCATTCACGACGTTAATATTATTATTATACTAAAACTACCGGCGACTAAGAGATTTATTTTTGTCAAAATAACAATTTTTGGGAAAAGACAAAATATATAATACGAAGAAAAAGTATATTTATTTATTCTCCTTAACTTTATTCAACGTCAGTTAAAAGTATAAAATATATCGCTATAAATTGGAATAATTTCTGATTTATCAAAGTCAATAAAATTATTTTTATCTTCGATTCAAATGTATTTAATTTGATTAATTTTATTTTATTATTTGTTTTTTAAAGAAATTATAAATCATTTCGATCATTTCGACGGCGCTGGTAGTTTTGGTGTTAAACATTCATCATGGTGTTGTTTCTTTCTTTATCACGGACGGAATATGACGGATATTTTTATTTTCGTTTCGAGCAAATTTTCGCTCGTTTCGTACGTAAAATTTCATTCTGGGAGAGTATTGTGCCGTTCGCGGAATGATATTAAAAGGGGAATCACGAAAGAGCAATGCTACCAGAAGCGAAATTGACACAATCGATCGATCCCGAATGAATTAAAGAAGCACGCGCTTTCGGTTTCGCAGTGGATGGCTGTTCCTGAAGCGTTCTGTCGACAAGCGAATTAGATGAGTCCGAACGATTGTTTGAGCTTCACTCAAGGGGATCATTGACTCGTGACGCATCACCTCGACCGCGAAAAGGTGGTCAACATTAATTCCTCAGCAAGAAGGGCATGCGGTCGGTCGGTTGGTCGCTCGATCGCGTACGGTAAAATTAGGTATGTCCGGTATCGTGAAACCGAGGCAACTAAAATACGCCGGGGTAGAAGATCGAAACCGCGATGCGACAATCACGTTACCGCTCCATTATATGCGACAGCTAGATGAAAACTGTCGATACACACATCGAGGAAAGGGACCGGTCTTGATTCCAGCAAGATAACGCCCGCAGCGGGGGCGAATCAATATCGAGGGAAATTAACGAAACGTCGCGCTTGCTTTGTCGGATTGAAATAAACCCCCGTTGGAATAATACGGCGATAAATTGCGATGTGTTTCGTCAGTTTCGCTGGCATCATATTTATCTTCAACCGGTCGATACGGACAATTCCCTCGATCTTTCCTCCACTGGACGACACTCGGACTCGAGAATGCCGCCTCGATAAAATTGTTTTCACGATTACTATGCTTCTCTGTTATCGATAAAAAACATTGAAAAATATACAGAATGTTTTTACATCGATCCTATGACACCGTTGTCGTCATTGGGATTATCAACCCAATATTTTTTGTTCGAACGAATTAAATTGTTTCTAGAATTTCATTAAGAAAGTTCCCACTTTGTCATTGATGTAACAAAATTACGCGCCGGAGGATGATAAAATTATGTAAAGAACGGACAAAGGAGTGACATCAGAGAATCGTATCAGAATCCTGTTTTTGTTTGGCCTCGACTCGCAACAATAACGGCTCACGTAAAAAGGTAGAAGATAAGTATATGCAATCTAGCAGAACGCTTTGATTTAATATCCTTCTAAATCTCACGTTTCTTCGACCTTTCTGCGATGAACGAGCTTTTTATACCCGGCGATAGAAGGGTCGTCCTACATAATTTACTACCAGAACCTTTTCTCCCGAAAAAGACACTCATGCGGTGGTACGTACACATACAATGCCCCGCCTTATAAGCGTACCAACCCAACGCTGAGGGGCTGAATTTGTGTGTCATAAAGACTACTGCAAGGATAACAGGGAAAGGACGACAGAGGAATGACGTGGGGAAATATTTTCGTACTTATTAAATTCAAAGAACCCCTGCCGACGGCCGTCATATCTCTCCATTTTCTTCCAGTATAGCGAAAAGGCTCGAGAAAATGGTGTATTTTTTTCTAACGCTCTCATAATATTCGCGTGGCTTTGGTTGTGTTATCTCGCGGCTCGACTTGAAACGACGGAGCATTTCTCCACCAACCTTCGCCCGCATTAATAATTTCGTAAGCCGAGTGAGCCGCTGTGGCTTTAAGGAAAGTTAATTAATGCAGACGACGTGCGACAATTAATCATAAGCAATTGGGACAGGAGGTCTGAAATTCGGAGAATACAGCGCGGAACAAAACGAATATCTCGTTGGAGTTTAGAGAATGTAACCAGTAGGAACATATAAATACAATACAACGAAACCCTTTGGAATCCGATTTGGCGGATTTGTAGCTTCATAAAATTATAATGAAACACAATATACACGGTGCTTTATATCTCCGTAACAATATGCAGCAGTCTACTTTTTTGGAGAACGATTCATCGTGGCGCGGATCTCCGAGCGCGCAACGCGGTAATTTATTTTCGCGTGCAAATTTCGCCCCACCAGACCGGCACGGCGCCCACGTTGTATAGAGTTTATAATATACAGGCGGAGGTTTCGCCGATAGAGGTCAATGAAAGAAGACTAGTAGTAGTCTAGTACTCGGCAAATTTGTCGAAAGTAATTTAACGAAAGTGCTACATGTTGCAATATCGGTTCGGCAGCGAACCGATATTGCCGTCTACACCAATCTACACTGGCGCAATGAGACCCATTGCTTGCGCCGGTATATCGGGCGACTTTAAAAGTCCCGCAGAGTCGACGATTGAACGCGACACGCTGCGCTCGAGAAACAAATTCTAAGTGCATAAGTGCATTAATCGTCGGCACTGCTTAATCTCACCGTCCGTCGAGGCTAACGAAATATTTCTATTATCTATTTATTTCCTACGAAATTTCTTATAAATTTGCACGGTGAGTTACACAATCTATTGTGTCCAAACTGTTCCACAAACGAGCGTGCACGCCCTTCCGATCGTGTCGTCTCTCATTCGAGCCCACAACTAATCGAGCTGATTGATATCTAATGAGACGATTTCAATGTTGCGCCTTATATTGCCTTATATTATTCGTGATGCTTGTTGCTAGTGCGACAGCTATTACCGGTTAATTAAAACCGCCATTCGCGTAGAGACTCGAGGAGGCTCGTTTGAGCGGGCTCCAGCGAGTGAAATAAAATCAGGATACGATACGAGCACTCAATCTTCGCGCCAGTCGTCGGAAATACGCCGCGCGCTTGCATGAAACGAGCAGCGCACGTATAACAGCGCTTTACGAGCAACGTCAATTGAAACATATCGGAAGATTGATGAAATAAAAGGCTCCATAACGAGCCGCATCGACGCGTTGTAAAGCATCAGTTCGGCGAAAATAATGCCATGTTAAAAGCAAATGTTGTCGAATCAATTGCTTGAACGTGGAATCGAACATAAGTATGCCTCGAGACTCGCTCTCATATTTATCGCGCGATAATATTTTCATTATTTAACGCACGAGTGACCATCTACTTCGGTATAATTGGAAGAGTGAGAGAGAGAGAGAGAGAAAGAGAAAAGGGAAAAACGTTCAATAAAGAACCGTTTTGCGCAAATAACAGACGGGTACACGCAAGACCAAAATTAGCAGAAGGAATTAAGGCGCAGCCGTAACGGCTAAGATGTTTGTTTTGAAATAGGGACAGCTTTAACGGTCCGTATTAATAGTCGTCGCTTGTAGCTTGTCTCACGTGAGATATTCAGAGTTCTGAATTTAAAATTAGAGAGACTGAGTTTTTCAGTTGAATCATATGATACACGCGACGTCTTTCCGAAGAAAAAATAATTCCGTACAGTTATGAGCAATTATATCGTCTTCTCTCTATAATTAATTGTCCTTGGGGACAAAGGAGTAAGATGGTACAAGTACAATTGAAGCATCTATCTTGTATTTGACGTCCGTCTTGTCTCGCAGCCCGTGACGTCGACGTTCAATTGCTCGCGACTGTATCAGCAATTTCAGTCCGGCTGAAAAATTAAAATCTGTGTAGCCGAGCTGTGGAGGCGAGCTTCAAGTGACGACTATTCTTAAGGACCTAATTGACTATCGGCAATTTTTCATCGAGTTATTTCTTGACGCGAGAATAAAGCACCTTCAAAGAACGATCGGGATCGATCCACTTCAGAGACCGAAGGCGTGAGACACGACGTGAGTCGACGAGAAGCAGTCGACCATCGAGGTCGATTTGTGTCTTCGATATGACGGACTCATATGTCGTTAGCGAAGGCGAGATTTTATTTTTGCTATCGGAGAAGTCTGCTCGCGCGTTTGCGCATGCTCGTGCATGACCGTCCCGACGTCAGCATCCGCCTCTCGCTTGTATGTTTATTTTTGCCGGTGTATTTCTGTAGTATACTCCCCATCATATGGTAAATATTTTATAACCGGTCGCCAATAACCCGACTTGCAATATCTGGCGATCCTCCGACCCCTCCCTCCCCTTGCGCCTGCTTCGCTGCCTTATTCATCTTTCTTCCTTCCTCAGTATCTATTACGGGGTTGATCCTCTCGAATTATCCTCTTGACATTTTTCATCCTCTTGTTGTGTCTGGGGATTGTTAACATAAGAATTTATATTAAACACTACACACAAATCCGCTCTACGGATGTACTCAGACGCGAGTTAAGACACAATCGATACTCCGTGCAAAACAGATCCGTCTAAGATTTCACTCTCTGTTTCCTTATTAACAGAGTTACAGAAATATCGCGCTCTGCGTGTCTGCGAAATTTCGTGCTCATTATGGTATTCTCATTATGGACCGTAAATATTTGATTCAGCAGTTCTGCAAGACAGAGAGCGGCCGAGTTGTATTTCGAGTTCCCGAAGGTCCGGGCATTTGCACTTGAGGATTCCGTTATTCAAACATTACGTCTCGCAGCTCCAGAAACTCGAAAGTTAGAAATGTCGAGGAGAGAAGCGAAGCGTCAGATATAATTTAGGGACCTAGCAAAGATGCACGCGCGTTTGGATAAATATTGTACACGGTGTAAAACGTGCGGGATACTGCAAGGCGCATTCATGAATTAACCCTCACAACCCGGACAGCCATCACAGCAGCGCGGCGAGGGTCTCATCTTTTTTTACCAATCTACCCTTTGACCTGTACGAAAGAGTTTCACTTCAAAGACCGGAAAGCCGGAAGGCCGGACCGTAAGAGTTCACACGGCGTAATGTACCGATTACTGTCACGATTAGGTGCTGGATCAACGAGGGCAGCTATATGAGCGTGCTTGTTTATCCCGTATGCGTATCCACTATGTTGAACCTGCTCTTCCTGTTTAACATCGTGCGAGTGCTCCTCATGAAGTTGCGCGCCGGACCCGCCATCGGAACGCGCCCGTCGCGATTCATGCTGCAGGCTTTCAGGTGACACACGAGCTAAATTCTTCATACTTTGTATGCTAACCGTTGCGCGCGCGTCACGTTTCACATCGATGAGACGGCGCGGCGTGGGAAAAGAGGAGAAAAGAGGAAAAGAGGAAAAGGGAAAAGGGAAAAGAAAAGAGCGCAGAGTAACAAACGGCAGTCTTTTCTCCGCGCGGCAGTCGTCGACTGAAATGTATTCTCCTCACGAGGAATTATCAGCGATTGCTTCGATCGTCTACCCGTTAGAATTCACTCGACGACATCTTGAAGCGGCGTCATTAGTCGCCGATAAATCTGCCGTGGAACTTTCGCTTGAAGCACCAGTCTGTTCTCGTTTAAAGCCAAGTTAATACTTTGAATAAACAAATGGCTGGTGCTCCTCGGAATGGTCGCAGAGTAATTTTAGTCGTTGCGAAAAAATGACGGTGTTTTTTTCTTTTTTTTTTTCTTTTCGAGTACAAAACTCGCGGTAATGTTTATTATCATCGTTGCCGACATTTTACGAAAATAGGGTCTAATATTTTGTCATCAGGGCAACGTTACTGTTAGTACCTCTCTTGGGTCTTCACTATTTAGTGATCCCATTTCGGCCGCCCAAGAAGCATCCTTGGGAGCAGTTTTACGAGGTCCTTTCTGCGATCACGGCTTCCTTCCAGGTGAGCGCCTCTAATCTTTGTCGAAGTCCTTTTCGAGAGGATTTCTACTGTAAAAATAAAACTAATTCGACTAATCAAAATTGAATATATATAATCATATTAACGATGATGACAATGGCGATAGTAATAATAATACTTTATTGCACGTTTGGTATACAAATGCTGGATGACGCATAAAGATCAGTTGCAAACGCGATCGCACGATAAACGTGAATCTTCGTTTCTTCTTGTTGCCAAGCACGTGTTTGATTGCGAAGTGACGAAAAACGTGCCGAAAAACTCTGCGTACACGAATGCGCTCTTCTGCTACGTACGATCAATCAACTCGGATATTTCGAGACATTCGTCGTCGTGGAATTAATTCGTTTGTCATTCTCCTGCAAATTCTTGGACCAATATATAACGTTTAAAATAAAAAAAAAGGAAAAGAAAAAGTATATCAACAAATAAATTGGCGAGTGAAGTTTGGGATGTTGAAATACGTAAAAATATTTCGGATACGATGCAATTTTGCGCACGCTGATAGCTTTCCACAACAAAGAACAGGATTTTTTTTTTTTCTTTTGAAAACTGTCAATCCACCCGAAACTGAAAACTCGAATAGCCGGAAAATGTTGCAGTTAGGGAAAATAGGTGTACGTTTATTTTTTGTGAAGCCAATCGTCCTTTTAACAGTGAAAATCAGTTCAATTGCGTTAAAGATGTATGCTTTTTTATGTATGTGTGATGAAAGAAATACAAGTCGCACGCTAGGTGTTTCCGCAATTATCATATCCATATTCAGCAAGAAATAACGATTTCTTCCTGCTATAAGTAGTGGGATATCAGACATTCTTTACACACACATACACACACACGTAAACGATAAGAAAAATAAGAATGACTCTTGACAGACGTGAATAAATTTCAATTTAAATTTTGTTTGGAACTGTTCCAACTCCGAGAATGTTTCGCTTCACAACTTAATTAGCAAATTATTGAGCGCTAAAAATAAAGTGGAAGAAAATACGGAAAATAACAATCTCGCTGGTAAAATCTTTGCTGAACAGGATTCTCGACCTGAAATGAATTAATTAAGCAGATTGAACAATAAAAAGATTAATCTTAATTAAGCGGATTGGTTAATTAATGAAAGGATTAATTAAAGTAATCATAATTGAAAAACAGTGATAACTCCATGACATTGCGTAGAATAAAGGAGTCACCTGTGTACGTGAGCTTTGCACTACAATGTGCTGCACGAAAGAGAGGAAACATTCCTCCGATTACAATCGCAAAATTTGAACACTTTTCTATATGCGAAAATTCTGGAATTCGACAATACATTCCGGATCTTAAATAACAGCATTACAATGTATGAACCGTAATTATTTATACGTAAATTTATACGCAAATTATTAATAAAGCGCTTCATATATTCATATCTGACGCTTTGTGCAGGATAAAATGTCATTGAAATAAATAAACATTATTATCAAGTCCTTTTTCGAATTCAGCGTGCCTACACGTGTCTCGAGCAATCAAATTTTGTGTGGAATTGCGCTGCACGACGCCACCGACAACACCTGATTGCACTGTTACATACGAACCGCTTCGTGTCGCGTAAAATTGTATCAGATCAGTGGAATCGCGATTTCACAGAACGACACTATCAAACGAAGCATTTTCCTTGGAATTCTTTTTTATCTTACCGGAGAAGCTCAATCGTTAAAATGCATATCTCTTGACAATGCAGCATGTAGCGAGGAACTCTCTCCGAAAATCCATCAGTTATCTTTGCGATTTGTTTGTCACGCTTATATTCGGCCATGACTGCAATCATAATCTGCCACAAGGCAAAGATACGCAGGTACGAGAAATCTATAAACAATATATACACGATACGATATTGCGAGTTGACCTTGCTGTGATATTTTTCATTTTTTCACTTTTCCATCTTTTCGTTTCACGATACTGCGTCGATTTCGCAATCTGGCGAATCGTAATCTCTCAATCTCGCGCTCAATAATGCACAACGGAAGCATACACACACAATCCGGTGACACGGAATTAAATTTGAAAGTTGACCGGAAGTGTAGTGTTCGTTCCTCCGTAGTCTGTGTGAGGCGCGTTGCAATAAAGTCGACGGGCGTCTCTGCCGGAAGCATTTTCCTCTCGACCTCGAATATCGAAATAAAACGCAATTTTTCCTCTTTCCAGGGCCTCTGTGTGGCGGTACTTTTCTGCTTCTGCAACGGCGAGGTAAGTTTCACGACCGCGGTGGTTCAGAAGCGGCCGCCTCCGCCCTTCCTGCAGTAACAATGTGTAATGATATTTTTCCTTGTGATGTTGCCAGGTAATAGCGCAGTTCAAGAGAAAGTGGGAGAACAGCGTACCGTTGCGAAAACGAACAAACTCCTACACGGCCACGACTGTCTCGGTAAGAAGCGATATTGACGAAAAGTCCGAGGTGTGTTTTTGCGACCGAGGATCGATTTGAAACGCCACCCAGCTTTCCCGCTTGCCTTCTCGCGCGCGACTCCTGTCCTTGAGGAATAAAACCCGGTCGAGAGCAGATGGATCAAGAGGAATGTGCCGGCGACGCATTCTCTGCAAATTGAATCCCTTATCTGTAAAATCGGGGGATTCATTCACGGGCCTCCCGCGGCTCCTGCCTATTTGATCTTATCGTCTGTGTACTCTCGCTAACTCGTTGTTCTTCATTTTCTCTTTACTTACGAACGACTGAACCAACAGTCTCTCCCCCAAACGCTTCCGCGAGACGAAGCCGATGATCGACAGCTCCCCGCTAGTATTTGTTTATTTCGCTTGCAATCTGAGTGCACCGCTCTCGCGCAAATCGCAACGATTTTTGCTTAACACGCGAACAATTGAAAATAGAGAAATAAGCACGCTTGAGCGTTTACTCTTCATTCGACCGCCGACTCTCTAATCTCATAGCTTCCAGGATTATTTTGAAATTTCTACACGTGATTTGACAGATTTCCAATGGCTCGTTGCTTTTTCCTTCCTCACCGGGAACTCGCAAACACGCGGAAATTGGTAAAACTAGTCTGCGGTAATAATCGGTAAAATTCGAGCGTATTACTTTTGAATGACTCGCGAACACGACACAGTTGAAAGCACCCCTGCAAATTGATTTCAAAGGAAAAAATTCACGCTTGATACACGAATGTAACATTTCCCGAATTGAAGTTCCTGTATGCACGACTCGTCAATGGTGCGATGCGGACTAACACGGTCGGCCTCGAATTTTAACTTGCACACTAACGAAAACACATGTACTAACATTCGCTCGCCAAGCTGCGGTTGTGCAGTTTTTATTGGCAACGCGGTGCACCGTAACTGATAATAAATCGTGTGTCATAAACAAGTAAGCATGAAAAAAGGGTGCAAGGGGAAAGATAGTGATAGAATGAACTAAAAGGGGTGCGGCGGGTATAGAAAAAGTATAAAAAGGAGGGAAGACAAAAAAGAAAGAAGGAGGATGAGGAGAAGAGAAAGTAAAAAAAGAAGGGACTGGGAAGGTGATTGGAGTAACGAAAAGGGATGAGCAGAGAGAGAGAGAGGGAGGGAGAGAGAGAGAGAGAGAGAGAGAGAGAGAGAGAGAGAGAGAGAGAGGGAGAGAGAGGAAAGAGGGATTGCAAGTAAGTGTATGGAGTAATCTAGATCAGTAATAGTGATAGTGGGTTGTAAAGAAGAGTTAGGAAAGTAGAGAAAAGAAGTTGCGATGGTGAAAAGGGAGAGACAGGGATAGACAAATGAATGAAGACATAAGAGAAAATGAGAGAAAAAGAAGGGATGTGAATAAAAAAAAAAAAAGAAGAGTGAATGAAGGGGGTGGGTAAAAGAGGGAGAGAAGTGAATGAGATTAGAGTGAGATAATAAAAGAAGAAAAGATGAAAGAAAAGAAGAGAGAGAGAGAGAGAGAGAGAGAGAGAGAAAGAGAGAAAGTGAGTGAGGGAGAGAAAGAAAATGAGAGGGAGATAATGAGGGGGTGCAAGAGTGTGAAATGGGAGAAAGAAGGTGAGGGCGAAGAAGAGAATAAAATGATGACAGAACGATAAGAGGATGAGGCAAAAAAAAGATATAAAAAGAAAAAAATAAAATAACGAGAAGAGGGACAGCGAAAGAAGGAGAGAGCAAAAGGGTAGGAGGGAGGGGGACAGGAATAAATATATATATATATATATATATACGTACATAGACATGATCCGTCCGTATCGTGCCAGTGACAGCAGCGTGCCCGAGTCGAGTCCATTGTGGAACGTTGGCTGTTTCAGTTTATCCGCTCGACCGCAGGTCCGATGGGGGCGGGAGAGGAGAAGGTGTGATTATCAACCAGCCGCGTCGACGATGCCGGAAGACTGCAAGCTGACTGACCCAATGCTGACTCAGCATCAGGAGCAACAATACCAAGCCGTGCAGATGATCACCACCAGTCGGACCAGTAATCACGGTAACAACAACCACGCGCAGGTGCTCGTCAAGCGTGGCGACTTGGATGACAAGAGCGACCAGACACAGTGTTAATGACCATCGATCGAGCAGGATTGATAGCGCACAGGACCACGCTTAATAGTATTGTAAGCATGTGTTTGTACGTGTACATGGATGTGCGCGTGGATTGTGTGCGTGTGTCGTCTAGTGATGCAGGAGACGCGACTGAAAATACATATACATATATATATATATATAAATTACATGCCTATATGTATGCATATATATACATATATACATACATATACGCATATATATATATACACACACACACACATATATATATACATATGTATATGTAAAGGACACAATAAATATGAAGTACTAGTCTCGAGATTTAGCTGTGCCATTTGTTCCCTGAAATAGTATACATCTCTCTCTCACCATCCTTTTGCGAATTTCATTATCGAATCGATAATAAAAGTAAGATCAAAATACTGAATCAAATTTTGTCCTCACAGGCACGAAGAAATCCGATGGCAGCTAAATAGAAAAATCTCCGACACGCTTCATGAAAGTTCGCTTTATCAATTTGGGGCGGCTCCGTTAACGAAAAGCCGTAGAGATGAAAGTTTCAAGATTCGTTCGCGTATATTTCCTCGCAATTTCCTCGCTTTTGACATCCTCGCGACTAAGACGAGATAGACATATGTTTCCAACTCGTAAGTTCTAAACCAGTTGCTGCAACTATATTGGATTATAACATCTCAGAGGCAAGAAATCAAGCGTAATTTCTTCCTCCATCTTCTTCCATTGTACGCGAAAGTTGATGACATTTCTTCTTCGTACAGGATATCTCATTTCCATCGCAGACACTTTGACCAACTTATATATAATGAAGATAAAAAGCTACAAATCAATTTTAGAGACAGACTCAAACTGAGAAATAACAAATAAAAAAGTCCTGTCGCAATTATTAATGCATCAAGACAAATAAAATTAAGATTAGGGGGTCGTTTTAATACTGTCGAAATCGATAGAAATAAATTTTTGTAAAAGTAACTATTAGTCTGTTTTAACTTTCTAAAGAAAATGTAAAAAATCTTGAAACTTTCAAAGTTTAATAGCAATTTTACGTTAGCTAATTTAAAACTTAATCCGTCGAAATTTTTCAAACTGGAATACATCGAACATCGAGAGAATGATACTCTGTAAATTTTTCTTAAAAGAGTTGTCGTTTTATCGCTCACAAAAAGAAAACGGGGACTAGCCTTTCTTAAGGAATCTTGAAATGTATGATTTTATATATAAGTACCAATGAGATTTGCGTTGACTACTTGGCATGCGTAGACCTACTTATTTTCTACCGCAGGAAAGGACGAAATGTGAGGGAGGTGAAATGAGAAATTTCGCTGGTTCTACAGAAACACTGGAGAATAATTATTACTAGTCTAACGTTTGAGTTATGAACAAATACGGACAATGGTAATTTATGAGAAATTATATATAATTTTCTTGCAAAGTCTGTATTACACAACACATATGATTCGCGATCGATCTGCCGCAGAGCGAGGTAAAACTTTGGAAAATTGGAAGTCCACATGCCGATGGACATCGCGATGTCCATTCGAGAATCGCGCGAACTCCTCAATCGCAACAAACGTTCCGTGTTTAGACTGAACGATCTGCAATTTGCGAACCGCGGGTTCAACATTAATGTCCACAGCGATATTATACCAGATATCCTTTTAACATCATTATCGGTCTATCAACTTAAAATGTAACAATATAATTCGCATTCAGTTGTACTTCTACTTGGAACGTCGTATCCTCGCGTGTAGATCGTTAGCCGCTTCATAAGAGAGGATCCTATTTGAAATGGTATGGGATCAATACTGAATACGACACAGTGTTAAAAATCGTTTATCCTAAATAATATTCTCCAATTCCAACCTCCTTCCGCAACATTTTAGATAGATCGTCGATATACAATCGTATAATACAAATGGCAAATATCGGTTGTATGATCTAACGTACCTTACAGATTACTTTGGAATGAATATAATAAATAAGAAAAAAAAAAGATCGCAGGGGACGAGATCGCTGACGTAGTTGTTAGAAAACGACGATAATGAACAGAGACAAAGCACGCGTTCACCGTCTCCTTCTCTAACTCTTTCCATCACTATACATACATAAAAATGTCAAAATTATATAGCAAAAAACATTTTTCATTCGCCAAACATAATAATACGATCCTATACTGTTGCTGATAATAGTTCGGTACTTAGCCCGAACAGGAGAAAAGAAGTCTGCAAGAGCGAAAGAGAGAAGAGAGAGGGATAAATTAATATAATACAAAGCAATCGTACAATAGTTCTAAAAACTCAACTAATTGTTAATATTATAATCGAGGTACGTTTTCTTTCTTTCAATATATACATATACATATCTACATACGTACATATATACATATACATATGTGTGTGTGTGTGGTATGTATGTGTGTGTGTGTGTGTGTGTATATGCATACATGTAGGCATGTAATGTGTATATATATATATATGTGTTATGTATTTTCAGTCGCGTCTCCTGCATCATTCGACGATACATGCACACAATCCATGCGCACATCCATGTACACGTACAAACACACGCTTACATCACTATTATTATTAACTGTACATATTGATCATTTAACGTTATTATTTACATTAACTTTTGCTTTTTCATAAAAATATATCGAGAATGCACGGTTTTCACTTGTTCTTCGTCTCTCCGTAACGCTAGAGAGAAGAACTCTAGTAGAATGCTAAGTCTGTCTTAACGTAAAATGTGGATGGTACTCGGTTGCTTCCATTACAATACGTATGATTCTTTTGAATTGCGCATAGTTCGTTATTCCATCGAGTTTCGTTATATTATTCATTATAATGACAAAATGAATACTTTAAAACGAGAAAATTCACAAAGAGAGAAAGAGAGAACGAGAGTGAGTGAGTGAGTGAGTGAGTGAGTGAGAGAGAGAGAGAGAGAGAGAGAGAGAAACATCGGAAAATTAAGTTTAAAGATTTTAATAGGTGGAAATAGTCGAGAGTGATGACATACAAATAGCGACGTTCGAATTAACGCATTTCATCTTTTTTTTCGTTGATTAAAACTTCACGACAATACTTTTCTTTTAATGTAATCGTCACAATTTCCTGCTACTTTTAGTGTGTTTTTAAATTATGCGGTGATGTTGTCGGTTCATGGGCAACAATTATACAGTCTGGCAGAATACGCGCCAGACCTGAGAACGCGATTTTATAAGAAAATCAACAGCAAATAATGGTTTGCCGTAATACAAGGATTCAAATATGTTTCTTCGAATGTATCGTATGTTTTTTTGAATGTAATGTATGAATTTATACGGACAACTTTTTTGAAAAGAAAACTTTTACCTAAAGATTTTCAATTTTTCATCAAAGTTTTATCTTTTGCATAATAAATAATACACGCACACGGTAATAGCAACAAGTGTAACGTGATATTAAACAACTGTTTTAAAAAATCATTGCTCGAATACAATGAAAAAGATTCATACATATCATGCATGATAAATGTAACACTTAAATTATGTAGTGAGTAGAAAAAAAGAACTTTCAAACTGATATGTTAAAAGTTCTTTTCTTCCATTCTCTTTTTTCCTCAGAACTGACTGGTATAACGCTCCAAATCGAAATATTTTGGAAATTACTGGTTTATAATTTCACGCAAAATTTCCCAAGTATCCTTAAGTCTAACAGATTTTCCTTGCGAGAAAGAATCAATTTGGATTTGGACACATTATGTGAAGCTCGATTTTGCCTGAAATTACCTTCCGGACACAGAGAATAATGCAATACGGCTGCAGCGGATGTATAGTCATCAATTAAGTTGAATAGTTCATGACGATCGCGTTCTATTGTCTAATGGATGGTACTGCGCTTAAAACGATGCGCACTGTGTCATTCGGTGTATTATTGTCAATAAAGTGCTGTCGATGTAAATAAACAATAAACCCCATAATCAAATTTTGCCTTTAATACTTTCTTCAGATCAGAAGCATAAAAAAGATAGCGCAAATCGCAAGTTTCTTTCTTCTTCTTTTTTTCTTACAATGATCTGTATAACGTGTTGATTATACAGAAAAGTACATACACAATCGTCGTTGATAACTCAACAATTAACAATACTCATTTTAACTTGTCGGAACAATTATTCGCGTATTTTCTTTTTCATTCTTTTTTTGGAGCTCGCATTGTCGATAACGCGTGAAGTATACGGTGAAGATAAAACGGTCTCTCCAAAGCAGATCAATGAAAACGAAAAGGTGTCACGTTTCCGACCACACCAGGTGTGGATCGTCACCTTTCGAACGTGCGCGCGCGCGCGGTATCTTCTATCAAAAAGTTTACAATTATCCCTTACACTTATACTGTACAATATTGTATCGCTTTTCAAGGTACATATGACATGTTTTTTTGGTGGCTTCAGCCAACACTAGCTCTCTCGCGCATCGATTATCTTACACCTTATGTTTATATGTTACAGAGAGTTACATATGTATACGTCCTAAATCTCTTTTCATTTTGGCACTCGTGTCTTACTTTCGCGTGTTATCATCGTTCTCCCCGGTATCATCTTCCACGCTCTCCTCTTCGTTCTCCGACGCGTCTTGAATATAAGATATACCCTGCATCTCGTCCGTCTGCATGCCATCATTTTCGTTCCGTGAGCTCGCGTAATCCGCGATCTCATACGCGCTCTCTGGATAAATGTACTGCGCCGCCTCAGCGTTAGAGTCCTCGTTATCAATGGTCAAGACGTTTTGCTCGATCAAAATCTGATTACCTTCCGAGTCATTAGCGACCATTAACACAGTGCCGTCCAGATTGCAGTGCATTTGGCCGTCCCCGTCCCTACCATTGTCCTCCGTTGCATTCTCCTCATGCTCGTTCATGCTGGAATCTTCCTCGAAGTCGTCGCTCTCCGCGTTCGTTTCCATCTTGCAGAACTGTCCGTTACTGGCCAACACCTCCATACCGCCAATGTCCGAATCGCAGTCGCGCTCGCGATCGTCATCGCCCGCCGCATTGTCCGAGTCCTCGTCCCAGATCACGCGCAGGATATTATTATTATTCGCTGCAAAAAAATTCGGCGCATTCGAGATCGAGGAAGCGTCCACGTTCTCCCCGTCTACGTTCTGTATCTCCGTTATCTCGCATTCGTTCAGATCTCTGTCCACGTGCATACTCAACGGCACCATAGGACTGAGCTCGTGCCTCGTGCGGTCCATCGTGCCGCTGTGCTCCTCCTCTGAGCCGTTCTCTTGCGGCATCACCGGGCTTAATACAGGCGGACCACCGTAATCATCATCCTCATTCTCTTGTTCTTGCCCCTGCTCCTCCTCCTCCTCCTCCTCCCCCTCTTCTTCTGCCTCCACCTCTTCCTCATCGTCGTCTACCTCCTCCTCCTCCTCCTCATCTTCTTCCTCCTCCTCCTCCCTCTCTTCCTCTTCCTCTTCATTATCATTATCATTACAACCGTCATTACGACTATCGTTGATACCACCCTCATCATTGTTATCGTCGTTATCGTCATCGTCATCGTCGTCCTCGTCATCGTCATTATCATTGTCATCTTTTTCCTTATCCTTATGATCATCAACATCATTATTATCATTATCGTTATCGTCATCATTATCATTATTATGATCAATATTATCCTCACCTCTTTTTCTTTCCTCTTCTTCCTCTTCCTCTTCCTCCTCTTCCTCTTCTTCCTCCTCCTCCTCCTCCTCCTCCTCCTCCTCCTCCTCCTCCTCCTCCTCCTCTTCTTCTTCTTCTTTCACCCCTACCTCGTTACTTTCATTTTCGTGATCGTCATCGTTGTCCTCCTCATTCTCCTCATCGTCATCTTCGGACAAATCCACATTGTTCGCCGCGACTTTAGCGGACTCCTCGAGATATAATGCCTGAAATTGTTCCGTGTTTACAGGCGCGCGAGAACCCAGCAGCTTGCTCATATTATTCTGCATGGTCTGTCCCGCGACCGTCGTGTTGACGACGGACGCGAGATCGGTTCTCGGATTCTCCGCGCTCCTGTCCACTGATGGCTGCCCCAACATGCTGGTGTCTCCGCCGCCGCTGCTGCGTATCCTGAAACTGTTGACGTCACTTACGCTCTTATTTTCGATCGCGCTTATCTCCATCTCTGAGTCGGAGTCGACACTCTCGGAATTGCACGACATGTCACCGGTCGCTCGACTGTTGGTCCTCGTGTCGGGCTCGGACTCATTCTCCTCATCTTCTTCATCCTCCTCCTCGTCCTCCTCCTCTTCGCCCGCACCGTCCTCGTCGCTGGAGCTACTGTTACTGCTGTCCGAGTCGTCGCTGTCTTCCGAATTATCATCGCTGTTACTGTCCTCTTCATGAATGTCCTCGTTGCCCTCGGCCTCTGATTCGAAGTCGCCTTCGTCGCCTTCGCCGATCACTGATGTCTCGTCGGCGATTAAACTACCCTTCTCGTCGTTATCGTCATTCTTGTCGGCGTTATCGTCCTCCGCGTGATTCCTGAACTCAGACTTGCCGTTGCAGCTGGCCGCGTGCTCGTTCAGCTTCTCCTCACTCATGAAACCTTGCTGGCACTTTTGGCATCGGTAGTTGCCGGGCATACCAATGTGAATACTCGTATGTAATAGTAATTTGCTTCTCGCATTGTGATACCGACCGCAGATCTTGCACGTGAAGTTGTTGCCCTCGCACGTCAGAATGGCGGCGTGGATGGCTTTCAGATGGTCGGCCAGATCTTGATAAGTTTTACAGAGCTTCAGGCACACCCCGCACGTAACCGCGGCTTCAGTACGATGAAAGCGAATTAAATGTTGCCACAAGTGCTTCTTGGCTGGCCACTGCTTGCCGCAGACCTCGCACGTGCACTCCGTGTTGGTCTTCTCATCGTACACCTTGCGCGAATCCTTCCGCGAGCATTGACGCGTATTACCAGTCGTAGGCCTCACGTGCGACAACGGCATGAGATTCGGCACTGGCTTCTGCGCCGACAGCTGCATGTTGATGTCCTCGAACAAGTTGAAGTCGGGAATGTTGAGGTTGGACTCGTTCGTTGGCAACATCGGCTCCTCTCGCTTGATCTGATTGTTGTTCTTCAAGTGCGCTTCCAAGATCGAGTTCGGGTTGTTGTTCGGCGAGTCCAGTCTACGCTCAAGAACGCCCCGTCGCGTGCATATGCTGATGTGATTCCAGAACAAGGCCTTGGTGGAGAATTGCTTCCTGCAATTCTTGCACTCAAAGTTGTTCCTGTTTCTCATCTTGCGCTTGCTGTTGTCCTTCTTGAATTTCTTGAACATACGCACCGGGTCGGTGTTGTGGACGTTCTGGTAATGCTTGGAGAGGGTCTCGGAATTGAGGAACATCTCGGGACACATCTCGCAGTCGTACGTGTCGCTCGCCGGTCGCTTGCCTCTGGTGTCGTTCGAGTCTTCGTCGCACAACTCTTCATCGAACTCGAGGTCGTACGGCTCCTCCTTCACGAATGCATCGGGGGTCTCGTAGCCCTCCCTTTTCGCCCCGAGGTCCATCCTATATTCGAACGCGGCTAATTGGTCCTTCGGAACATTGTGTGTGTGCTCATAGTGCTCGCGTATGTCGTTCTCGTCCGTGAAGACCGCCAGACACTGTTTGCACGTAAGGAAGACCTTGCCATGGCACTTCTTGGTGTGGTCGAAAGCCTTCCACTTGGACGCGTACTGCTTGCCGCATACCTGACACGTATTCGGCTTGGAGAGAACGCCGCTATGCTCCGTCTCGACGTGCTTCTTCAGGTCCTTAGGATCCTTCATGGGTATCAAGCAAACGCCGCAAGATACTCCGATCTCGTTACGATGTAACGACAGCACGTGCATTTTTAGCTTCAGCTTGTTTTCCACGGTGTCGCCGCAGAAGTCGCAAACGTTCAGGTTACTGTGGTGCTTATGATCCTTTCGATGCGACTCCAGGTCCTCCTTAGTGCGGAACAGCTTCTTGCAGCTCGGATGTTCGCACGTCAGATCCGGGTGGTCCATATGATTGACGCGGTTGTGCGTCATAATGCCCAATTTAGACGTGATCGTTTCGTTACATAAGTGGCAGGTGTACGTGCTGTGATGATTCTCGATATGCTTCTGAAGACTCGCACGGTCCTTGAATATTCTCTCGCAGGCCCGGCAACGAGTCAACAACGCGCCGGGGTCCTTACGGTAGTTCTGGCAGCCCTTCATGTGGCGCCTGAGCAGATAGCGCTTGTGGAATCCTTTGTTGCATTTCTCGCAGTAATGCACGACACCGTCCTCGGTGCTGGAGGACTTGCGCGTGACGCAATTCATACGGTTCTTGCTCACGTCGAGCTCGTACCTGTGAATCTTGGCGATATGCGCCATGAGGTGATCCCTCGAGGCGCTGGTCTTCATGCAGTACGGACACGTAACGTCCGTGTGACCCTTGTGTACCCTGTTCACATGCTTCCACAAGTGCGATGTTCGGCCGTAGCACTTGTTACACAGGTCGCATGGGAACAGACTGTGCACCAAGCGTCTGTGGTTGACCAAACTATCTAGCGTTGAGAACTTGAGGTCGGGACATTGGTCGCAACTCAACTCGACCTCTGCGGCACCGTTATGATCAAGTTTCGACGATTCGTTGGTCGTTTCATTAATGCTGCTATTATCACACGCGTCCACCTCCAAGCCGTGGATCTTCCTATGTCGGGACATCTTTGATTTATTGGAATAGGGCCTACCGCAAATATCACAGCAAAAATCACCACCGGTCAACGGCCAGTGTTTCTCCTTTACGTGTCTGCTTAACTGTACCACGTCGGAAAATATCTTTAGACAAACACCACAAACCCTAGGCACTGTGTCCGAATGTACTCCCATCACGTGCTTCCAATAATCGACCCGAGTGGCCCACAGTTTCCCGCAAACCTCGCAAGTGTTCGGCGAGGCGCCTTGTAGCACATGGTGCTGGGCATGCTCGTTACGTAGCAATTTCGTCGCGAATATCTTTCCACAATCTTTGAATTCGCACTAAAACAGTTGAAGCCACAGTTAATGGCATAAAGACATTTCAATGGCGAGAAATATGAGGAAAATATGCCTTCGTTGTTGTTTCCAAGATTTACCTTAATGGCGGATACATCGCTGTGCATGCTGTTGATGTGCAACCAACGTTCCCATTTGCTGGAATGAGGACTGCCACAAACCTCGCACACAAAAAAGAAATGGAACTGCCCTTTGTTGCCATTACCGTTGACGCTCAATACACCCCCGCTTCCCGCAACATCTTCCGAAAATACCTGTTCAGACTGCAATATAACGAAAAGCTCGCTTAAATCCACGCATTCTGCTCCTGACAGGCAGCCTTGCTTATTATTGCTTTACTGAACAAAACACCTTTGCGACGCATGTTGGGCAGATTAATACACGAGTGACTCAGTTACCTTGTGGGCGTTCCTCTGATGTCGTATGAGATGATCCTCGTTCGGAAATGACTTGTTACAAATATAACAATCGACCTTCTCGCCGTCCTCACCATCGAAATCCAACATTTGCTCGTTCCCTTCGTTAATGTTCAAGTTCTCGTTGTAATAATTACTATTTAACTGTACAAAATGTGCTGGATCGTACGAAGGATCGATGTTGTGTATCGAGACATGAGCAATTAGCTTTTTCCTCGAGTCATGCTGTCTACCACATATTGTGCAGCTGTACCTGTGTATACCAGTCGTAAAGGTGTACTTCAGCGTTTCTTTGCTGATAATGCATATCAGCTTATGTGCACGATAAAAACAATTTTAGTTACGAAAAATGAGACTTTTTTAGAAGAAGAATATTCGCGCAATGTTGTCTTAGATTGTACAATCCAAGATAAAATTGTGCGAGTGTAAAAGTAGCTGTGTTCGAATAACAATCATAATAGATTTTCTCTTCCTACCTTCTTTGTTCGGATATTAAAAGTTTGGATCCTCCATGGTACATATTAACGTGACTCTGAAGCTGCGTGTTATCGGAGCAAATCTTCAAGCACACTCCACAGGCGAACGCCGCGAATTCCTTATGCGTCGCCCGTATGTGCAACCACAACGAGGCGCGATCGTTGAAATCTCTCGTACAAATTTCGCATACAAATACTGTTTCTATTTCTATCATGTTCTCGTGATTGTTTTTAATATCCTTCTCATCGTTCTCCAAATTTTCCTGCTCAATAATACACATGTTACAATAGATGTGTAACGTACTTGATAATAAACATGTAATAAAACGTGTAATGTATAAAATCGTCGTAATGATACGTTCTCCTCCTCCTCTCCCGCCCCCCTTTTGATGCAACGAAAGTCGCGCGGAGCAAAACTCTTACACTTACCTCAGGCGACGACGAAAACTCTCGCGATTCCTTCATCTCGTCCTGCTCATAAACGCTGACGTCCATCTGATCGTTCCAATTCTGAGGCATCACGACTTTCTTCAGGCATTTATCGCTGTCAACAATGGGCATGGGATCAACACCGTGCATCGTCACAATATGCCTGCTCAACGATGACTTCACGACGAAATCTTTCTGGCACAGTATGCAAATAAACGGCTTCTCAGCTTCGTGCGTGATCTCGTGCTCCTTCAAACTGTCTACGGATGTGAAGCTTTGCGGACACGCTTCGCAATACCATCTCTTCTGGGGATTCGCTTCGCAATTATCTGGAAAACAATGCACTCCTATGAAGTAATTTTAATCCTACAACGTACAAAATCCCTCTGTTGGAAGTAACTTCGAGTAATTACCCGTCTTGGCTAATTTCCTTGGCTTGCAATCGGACGTCGAGCTATCGTCGTAGTCCCGTTTGAGACTCTCGCCTTTAGTCAACGCTTGCTTCAGTATAGTCAACTGTGGATTTTTGGCTAGTTTAGCTTCAGCGTTCCTGTAGTCTTTGTTCTCGTCATCCGTATCTATGCTGGAGATATCGGACGTGTCGGCCAGGCTCTTATTGTTTTGCGGCTCGACTTTCTCCAGCAAAGCGATACGCTGCTCCTCCGTGCAGACCTGGCTATGCGCGTTGAAATCCGCTTGATCCGAGAACACCTTTGAACACGTTTTGCATTGATAACGCGCTTCCGGGCGGAAGAACGAAACCGGTAAGTTCGCAGGCGCTGGTAGACCAGCGTGGCGCGATTTTACGTGTTCCTCAAGATTTATCCGCGTCGAGTATATCCGCGAACAATATCCGCATGTTACAGCAGGATGTCCCCTGAAGCAAATCAATCGTCAATCAAAGCTATTAGAGACGTCTATTGCAAATTAGAGGTGGCAGTAACAATTAGTAAAGGACAGCAAACACACAATAGCTATTATCGCAGTCATCAGTATGCGGAAATTATAAATTTGTCTTATTTGCCATTCCTTTTTGCATCTCAATGTGCCTTTAACGCTAACACTACCAATGCAATCAAATGTCATGCAGTCATGCAGTTTGTACTTTCTTCATAACGGTATATTTTATTTTTTCAATTTAGAATAAAACGAAAAGGAAGAAAAGTAAAAGAAATAAGCAAGAAATAGACCTCAAGATCATTCAATGTTTTAGACTCGAAAATCATTTATTACTCCATCATGGTAGACAGAGCTCGATCGACTTGATTTATCAGAGCAATTCTAATTAAAAATACCCAGGATGGGCATCGTACGCAGTAAATAATTCAACGTACAAACAGCTGCAGAGATTAGCAAAATTCGCTTACCTATGTGACGTAGAAACGTGTCCCCATCGGTGCTTCGCGGTGGAGTACGACTTGTGACAAAGATCGCATTGATATGGTCGCTTGAACGACGTGTGATCGTCAGTGATAACTTTCTCACCGATCACGTCGCCCTCACCCACGTGGATCCTCGCATGCAAGGACAAATGTCCTTTCGAGCTGAAGGCCTTGTTACACAGAGAACAGACATAGACCTCGTGCTGTTGCGACGTGTGCTGAAAAACAGTAGCGGTGTCCTGAGGCGGCGCGGCGACGTTCTTCGCGTCGCACTCCTCGTTATCCTCGGTTACCATCGGCGTCATCTCCAAAAAGTCGCTGGGATTCGTCTCCATGTCCATCTCGTACTCGTACTCTGACCTTCGATCTTCCGAGTCGTCGACCACCGTTGCTTCACGTCAAAGAGGATACATGAGTGACTACACTTAATCGTGCAGAACAAGTAGAATAAGAAGATATAAAACACGCCGGACATACCTTCATCTGTGCCCTCACTCGTGTCGAGGATCTCTTCGACCTCGGGGTCCGCCTCGCCATCGGAATTCAATCTCGGCGGTGTGCCTAACGCTGCATTAGGATTGACTATAGGTGCCTCCGGAATAAGGACTGGTGTGTTTTTCTTCTCCTTGAAAAACTCCGCGTGCATCTCGTCGCACTGTGCGGCATTATCTGCATCGTCATCGTTCGTCTACGACATACAAAATACAAAATTGTTGACACTCGTGCGAAACTGCACCTCCAGAATGTAACGTCGGTACCGCTACTGTCTGGCTTCTTCGGAAATTCCTTTCCTTCTTATTGCTCATATTGGAATGTGGGATTAATTAACGCGTAATTATCTCTTCGCCGTGGGAATACGTGCGAAAATTAAATATGTTTTGCCGTAAAAAGTTGGATCACTTACCGCTTCTCTTGGTGGCTGACATCTCTTTAATAAAGCGACTGCATTGACGCAAGCAGTTCTAAAGTCGTAAAAATTCTCCAAATTAAACACGCATCTATGACACAGAGACTTCGGTAAGCCATCGTCCTCTGATATCTGGAACATAGCAATCGTCAATGTTTGTGAGAAACTAATCAAGTTTCCATGACCGTGTTTAATAATGAAAGTTGCGCGAAGACGCAATCCACGCAAGAAGAAACAAAATTGGTTGCATCAATGTGACAATAAACGAACCAAACGAGGCGGAATTTCTGGTTATTGTGAATCAAAATCAGTTCTCAATTCAGTTTCAAAAATCGGAAATTTTGTCTTTCAACTAAAACACGTATGGTTCGTCACGTTAATTGGACCAATCTTTTCTCCGTATATTCTCGGCCTTGTAAACAAACATTTTAACGAGGAAAACTATCCCATACAACGTTTTCTGTTTGCGCGAGCAAATATTTTTTTATCATTTGTCGCTCGAATCATGCAAAAGAGATTTCGCTCGTTCGCAAACATTTATTGTTTATTATTGGCTTATTTGACACATACAATTTTTCATTGTTAATGATCTTTTTTATATTTTTTTGCTTCTCGTTCTTTCTCTTCACGATCATTCATATTCATTCATTTATCTTTGCTCATCGTACATGAAATGAATCGTGGCGAAATGAAATAGATAATAAACGAATATTAAATTTATCGATGTGCGTCTTTAAATACAAATATATAATGTAACAAGCGAACCTCGAGAACTTTACGATTGTATTTGACAATTTTTCTGTCGCATATTTTCGATAGCGTGAGACATTCCTCCATGGGAACTCTTAATTGCGAATTAAAACTCCTTACCAGTTAGTAGTCGTGTGAGTTTTTTTTCTTTTTCTAGACGCGCTATGTAAAAAAATCTTCGGTAACTTCAGCTTGTGTCATCGATTACGTGATAATCGATAATCGTGATTCAAGGCAGTTAATTTATTACATGTGATTATTATTACAACATCCGTTAGTCGATTACAAAAGCTTGACGAAAAGTTCCAAGTCAAATAATCCCGCCCTGGATGTTCCTCCATTATTACTAATATCCCCAATTAGTTGTCACATCATTAAAATTTTCCGAGTTCCATGCGATACAATCGTTCGTCACCGGTGAGTATCTCACGGTAATCATTTCAGCGAGTACGGCCCGGACATACGACCTACAACTTGCGGACGTGATTAGCTCCTTGGAGATCCTTCCCGTAACCGAGGATCTCGCGGGCGGAAAACGGTTCATCCTTCGGCAGTCTAACAAATATGAATTTTCATTATCGCCCCATTAGTACAAAACTGTCGGGAACGAGGAGAAAGAAGACAAAGCGAAGGAGGGAGCTTCTGACGTATCTGATCGAAGACTATTAAATTCCTGATCCGGACAACAACACCAGCGCGAGATCAGAGTTCGCGCAAGAGTGATTCGGGCAAGTTTCGCGGGCTGATCGCGTTCTTGGCCGCGAGAGTTCGAGAACATCCGCGTTTCAAGGAGCATGTCCATCCGGACACGAGGCTCGCCGGAGGAGGTGAGCCAGCCTTGCGCGTTAGTACTACGCAGTAAAGAGGTGGTCTGACCCGGAGAGTGCGACGGCGATAACGCTCGTCACCAGGCCGGATCCCGTGAAGGAGCATGAATGCCGTGGCGGAAAACAAAATGTCGCCGGCGTGTCGCGCGACGAGGCGTCCCTCCTCGAGGATCGAGTGTCGTGAGAGCGAGCAAGAGAGAGCGTGCAAGCGAGCGTGCAAGAGGGAAAGAGCGACAGAGTGAAACAGAGGGAAAGAGAGGGAGGGAGGGGGAGAGAAAGAGAGAGAGATTCACGAACGCGCATCGGGTCGTTACTGGGTGAAGGTTTCGTTCTCGTTGCCGCTGCATTGTCGCTCGTTCGTTCGCTCGCTCGCTCGCTCACCGCCACGTTGTCCTCGGTCGAGAACGATTCCACTGGGTGGATATTCGTCACCGAGGACACCGTCGCATTCGACAAACGCAATGGCCGACGATGATGACGGGAGGGAAACCTTCACCCAGTAACGGCCCGTCGACGTCGAGAAACTTGTCCCTGAATCGCTCTCTCTCTCTCTCTCTCTCTCTCTCTCTATCTATCTCTCTCTCTCTCTCTCACTCACTCACTCACTCACTCACTCACTCACTCACTCACTCACTCACTCACTCTACCCATCTCCATCTTTCTTCTTTTCTACCTCTGTCCCTCTCTCTCTCTCTCTCTCTCTCTCTCTCTCTCTCTCTCTCTCTCTCTCTCTCTCTCTCTCTCGCTCGCTTCCTCACGATGTTCCATCTCGTTTTTCGGGAGAATGGAATCGAGGACGAGACGTGTTGTGGGCCAACATGTGCAAGGTAAATTATTCAAAGGCGTAAACGCGCGAAATTGTATACGTGAGTAAGAGGTAGAGAGGAAGAGAGAGGAAGAGAGAGGAAGGGAGAGGAAAGAGGGAAAGAGAGAGAGAAAAATATTCAAAGAAAAAGGAACAGGACGGGTTAACGTGGTAGGAAATAAAGAAAGGAATGACGCGGAAAATGAAAGAGAAAATAGCAAAAGCGAACGTGACAATAAACAGGATAACATCGACGGTGTGAGGAACGCGAAGAACGTGGAACAAAGAAAGAAACTCACCTTGAACTGTAGGCACGCCTGAATCTTGTCGACGAGCTGACGATCCTTGCCGTCCGGCCCGAATATGTCCACCTTGGCGGCATTGTAGGACGCACACAGGCGACAAAGCTCGTCGTAACTCACTCTCGACTCCATCGTCGTCATCATCGTCGTCGTCGCCGCCGCCGCCGTCTTCGTCTTCTTTTTTGTCGTTGTCGTCGTCGTCGTCGTTGTCGTCGCGTCGCCGATATCGTCAGCGCCGTTACGACGCGACTCTCTATCTCTAGCACACACTCTGTCGCGCGCGCTCTGTCTCTCTCCCTCCCGAGGAAGCTCACACGCGTCCTTCTCCGTCCTTCGTTTCCGTCGACGGCATCGACGACGAGCGAGTCTCTGCAGGGCGACGACGACGCACGACGGCACGATGTGCCGTCACACTTCCACCGACCTCACGCACTCACCCGGACAGGCGAGAACTATGATGGACGCCGTCCGTACACGCCGAGCGAACAACGACCGCGCGTCCGGGAGCGAGTTCCTTCCGTCGTCAACGTTCGCCAGTGCCAACTACGTTGGCCAGCCCTCTCCTCCAATCCCGAGGAGCCCACTTCGTCGCGTACCTGCGTAGCCGTCTGCCGCGCCAGCTAACCACCCGCCGGGCTAAGGAGGCTCCTCAAGCAGCCTACCTTCTCCTTCGCTCATCGGGCCGCATCCTTCAACAAGGAGACAACAACGACGACGACGCTGCCGCCGCCGCCGCCGCTGCTGTCGATGCCGCTGCTGCTGCTGCTGTGCTGTGATGCTCGGCTCGCTGCGATGCCGCTCTACCCGGGCTAGGCGCACACTGCACCGCACCGCACCGCACCGTACCGCACCGCACCGCACCGCACCGCACCGTACCGCGCCACGCCGCAGCGCAACGCAGCGCACTACACCGCCGCACCGCACCGCACCGGTTCGGTCGGTCGGTCGGACGGTTGGCTGCTTCTCCGTTGGTCAGGTCGTCAGCTCGTCGTCGTCGCCGTCGCTGCGGTAAAAATGCACGCACGCACGCACTCTCGCTCTCCCTGACCTCCGCCTCCTCGTCGCGTTCTCACACGAAACGTCGCTCACCGCCACTCGCCGCTACTTCCTGGCGATTCTCACGACAGCGAGAGACCCGGGCGCCGCCATCTTGTATACAGACACTTGTTTCGACGCCGGTGATGAGAAGCGATGCCATCCGGTGACTCCGTGTTGCTCGCCGAGAACGCGTATCACGGCGATGCGTCCGAGCGCACGATCCGCCGCCGCCGCCGTCGCCGCCACCGCCGTCGCCGCCGTCGTCGTCGCCACCGCCACCACCGCCGCTGCTCCTCGAGACCGGCCACCGCCGCGCACTCTGCTTGCCCCGTGTGTGTTTATTCTTTTCTTTAGGGAAACGCTCGCATTATCGCCGGCGTGGCGCGCGCGTGTACCGCGCGCGTGCGGCGGTGCCGGCGCGAATGGCGATTACGCCGTATGAGCTAATCAACAGTCGCGTACGAGGGAGATATCAGTGATCGAATTTGAATACTTCGCGGTGCATGCTGCGGGTCGGGGCAGAGCACGCGGGAATACTAACGGCGAACGAGTCGACCAATCGTAGTCGAGACATGTGGAGACGACGACGCGAATACCATAGACCAAGCATTCCGTCCGCGAGGTGGAGCCGGAAGTTGGCACTTTGGGACGAAGTGAGAGAAGCTGTTGATTTTCAGCTGCTTTCTCATTCTGGCTTAAAGCCACTATGTGTGGATGTTTGGTTAGGTAATGTGTGTGTGTGTGTTGTGTGTGTGTGTGTGTGTGTGTGTGTGTGTGTGTGTGTGTGTGTGTGTGTGTGTGTGTGTGTGTGTGTGTGTGCGGAGCGCGTTAAGGGTCGTTCGCATGCGGTCTGCTTTTTTTCGCTGCAACTCCTGCATTACCGCGCACTCTAATTCTGCTCTCCTCTTTTTTTCCAACCAAGTCTCAGCTGCATACAAGTTTCTGTAGTTCTTGAAGTTCGGAGGATGTACGCTAGTTCTTCTTTGAGAGAGTCCAGGTTAGTAATAAAAAGGATAATGAAAGGAAAGAGATCAATGTAAAAAGAGATCTTTTTACCGGCTTGTGATTGGTTGATTTCCGTGTACTGTTGCATTGTAAAGTTCGGCTTGATGAAACTTTATAGTCGATGACGACACGTATTAATGAGTTTTGAAATGTATCGTTTGGTGCTCACAATAAGAAAATTTCTCCCACGTAAAAATTGGGCAAATTTTTTTATTTGGGACGAAAACAGATTGTGAAATTTATAAAAAAATAATTTTATCAAATTTTAGTTGCACTACCAATGATTAACCAAACCGACAGGGTTGTTGAGAAATTGTTGCTGAGATACGAATAAGAAAATTCTTTTGTTTTAATAAGTTCTTTTTCAAGTGGCTATTCTCAAAGAGCTATTTGCCTTGCATTGCTTTTTGTTTTACCGACAGAGAAAAGAGAAGCTCATCGATAAGCAGAGATTATGTAATTTTATTCTATTTTTATATAGAACCAGTGCTCCATAGGTTTATCACTCGTAGAAATTTAAATATCATAATAATTACACATTCTTATTATTAATGGACTACATGCACAAGTTCTTTAAGCTATAACCATGATTTGAACATAATTACATCCACTTGCTATAAGTAGACATTTTTATGTCACCAGATGACGAGCAGAACGTATTAGAAAGTCATCTGGATGAGTGTGTGCAAAATGTTCACTGAACAAAGGATCTCTATATTGATCTTCTTTATCCAAAAAGAATATTGGTTCTCCATAATAGGTACCAACTTCCCATTTCTCGATATTCTTCATTAATTCTGCCTCTGTTTCTCGGTTGTATCTCATTTGCTTTAGAACGCTAAAATAAGATAACTACATTAAGGAGATCTCGAGTTGCAAATCTCAACAAATATAACACTAATTAAGCATTTAAATTTGTCAACAATATGTAAGACCAAGAGTACATAGAACTCTTACGCTCTGTCTCGTTCCGCCAGCAGCAGTGGCCATATAGCTAAGTGTGCGCTTCTCATCTCAATCTCGTGTCTTTTAATCCATATGAAAGTTTTATAATAGCTGTACATCCCAAACAAAGTGCTGCCTAGGACAAGCCCAAAGCAGCTCTTCGCTGTCAAATTTCACAAAAGAGGAATGTTAAGTGACGTTGACATCAAATCTCCAGAATTTTTAAATGATTCTCCATAACAAACAACAATATTGCATCAATAATGAAAGAATTGTTTACCGTTGAGAACACTACGTAATTTAACTCTTTCGGTTTGAAAAGGGGCATAGCCTCCTTTTGGTGGAAGATCCTGCATTCTGCTCGTAGACGCGGCACTCATATTGTCGGTTTCTCGACTTTTTCAACAATATCAAATCGAACTAGAATATCGCTCAGTTATCGCGCATGAAAGAATCCCGAAGACACCGAACCACGTAAGGTCGCACTCGCTCTTATTCTCTCGAATATAACGAGCACGGAAATTGTTCCGTTTTCCTGCAGATTATTTTCAATTGCATGCACACAGATCGGAGTTTTGCTTATAAATCATGTCGCCAGAGGCCACCAGCATCTGCAGGTGAAGTCATAAATTATCAAGTTAATTACATAAATTCGACTTATTTCTGTGATGTCGATATCGAGATAGACAACAGCTAAGGCCCAGTTCCACAACTTGCTTTAAATGGAGTTTAAAGGGCTATAGTATACAGAAAGCATAAACAGCAAGCTTGAGCAACAAACGACTTGGCCAATTGCAGTCGAGAATTTCAACATGACTTATACCTTCTCAGATGTGATTCGTCAATTCACTTGGTATGAATTTTACATTTTTCTGTTGCAATTCGCTTAAATCACGAGCGTCGCCTCTCAATCTTTTCGCAGTGTATGAAAGCAATCACTTGAATGAAGAAAATCTTATATTTAAAAAAAAATAGACATTGATATGCTGCGGAAAAATAGAGAAGAGCAAAGAATGCGGCCGAGAGAGAGAGAGAGAGAGATACAGATATTAACGTTACGACATCTCAACCAATCAAGCCTCTTTAATTACCAATGTCATAAGTTGGAACTCGCCAATCGTGTCGCATGCAACTCGTCGCTCCTGTGCGTCCTCGCCTTGCTGACGATCGTCACGATCGAACGCGAATAACTCCATCTGTGAGTCACGACACATAGTGGAACGTTCGGTGTCAGTTGTATACTGAGAGAATTCGTGAGAGATGGTGCTGAACGGGAAATATTGAGATTCTGCCGAATAGGTACGTGAATTAGACGTGAATTGTATTTTCATTTCGCATATGCGACGACCCGGTCGCGGCTGGGCGATGTAACTCGGGCGGCTTGCGGGGAACGCATACGCGTCGGCCAGCGTCCTCCGTCGGGCTTCTAGAAGCTGTGCTCACGATTACAATGTCCCCGAACTTAATTCACTTTGGTCGTTTCGCACTCTCGGTCTCGCCGTCTACTCCGGTTTCCGAGCGCTTGAATTTTTTTGCCTGCACATAACCGCGTGTCTTTTAACATGGTGGGGTAAGAGACACGGACGAAGTGTTCCCTGTAATCGCACAGTATATGGAACATCACATAGCTGTGAATGGTGCATATGGCATATCTCCGCGTCCTTGAGAAATAAGGGTGGATCGGTCTGTCGTACGCGCCGCATTGATACAATTTTGTAAACTATTTCATGCGATTTATGTTTTTTGCTAGTTTCTCTGCTGTTCGTGGGGATTCGCGGATACGCAAGCGATATTGTATTTGAGTAATTTTGTCTGGAAGTTGCGCTTGAAATCCTGTGAAAAGTGATTGAAGGTTTCATTGAGGTATCAAGGAAGTTCCGTGTCAAAATATTTACATTTACGAAATCGAAATACGAGAGTATTACTTTATTTCATTGTTAACAATTCGAATCTAAATTTTGTACTTATTTTCTGTGAGAATAACATGTTACTTTGTTATTAAATAATACAATTTTATTGTCGATCAGATGTGTTGATATTTCCATTGTGCCTCATAATGGAATCAGGAGACAAGTTGCTCCCTTCACGGGGACTGAAGCAAGTAAAAGTAGATAATTGGGGGACATTCTTCCTCCAGAGACTTCAGCAAATTTATGCGGATGAAGAATTGTTTGATCTTAAAATTAGATTTCCTACAAGTGAGATCACTGTACAGGTTAATATATAACATTGTATATATTTTATAAAAATAACTAATTTAAAATATATCTGGCGGAATATATTCAACTTTACCAATGATATTGCAAATTGAATTATTTTCTTAGGCACACCGACTTGTAGTATCAGTATGTACAGACTATTTTGTAAAGTTGGAAAATCAGCAGAAAGAAAAAAATGAGAATTATGATGGTATAATTATTATGCCTTCAGACATGCCTTATGAATGTGTTAAGTCTATCATAAGGTATGTATAATATAATATATAATAAGAAATTGATGCTTTTTCAAAATCATCTGTAATATATCTTACTGTATATTTCATAGCTTTATGTATACTGGACAATTGGAATACTGGACATCAGAACAACATGCTTTATATCGTACTGCGCAAAAGATGAACATGACAGTGCTGACAAAATTACTTGACGCTCAATTTAATACAAGCACATTACAAAATGAGCCGACAAAGACTGTGCGTCCAGTTGCAGCTGTGTCGAAGCCTTCAATATCACCAGCAAAAGTCACCACTAGCTCAACATCAAGCACCTTGCCTGAGCAGCCATTACCAGGTAGAAAGTATGTATTTCAAAAGTATATAATGCTTCGTGTGTAATTTTAATCTGGACATAATTTAGCATTAACGATTCCTGTTGTTAAAGACTCCCAATTTGGAAAAGAAAGATAGAGGAATCTCCTGCAACAAATTACGAATTACGAACATTCCATAGCACACCCTCGCTCAGTAGACCTATGGAAACAACTCCAGGTCCATCCAGATTCGATCTTCCGGAAGCAGACGAGATCGCTCTCGGGGTGTTCTCCTCATTCGATGATATCACATACAATACAAAGCCTATCGTTCAAGCATCCGATATATATAAGACAGGAAGTTCCTTCCGCAAACGTTCACCGGACAGGGACAGTAAAAACGACACGACTGAGGATGAGGACGATGACAGTCCAGGAAACGATAAGGGTCTAAGAGACACAAATTCGGATGATGATTGGAGCATATCGAAGTCTTTCTCGAGATCTCAAGATGGGTCAGCTAAAAAGGTGCGCTTCGACCTAGAAGAAAAAGAAAATTTGGAGAAGCCTAAGTCGAACACTCGGCCAAGTTCTGAAGATTCCATTAACAATCATGCAAAGATTATCAGAGAGGTGTTGAAGAAGTACCCGCATCTTGTGAAAAACAACAAAAACATTCGCCTGAAGATCATGCAGAAGGAGGCGAAGTCCTCCGACAGCAATGCCGCGTGCAAGACAAAGGTATCGTATGTGGTGCTCAAGTCTGATCATTTGCTGTCCAGCAACAACGGTGACGAGAACGAATCCAAGTGCAACGGCAGTATCGACGGCAACGAAACGGGTCCGTGGAAGTGCAACAAGTGCGACTTGGAGGAGGAGTATACAAATTATTACATGTACAGAAGGCACATGCAGGATGTACACGAAGAGAAGTTCGATCCACGAGTTTGCGAGCATTGTGGCTACAAGGCGACCAAACGCAACATTCTCATGTATCATTTATATACCAAGCATAATGTACCTCCGCCTAAGAGCTTGTGTTTCCCGAAGTGCCAATCTTGCTCATACGTCGCCCTGTCGGAGAACTTGTTGGTGCGGCACCAGATCAACCACAATCACAGACCCTCTACGCGGCATCACCCACTGCCTGCGGAAGACGTCCAATGCGGCCAATGCAACCAGTCGTTCAGGACTATCACCGAACTCACGACTCACCAGCTGAGTACCGGCCACGACGGTGTGACAGACAACAAGGAGAAGGGCCATCGTTGCCCGTATTGCGGTAAGATGTTCGTACTGATAACGAACTTGCAGGTACATTTGGACTGCAATCACAAGGAGATGCGGGACACAGAGTCCACCACGTCCGCGCCGCCGATATCCTTGGAACCGTCGTCCGAGGCGGAGGCGCTCAGCCATGTCGCCAGCGGAATAGCCGCCTCCCTCGGCGTGGGAGACACGGTTACAGCCGAGGTGCAAGAGAGCAGCTCCAACAACCAATACATCGTTCCGGACATGCAGCTGGAAAACATAACACATAATATTAACTACAACGAGCACAAACTCGAGGGTCAGCACATGATCATGCTGGTGGACAACGAGAATTACCAGCACGTCGAGAACGATCACCAGCAACAGCAGCCGCAGCAACTCGACATCGCCGACAATGAGCAGATAGTGATGCAGGGTACCGAAGATGGAATGATCGTATACATTCACGGCGCGAAGGATTCGGAGCGACGCACTTACGACAGTTATCAGTCCGATGATGTTTCGCAGGAAGAAACCGAGGAGATAGTGGAGGAGGTAGTCGAGGAGGTCGAGGAGGAAGTCATGGAGGAAGAGGAGATACAGGAAATCCCTCAGGACATGTTGGAGGAGTGTGGTGATAATCAGGTGGAGGAGGTGATACAGTACGTCGAGGAGCAGACGGAAATAGTGGAGTACGACGAGGAGCAGTGTAGCGAACAGAGCAACACTACGGGCGAGACTCATGAATCCGTCATGATCATTGAGGAGGAACATGTCGAAGGGGAAGAGGACATTGACAAGTCTGCGAGCAAGCGACGCAAAAAGGTGCGGAGCTTCGCCACTGATTGGGACGAGGACAGTATGAGCATGACGGAGTCATGAATGTCGTAATGTCGGATCTTTCGTTTGCTTGCAATATGTTATTAACTTTTACGATGGCTACGATTTTAATGAAACACATTAATAGCTTTCAGTAAATTTTCTTTTTACATCTAATCTGTGCGGAGAGTATATTTGTTCATTAGCGAGAATTAGTGACGGATGGTCGACGTATCGGTCTACGTCGTGAAGAGTTTAGCGGTAAGGCAAGAAGATTTAAAAATTAATCAAATCATTAATTACATTTATTAATAAGCCACAGGGAATAAAGGTACCGATATCAAAGATACTGCTTCTACATGTGAATTCTATTGTTGCACAAATGCATTGTATTATCCGGATTACTTCTGTGTATGATTTTCTCCTCAGCTTCAACCTACGCAATTAGCGATAACGTGTTCGAGATGAAAACCTACTTGTAAGGCTCGTTTGGGAAATTTCATCAAATAGATCTTTTAGTACATTTTATATCATATGGCATGTAAAATTATATACACAGGTGAAGCAAGGTTCTGTCATGATTCACAGATCCTCGAAAAGCGGGCCTTACAGTAACATTCGGCATAATATAACAAGATCTAATATATTTTGCATTGATGAAACAAAAAACGCAGTTATTATCTTCGTTGTAGTAGTACTTTTGTAAGCGTAAGAATTTAAACTAAATTTGACATTATCTTATCTTTTTAAACACGAGAACATTTATATACATGTAGCTTATGAAAATATATATGTTACACTTATTAATTAAGCTTTGGATTTATATTTCACGAGAATCCATAATCACACACAAGTCGTTAGTGTTTCTCACACAGTCCGAAGTAAAATAGAGGAGCTCGTTCTGATTCATTCATACTAACGGCAGTGGTGTGATTCAATAAAAGAGTGAACGGACCTTTTTTTTTTTGTAATACAAAACAGCTGATCAGGGGTGGACTTTCATTAGTGCACATGAACGCCGTTACAAACCGCCACTATCCCCACATCCAATCCAAATTCAAGTAGAAGGCGACTCAATGGCAGGCTGCTGGAAGCAAGCTGAATAGCTATATTATCTCGTCGGTGACAATATCGATCAAAAGTTTCGCGCTCTATCTCGATGGCGACGGAGGCGGATCCGCACAGTACCGGTTCTCGATATCGTGGAACCTAACGTGTTTTCTTCTATTCGTTTCCACGAAAATTATCGGTTATCGACGCGTTGATGTCCGCTTGCGAAATTAGCCCCGAGCCGTTTATCAAGCGCACCCAAACTTACGAAACTCATTATAGATAGAGAATACCAGCGTGTGATAACGAGAGAAGAACGAAGGAGAGAAGCAACGTCATCTGTCAAGCTGCTCTTCCCAACTGCGCCCCTCGTCATACTTTCTGTAAGCCGCATGAAACAATAAATTGTCCATTCTCGCTGGTCTCCTGTACATCTTCGGCACTTACAGCCAGACGTATTTATTAAGAGGGAGGAGAGGAGGGGGGACGACACAAAGTGAGACCAAAACGGACTTTTGGATTATGCTCAGACTTCAACGGAAGAAAGAGGCAAGGAAGAAATTCGAGGAATCGACGAAAGTGCAGCAGGTGCAGCAATTGAGAGGAGGACGAACTCTCACTCTCGCTCATGGTGTACAGTCGTCGTCAGCAGTGCTGACGGTGTGCTGCTCGTGCTGTCGGAGTGTACAGACCGAACGTCGTGTAAAGTGCATCGCAGTGCGAGCGCGCAAATGTCAGAGGACCCGTGGTGGAAGAAGGCGAGAGCGTAGGAATGTGACCGGACGCAGTCCGGCAATTTGAATCTTTTTACAATTCTGAGGAAACTGTCCAGCGGAACAATCGCCGAGGTCGTCGTGAATCGCGCACGATGGAGGGCCAGCAGGTGCGTAAATTCGCGTTTCAGCCCAGGGAAAAGCGACTGTACAACTGTTGCACCGAGTTCGATCAACTCGACAGCTATGACTCATTCTATTAGCGAGCTGGGAACCAATTCTTGGTCGTTTACGTCTCACGCCAAGATCCGTCGCTGTAATCCACATCTCTCTAACTCTCCTCTTCTGCTTCTTCTTTCAGGTAAGAGCGCTGTACGATTTCACCGGTGAGCCAGGAACCGCGGAATTATCTATCACTGCCGGCGAGCTTCTGACAGTCATGCGAGACAACGTGGGAGATGGCTGGTGCGAGGGATTTAATCAGAGCGGCCAGTCGGGCCTGTTTCCAGCGGCGTATGTTCAAGTGGTCGAACAAGCTGTTTCTAGTATGTGGCATAAAAGATATATCATCGGCTCTTGTTTCCATTTTGTCCTATCTCTTACCATATGTTGAAATTGTATAATTATCTGATAAGAGATAAGCTAATCATCTTTGGGGAAGTGACGTAACATCATTGCTAACAACCTAATTGTGTTATTTTATACACAGATACTATGACATCGTCCCAACAGAGCTCAGGTGATTATTGGGACGACGATTGGGACGATGATTCTGAGGTTGGACAAACACAGGCGTATGTACCACCCACGCAACAGCAACAGCATGCTGTACAAGTGGCGCAGCAAAACAATGCTGACCATGGTAATCTTGTGCCCATGCATACCATACATTCTGTGATACCTGAGAGACCTATACCCAATGTACCAAAGAAAAACAATAAGTTTTCCACACTCATCAAATCGGGAGAGGATAGCTTCCTAATGAGTGTCAGAACGGTAAACGTGCCTGACAGCGAGAGGATTTATATAGAAGAGAGCGATAACGGTCGATGCACGTGGGTGCCGACCGGAGAGCCATACAGTTGCGTCGTTACGTCGCCTAAGAAGGAATCCAAACTGAAGGGTCTGAAGAGCTTCATTGTCTATCAATTAACTCCTACGGTAAAGAGAATTGTCTCTTCAGTTTTTTTTTATGATTATGATAACGTTCATGATTTTACCTGTGTACACACGCGGTAATCTAAACCGATTTTAAGTTGTATATTTTATTATTTATGCTAATATTTGTATTATACATATTTTCTTATTCATATTAGCTTATAGATTTTAATATAAGACAATTTAGCACAACGTGAATATCTCTATATTACAGTTTAATAATATACAAGTCTCGAGGAGATACAAGCATTTCGATTGGCTGCACGAACGCTTAGAAGAGAAGTACTGCTTTATTCCGATTCCGCCTTTGCCAGACAAGCAGATCTCGGGTCGCTACGAGGAGCAGTTTATCGAGCATCGGCGTACGCAGCTGCAGGAGTTCGTCGATTACGTGTGTCGGCATCCGGTGTTATCGCGCAGTCGTGTATGGGAGCATTTCATGACCTGCACGGACGAGAAGCGATGGAAAGCGGGCAAACGGCAAGCGGAGAAGGACGAGCTGCTGGGCGTGAATTATTTCAACGCCATTCAGTGTCCGGACGCATCGTTGGACGCCATCAAAATGGAGATCCAGACGGACACGTTTGGCAGATTTATCAGCGGGCTGGACCCCGTGGTGAAGAACTTCATGGCTATGTCGGTGGACCAGGCGAAGAAACACCAAGTGTTGTACAGAAGAGAATTCCAGAAGATTAGTCAGTCGTTCACGTCGCTCGGCCACGCGTTGGAGGCGGACGACAACAGCCGTGGCAAACTGACGCGAGCGTTGAAGGCCACCGGCGACGCCTACAACGACATCGGCAAGCTCTACGAGGAACAGCCCAAGTTCGATTGGGAACCGTTGGCCGATAAGTTCCACATTTATCGCGGTATTATTAGCAATTTCCCTGACGTCATCAGCATCCATAAGGTATGTCGCATGTCATGGCCACAATTAAGTAGCGTCTTATCTGGGCGGGTTAATTAATCCATGTGTTGTTTTCATTCTTGCAGAGCGCTGTGCAGAAACGAAAGGACTGCGAACGGCTGGTCAGCGAGCATAAGATGGAGCCGCAGCAATTGCGCGAGCTCTCTCACCGAACCGACGTGATAGCGCGCGCTTTGGTCGCTGAGGAGATACACTTCCAGACGGAGCGCGAGGTGCACATCAACAAAGCCATAAAGACACATCTCACGGAGCAGATTGCCTTCTACCAGAAAATAGTCGACAAGCTGCAGGAAGCGTTGAGTGCGTTCGACGAATGAGACTCGTGTTATTGCAATTCCGCTTGAGCGAGACATCCGATCGGCACGAGTGAACCAACGCCGCCGCTAATGGTTAATTGCAACGCTGAGTGCATACGCGACTACGAACGACAAATGTACCAAATGCGCATATTTTCAGTGAAACTTGTACATATATATAGATTTTCTTTATACAGGGTGTACACGAGTTCCTGACACAACTTTGTACCACACGATTTAACATTACCGATAGTATTGTAGTTGATTAAGACGCGTATAAATATTCCATTGCATCGTGTCGTAATAGGCAAATTCGGATGATTGACTCGGCTTGAGCTATGATCCTAGTACACAAAAGTGTAGACAAGTGTAGTGATGCATTATAAAAATGTAGTAAAGAGTAACGTTATGTGAGTCTTAAAAGCTTTCTCACTATAGATGTAATTTTCATGGCCATTTTCATATTTTTATAATCTTGGCTCAAGCAACCGAGCTACAATGTCGGTAATGCTAAATCGGTAATGCTAAAAAGTTGTATCGCGAATTCGTGCACACCCTGTATACACTTGAATTAGAGAAGAGTTGACGCCTAGGCGGCAATTACGTCGCTTTTCTTTAGGAGTGAAAACGCCGAAAGTTTCATGCTGCCTTTGTTCAAAAAGTCACATGATTGCTAAAGTCATTAAGGTTGCGTGAAATTTTTCGCATTTTCATTCTTAGGGGAGGAAAGTTACACGATCGCTACCCTGAAACGGCCGAGCAAAATCGACGTTATGTCAATAACATGTGCTTAATCATGTTGATCTTGTGAAATATCTATACGTAGAACGTAGAGAACAGTCATCAAACACGCATTACGTTCTTGTTGTTACGTCATATACGTCGAGTTTTGCAAGGTGATCAAGTGTTTACGCGCGCAAAGAGCGATCCATAGCTGGAATTGATGTAACTATACGATAATCATTGAAGTGATTTTAAGAAATTGTAATATATTTCGCCTTGATGTGTTTTATCATTGTTAATCTATCTTGAGATTTTTTCTTTTTTTTTCGAAAATACCAATGTATTTCATCTTGTAAGGTATTTTTTTTGTCGTCAGTCTGATGTTTCTTTCGCTATGAATCTTGGCGAAGCTGACGCTATGTCGCATCGCCGTGATATTATGTATATATGTACTTTCCACAGGAACGGTATACTCAGATTTATTATAAATATTGCAAGATATTTTTAATCGCAGAATGATTTATACCTGTGGTGCGACGTTGGAAATAGATATTGGGATACAGTTTTTGCAATACCGTCTCTCACATACGATAAACGTAAAATCGTAAACGTTATTCACTCAGAAATAACGTCGCCATGTATGCGACCAATAGCATTCACGAGCAATGTTTACTGTATCTGAGAAACAATATTGCAAAAACTCACTAATTACATGTTCTTCGTCACTTTTCCACGTGTGAGAGAGATGATGGTAACATGCGTCGAGATTTCTACGAGAATATTTGGTACCAGTGAACGTATTTGTATTGTATATGCAAAATTCGGAAATCTTCTTAGTTTCGAATAAGAAAATATAGCTTATACTTCTAAACGATATAATCAAAATCAAAGACGCGAAAGTGTAATCGCATGAGCTTGTGCTATGTTAAACGCTTCGACTGTAACGTAAAACGGAAAAAGATCAGAATTGTATTTGACGAGCAGCTAAAAAAATGTAGAGTATTATGAGTGTATTATCTGCTTTGTAAGATTTTAATTATTCGCCAAGCTTGATGTCGATTATTTCCCTCCGCGGAATGAACGTACGTTAGTCATCCGATGAGCGAATGAGAGAGAGAGAGAGAGAGAGAGAGAGAGAGAGAGAGAGAGAGAGAGAGAGAGAGAGAGAGAGAGAGAGAGAGAGAGAGAGAACGATTTGTTGGCTTGAACGATGAAACGGGGAAAGATGAACTAATTCGCGCACGTGCATGTGCAATGTGTTCTTGTGGGATATTCTAAAGGCAGCCGGCGACACGCATACATCACGCAGAATGTATTATTTACTTGTAATCGTGATTACGAGTCTACTATACATTTTTATATATGTAAGAAAGTGGTAGAGGCGCGCGCGCGTAACGACGAACGGAATAACAAAGTGTAAGACACGCTACATTCTTGTTATTGCATTTAAATAAATTGTACAAATAACAGAGCTTATACTCTAAGAGAGCTATAGACACGTACCATGTTTTTATAAACCGTATTAGCGAGAGAATGTGTTCCTTTTCTTCATCAGGAAAGGAATTCCAATAAACGGCTATTGAGAGAGTCAAGAATTAAATATCATTTATTATTTCTTTTATTATATATATTTTCAATTAACTAATATATATATATATATATGTATATATAAACAATATTCATACCGTTTTCCCCCATATCATTGCCAGATCTTGAATTCAATGTTATTTACAAAATATCCCTTGTATTACGAACTTATATCACGCTTCCAACGAAATCGGCAATGCGCGCGTGTTTTGCGCTACTATACAAATACAAGTTTAAAGAAATTCGAGACAGCCTCGATCGCTGCCAAAGGAAAATCATTGTGCCGTTGCCGCTAATAAGTCAGATCAGGGGTTAATATCATACAACGGAGAAGAAGAAGAAGTAATAAAGCCGCCCATGACTGAGGGGCTCGGATGTGACGCGATAAGCCGCGTGACTTAACGTTTAATACATCATCCGAGGGAGGAGATAGTTGATCAATCGCGATCGGTGGTATCAACAAGCGGCCGCTCTTCTCCAAGATTACTTCTCACGCAAATATATTGCACGCGACGATACTCCTCTTCTCTCTAATTACATAAGCAACTTGTACAAAAATAGCGCTTTGTGTGCAACCACATGTAGTACATCACGCATACCCGACAACTAAATTAATTACATTAAGTAAATTAAACGGTACAACCGATGCTTCGTTCGCCTACGTTCATTCGCCAGGGTATATCGATCGTCAATCCTCCACGGGGCCAATCTTTCGCGCCTTTACAAAACACACTAACTTCGCTTCCCAGCAGAAGGATCGATAGTGGAAAGCAGCACATTCAAGTAGCGTTTTTCCATTTTTTTTCTTGTTTCTAAGCGATAAAGTGAATGTCCCAATTAGCGACGGTCATACTCCGCTGACGGCGTTGATAGTTAATAGTCAAACGTCTGTCAAACCTATACAATTATTCTTTAACTTTTTCAAATACAACGTTCAGTCATTTCTGAGAAGATATAAATAAGTTAAAATCTTACCATAAATTGGAAAATATAATACAATTTAAACCGTGAATGTTCAAGCTTTCTAAAAAAAAGTCAACTTTCTCTCTCTCTCTCTCTCTCTCTCTCTCTCTCTCTCTCTGTATACTTTTTTTAACATGTACATTATTAATTTAATTTATTCTTACGATTAGCTCGGTTACCAAGTCGGACATTCACCTTACTTAACACATTAACTGCCACTGGTGACGGTAACGTTGTAACATTGCTGTATCTTGCCAATTTATGCATGAGATGCGACCGCGATTATACGCAATACATACATAGTCAATGGGAAACCGATAAAACGAGCTCGCAAATATACGCGCAACGAATTGCATTCAATTTGAGTTGAATTGAGCGTTAAAACAAACAACGGAAATCAGCGTGGCAGTCGACGTGTTGAAAAATAAGATTTTCTCTCCCGCGCTTGTTTTCATTTTTATCTTTTTTTTTTTCTGTTTTCGAATACACGCTTTCGGACTAGCAATAAGCCGCGATACAGAACAACGTGTGTGACACATGGTAACGTTTTCGAGATCACGGATTTTAAATCGAGAAACAAACATCATACATGTGTCGTCGAGACGCGCGACATCGTCGAATCGGATAACGTAACGAAGAGCCATGGAACTGCGTTCAGCACCGCCGAGAGGACATGATAAACATTGGCACATTAAACTCTATGTTACTTTATTTTGCATTTTATTCTAATCATTCCTTGCTCGGCCGACATGCGAGAGCAGCGGTTATTATATCTTCATTATTACACGGTATAGAATTTCTTCTTTTTTTCTTCTGTGCTTTATAACTTCTCTGCGGTAAGACAGTGACAAAATAGTCTCCGGCGGAGGATGATCATTGAACTCCGTGTGTCTTGTTCTTTTTTGTCTTCTAGCGTACAATACAGAAGCCTCGCACAATAAGAAAAATTACAGATAGGAAAATACAGCGCGCGCGCACCGTGTGTTATTAATATCATCAATGTTTATAAGAACGGTGTTCTCCATTCTCTTTCTAGATAATGATCGAAATGTCCTTGTAATTAATGATATACACAGATGCCTCAAAGGATCTAGCGGTCGAGAAGAACCACGAGAGACACCTTTGACACACCAGCCTGTACATTACACGCTACCGTCCATTTTCTCCTTTTTCTTCTCTCTCACTTTATGCACACAACAGTCAGACTGGCCCTTACATCTCTCTCTCTCTCTCTCTCTCTCTCTCTCTCTCTCTCTCTCTCTCTCTCTCTCTCTCTCTCTCTCTCTCTCTCTCTCTCTCTCCCTCCGTTTTTTTCTTTTTATAAATGAGATTGCACTACAATAATATTCGTCCTCGTCGCTACTTAGGATCAGCTTATCTTTACATCACATTTACAGTGTTCCTGCCGATATGTTTGTTCGTACGTGGCACGGTACTTTAAATACAAGCTAAGCTCCATCTTTTAAATCTCGTTTTAGAATTTTCATCGCAGAGCCATCACAATGCGCGTTTTATCGTAATATAGCGTAAAACGAATATCTTTTTTTCCTTTCTAACGAATCTTTCTTATTAGATGACATGATGTTGGTTGCACTGTGAAGAGAGAAAAAACCTCGGGGTTTATGTCGAAGGAACGTATTTAGTTAAAAATTGTACGATTTAAAATGATATTCCATACTCTCTCAATCCGCTGTGTACTTTATACATAATATCACTATATTATTTACAATTAAATTATTCGTGAATGTAAACAGCAAAGTCCTCTCTCGTGCAAAGAAACGGATTTCGTTACGTTATGTGATGAACACCTGGTTATATCCTCACTAATGCCGCGTACGACAATGCGACCATCATCATGTCATCCAAGGCACTTCAGAGAATACGGTTTACACAATGAAAGACACTAATAGTCGAGTAAGCTAACGCACCACGAGATACTCAGATACGCGTACAATTAATGATAATCAATCCATAGTAACCATATTTGTTATCCGCCTGATGCGCGTTATCGTGATACACAAGATGAAGCTGTGTCCTCTACAGCCGTGAAATATTACAGTTACCGATATTTTACAATTACCGAATTCAGGGGTGCAATCGAGAACACGAACGAATTCAACGCGTCGAGAAGAAAAAGGCGAAGAAGTTCAAGTGAAAATAAATTTTCCTTCGTGGCATTCTAAACATGACATTTCTCGCGCTTTTTTTTCCGTTTACAAAGCGAACTTACTTAGTTTCAAGGTGAACGCTAAGATTTCCCGAATGGCTCATTGAACGAGATTCACTATATAGAGTTGATGTTCTCCAACGCATCCCCAAAAGTAAACGCATCGGTACTCGGTATTCTTTTCTACAATATCACCTTATACAATTGAAACGAGTGCCCGCTGTACGGACGGATACCTAACACGATAATGCCAAGAGATTATTTATTATGCGTGTGTGTGTATGTGTATAATTAATTTCGAGAGAAAGAGATAATAAATACACTATGTAACAACAGGGACGCTCGCGTCGTTTCGTTCTCTTCGAGTTCGATTTTTTGCAGGAGGCAACGCGCGAGCTCCGAGTTTCTACCTTCGCTTCTAACTACGAAACACGGAGACAGCTAGTCGGCCTCTGAATTTATCGCGAATGCGTGTGATCTTCGCGAGGAGTAACTTGTGCTTCTTCGCGACGCAGCGCGATTTACATGATTTCGCTTCGACATATCCGCCAATTACAATCGATTGATTGGAATAAACAGCGTTAATAGATAGAACCACCGACAGAGTTGATTCTATGAACGATAATAAACTCAATCCATTGCCCAATGGGTCTCTCTAAAACGCTTTTATCCGTTATATTCACCACCACGATCAGTCGCGCATTCTGTGTAAACGGAGCATGCATTAAAATGTATTTTGATTGAGACATGATTTACAAGCTTTGTGTGTGTGTGTGTGTGTGTGTGTGTTTCGGGCAAGATTTAACAGTAGTAGGAAACTCTCGTCCTCAACGAGCGAATTACAGCTGTACATAACGTTTTATTTTCACGGAAAGTTTCGATTCTATTGCAATTTCCACGACGAACATTGCGAAATTATAACAATATTGTACTTTGTATTGCACTTTCGCTCGAAACTAATGGCATCGTAAACAAATAATAAAAAACCGCTAGCTAACATTTTCTTTTATCTCTCGTTGACTCGTTCGTCAAAATTTAAATACATCTGCACTACGTATCTGATAGTGTTGTATATAAACAATTGCATATTATCGGATATATATATATATATATATCCGTTTATTACGTCTTGAAATTATTCACTGTAGTCTAGATCATTTTGCACTGATAGCTTATCACACTCCTGCATCTATCTTTCTATAAAAAATAGACGAAAAAGAGATTTGAGTACAAAATAAGCTACATTGTGGCAAATATAAACTGTAACAAATAATTTTAAGACATAGTAAAATAACACGATACAACGTAGTAAATCTTTACAATTTACAGTGAAAATAATTACAACAGCTACGATAGTAACTTTTACAGAAGTTCTATAGAGCTCTTTACATCTGTATCTTAAAATCAGGCACGCAAGATAGCCTATGTGTTTTGGGTGTATATTTGTGCATTATGTACACCTTACAGCTTGTACAAATAGAACTGGTAGTGCAATATATATATGTATATATATATATATATATTTATATTTATATAAATATTAGCAGATTAATGTACATACACGTATGTAGATGTCAAGCTAGCTCAGCAAAACCTGTCCAGAATTTCACGTTAGTATAATAATATCACGGTATAATTATAATTATACATATATATATATATATGTATATATAGTAGAAGTATACAACGCGTGTACAGAATACGTAATACGTAAGATAGCGCATTGTACAAGCGTTTGCTACCTAAACATTTACATTCTAGAGACATGTCTCTATTACCAAAAACATATAGAAACATGTATTAATAAAAAAAGGAAAACAAAAGAGAAGAAAACGGAAAGAATAGAATATTTCTTTCACAAGCTATGTCTCTGTGCATTAAGTGACCTTTCGATATCGTCTGCGTTCCTTGATGGCAGGTTTTTGAGGATTGATTGAAAAATAAACTTGATTCCTATAGATAGACTTGAGATATTCTTTCTCTCTCTCTCTCTCTCTCTCTCTCTCTCTCTCTCTCTCTCTCTCTCTCTCTCTCTCTCTCTCTCTCTCTCTATCATTCCGAGATGCATAATTATGGCAAGCGAGGATTGAATTATATAGGAACCTGGACTCATAATTATCTTGTGTGTACGGTATACAGGTCTCCCTATATTGCACAGAATCGTATCAAATAGCCGCGCGCTACTTATCACACCGAATTTTACAAAATATAAAAACTCGTCGTTGTACTGTGTTCGCGTAATATATATGTATACTTCATTATAATAGCAGATTCGATCTAACGAAGTGCGCAAACATCGGCGACACGCAATCTTCATAAGTCTTATCTAGAAACGCATTCGTCTCTTGTACCATCAGATCGACATTGAACGTATCCGCAAAACGTCAGCTACGAGTTTGGACCTAGTCTTTACTTATGCGTGTGTAACACAGGTAACGTTGTACAATTATAAGAACAAAGCCTGCGAACGTAACTATCGTACGTTAGAAGAAAGTACGAAAGTCGAGTTATTACTGCGCGGGCCTGTCAAAGCAAATCGTTCACGTGGTTTATGCGACTGGATGATGACCACGTGCTTGCGTACGTTCATGCGTATGTGTGTGTGTGTGTTAGTATGTCATAAGTTTCAAGATAGTTTGAATGCTTCTCCTTAAATGCAATTCCGAACGCAATAATATCCAGTGAAATAGCTGAACTTGTGTCGTTTGAGAATTTTTAACGTTTAAAGAAAGAAACGTTTAACGTTTCCAAGAAAGGAGATTCTTAAGAGATTCTTCGACTCGTATCTTTGTGTGTATTTAAAGTTTTACAGCAGAAACTGTGCAAACTCTGCTTCTACAGATATGATTATTGAGTATCTAATCCATGATTACCTCGAGATTGATTTTTAATAAACTTTTAATAAATCAATCTAGACGTTTAAGGGAAAATTTTAGACATATCTGTGTCACATTCAGAAACAAGTTTTTCATCATCATGTTTTTCCCATTGTTGGTTGCGTTACAAATTGCATTGAGGAAATAAAATGTTCGAACCGTTTTGGAGCTGTATATTGTGAAAACTATATATCGTGTTTCGTTTATGTTGTGTTGGTGATGGGTGCACCAGCGTGAAGCGAACTGACTCTAAAATCTATATATATCTCCAATTATTCCGCTCGCAAGCAGTTAAATTCGGAGTACAACCCGCGGCGGCCGGGCCGGTTGTGCCATCGCCTTTGGCGCGAACGCGACAGTTTAGCGGAGCGACTCAGCTGTTTATATTTCTTGTATGTGGCCTTCTAAGTTGCGGCACGTCGTCCTGAAAGAGCCTTAGAGCCTTAGAAGTTAGAGCGGTGCGTGTGCAGCCCCACAGCTGTTGTTCACACATGAGTGGCGAGCGCGGTGAATTGTTGGTGAGAGCGACTGGAATGCGATTGAGATTCGAAAACATCACGCCTGTTGACACAAGCAGCGACTCGCGCGGTGCTTTCAATTGAGATCGCCCGAGGGTCCCAGCGGCGTGTGCTGATAATTGGTGTTGATCTGCGACTGCTCTCGATACTGCATCGAATTGCCGCTGGAGAACCCGGTCGATCCTGTGCCCTACTGCAATTGCTGCTGCTGCTGCTGCTGTTGCTGCTGCTGTTGCTGCAGCAGCTGCTGCTGCTGCTGGCCGCTGTTGAGCGCGAGCCGTTGCATCTGACGTATAACCGTTGCTGCATGGTACGCTTGCTGCAACCATGAGAGAAGGGGGAGACTTTCCTAGGCCTGGTAAGGAAACAGATACGATTAACAATATGCTAATTAGCCAACGATACTAACCTTCCATCTCGACTTGGCAAAATTCTTTTTAAGTTGTTCCGATACTGTACCATGGATGTTTTTATTGCTTGCTGCGTTGCCGGATATCCTGGAATTATCAATGCGATGGAATTATATTAAACTCATGCTTATGCTCGTACATCGAGAAAGTTATTATGTGAATATCGCATATGAGTATAATTAGTTCAGGTGGAGGTAAGAGTGGAGATATTTAGAGAGAAGAGTACACGAATGTGTGACAACGAATACACGTGATGCACGACTGCCTTATTACTTTGAATCGCATGAAGTTGCTTTTAACCCCTTAAGTACAGACACATAGACACATAGAGACAGATGACAAAAGCTTTCCAAGAGTACAACATATCATTTACTTACTTAGTCCACACAAATTTTATTTTATGGACAAATCAGTTCCTGTAATATTCGTGACTTCGAGCTATAGGAATACATTAAAGTTTACGTTTAAAGCTCTCGTTACCGATACCCGCGTACCGTATATGTTTATACAGAATAACTCTGTATCTTATATCGTATAAATATCACGAATGTCATTATGTGCATACGCAAAAAAAAAGTGTATTCTTTCGGTATCTTTTTGTTTCGTTTTCAGATTTTAAAAATCCTTACCAAGGATGTGCGAGAGCTTGCTTGCAGGTGTAACGCTCATCGACATTGACGCACATTAGCTTGTGAATGAAATCCTTCGCAGAATCGCTGATGTCGTCCCAGTACGGTGAGTCAAATTCAAATTCCCCTGTAACAAGTTTGGTTAACTATTTTTTATATAGTATATAATTTCGATATAAAATAATAATTTCAACTAAAACGAACTCGCTCCACACGCGTGTACTATTTGTATGAATAACTACGAAACTAAATCAAACAAGTGGCTCTGAGATTAAAAACAAAAGATATTGTTACTTAGATACATCTTGTTTATCTCTGTTCGATACTTGACAATATATTATTATTATTATTATCATACTATACTTGAGTAAAATATCAAACATGCAAGAAATGACATTTCAAGCGAATTGTATCACATTTCGGAGCAACGTGCTTTACGTAAAACGCGCAAAACGTTGCCTGGAAGTTGTTTCATTACCTTTCAAAATTTGCGCAAACAGATTGGCATCATTCTCGTCGTAAAACGGAGGATATCCGCACAAGAGGATGTACGAAATGACCCCTATACTCCAAACATCCACTGCCTTGCCGTATGGTTTTTGTGCCAAAACTTCAGGTGCTGCAAATCATCAGTTTATATCAATATTTAAAATCTTCCTCTCTCTCTCTCTCTCTCTCTCTCTCTCTCTCTCTCTCTCTCTCTCTCTCTCTCTCTCTCTCTCTCTGTAATTTTTATTTGTTTTCTAACTCACCGACATATCCCGGTGTACCACAAGCAGTCGCCATAATCCCGGAGTCTTCCATCTTTGATAGGCCGAAATCGCTGATCATGATTTTACTATCCTCATCTGGACTATAATATAGGAGATTCTCTGGCTTCAGATCTCTGTGAACGACCCCTTGGTCGTGCATATAGTCTACCGCCTCGAGCACTTGTCTTATTAAGCCGGATGCATCTTTTTCTGTGTAGGAACCTTTCTCGACGATTCTATCAAACAGTTCTCCACCAGTGACCCTATAATGTAACATATACTTTAATATTCGCCTTCTCATCCTCAATACCTCAACATCAAAGAATCGTATAAAAATAGCAGCGATACTCACAGTTCCATAACTAAGTAGACTTTATGCTTATCTTCAAACGTTTCCAGTAACTGAACAATATTTGGATGTGTTAACCTGCAACAGTATCAGATTCCTCTAATTTGGAGCTATTGCACACATCGCAAACACAAAAGAAAATTCGATAACTGAAGTAAAAAGAAAAAAAAAAGAAAGAAAAGAAAATATATTATGTATATCTTACATGAAAATATATACACTATTATATGAAAAGAATATATTATGTAAAAATATTTTCTTTGGCAAATATATTCTTTATATTCAGTTGCAGATAGTTATAAATAAACTATGCATATGTCTTATGTTATTGATTAATGCATATGTTAATTAATAATTTTAAATTGGCAAAATAATAAAATTATAACAAACTAATATATAGAGTAAACAACGTTAAACAACAATGCAGAATTAGCTCACAATCAGCTATGCAATTACATATTATACTGAGAAAACATGCTCTAGTAATCACTAGTATTCTTATCACTAGTTATATTTTATATACTTGGCATACAGATTATTAATTATATATAGACAATCACATTCACGTAGAAAAAAGAGATAACTATTTACAAGATATTGTACAGCAGCATTAAAGCAATTTCTACCAAATATGTACAAGAATCTGAGATATACATACATAATAGATCTTCCATTGACTATAGAGAGAGAGAACTTGCATTGCATAGATTATTTAAAAAAAAGAAAAAAGAAAGGAAAGGAAACTATTAGTAGCAGTATTAAGATCTGTTAGAAATCTGTTAGAGATATAAAGAAGAAATATTATTTTATACATTGCAATTATCTCATAATTGTATAACGAGCAGCAATCTCGTTAGCCTTTATGTATCACAAATTTTTTTCTCGTAAAATGAGAAAGTGAGAAAATGTTCCACTGTCTCTTGTACATATTTCAAGTTATAGTAATTTGAGAAAATGCGTTCGTTAAACGGCTAGCTTATTGAAACACATAAATCTTTTCACAATATAACTCTATAACTCATGTCTTGTTTCGATAAAGTTAATAAAACCTCAACAAAAGAAAAACAGCGTGGCGCATGAATATGTTAGCTTTTTTATAAATAACCATGAATAATATAACACGTATGAAGAATATTTACATGTTTATATAAGACGGTTTTTCTTCCTCATGAAACGCAGCATATTCGTAGTTTATAGTGACTCATTCTTGATTATCTCGTTTTTATATTTTTTATCACTGTCACATATATAGATTACATATTTATGACGACAGTATAGCGATCGTGGCAATATAATTTATGATAGAAACTATACGTTAATGAATAAAAACGTGTAGACGAGTAAATATTTTTAGAAATTTTGATTGACAACATGTTTGTCTTGAAATTGTTTACAAATATGAATCTAGTAAGTGTAAAGTCGTATCAAACTCCCGATGTAAAACATAATTCCACATATAAGACTAGAAAATATTGAAATTGTTTAAGAATAAGCGAAAATTGTTTAAGAATACCGAGTAACACGTGTCACTATATTATCATTTCGTTTTACACATTATTGATTAACACGGACAAATTTTATGTATATCATTTGTTTCTAATACTTTCTAACTAACTTTCTGGGACGCGCAAGGCAATCGCGATATTTACATAAGAATATATGACACAATTATCGTAATTAGGACTGACATTTCCGATCGATTTTATGTAATATTTTTTTTCTTTCTCAGTTTCCTATGAAGAAAACGCATTTTATATCATACACAAAATAACACAGTTTTGGATTCAAATTTAGAAGATAACAATAAATTATTCACATATTGACATATATTTTGTCTTAAATATGTTTGTTTTAAATATTTGGCTGTTGTATCAGCATACATTTTACCATGTAAATGTATGTCATGTGTGTTAATGTCCATTTAAATCATGATTAAAAAATAAAAATAAAAATACTTCATATATACGCAAGCGCGCATATGGCGCAGATGCAAATATAACAGATCCTCCCTAAATTATTTTCTCATTCTGATCACATTAATAATATCTTATCGTCTACATCATCGCGTTTTATCCTGAGTGATTCCATCAAAGTTCGATAGAAGAAGAAGACGATTACATCTCGATTCGTATCGCACAAATAGGGCTCCACTTCACAACTAGAGCAGTATTATCTAACGGCTGTCGTCGAAATTGTTATGTCTTGTCTCGTTTAAAAATACTATTTAAAGAGGTCGTCTTGATTAAGGCGTGGTTATAAGCTCGTATCATACTGGATATTCTCACTTAACGAAAGGTGGTAAGTACAAGGATACCAAAACTGTGTTCAACGCTACGTGATGTGAACGTGCATAGAAATTATCGTGTATTTATAATATAAATATATATATATATATAATATATGATCTGAATCTGTAACAATGTATGGCATCGTCGAATGATACAGAATACTGAGCGATACAGGTAGTTGGTGCCTGTGTTTAGGCCCACACTTACCATTTTCTTTCGCCACTACTATCCGACTTGAGCGATCCATCACCACTCTGTGGTGTCACACTTTCACTGAACCTACGAAGTATAATAATACCATACACAATTACGTAATATATATCGAGAGCAGAGCTGTTTGCTTACTCGCACGAAGTCAGAATTTTCTTATTTTTTCTTATTCCTTCTCTTATTGTCTGTTCCTTTTTTTACTTTTGTCTTTTATTCCCTTTCGTCATTGACACTTCCGTTTCTCCAGTGTGATGATGTAGAAAATAAATTTATATGGAATATCGATTTTTCTCCAAAAGAAGAGAGAGACTGCATTATTAGTCAAAATATGCAAACGACAAATTGATTGCAATCAAGAGATCTTCTCTTTCTACTGATAAATTACTGATAAATTAAAATTAATAATTAGAAACGTGATGCGATTATAATAATAAAAATAGCCAAAAGTAGCCATAATTCTCTCTCTCTCTCTCAAGATATATACTAATCAATATATTAAAATTCCATATACACATGCAACGTCTTTGTGAAGGAGAATAACTTAAGAACCAACAATGTGTCCTTGTGCAGTGTTAAATAAATGATATATCGATGAGATTAATATGATGTATGAGGTAAGTTTCCAATTATGAAACAGTAAACAGTATGTACGACGTATGTATACGACGTATGAACATGTGTATGTGTGATGTAGCACCTTGTACTCTCGCGGTGATGATCACTTGCAATAATAATTTAATAACACGACGAGATTCTTAAGCACCAAACAGTCGTCCTTTTACGCGAACTATTGTCAACTTTTTTATAGACGCGTCCCGGCTAAACTGATACGTGAGTCGCTGAGGAATATAGAAAATAGAACCAATGTAGAAGGAGTCCAATGCTAACAAACATTGAAAAGTACCACTTCAACACATATCCAAACATTCGTTAAAGAGAAAAATACTGTAGATAACATATATATATTCCAAGTACAACACGATGGAAGGATTGCAAGAGGAATATTTGAACATGTGTTATATTCAAAGTATGTTCGATAGCATCGAGACAATATGTAGCTTGTACGAGGCACATTATCTGCATACAACATTAAAGATAACAAGAGCACAGACGACAGCCATCAGAGCTCACTCCAAATGCCATATCAACGCTTCCGGAACGAGAAGACTTTCGACAGTGGGTATATGTTGAGCAAAACTAGCACACCATGTATATATATATATATATATATATATATATATATATATATATATATATATATATATATATATATATATATATATAGTCACATAATATTACTGTGTAAATGAGAAAAAGCACAGCGATCGTGGAGATCGTAGATTATTAATATGACGGGACGGGCTCTCCCCAAAAATAATCGATATGATTGAAAACAGATGCCGAGTAACTTATGATCCGTCGGAAAAAACGACGCGATGGGAGGAATTCTGAAAAGCAGAGAAACCAATGGTCCGCAATACCTTTTTTAGTCTTGTGCTTGCACGCAATACTAAATGGTAAATGAATTTGTCTGATGTATATACGCAGAACGCTATGTAATAAGGAAGGAGGAATACAAAGTACTCCATGAGCGATATGATTCTTATACATGAAGCGTTTGTTAAAGAGAGGCATGCGTTCAACTATGTCAAAGTTGATCCCAGCGATAATAGAACTGGTACTTCAATCTCAGCCAATTATCAACTTTCCGAATGCCTAAATTATAATATTAAGGGGCCAACTATGTGAAATCAAGATTACAGTATATATACTGGTAAAAAGTTCGTCTACTGAAAAGATATCCAGCTCTCAGCGGCTCGCTTTCGCGCCCTACCTTCGGAGAACTTTGATTTCGTTCTCTAACGAATCCTCTTTGCCCTTTAGCGCCTTCTTGTCGATGATCTTCACAGCAAACATCTGGCCGGGTTTCTCCTTGCTTTCCGCTAGCCTCACCTCGGAGAATGCCCCCCTGAACAAAGAAAGATGCGATATTAGGCGATAATTTTAGTTTTATTCGGCAAATCAATTTGCACGAGCAAATTTGCTTCTCTAATTAGCGACTGTGTATTATTTCTCGAGTGAGGATAATCACTCATGGAATTGCAAACTGATGTTCCTTCCTTATCAGCGAATCGACACTGCAAACTGTTCACAAGCCAGACCCCAGGCACAATAATACACCGCAAGTAATTAGCTCTGACACTATTGTCGCGTGACACTATTGTCATGCGTTCAAACATTGCGACAGATGTATCTTGAAACATTGCAGGACACGCCATAAGAGACGCGTATCGCATGCGCGTGACAGAAAGTCCTTTCATACGTGACTCCTGAGCTGTATTTTACGAATAATCAATCGAGGACAGTTAATGATAATCAGCCGTGTATAGCAGCAAAAAAAGATATCATTCTAATATCACAAAAAATTTCTCAGTTTATTTCTTTTCCTGTAAATAATGCTTACCTTTAACGAAGAATATTTTCCTGACAATATTCTGAATTTATTCTCTTTCATGTTACAAAACTCATACTCTGTACGAAGAAGTAAACTGAATTGTTGTTAATTCGATATTCTTCATTAAAATGAACTAAACATTACTAAGATTCAAAGTATATTTTGAATAAATATGATGGACTAACGTATAGCAGATTTACAGATGTATAAACTTATGGAACATTTGAAACAAGTGACATTGACTTGAATGTGACACGCATAAATTTTGAAGAAGCGCGTAAAAGTGAAATACAATTTACAATTCAAAATTATCGTTGTGTAATCTGGGGACTCGGTAAATATCGAAATGGGATGTCTAGTAAAACCCAGCACTCGACACGAGGCTGGATTTTCCCCTGGTGCTACTAAATCATCGAGGAGATACAATGGAACAGTAATAATCCACGTATCGCAAGCGCCGGTTATAGGACGGTTCGTTCGTTTTCTCACCACCACCACTACAACTCCGTGTGTAACCGTGAATAAACGAAATTAAGGAAAGATCATCCGTTTCAGACGGATAAATAGGACTTTCTCTTTCGCAGGATGTTACAAAACATTATTATATAAGCCGACTTCGCGGACCAATGAAGTATTCAACCGTTCTGGGCGATGCTCTCGCTACTTAGTAATTTCCGACTGGGCAGGAAATGTTTGGCTTTCCAGACGGATTAATTCGCTCAACTGAGAGAGAGAGAGAGACAGAGAGAGAGAGAGAGAGAGAGAGAGAGAGAGAGAGAGAACTTACGCGCTACTTGAGATAAGATCGCACGCCCAGGAATTCAAAATATCTTTTAAAAAGAATAAACGCGGCTGTAGCACACACACACACACACATATGTGTGTATGTGCGTGTAGAACGACAAAGAACGAAGCTTTGTGCGGCGAGCGTCGATCGAGGTTTTCTAAATTGATTCTAATCTCAGTCGATACTCTCTCGCTAAGTTGAGTTTGAAAAATAACACGACGGGATAAAATTGAACCACGCGCGCTGAACGCGTTATTTTCCAGCTTTGAGCACGGCGAGAGAATCGGATATCGATAAACCATAGGGCCTCAGAAGTGTCCGATACGCACGAGAAAATACAAACGTTTTGACGTCGGGTAATTTCAGAATCTCATAAATCCGATGTCGCTCGCGCGCGCCATGACACGAATGGCGTCGGGACGAGAATTTCCGATTTAAGGGAACGTTTTAAAAGCGATCCGAAAGTGTCGTTAGAGGAGGACACGTGTGTATGCACCGTTGCGTCTTAGCGCGATGCATACCGAGTGAGAGACCGAGAAGAATGCGAGAAGAAAGAAACACGGGCGCGATATAGTTTCACTTCAATATTTCCTCGAGCTCGCTCGCTCGAGATATAGATCCGAAAAGTGTGAAAATTCGCGAGCGATTCCAACACGAAGGAAAGTTATGTCGCGAGCGCGCGCGCGCGAACGAGCGAAAATTAAATCGCGGACACTTCCATTTATGCAATCCATTTAGCACTCGGCGCCTCGTCATTTATACGTAAACGAAAGAAACTGGGAGCTCAGCGTCGAAGGTCGCGAGGGACGTGTGTATCTACAGGGTGTCCGAAAGCCACCGAATGATCGGTTCGATGGTAGATGGTAGTTTTACGAATCGAGCGACTTCCGTCAAATTTCCCGATTAACTGGCAATTAACTCTCCGTCAAAGACAGAGTTACCACCGTGGAAAACAAGAGAGTTCGCTGTTGAGGAAATTCTCTTGCGTCTCCCCTTTATAATTTACATTTTCTCTCCGTGTGTCGCTTGTATTTAATATTACACTTGCTATCGCGAACGAGTTTGATCATTTTTGTTAATTCATTGTATCATCGATTAATTTAGTCGGAATTTGATGAAGTCAGCCTCTCAATCAGAAATCAATATTTATCCGTACCGAATATCTCGAAGAAAGCTAAGAAATTGTTTCTAGGAATTTTCAGTGTTACACACACATATCCCGATAAACTGAGATGAAAATTTTGCAGAAATAAATCTTATATAAAAAATTCTTCACAAGGGAGGTGTAATTTTATTAGCCGTTTGTCTACTTCAAATTGTGATTTGTAAGAAGCAACTGCCCAATCTGACTGTTTTAAAACAAAATCGATTAATACCGTGGGGTTTTCATTTCAGCGAAAGTCGATTCCGTATTGTCGAAAGAGCTTGCGGCTAAAAGGACATCCGGTGGTTTGTAACAACCTATCTATATATGTCACACGAGCTCGATGTAAAATTCGACAGATTTAGCGCGAATGGGAGATTATCCCGGAAGATTGCGCGAGATTCATGGTCGTACACACATACACACACACACACATATATATATATGATATATATATATCGCGTTCGTGCAGTTGAAAGGAATAACCGATATACGGCGAGAAATACGTATATGTGTAAAAAAAGAATATCGCATCATTTCGCGTGTGTCTCAATTGATGTTTACTAATTTACCGAACACGCTCGTGAAATCGCGCAGATTTCGAAAAACAGGCCGCAAACAGGAAATTATCTCCCCTCTCGCGAGATTCATTTTTGCATCGACACGGGAGATAATCCGCCGATTAAGTCATCCGCTTTTAAAATATAACGTCGCACGGAGATTTTAATGTTAATATGTCTGCCGTGCCTCTGGTCGCTGTTATGTAACTTTACGATAAACATTCCGTTACGGATCAGAGTGTGAGATATACGTGTTACGCGTGGCAGCGAAAGTTTTGCGGATTGAGATATCGCGTACGTGTGTATAATTCCGAAGGAAAGACAGATATATCGCGTATATCTTCATTTCTTCGGAGATTGTCGACGCGCATCAGCGTCAACAGTCTCCGACATAGCGATGCATCTCGGAGGATGCGTTTTATGCGTAATTTTCTAAAATGTCATCTCATACGAATCGCCGTACGAGCGGGTACAATGAGTATACCGATGAAATGAATGAATGAAAATGAAAGTGCGGAATAACGATTATACACATTATATAATCGAAGAGACAAGATAGGATAGGGTAGGAGCTCTTAGGAGCACGGAAATGTAGAGACGCGAATGAGCAGAGAATACAGCTATCGTTATCTTTATCGGAAATGCAAATGTATAAAAACTGCGGCAATTTTTCATACATATCGTTCGCCGTTTTACAAGAACGCCTTCGACATAAATAGATTCTCCCAACGACGTACTTTTTTTTTTCTTCTTCCTCCTGCTCCCTTTCTCTCTCCCTCCTGCTTCGGAAGATCATAGAGAGTGATCCTGATCCGTCGTAACTTTTTAGCGCTCGGTGATAAATATAAGCTGCGATCAGGTCGGAAATTGCAAGCCGCGCTTGGCTCCACTTGAAATTAATCGACGAAAGAGTCGCGTTATCTATTTACAGCCCTCTCGTAACATTCAACCCGCTAAACTCGCTCGATTATCGACGGGCACTCGAAGCCGGGATAAATTACGGATGGTCGATTGAATTTCCGCCGAAGGAGCCGAAGGGAGAGAAAGGGGGAGATAGAGAGACTGCAAGACATGCGGGTGGAGAGGATCCAGGTGAACGACGATGACAACAAGTGCACGGAGCACAACAAGTGTTCGCGTTGACTTCGCGCCCCGCGGAGGTCCTGACGACGCGCTCTCGACCGTATGTCGAGGAAGAGCAAGGATCTATTATGTACACTTACGTGCCCAACAGGTCCTTCAGGATGTACTTGTCCTCGACGGAGGGCGACCGGTCATCCTTGCCGTCCTTCTTGATCTTCTTGTTCGAATCCTTCTTCCCAAACAGCGGCATCTTGTCCCACGATGATCTCTCCTCGGAATGTTCTAACTTGCGTATATGCAACGCGTATGGTGTATGTGTGTGTGTGTGTGTGTATACGACACACACACAAAAGATCTACCAACCACGCACTAGTGCTCCGCGTCTGCCAGCACTCGCTGCGGAGACGCCGCGAACGGATCGGGGCGGCACAGGATGATGGTTACGCGCGAGTCCACCAAGAGAGAGAGAGAGAGCTCCTCTCTCCGCTTCAGTCTTCTCCGATGTGCGTATGTGTAGACGCGATCTGCGACAAGCGATGAAGATGACAATGAATGAGAGAGAAAGATTTAACACTCGCCGCCGCTGATCTCCGCGGCGTTCCGGGAAGATACCGCCGCCTTCGTCGTACCAGACGCACCGTCAGATCGTCATTCCGCGACGGGACGATCATGAACCCACGACCTTTCGGATCGCGATAGCCCGCTCTCTCTTTCTCTTTCTCTCCCTCCCTCTTTCTCTGACAGCCGCGTGCGCTCTTACTGCCTGCCAGCTGGCTGTCGCACTTCCGCGACCGTCCTCTCTCTCCCTGTGTCGGCTGTTTCACGACCTCATCGACGACGACGACGACGATGACGACGACCTTACGACATGCGGCGTTTCTGCTCCACCACCGACTCTCTCGTGTCCTCGCGCTTGCTGCTTCGTCGCTTCACGCCGAGCGTCCACTAGCTGATGGAAACTCGGGGATTCTGCTGTTTTGTCGTCCTCTCGCCAGCGTTCACCACTACTCCTCGTTCGCACGCGCGCGGAGTTCCTCCACGCGTCTCTCGCTCCGCGCTATCGGGCTCAGGGTCGCGGCCTCGCGCCCTCGCGCTGCTTTGCTCGGCCTGGCTTTCGCGGAGCGCCAGATAGCTCCCTCCGCGCGTTGTTCTCGGCCTCCTGCTCGCGCTCGTAGCTCGCGCTGGAGTAGAGAATGACGCACGTACAAACCGCCGCTTTAGCGCGTCGTCGCGTCGTTGCTGCTCCTCGTCGCTCGCGATAAACGTTCACGCCCGGGTCCGCTGCAGGTCATATCAGCGTACCGACTGCCGCTCGTTCTCCCGCGCGAATGTCTCCGTAGTGCTCCTCCCCGTCGCACTGCACTCCAAGCACTGCGGCGATGACGATATATATATATATGCGGGCTGCGCATCCTCGAGAGAGACGCTGTGCGGCTATGCGGGATTCACACGCGTTTGTTACAAATGGCTACGGAATAGCCAAGGCTTAGTTCATATGCTTACCTAGTATAACTTTTGTATGGTTGACCGTTAAAAGAGGTTTTATATATATTAAAATAGAAACGTAGAATGTAAAAACGCGAGAGAAAAACATGGACGAAAACGTTCTTCCAAGTACTAAGTTGTTTCACGTTGTTAAGAAGATCACCTAACATAGGAACCAAGCACTATGTTATCCGCAACAGAAGCTTTTCTGCGCATGCATGAAGGGATGAAGAGCTCGATGTAAGCGATCAGTGATTGGCGATCAGTATTAGGATGCTTACGATAACCTGGTTAGAGTTTAGTTTCCTAGGAATAAAATATACGTATAGGTACAACCATCTACTACCATCATACTTCATGACAACTCAATGCTGTCTTATCGCTATTGAATTGAGTTAAGAAAGTCGGTAGTTGATAGTAAGACGAAAAATAGGATAGAAGGTAATAATCTGCAAAATTGTATTAATTATGATAAAAAATAAATTTTAACGGTGCGTAGTAATTTTACATAATTATAACTTTTAATAAAGGTAATACTAATAATGATTAATTAAAATTTATTGTGGTCGTGACATAATGGTCGAGCTAACCATAGTGAGAATAATCAATTGTGATTGGTCAATTTTTTACGGCTTAAAACTTATTACATCCATTGTAGATCCATGCCCAATTTCTTCACCTCTAGATAAACTGTCGATAATTTTATCTATGAGATATTTCCCAGAATCGGTTTTCTTCATTTGTTAAGAATACGGACTTCGAACGGACAAATAACAATGGACAGACGGCTTAGAATTTTCCCCGTCAAGGTCCATAAATAGAGGAACGGAACAAAGTTAGGTTCTCTCATCCAGTTCACAGTTTGGTTCGAAAATAGCGGCGACCGTAGCTCAGCTGATTAATTATATACTGTCATGTCAAAAATTATTTTCGTTTTTTGCAATATTTTGTACTATAGCCGGCATTGTATATGTTTTTCTTCTGGAAATTCTCACTGGTATTTTGGAATGTGTTTAAAACTATGTTTTGATTACTTCTGATTACATCTTAAACTATGTTTTGATTACCTATTCACTCACACAACTAAACTATAATACTACACGTACGTAGTATCATGTATCTAACACAGATTCTCTGACTCGAAAATGACGGCCGTGAGAGGACCTTACCTTGTCCCGTTCCTCTATTTACGGACCTTGACAGGATCTATATAGAAAATTCCAGGACGTCTGTCCATTGTTATTTGTCCGTTCGAAGTCCGTATTCTTGAAAAATGTCGTATGCGATTTCATAAATGTTACTAGATATCACGATTCTCAGTTAATTAAATTGACCTGATGAAATATCGTATACGATATTTTTCATAAATTTTCGAAGATAAAAGCCCAACTCGACATTACAAAATTACAAAATAAAATACATTATTTATTGGTACTCATGAACAGAGTTCTGTTTCTTTCACCTTATTTTCACTTTCACTTCACCTTCACAGAAACTTTCCTTTTTTCCCTATAATCCTTTATATTTTCTCATTGTTTCATTCCTCCGCCAGTACCCCGGCAAAAGAAAGAAACCTCATAAATCTCAATCCCTTAACACATTCTCATGTGTCCGACATAGTAGCGACGAGAAAGTTAGGCTCTTAAATATCTTTTTTTTTAGCTGCGCTATTGTGCTGTACTGAAGCTTTGTTCCTTTTCTCTTCAACGCAAATGCATATACTTATTTTTTTTCTAACAACAAAAGATGCTTTCTAAAAGCACAAACCTCGAGTATGCAATAAGGGCTGCGTTCCGATATTAACTTTCAACATTGAAAATCTATAGTATACGTGACATAAACTATGTATTTTCAGTATTGGCAGTGCATATCGGAATGCAATCCTAATAGTGATTGGAGAAAATGAAATAGAAAAAAAATGGTAGAAATTTATCAATGAGAATAAAACCAGCAGCACACGGTGCTTGTTTTCGTGCTGGATTGCTTGCTGGATGAAAATATTGCGTTGTGATTGGTACATTTCCGAAGATGGATGGAAATGCACCAATCAGAACGTAGTATTTTCATCCAGCAAGCAATCCAGCACGAAAACAAGCACCGTGTGCCGCTGGCTTTAATTCTGTGGGAAGACAATCAATTACTTCAGATGATTTATTTTCCTAAAGCTAATATTACATTTGTCGTACGATAATCTTTTCGAATACGTTGATTGGTCGATTTGGTAACAAATAGAATATTTCTAGGATTGCTTCGCGTACACCAATCAATGTATCCGAGAAGCTTGTCGTACGACACATGTAAAGCCAGCAGCACACGGTGCTTGTTTTCGAGCTGGATTGCTTGCTGGATGAAAATATTGCATTCTGATTGGTGCATTTCCATCCATCTTCGAAAATATACCAATCAGAACGCAGTATTTTCACCTAGCAAGCAATCCAGCACGAAAACAAGCACCGTGTGCCGCTGGCTTAATAATAGGCTAAAGAAACAAAATACCCGCGAAACGTTGGGTGAAAAATAAGAAATATTTGTTACGATTTCGATATATTTTTTGCAGACAAATTCGTTGCAAACAAAAATGGCATATAGTGACAAGCATAAGATAATTTTACAAACTATTCTGCATGAAGGTGCTTTAAATGAAGATCGAGGGAAACTATTGATTAATGACTTATTTGGTAAGTAAGTTTGATACAGCTAATAATAGAATAAATATAGTTTAGAATAACATGAGAAAATTTTAGAACATAACAATGTAGCGCTTGTGATAAATGCTATAAATGCAAAATTACAACATTTAAACATGGCTATAAAATACATAAATTGTGAAATTGATGGTAAAACATATTGGATACTGACAAACACAGTGCAAGATGCAATTAAAGGGTAATTTAAATGTTATTAACCAAGATGGACATATTTTATAGTTATTAAATATTTTGTTTAATATTTCAGATTGTATATTGGATGTTCAAAAGCTGAATTAGATCTCTTGCGTAATATATATTCTACAATTGCTAGTTCAAGCGAAGGTTATGTGTCAAGTACATGGTGCCTCAATCTATGTTCATCATTAAAAGTAAAATTATCTAAAGATAATGCTCAATTATTTCTAAATGATATGGTCGAAAAGAAATGGTTGTCTTGGAAGGTATATTTTTTCTATATAATTTTAATTTAATGGTATATATTTTCTCAAGAACATAATTTTCCTTATAACCATATAATTCCTAGAATGGTCGATATTACATAGGAGTAAGAAGTATTGCAGAATTATTGCAGTATTTTAAAGATACACATGAGGATAATCTTCGTACTTGTACTTTATGCAAGCAGATCCTTTTTTATGTAAGATGACTTATAGACAATACAATATACATGTCATTGTATATTAATAATTTGATTATAATTGTTTTAATAATTTACATAGGGTAAGAAATGCAAAAGATGTGATGCTATAACACATACTTATTGTTTAAATACCTATAAAGAGAATGAAACCAATTTAGGATGTCCTAATTGTCATAATACTTCAGCAGTTAATTGTTCAGGTAATTTTTATGAATAAATTTTTATATTTAGCTAATAGCATAATTCCGCAACATTTAATATATAGTATAATGAACCATTTTAAGTATACCTGTTAAAATCCTATATTTTTCTAAGAAAATATATCATTTAGATAATAGTTCTACATCGGATATGGAAACAGAACCTTATAAATAAAACACAAATATGAAAGAAGAGATTAATAAGAAAACATTAGTATTAGACAATTGCATATGTTACAAAATCTTTTTTATTTTTTTAGTATAAGTTAGAGATTTTTGATATAATAATATAATTCAAAGATAGATATGTGCACTCTATTCTTTATACAAAAATTATGTACAGCTCTTAAATGATACTAAATAAAATGATATTATTTACTGTGACTTTCTTCAAACTTTTCTCTTAAATATTTGAGACCAGCCATTATGTTATCCTCATTTATACTGCGTGATGTTTCTTGCTTGCTGATAGGAATAGTGTTATCATTGGATTCTGTAGTAGTATTTTCACCAGGTAGAGGAATATCTTTGGCATCTAGTAGTTCATATTCCATAGTTACATGTGCCTTAGCATAGTCATACGTAATCTGCGAATATTTGCTAGATAAATAGGATAATGGGTACGAAATGGTTGTTTGTCCTTGAGATTGCAATGGATTAAGTAAATTTGTAGCAGAATTCGATGTTGATTCCATTACATTACTAGATACTTCATGTTTTGTGTTATCCTTGTTGTTTGTAATATTATCCTGTACTAGACTATTCTTACTATTATCAGTTTTTCTTGCAACTGAAACTGTTTCATTGATAACAATAGAATCGTTATTAGCTTCATGTTTTTCTAAATTAGTTCTAATTAGTTCTAAATCAGTATTGTCTTTAGTATTATACTTAGTCTCCTGGGAATCATTTTCTGTGTTGTCAAATGTTTTATTATCTTTGTGAATAGACTGTTCATCAATATCTTGACTACTATTGTAAAACCCAGCACTTTTGAAATTATTATACACTGGTGCAAATTCCTCGATTCTCTGTGTTCTACATTTATGTATCCATTCTTCTTGTGACATAACATGCCAATGATTCTTCTTGCCCAAAAGCTCTCCAAAGGCCTTTATCTTATCCTCATCACTTATTATTTTTTCACTAGCAGTGTTATCTTCTGTAATAGACTTATGAGTTTTTCCATTAGATTTTTCTTTAATTTTCTCAGCAGATTCATCATCAACTTCTTTGGTATCAATATTATCTGGTTTTGTAGTGGAGTTGCTTTCTTGAGGTCCTAACTCCTCCTCTGTAGGTTCTGCTGGCAAACCTGCTCTGATACGCTGTCTAATTCTTGCTGCTTTTAATCTATTCTGCTCCATCCTCTCTTTCAATTCCCTAATTTCTTTCATTTCCTTCTGCTTTTTTTCTGTCTCCTTTCTCAAAGTAGCCAGATTCTTCTGCTGCTTTATCCTCTCCTCTTCATCTTGTGAGAAAGCATAGTAACCGACACCATGGGTTCGTGCTTCATCAAAGAGTACATCTTGATAATGTATGTCAACTTTGTCTGCAAGCTTTTGTGTCTGTTCTCCCCATTTTCGCCTCATAATTTCAATCTCAGGCTCCTTTTCTTCGATAGTAGAGTATTGTTCTTTTTCTTCTTCTTTATCATCAGCATTCTTCTTCATTATTTCCTGCTTTATTATATCATCTTTCCTCTGCATATGTGAAAGATCCTCTCGCAAACATTTCCTAGTACGACCAAAACAATCCTGGTACTCTACCCAATTTTCCTCGGGTTCTATAGGATATTCTTTGTTAATTGTCTCATCCACAAAGTCATCAGATTCATCCATCTTATTCTTAAAATCAACAAGGAATTTATCATTATTATTCTTTGATTTCTTCAACCTTTCATACAATCTTGCTTTGGCTTCTAACATCAATCTTGATTTCTTATGGGATACAATATCCTCTGGATCTATTGTCTCTTTTGTATTTTTTTCTGTATCCCCTGCAACAGTTTTTCTGTTCCTTTTTTTATTAAGCTGTGATGATGTACTAATGGGCTCGGTTTTCAACTTAGCCTCGTTTACTTCAGTTTGTTTTCTTAATAACTCTGCTTTCAAACCCACCAAAGATGAGAAATTTACATTTATTTTCTTTGTCATGTTCATGTTTGGATTATTATCAATCTTGAGTATCACACTATAGCAGAATATTAATAGGAATTTTTCTTGGAGATCTTAAAGATGTTTTTTTTGATGTTGTCTACAACACAAAAATTTATTCTATATATATAATTGTTAATTATAAAATTATAACATTCTATATGCAAATTAAAAAGCACCTCTTAATAAAATGTATTATTCTTCTGAATATATAATTTTTCAGAATGACACAAACGCACAATCTTAAGGATTTACAAGAGCAAATCCCACGTTGATCTTAGTAGTCTCATGTGTCAAAAATACAAAACGACACTTCCATGCATAGGTTACATCCAGAACTATGAGTGCTCACTGAGAGCTCAGTCAGCGCTCAGTGAGTACCCTAGATAAATTTACTAGATGCAAACGTTCCCTAAAGCCAGCGCACACGGTGCTTGTTTTCGTGCTGGATTGCTTGCTGGATGAAAATGCTGCGTTCTGATTGGTACATTTCCGAAGATGGATGGAAATGCACCAATCAGAACGCAGTATTTTCATCCAGAAAGCAATCCAGCACGAAAACAAGCACCGTGTGCCGCTGGTTTAACTTAAGCCAGCGGCACACCATGCTTGTTTTTGTGCTGGATTGCTTGCTGGATGAAAATACTGCATTCTGATTGGTGCATTTTCATCCATCCTCGGAAATGTACCAATCAAAACGCAGTATTTTCATCCAGCAAGCAATCCAGCACGAAAACAAGCACCGTGTGCCGCCGGCTTTACAGTGAGCGTTCGCCATTCAAGAAAGTAGTTTTCTATCGCTGACTTCGATCACTGTATATGTTGATATTTTTTACTGTTGAATATAATCCCAAAAATAAGTATTATAAGTTTCCTATTGCTATTAATTGTTATCTTTTATATCGAAAATAAAATTATTTTGTATTGCAACAAGCAAGAAAGTGTCATAGGAAGTGGATAAACGCTATTAATAGGGATTTTTGTAATACCGTATCTAAGACTGCATTCCGGTATTCACTACCAGCACTGAAAATATACAGTTTGTGTCACGTACACTATAGATTTTCAGTGCTGGCAGTAAATATCGGAACGAAGCCTATGGCTGAGTTCAGTAGAACAAAATGATCAGTGAGCGCTTAGTGATTATTGTCTGTGATTGGAGCATTCTTTTAGATTCTTCATAGACCCAGAAGTATTTACCAATCAGGAGCGAGAATCACTAAGCACTCATCACTTTATTCTGCTGAACGCAGTCTATGAGACGGTATTTGAAAAATCCCTATTATGTGGAGGTGTAAAATATAACATCAAACCTACAAAATATCTTATGTGTGTGACATCTGTTTATATTATTCTTTATTTTTACATCGAACTCTTTTAGTATTTGTACAATAGTATTTGAACAATTTATTTCTTATATAACCACTAATAAAGTGATTTAATATATGATTCAATGGAAAGATGCAACAAAGTAACAGGTTGTATACTTAAATCGCATATTACAAATTGTTCAGCGATCCAATGTAAAAAGAGTTATTCAAATTTTGCCAAAACAGTCGAATAATACGCGAACGATATTTCTCGCAACGTCAACAGTTTTACACTCGACATTTACACTCGGAGGCAAAACGATTTCGACACTTCCTTCAGATGCATTTCAGAACGCAGCCGATATCCAATAGGAGAATTCGTCCCAATGGAATTTTCGGGACACAAATGTTCTTATTGGATACCGCGAGCGCTTCAAAATGCATCGAAAAAATGCGCTCGAACCTTCCTGCTTTCGAGCGTGAAGCGGAAAGCCGCCATTTTACATGGTCACGCAAGCGAGGTTTCGAAGTGCCACGTGACGACGTGTTCGAAACTTGCGGAGGCGCCGGGGCGACTTTAAACGCGCGCATCTACGTTTGCTTGGGATCCGTCTGAAGTTCTCGCATGATCGAACGCGTTTCTCGCTCTTTCGTTCGTCAATCGGGCCCAAGGTCAGGTCAGTGTCGTATCCGTCGGCAAGGATTTCTCGCGATTCACTGAGATCTAGGAGGGAATCATCCGGCATCGCGCGCAGCTGCACTTTTTCCACCGGATGGACGACTCGATTTCGCGACGTGACTTATCAGCCCGAAAATCGATTGTCGATTACCGGAAGATCCCCGCGCCGTTGTCGAGGGCGCAGTGTGCGCCGTGGTAGGTAAGTGTTGCTCACAGGAAAAGCTTCCCAAAGAGCTTCGTGGCAAATACCGGTCGTAACTGAAGCAACCGGACGAAACGGTGAAACGTTCGGGCTCCTTCGCTGCTCTTTGCGTATTAACGGGCACACGCGGTCGGCTGGTCCGCTCGCTTCGTTTTAGCAGCAACAGTAGCAACAGCAGCAGCGGTGGTGGCGGAATAGCAACAAGCGACTCGAGCAAGCAATCGAGCCCGTCGCAGAAAGTCAAATGGCACCGCGCAGGCAAGCGAAACAGGCGGCGGGAAGCATTGTCGCAGACGCCAACGGCGACGCGTCGCCGCCGAGGAAGAAGAAGGTCGCCGCAGCGAGCGCCAAGTCGGTGGCCGAGGAGTCGAAGCAGCCGAGGACGGGCCTCCGGCGAGGAAAGGCCGAAAAGCACGAGATCGACAACAACGATGCGCTGGCGAGCGACGCGAGTCCGCCCAAAAGAGCACGCGGTGGCGGCAGAGGCAAGAATGCCGCGAACGAGCCGAAGCCCGTTGCTGAGACAAAGAGCGCCAAGTCCAGCAAGGTCACCAAGGCCGAGCAGACGATGAAGAATAACAATGCGGATGAGAAGGCGGCCAAGCAGACGGCTGAGAAGAAAGCACGCACCACCGCCAAGGGCGCGATGGCAAAAAAGGCGGGAACGAAGGAGCCCGCGGCGAAGTCGAAGGCCAAGGAGTCTGCCAGGAAGCCGAGGAACAATACTACCGCCGAGAACGGCGCCGGTGATGCCGCGGAGGAGAGCGCCGTAGCCGCGCCGACGAAAAGAACTCGCGGGAAGGTAGTGGAGAAGGAGAATACGATGCCGGCAACGCGAACCGCCGCCAAAGCACCAAAGAAGCGTAGAAACGCGGAGGCAGCCCTGGAAGATGCAGACATCGTCGAGGAAGAGGAGGAGGAGGAGGAAGAGGAAGAGGAAGAAGAAGTTGCAGCCGTCGTGCCGGATAAAAAACCGCGTGGCAAACCGAAGAAGACGGGAGCACAAGCTACTAATGAACGTAAGCTTTGAAGCTTCATGGCTCTGTGGCTTTTTAGATTTTCATATGACGCAAAGTTTATTTTCTCACTTAACGGGGCCTTCTTAGATAGACCCCGAGTATCTTATCGGCCGTGTTTATCAATAGAGACGAGAAAACAATGAAAGACAGATAATTAGTTTTTGATTTGAAAGAAATTCATCCTAAATTGATTGAATAAATTGAAACCTGTATACCATTGGATATACTTTCCATTATCTGTGTAAAATCATGTAAATCCTTTGTAAAATAGATGATAAAGAGTTTACTTATTGATATGCATTTGAGTTCTTAATACCTATTTAGTTAAGTCAACTCTTGTAGCTGCTAAACTATAAGAGTTTTTACTGTGTTTGTATTTGAGCGACATTATTTCTTTCATTTGTGTAACTTTTAACTATCTTCAGCAGAGGTGAAGCCCAAGGGGAGACCTAGAAAGAACACTGCTAAAGCAGAGATTGCTAAATCATCATTAAAAGAAGCTGAAGAGGAAGAACAAGACACAGTTGAACAGGAAGAGAATGCAAAAGTAGAAAATACAAAGAACATAAAAAGAGGAAATGCAAGGAAAGCAGCTCCCAGAGGAAAGCGTAATATTGCGCCAGAGAAAGTAGATGATGCTCAAATAGAAGATGCAGCGATATCTGAAACTGATCTTCAGGAGAACGGGAAAGTAGAAAATGCACAAATAACACAGCCTAAACAGCAAAAGAAAAGGAATATGGGGAAAACAACAAAAGAAAAAATGGAAGCTAAAGGTAGACAAAAGAAAGGACAAGCAACAGCTGCTGCAGCAGTTATGGATGAAAAAGAGACAGCGAAGGATATGACCTCAGAGGAAGATGTCATTGAGAAAATGGATACGATGCCAGAAACACAAGATAAAAATGCTACAGTTATAATTGAGCAGAGCAACGATATCTCAAACAAGAAAGAAGACAAAGATGAAGCGGATAAGATCAATCTTTCAGAATCAGTGGAAAGTGTAAAACTGGTTAAGAATGAACCTTTGGATAGCGAAGCGAACACTTCGATAGACAAAGATGAGAATTAATGCTGAGTGTTTCCTAGAAGCGGAGTATTCCTTAAGACGTCTGAACGCTTTGGAGTCATGTGAATGCAGAATAATATCTAAAACTGTATCTGTGTGTAAAACTCTTAGGAGTGCAACAATATTAGGTCATCCCACAAGTAACGTAGTTTCCTTCCCCCCTCCAGAGAAAAAGAAAAAAGCCTTTATTTCACGAGACTTTTATCGAAAGCGAAGTAAGCTATTTTAAGCACAAAAAATCACACGTATAATTAGAATGTATGAGATGTCGGTTCGGCCTATGTTACACGATTGTCTATGAGCGATTTGGTCACACTCGTTAGTCCATATCAATATGTCACACGACACACGACAGCAGTTGCATCGTAAATGATGTGTAATGTCAGTAACTTATAACATTGAGAATTGGCAACTCGATTTTATAAGCTGGTGATACAAACATGCGAACTGCGGTTGCGATTAAGCCAGCTTTTAGCCGTCGTGTAAACGTAGTTCCATTTCTTATGTCAGATAAAAATGCGTAACATAAGCCAGGCCACTTATGGGATAACCTGATATTTTAATGTATTTATCATAAAACACGCAGTGAGTGGACAGTTGGACCTTAAGGTTCCTGTAGAGATACTCTGTACTTTATTGGCGACGTTTTGTCAGTTCTGAGTAGGTTCCGAGTATTATTTGCGAAAGATAATCAGCGATCAACGGCGAAATTCACGTGATAATCAAGAGCTCCTATCCATATTGTCTCCAATGAGATGATAATTACTTTGTAACTAGTTCCTTCTCCCACTTTCTTTCTTCTTTTTAATAAACAAAGTACCGACAAATTTGTCAATGTAGTACAGACTACCACTACCGAAGTGCGATGCTATTGTGCAATTTTGAGTCGTAGCTCAACATGGCATGATGTATCCAATCTTAATGATGTCCTAGAAGAGATATTTATTGTTTGTGAGGAAAAGTAAAAGTATAAAGTTTACACATGAAGCAAATTTATACCATTGGCTATACTGTGTATAATAAGTGTGTGTGACGAAGTTGTTACCGGAGAAAGTTTCGAGCACAAAACATATTTTTTTACAGACGAGTCTTTCCTCGGGAACGTTTAATATTGGATTTTCAGCTGTGTATCAATTATCAATGATGGTGATGACGATCACAATCTGATGATGACGCGCGTAGTGTGCCATAAAGGAAATTTGATAGAATTCAAAATTCTTGATTCTTATCCGGGCAATATTCGTATGTAAAATACCTAAGGAATGTAATTACTCGACGAGTGTCATCATTATTCAACGGGATTCGGAATTATTATATTTGAATTACGGGCAATCGAGACAAATTAACACGAAGAGAAAGATGATCGCTTTATCGCTGCCCGTGTAGGAATTGAGCGTATTACATATTTTTCTAAAAGAATTGACAGTTCTCATACTTGACAGACCTTCCTTTCTCTAGTCCTATAGTTTTATTCTTATTAATGAACAATACAGTTGATTGATTACGATCGGACTTAATGAAGACTCGAGTGTTTGCGTTTTCCATCTATCTTGTACAAGACAAAACAGTTTTTCGATGTTGAATAGCTTTTTGTTCTTTCCCTCTTTTTTTTTTCTTCCCCCTTTTACTATTAGACATTATGATTATATATTTAAACTGTCGTTGTTAATTAATCCGTGTTTGTACTACTTTTAGAAGACACTTTATACGTATGTCTGGACAAATTTGAATAGCCGTATCAGTCTGCATTTTTGTACAATTAAATATGATAACATTACAAGCTTTCTGTTAAATAATACTGTGTGTAGCGCATTTACCGTCGATCGTTAAGATAACCAATATGTACGAAGTACACGTTTATTTCTGTATAACGCTGTACTTTCCATAATTATTGCCCTTAATAATGGAGACTTTCTTTTCACTTTGAATAAATTGGATTTCTTTTGTGTTTTCGATATCCTTCTTAATATTTCAATCGTCATTGCGCGTAAAGCTCGTTCTTTTGTTTTTTCTTCGTGTAACCGACGAGGCGATAATAAAGACCATTGATCTTACGGGATTTTCGCCGTTTAACAATCTGTCGGAGAATTGCATCAAATCAACGTAGATTACATCAGACGTAGCTTCACAAAAAGTATCTGATATACTTCATTGTCTGTGTATGCAACGCGATTAAAACGTCTAGATGATTATGAGTTATAAAATTACATACTTCATTACGTACTGAACGTACAGTATTTATATTGAATGACTAAAACTGGTCGATAATATCATTCTTCTTCAACTCCTCCAATTCGATTCCCTTGTATTATTACGAAAATCTATCCAGGACTGAAAATCTTTAATATTGTGTCATCGGTGTTTGTGTTTTCTCGTCTCCGATTTCTCTTCTTCAATTTTGACCCGGAACTAGATTTTCCATTAGCCAGTCTTATTGGCATGGTTGTGTTTTTATATGTTTGTGTTTATATAGCAAGTAGAAGGGGAGATTTGTGGACGAGAAACTCTCTCTTATATCGTTTTTTTTATCTTCCCGATTCTACTTGCTGCTGAACGTCGATTACGTTCAAATACTCGCGCGCTTTGCGATTCAAGTGCACAATCGATTGTCACTTCGAGTTTGTCAAAGCGTTTTCATATGATGAAACTACACGTACATTGCAAAGCGGCTTTGCTTTTTCAACGAACAGCTCAGCGACATCGAGGAGGTGCGAGATTGGAGTATCCGCGTTCGTGAATTTCGAAAAACGGTAGATATTCGTAAGAATGGCGGCCATCAGTTTATTGAATCCAAAAGCTGAGTTTGCTCGGGCGGCACAGGCGTTGGCGGTGAACATCTCCGCCGCCAAAGGCATTCAGGATGTGATGAAGACCAATTTAGGTCCTAAGGGAACTATGAAGATGTATGTATTCGCCGACTCACGTGTACGCTTTATCTCTCATTCCGCCTCTTCGCGCCGATTTTCCCTACGCTGAATAATTGTGAACTCGAACGACGTCGAGACGAAATTTCTGATCTACCTTTGACTTCTGATTGTCGGAATTTCATGGGACGACATATCTTGATGTTTCTTATTCTCCTTATTTGGACATATCATGCCAGCGAGAAGCGTCAGTTATCAACTTTTCCTTATTCAGAATGTTAACATTGTTCATTACTCGTAATATTGTTGTTATGTACTTGTGACATTAGGAAACATAAATCGTCGACTAATATGTTTGTTAATGATTTTAACTTAATACAGGATCTTGCTTGATCATAAAGATATTTAATTAATTAATGTTTCTTTTTGGATTGGTTAAATTTACAGGTTGGTTTCAGGAGCTAGAGATATAAAGATTACAAAAGACGGCAATGTACTTCTTCATGAAATGCAAATTCAACATCCCACAGCATCTTTAATAGCAAGAGCGTCCACTGCTCAAGATGATATGAGTGGTGATGGTACTACCAGTACTGTGATAGTTATTGGTGAACTTTTGAAGCAGGCTGATTTGTACATATGTGAAGGACTACATCCTAGAGTAATCACAGAAGGTTTCGACTTAGCTCGTGCTAAGACATTAGAAGTATTGGAACTCTTGAAGATCCCTATTGAGCCCACTAAGCAAAACCTGATGGATATTGCGAGGACTTCGCTTAGAACAAAACTCCACTATACTGTAGCTGACAAGTTAACTGAGATCTGTGTGGATGCTGTGTTGGCTATTAAACAACAGGATCAAGAAATAGACTTGCACATGGTTGAATTAATGGAGATGCAGCATAGAACAGCGATTGACACTACTCTGATTCGTGGTATAGTCACTGATCATGGATCTAGGCATCCCGATATGCCAAAAAGACTGGAGAATGCATACATTCTCACTTGCAATGTGAGTCTGGAATATGAAAAAAGTGAGGTAAGTAGGTGATGCTTAAAGATAATATAATTATCATGTAAAATATTTAACAATCTCTAGCACAATCTCGAGCACAATATGGATTTTTGTTCCTTAGGTGAACAGTGGCTTCTTTTACAAGTCAGCTGAAGAGCGTGAAAAGTTGGTGGCAGCCGAACGTGTGTTCATCGATAATCGTGTGGAGAAGATTATCGAGTTGAAGAAGAAGTTGTGCGATGGAACGGATAAGTCGTTTGTCGTGATAAACCAGAAAGGAATCGACCCGCAATCACTCGACATGCTCGCGAAAGAAAATATCATTGCTTTGCGTCGAGCCAAGCGCAGAAATATGGAACGCTTGGCGCTCGCGTGCGGTGGTGTAGCCATGAATTCTGTGGACGATTTGAAGGAAGAGCACTTGGGATGGGCTGGCCTTGTTTATGAACATGTTTTGGTAAATAATTTTTTCGTAAAACATAGTTCAATGAATATCATAACACCGATTTCAAAAAAGATCCTTTTATCTATTTTGTTTTAGGGAGAAACCAAGTACACCTTTATAGAAGAATGCAAAAAGCCGAACTCTGTAACCATTCTGTTAAAGGTAAAACAGTCAATTACGGTATCGCATATTAATAGACATGAATAGTTCTTGATGTGTGAATGTGATTCAGGGACCGAATAAGCATACGCTGCTGCAATTGAAAGATGCTGTACGTGATGGACTCAGGGCAGTAAAAAATGCCATTGACGATCGTGCTGTTATACCTGGGGCTGGTGCCTTCGAAGTTGCGGCCAGCCAAGCTCTTCAACAATATAAAGAGAAAGTCAAAGGAAAGCAACGTTTAGGAGTGCAGGCCTATGCAGAAGCTTTACTCGTTATTCCGAAAACTCTCGGTAAATATTTAATGTTTATAATTATTAACTTGATTAATTTTATCATTACTATTGGTGTTGGTATTGTATATAAACTTTTTCTCAATTTTTATTCCTCATTTCCAGCTGTTAATAGCGGATTCGACGCGCAAGATACAATTGTAAAATTATTTGAGGAAAGTACTGCTTTAGGAGAGGCAGTGGGCTTGGATTTGTCTACAGGAGAAGCACTGAAACCAGCAGATGTTGGCATTTATGACAATTACAATGTAAAGAAACAAATTATCAATTCCTGGTAAGATTTATTATAATATGCTATTAAAAATTGGTATGCATTTCGTAATGTATAATCGTATCATTAATCAAATATTTTTCCAATTTTCAGCACGATCATCGCCAGTAACCTCCTTCTGGTCGATGAAATAATGAGAGCAGGGTTATCTTCGCTAAAAGGCTAGACAATATAACGTATCTTGTGGAGTAAAGATTCTAAGGACCATTAAAATTTTTTCACAAACAAGTTATCAATATTACTAAATTATTATTCGTTTCGCATTGTACTTCTTAACAGAATTTGTTGCTTAATCCTGCTTTTAATATGAACATTTAATAACAGTAAATAACATCAAATGTTAATAAAGTGATGCTTTCATAAGAAATATTCCGTTTATTTATCGAATTTATAGTGACATAAGACTTAAATCGAAAGATGCACAGTATCTCTGAAAGTATAAATTCGTGATTGTATGAACAATGTGAATACTCACATATATACTGCATATTTTAAACAAGAAAAAAAAATAAATTAATGGAAACAACTGAAAGGAAACTAAATGTAGAAGCATACAAGTCTCTAATCCTATAAGTATTTTCTTTTTATTTACTGATTTTTTTTTTTTTTTTTTTTTTTTAGAAAATGGTACATGTATGTTGGTATGCTTTGATGAAGTTGAATTATATATACACACACACACACACATATGCACGCACGCACGCACACAGAGTAATTTGTACCAGATCATTTATAAAAATCAAAAATATTTATTTGAAATATAATACACATATTATTTACAGTCTTTCCTAAAAGCTAGCTTCTGTACGATATTTAGTACACTTGTCAGTCTTGTCTTTTCATAGAAAACCTTTCTGATCTGTGCTGGTTTCTATCGTATATTAAATAAACAGTTGAACGAAAAAAAATAGAGGTTACAGCAATGGTATACGAAAATTAAATTAAATAATCCTACTAAAATCATATTAATACAGGTTATGTTCCATTATGCTAAATCGTCATCTTGATTTATTTATATTATATCTATATACATCTCGCGCGTATTCAAGAATGAAATAAGCGCATCACATGAGTTCTTGAACTAAATATCCAGCTTTACCTTCATCTTGCGAAAATAGGAGACATACATATCATATTTACATCGTACAGGTGCGTGACATAATTCCTTTGATATCAGCTGTAAGTACTTGTGCTGCTATTCCGAGCAAAATAAACACTACACAATGTTACACGACACGACGAATAGTTAACATGTGATTTTACGAGAGAGATTTTATAAAAGTAGTATTAAAAATAGTTTCATTTCGTTACTACTATTATCATGATGTTTGCTAATCATTATAATATATAATGCCGCAATATATACTTATAAATCTAAGAGAAAAGAAGAAAACACATTCTTCTAGAGTTTTCAACTGAACGAATTTTGATCGATCCTCGGAATCAATTGATAATATTATAAACTTATAAGTGTGATAGGTCAGAGTATGTATGACGTCACTAATTATTTCCGGATTGGTAAGGATCCATTGTTAAATCGAAGATGTTATTAGTTAGGGAACTCTCTCGTGTGTGAAAAGATGTTGACATACATATATACATACATACATACATACATACATATATATATATATATATATATATATACATATGTGTGTGTGTGTGTATGTGATAGATTTTTAACTAAAAGTACGAATTTCAACAATATTAATCGTTTACTGCTTTTTTTCAGTTATTTTTCATCTAGCTTTCATATAACTAATTGTCACTCTCATCATACGTACACGTATGATTCCGCGATATGAGGAAATGACAGCAACAAAAAGACAAAAACATATTTAAATATCAATCCAACATTAAGATATGCTTGTACTTCGCTTACAAGCTCTCGCGAGTAAATCGCATCGTGTATTGAAAAATGATAAAGCTAAAACTTCCCCGTCGGCGCTTCATTTACACAAATAGGTTTCTAACAGTCGCTGATACATCGCTACTTGAACGAATAACGCAATATCCCGTAATCCAAGGTGGACAGGACAAATCAAGTTTGCACAAAGTCTTTGCGTAAAGGAGGAGAAGGAGAGAGAGAGAGAGAGAGAGAAAATAAAATAACAGTCGAGACATTTATACGTATTACGAAAAAATCGCGGTATACTTGGAGTCGTGTCGAATATCCTCTAGCACTAATCTCGGATTGATATTGATTAGTTGGGCGAGAGTGGTGCAGCTCACTTTCATGCTGTGGCCACCGAGCATCATGTATGTGCTCACCTTGGCCAGATTAATAGGATCGCTCGGTACACCGTAATGCGAGGATAATGCTTGCGGCGTGCTTCTTCCCGTCTCTTCCTCCGTTTCGCGTTCTGACCTCATGGCCGGGCTCCGCCGCTCGAACTCATACCTGCCACCCTCGCGCAAATGCCTCGGCAACGGGTTCGTGGACTTGCGCGCGACGGCCTTGAAAACGCGCGGACCCGGCTTCACGTACGAAATGACCGACTTGGTCGTGGACTTCCTCGCGACCGCGTGGCCGCTCGACATTTTTCGCACGTTGAGGACGTCTCGAGACCGGTTTTGGCCAGGATCGCACATCGTCCTGCCGTCGTCTCTCGTAGGCTTGGTCCGTTTGTACTTCTTGATCAAGTTTTCCACGATCGAGTCGAAGTTTGAGATGCTCTCAATCTTGGTCGGCAGACCCGGGTGATTCTCTAAGCTGTGAGCCGACACTCCCACCGGCGTTTTGAAAGCCTGATCGCAGTATTTACATTTGAACAGATTCACATGCTTCACAACATGTTTTTTGATCGTGGCGAGGGAGGTAGTGGTATACGAACAGACACTGCAGACAAAATCTCTCAGTTGTTTTCCCTGCTGTTTTGGCAGCTGTTGTGGCTGTTCTGGTTGTTGTTGTTGTTGTTGTTGTTGTTGTTGTTGTTGTTGTTGTTGTTGTTGTTGTTGCTGCTGTTGTTGCTGCTGCTGCTCTTCCTGTTTCTTAAATCTCAACGGCAAATGCGAGTGGAACATGTTGTGATGGGTCTTCATGTCGTCCGTTTCGCAAAGGTCTTTGCACCAATAACAGATCCAACCTGGCAATTGGCCGGTTACAGTGTTCAAGGAATTGTCACTGTGCAACAGATTCTCCTCCACTTGTCCTGCCAAGTCACGTGGCAATTCGATTTTCTGCTTGTCCCATTCCTTCTTGTGCGACTTCATCGACATCGATATGAATTGTTCCTTCTTGTATAGCTTAGTCGGCATCTGGTATTGCTTGTAATCGAACGGCAAACCGCTGGACGTGTTCGATCCTTCTTTATGCATCAGATTCCAATGACGCATGAGGAACACCAATGAGTGGCTGCGATTGTTGCAGTAAACGCAACTGTACACCGTAGTTAAGTCCTCTTTGTCGGCGGAACTGACTTGTTCCTCCTCTATGTCGTCCGTATAAGCATCGATGATCCGTTTCTTAGCCAGCGGTGAGCCACTGTCACTCGACTCGCCGGACGAACAGCCAGCTGTCGCGATGTTTCGCGCCTTGAACGGCATCAAGGGGTGATTCACTTGCCAATGCTCCACCAATTCGGGCATCACAGAACAGCTGAACGTGCAATAGTGACACTTGATGCTATGCTTGATCATGTGGCAGCGCATGTGCGACTTTAATCCGGTGTAATTGAGAGCGGTGAAGCCACATGTCTCGCATTTCTTGGGCACAGTCTGCGTTTCCGGACGCAGATTGCTATTCTTGTCCTCCTTAATGTCTTCCACGCTCAACTTTCGTTTCTTCTTGGTCTTCGTCGGGCATACCAGTCCGTACTCCTTCTCCCAGAATTCGTTAGTCAGTTCGGGTCCGCCCGCGGCTGGATTTTGCACGATTTTCACCTCGCGACCCCGATGCTTGGCGCGCATGTGTTGACGTATCATTTGCTCCGAATTGGTGCTACGGTCGCAGTAAGGGCAAAGGAAACCGAGCCGTTTCAAGTGCGTCAATTGAACGTGCAGCTTGAAGCCGCGTCGCCGGGTGAACGTCATGCAGCAGTGCTTACACACCAGCTTCTTCTCCGGCTCGTCTTTATCAAAAGCTGCGTATGGAAGTTGGTTGTTATTATTATTATTATTATCATCATCATCAATAGTAGTAGTAGTAGTAGGAGAATATAACATAGATTATTTATGACTCGTATCAAAGCCACAAGAGAAATATCGTTTTTATTCCAACTTACTTATCACTAATTCACGTTGTCTTAGCTACTACATTCTCCTCAGCTTAGCTTATATTCTTATATCCTTACCCGGAAGCCTCTCATCTTTGATTTTTCTCTACTGAGGTCTAGATTACCTACGGTTAATGAGACACATCCTGTGTAACGAGCACATCCTGTACACTTACATTTATCGCTTTCGGACACGTTATCGTTGCTCCTACTACTGTCGAGAAACTCATCTTCTTTTATATCGATAACAAGATCCTCATCATCTCTGCTGTCGCCATCGTCAACTTCGTCTATGCTTTTATCGGCGTCTTGGAGAATGTCAGTCTGCATGTTGGTTATCGCAGGCGCAAGATTCACGGCTTTCGTGTCGCTATGAGTCGTCTTCACTGGGTGAATGACCTCCGGACTCACAACGGCCGCGGCCAGTGCCGAGTTCTTGCCGGCAGTGCTGATCTTTTGAGTTGCCGCTTTTATCATGTCCGTCTGCTTTTTCAGCAAAGTTATCACCTATAAATCAAACGCCATCTTTGTGACCTGCGCCGGATTTACGTCCTTAGAAATAGAATACCCGCATAATAAATCTAAAGTTGAGTATAATGACTAATTAGTCAGTCAAAAGTGAAGTTAAAAGTTCAATTATTCTTAATTTGAATTAATTTTAGAAGAGTCAATCCTTTTTCAACCTTAATGGGGAAATTTTAACTTATTTGATTCATTTTTAATCTTTTCGATTTAAATTTTAATTAGGCAAGTTTTTATTTAAATAACCTTTAATCAAATTATTTTTTAAGATCCTCATCTTTGAATTTAATTAAAAAAAAAATACATTAGCTCGTCCAATCCTAAATAGAACTTAATAACACAATAATAAGATAAATAGAGCCTGATGAATTTCAAGAAGCATACCCAATCTTCAATTGCATTGTCCGGCGAAAGCGGCTCATGATCTGGATGCTCTCCGTTATGATGTTTCGTGAAATGTTGCATCAACGCATTACGATTTACCGACAAGTACCCGCAAGCCTTGCAATGCCACCTAAACGAGGACAAATCTTTCTCTCTCAGTACGACAGTCAAAAAACAAAAACATGATAGTAAGTTTCATTCATAACTTTCGGTCGCTTACCTCGCATAATTCAATTCCCTATAAAGATGATCCCTCATATCGTGCTTGTACTTTGTTTTGAACTGATTGCACAGCGTGCAAATGTACATGTTGCCGTCCGGTTTACCGTAAGGTCCGAATCTACCCACGTCTGAGTCGTTAACGTCGTTTAGTTCGCTCGCGTTCCCTCTCGAGTTCTCGGTGGTTGTTTTATCAGCAGTGGCGCCGCGCGAATCGGACTTGCTCTCCTTTGTGCTTTGACCATCGCCTTCCTCCTCCTCGGCTAGTTTGTCACACGAGAGAGATCTTTTGGACTTCTCTTTGGTTTGCTTGTTATCATCGAAGGACGCTGACTTCGACATCTTGGATCTGCCCAATTTCGTCGACAGTTCCGTCTCGTTCTTGCGCTTGCCCAAGGATGTGCTCTTCGTGCTTGTGGACGATGTCTCGTTCGGTGGTGCTTCGTTCTCCTCCTCCAGGAGAATTCCACGGATATGTCGTATCCGCGGCATGTCTCTCCTCCAAAGCGGCGTCGTGTCGAAGGGCTCGTCCTGTCCGGCTTGCTCTACGACTTCGGTGTTGCGTTTGTTGATCCCCTTTATCCTCTGATACACCAGAACGAAGTCGACGTTGGAATCGTTCGCGTGCTTGCTGCTTATGTGCTGCTCGAAAAGTATCTTCCCGCTCGTCTTGAACGGGCAAAGAGCGCACTTGTATTGGCATTTCTCGTCGTGAACCGCGGTGGCGTGGTTGCTCATTTCGGCTTTGTAGACGCACTTGAAGTCGCAGATGTTGCACTTCCAATGATTGCCATCTGGATCTGGCACTTCCTCCTCAGCCTCCTCCTGCGTCGACTGTTGTTGAGCGTTTTCCGCATTGTCGAGTTCTCTTATTACCTTGACAAACGGCCTCTTTTCCGGGTGCTTATCGGCGAGATGACGCTCCACGACATATCTGGACGATATTTTTATACTATCAGAAAGCATAGAAAGTGCACTCGAATCGATAAGAAGAACCGTAAAACATGTGACAAATAATGACGCGGTCCTCTTGTTGTCCGGAGTGTGGCGATTCTTTCGGCATAAAGAATTCCAGCGTTTCATCGCGTTTCTTAGTTTCCTCTGTTTCCTCTGATGTATCGATAATTATCGCCGTCAATCGGACTGGTCATACTTGTCAAATGTTTGGAAAATAATATCGCAGTGTGAAAGCGCGTCTCATCAAAAAGTGTGCATATACGAACAATATGGACCACACGAAAGGTAGTTGAGCATATCATAAATATATGCAAACCTTTGGTAATGATGATGATTGCAATGCGAGCATTTATAAAGTCTCGAGTCATGCATTTTCAAATGAACACCCATTTTATCAATCGCTATATTCTGGCTTTCCTGACCGGATGACGGTGGAGGACAGTGTGGGCAACGGAAATATGGCTCTTCGGAGTGCAGAGCCTTCAAATGATACCTCAACATAGCTTCATCTACCGTTAGGTAGTTACATTCCGCAACGCTACACACATATCTGTCGGGGGAGAGATAGATGATAAACAATGTCGCAGTCTTGTCTATCCGTTAGAAAAATGGCAGACGAGACGTATTGCGATGTCGTACCTTTTGTGTTCTGGTACAAATTTTGGTATAGCGTCCTCGTCGGGCTCCTTGACAGTCTCCTTCGGTTTTGCGCCCATTCGACCGTTCTGATGCGAACTACTTGCCAGATTCACCATTTTGTCAAACATCCGCTCCTTCTTGTCCAAACACGGAACGGGATTGACCGGTCCGGTCTCGGGCACGGTCTCGTCCTTCGCGTGCAATTGCAGATGCCGGATTATATTAGTCCTGACTTTCGTGGTGTATGGACACACGGCGCACTGAACCTCCCGATTGTAAATCGCCTGACGCGGTAATTTATCGATCTCGTCAGGGTTGAATGACGATTTCTCACTATCCACCGTTGCTACCGCTGATGCTGCTTTCTCGGTCTCGGACTCTGCGGATTTCGGGCCCCTACGCTTCTTCGTCTTTCGTTCACCACTTCCAAAACGCTGTACAAATTATACACACGAGTTACACAAGCTCTCCGAAGAGAAAAAGAACATCTATGATGATATCTCTAGATATTCTACGCACAATTAATTATTCAACTACATTAAATGATTATTTGACATGTTTTATCATTTAATTACGTTCAATTAAAAAAAAAAAGAAAAGACCAAGACTTTTACTCAATTGAGAAATCAAAGGAAGCGGAGCCAACGAGAGCTAAACGCAGGAAATTAGCATGAGCAAAATTTGAAAGACTAAAGATAAAAGTTTAACTCTCGCACAAGTCTTGCTTCCTTTGTCAAATGGTTAGTTACGAGAGAGGAACTCACAATTGCTTGTACAATAAAAAGACCATCGACCGACGGATTTGTTGGATCAGCCGGTACCAATTTCGTATTCGAAAATTTGTGTTTCGTCTTCATGTGAGATGTAGCCTGATACGAGACCGGATACCTCATCTTACACAGGGAACAACCAAATCTCCTCAAACCGTGAACCTTCAAGTGCTCCAGAAGGAAGCCGACCTTGATGAAGCGTTTCTTGCAATGCGCGCAATAAAAATTCTTATCCTTGAAATTACACTCCTTAACATGTTTCCTCAGCAAAGGCGCGGTCGTCGTCGCGAAATTGCACTGCTCGTAGCCACACTTGTATAAGTCCAATCCTGTGCAGCCGGTGTGTTTGATGTCCTCCAAAGTTAAAGGTCGTGCGTTTGTTTTTTGAGGAATCGTAGCCGCCTCGTTGGATGAATATTTGCTTTCGGTAGCGTCACACGATTGAGATTGCTCTTCCTTCTCGTCCTTCTGTTTGGAAGATTCCAGCTCTGTGCTTTGATTCACTATGGTTTCAGCGTTCTTCTTCTTCGCAACTTCCGCATTCCCGATATTCTCCAGAATCTCGATGTCACTGTCCTCAGTTTTATCGCCGGATATCGCATCGTCCTTAGGGAACGACAGATTGCTGCAGCTGGCTGTGAGGCTCTTGAGAAAATCGGGATTGTCGAGGAGATTCGTGTTGACGAACTCGTCGCTGCAACTGAACTCGCCGGAAAATTCCAACGGATCCACCGCATTCGAGTCATCCATGCATGATAACAGGTTCAGTTCCGAGTTGTTGAAGATCTCCTTCGTCGCGTAGTCGCTCGGTTTGTCCTTCTGCAATCGTATTAGCAACGATCTATTCTCGTTGAGCTTGTTCAACGAAACTTCGCCCTGCGAGGGCTGCTTCGACGGGCCTTGTTTCGTCAACATGTCGGTATTATTACTCATCTCTATGTTGTTGATATCAACAAAGGTCGGTTCTTTAGGCTCTTTGGTTATAATATTGGAGCCACTAACATCGACTTCCGCATTAACTAAGTGACTTTCCACTGTCCCGACGAAATTAGGCATCGTATTTACTAGATTATTTCCTTTTTGATTTGATGGTTTTTCGATGTTATCTGGCTCTGTATACGTAAAGATTGCCAATGAGCCTGCAGAAATCTGGGAGTTTCCCGAGTCTGTCGGAGGAGAAGAGTCTTTTTTGGAACTAGGCGCAGCAATGTTTGGCTCGTAAATGTTTTCCTTGAATTCCCCATTGTCGTTGTAAGTTCGCGAAATAAGTTGACTTACAATATCTTTGGTGCTTATTACCTAGAAATTGATTGCGTTATTAGATGCAATATCGATGGACAATTTAATTGTCTCGACATTGATTAATCCATTATGATCAAATTAACGAATATAGAGGCAAATTAGAGTGTTACTTTAAATTAATAAAAGAAAAAGAAAATAAACAATGTAAAGCATGTATTGGGGACTTGAATAAGTTCTCGCTGTTTTTTCGTAAAAATGAATGCTTCATTTAAAAAAATTAGTAAAGAACATGTCATTGAAAGTATGGTCCATCGTTAGCTACTACTTTCTCCCATCTTTCTGGCAGCATACGAATACCATGTCGAAAGAACGACTTTGAGGTTACCCATGAATTTTTTAACCCATTTTTGAACCCATTTTTTGGCATCTTCATAAGAATGGAAGTGCTGCTCAGCCAGGCCATGAGTCATCGATCGGAACAAGTGGTAATCGGAAGGAGCAATGTCCGGTGAATACGGCGGGTGGGGTAGGACTTCCTACTTGAGCGTTTCCAAGTAGGTTTTGACCGGTTTTGCTACATGTGGCCGAGCGTTGTCATGCTGCAAAATTATTTTGTCGTGTCTCTCCTCGTATCGCGACCGTTTTTCCTTCAATGCTCAGCTCAAACGCATCAATTGTAGTCGATAGCGATCTCCCGTGATGGTTTCGTTGGGTTTAAGCAGCTCATAATATATTACACCCAGCTAATCCCACCAAATACAGAGCATGAGCTTGGAACCATGGATATTCGGCTTTGCCGTCGATGTTGATGCATGGCCAGGCTTATCCTACGATTTTCTACGCTTCGGGTTATCGTAATCTATCCACTTTTCATCGCGTCACGATACGATGCAGAAAACCTTTCCTTTTCTGCCGTTGGAGCAGCTGTTCACACGTGAAAAAACGCCATTCAACGTCTCTCGGCTTCAATTCGTACGGCACCCAATTTCCTTGCTTTTGAATCATTCCTAATGCTTTTAAACATTTGGCAACTATTGTGTGATCAACTCCTAATGATTCTGCAAGTTCATTTTGCACCTGACATGGGTCTTCATCGAGTAATGCTTCCAATTCTTCGTCTTCAAACTTTTTCGGTGCGCCAGAGCGTTCTTTATCTTCAACATCAAAATCATTATTTTTAAAGCATCTAAACCAATCTCTACATGTTGTTTCCGACAGAGCATGGTCGCCGTAAGTCTCCACAATAATTCTATGTGCTTCAGCTCCAGATTTTTTTTGAAAAAAGTAATGCAGTAAAATTCCCGCAAATACTCTTTTTTTGGCACGAAATTCGACATGTTTAATGCTATAAAAAAATATGTTGTTTACGCTTCGGCGGAATAACATACTGTCACTTCGAGCCTATTCATTCATTCAATATATGGCTCTGAATAGAGTTATTACACTCCTTCTCCTACGCCAATCACAACGATTTTGAAAATAAAAGAGAAACAGGGACAATGCGTACGCAGTCCCCAAGATCAAAAATATGCGTAGTTATAGGAACCACATCCAACCGCCATGGAGGCGAACAAAAGACTATACTTCGAGCCTAATGGTGGAGCTTCACGATGAAGTTGGCTGTAGTATTGCCCGATGCAAAAAGGTAAAGATTACACTATCTGTCGGGAAACAGCGAGAACTTATTCAAGTCCCCAATAGCTAAAAATTTTATATACGAATGACAACTTTGATAACTTTGACACTCGGATTACATTCTTAATTGCGTGCCGCTTAATTAATTTAGCGTTTTGGCAATTATCATTTATTTAAACTAATTTTTTAGCTGTATTGTAATTTTCACTAAACAGGATCCAAACAATAGAGCTAAATGTTTGAATATAAAAAGCACAATTTTTTTATTTAGTATCAAACATTCGTTCGAACAATATCACTGGTTCTTGCCTCTACACCTGTTCATTTCATTACATATCTGGACAGTTTATTAATTTTTTATATAAATATATTATACCATTGGCGGAAGCGAGCGCTCAAGTATCCGTGGCAATTGATTCCAATGAGAAGAGCTCAAATGTTCGAGCATTTCATTCGGATTTTCACCGCCGTACAAACAATACAGACATTGGTATTTAGCAAGTCCATGTGATTTATAGTGCTACAAACACCAACAAGACGCACAATGCAGTTACTTTTACTGAGCAAAAATCGATTAGTAGGCGGGAAGAGATACTTACTAATATTATCAATTTTACTGTGGAGAAAGTGGTCTTACATAGGTGACATTTGAAGGTTGACAGATGTGTAGAAGGCGTGTGTTTCGAGTTCAAGTGCATGCTGTATGCTTCAGGTACGTAATAAGTCTTGCCACAATCTAAAAGTAATCATCGCTCGAGGTTTACATAATAAAGAAACGCACATTACCGCAGAAAATTCAAATAAATTAAATACAAATCAGTCCCAGTGAGCAAGAAAAGTGTGAGTAGCGAGAAAAGAAAATCGAAGATGAATTAATTATATTTTGAATTTTCATAGATTACTTTTTTTCAACGTTCTTGTTTTGTGATATATTCATTATTATGATCCGTTGTGTTATTTTCTTACATCTTCTTTTGAAACCTTCGTATTGGTCTTTTACATTTATGTACCGATAAAGCAGTTAAAAAGATATTACAATAAGAACAATTGTAATGACATACCGTTATCGCACACGAATGGCAGTACAAAGTCGGCACGGTTAGTTACATCTTCTTGCTGCGAAATGTCTTTACCCTTTTTACCGACTAACATATAGAATTTAGTAGTGGGATGATAAGTCAGCTGGAAAAAAATACAATTCATTATAGTTTACAGTTCATTGCCATGCAATCCCTGATTGATGACGTCAGGAATAAAAAATTATAAGATCTGAACTGTAAGTGTCATTTACCGGATAATTGATAAATATAAATAACGCTCAAAATCGCAATTATAATAAGCTAATCAACTATATGAATAAAGTTTATGGTTGATACCTGATGCTGCTGCACGTAACAAGCCGCAGCAGCACGGTAAAAGCAGTAACCACACTGGAACCGGCAATGGCTGTGCTTCTCCCACATATGAGTGTTCAGTTCGTTCCAGTTCTCCATAACGCAGTAACAGTAGACGCATTTCTGATAATCGCACGGCGGCGTGAGTTTCTGCTTCTCGGCGTCCTCACAATGCTGGTTGTAATGGCAATCGAACAACGTGATCGAATCGGTCGTGTAGTTGCAATCGCGGCACATGCACTTGTAAAAATGAATCAACTTGGAGGCCCTTAGCATCGACATATACGCTTCCGTGGACTTCAGTTTAGCCACGTGGGATGCGATCAACGTATTATCCTTGGTATTTAACGCGGGAGTTCGCAGCACTTTGAATAGCTTGCGATTTTTCGTGCTCGTCACGGCCTTCGTGGAAAAAGCGAGCCGAGGAATGGCGATTTTAGCGTTCTCCAACGACAAGACTTTCGGTTTGGGATGTATAGGCACATAGTTTGTAGTTAGATGAGTGGTGACGGCTTTCGTCGAGATGGGTATCTGGCTGAGGTTGTTAATCGGGATCAGCGTCATGGCATCGGACGTGGACGGCTGTACTATCGCCGACACGTTCGTGTTATTCGTCAGTGGTTGTGGCTTTAGCTTCTTCAATATCAACGGCTGGTGCGCCGATTTCTTGATTAACTGCAGCCCTTTGTTCTTAACGGGAGAGACCTCCACCGCCTTTCTGATGTCATTCACCTAAGAATACAATAGTACATGACATCAGAAATCGCTAGAGAATACTGATAGAATAAGTCGGACGCATGGAGAATGCTTAAAAAATGAAAGATAAAACGTGGTGGTGACTCGATTCACTTACGATAGGATTTTCAGACTCATTGTTGTCGGAATTCGGCGCAAGGCTCACTACATTCTCGATTTTCAAGAACGAACATTCCCCCTCTGTGGTGTCAATCTGCAATAAATCTGTCATGCTGTCTGACTGCGTCCCATCTAGCGATCAAACGTTACTCATTAATAGATACACCCATACTTCTCGAATATCTTAACGCTAAAACTACAAGCGAGATCGATCAAGAATAATCGGTTTGTAATTTCTTATTAAACTTATTCAAATTCTCATATAACGGTGCATTTTAATGGACACTGAATAAAACTCAAAGAAATGAATATTTTTTCTCTCTTGCACTACATATTCTTTCAAAAGCTCTCAATATTAATCAACGAGACTTTCCAGAATCCTGATTAACAAACCCATCTGCTTAGAACTTTAATCATTGCAATATACAAATAAATAATAGGTAACGAGAATTCGTCTCGCTTCAAACACGCACCGGTACTAGAGATTTGGGTGTCTTCTTGGATATCCGTCAACGACGCCGGCAAAGACAGCATGTCGCCGCTCAATCGCCTGAACCTGAGGAAGTTCTTCGGTGGGCCGTCGTCACTCGACATCGGCGATGTCGTATCGCGATGCTTAATATTTTGCTTCAACAGCGACTGTTTAATACCGATGATCGAAACGACACTCGGCGCCTTCGGGAGGGATGTCATCGAAGTCGGTGACAGAGACTCGCGTTTGACGTTCACGTCATCAGCTGCAGGGACATCCAGCGGCTTGGTGCTCTGCAACTGAGCGGCCAGTCTCTGTATGGTCGTCAACATCGGGTCTCGTGACGACGACGCATTGATGTTCGAAGTCTCCTTCAGAATCATGTTGACGTCCGTCGGCTCGGAATCGGACTGCTCGCTACTGGAATCTGACTCGAAGACCGGCGAGTGCCGCACGGTCTCGCTGTCGCTAATCTCTCCGTCGCTTTCCGTGTCCTTGCTCGTGTCCATGATCGCGAGCGGGTCTCGAAGTTTCAGCTCCGCCTTGTCCGCGTTACTACTGTTTGCAGTTTCCGACTTGTCGTCGTTGGCCGACTGTTCAGTAGACGAGAGATCTTGTTGAGACCTGGAATTCGCTTGACTCAAAAGGTTCTCTTTCATGGTCGTATTGTCCTGAAGTTTAGAGGAGTCCGCGGTCGAGTTGGATGCAGGGGGCAATGAGGAGTTCTTATCTCCCTGCTGCGAAGCGCTCGTCGACTCGTCGTTCTTGGCGACGGGACTAACGACCGCGTCTGTCCGCATTTTGTCCTGCAACTTGTCTATTATAGACAAACTCGACTTGGAGAGGTTTTTGTTTATTTTAATACCGATGTTGTCGACGATCTCCTGCATTTTTTTTTTCCGTTCCAGCTGTATCTCGACTTCTTTGTTCTCCAGCTCGGGCGGGCAAACAAATACGCTCATATTCCCGGTGTTCAACGGTCCTTCGGCTTCTCCTTGAACAGACATCGTCGGTCTTACGTCATTCTCGTGTTTATCTTCGTCGCCGGCGCTCTCCTGGGCTTTCGACTCTTGCGGATCGCAGCTCTTTTTGCTGTTGTTGTCACCTTTGTCTTGAGATTCCGTCGTGTCGCTGATGTCGATCGCTTCGGTCTCCACCGGTATGTCTTTGCGCGCTACATCCTCGATTTCGGTCACTTGAGGATCGACTTCCACTTTGATCTCCTCGGCCTTTGGTTCCTCCGCAGCTTCAGTGTGTTCCTTCTGCGACTTTTCCGCGTCGCTCGCGGTCTGCCTAGCGCTTGATATCGACATGCTGATCTTCAAGATCTTCTTAGTGTCCGTTTGGTCTCGATGCCAAAACGTAGCATGCGCCTCCACGTTTTTCCGCTTCAGCTGAACGTAGTTGCACACGCAGCACAGGTAACCATATACGCCATCTTCTCGCGGTATATCGTCCTCCGACGCGGACTCGTAAAACGTATCGTGTAACCTGCGACATAGCTTGTAATAGTGCGTCTTCATGGAGGCTTTCGCCACCGCCTGATAAGGACAACTGTTACAGTGGAATCTGTACTCGCCCGTATGCGTGGTGCAATGTTCATAAAACGCCTCGAGCGCCACGTCCGCTGCACCCTCCGTCTCGAAACAGCAGAATCTGCAGCGATACTTGCGCACCTTACTCTTCGTCTTACTTGCTGCCGTCGTCGTCGCCGCCGAAGTTTCGCCGTTCTCAAGATCATTCTCAGCATCCAGAATCGCGATCTTGGCTTCAGCCAGTTTAAGGCGCGAAATCAAGACCTCCTTGCCGTTGTGATTGATCTTGTAATGATGGACAATGTTCTTGCCTGTGAAGAAGCATAGCAGGCACTTGTACCTGTCCTGGCCAGTCCACGCGTATTCTATCAGTCGGTCGATGTCCATCCTGCGGAAGACCTCCTCCATTATATTATCGTACACGATCACCGAGGATGTCGTTTCGGAGGTCTTCGTCGCTCCAGCATCGGTACTCGCCATGTGTTCCGTGTTGTTCGCTTTTGTCTCTTCACTCGCTTCTGCTGTTTTCATCTCCGCTTCTTCCGCCTCCGTTTTCTCCGTATCTACCTTCTCCTTCTCTGTTTCTAATTCCTTTTCCTTCTCGACTGGCGGAAGCGACTCGTTCGAGGGTACTTCTGCAGTTGCATTCGACGACTCCGATAATGAGATGAGATTACTCGACCCCATGGGCTCGATGACGACGTCGGAACTGTCCGTATCCGCGGACTGCTTGACAACGTTGTCGCTCTCTAACGTGGAACCCACGCTCCCATTGTTTACCAGCTGTTTGTCCGTAGCTTCTTTGGAGATACTTTCCGCCATTGTGACATTGTCATCACCCAAGACCGGTGGATCAATTTCCGTGTTGCCCAGCGACATGTTCGCTTCGTTGCTCGTCTTTTCGCGTTCTATTTGGGCGATTTTGGAGGCATTTGCTGACGCGGTCGTCTTTTTCTTCTTCCTCCTAAACAATATCCCCATCCTCCAGCTTGATTTCTTCTTTTTCTTCCTTACCGAGGTTTTCTTCACGCTCGGTTCGACAGGCGACGGGCAGTTCGAGTCATCATCGATGTCTGCTTCGTCGCCCACCGTGCTCTTCTCCGCCACCGCTGGCACCAGTCCCACTAGAATGTTGCTCAACAACTCTTCCTTGACGGCTACCTTCGTGGAGCTTCTCCTCTTGCCCGCGGTCGTGCTGCTCGACATGGAGATATCCGATATCACGCTCTCCTCGTCTTCGGTGAAGAACATCTCGTCGTCGCTCTTACAGTCAGTGAGCAGAGAGGCGCTCTTGATCCTCGACTTCGACGTTCGCTTGCTCGCGCTTCTCGTCGCCTTCTGTGGAAGCTTCGAGTTCATCACCGTCTCTACCGACTCCTGATCGGACTGCTTGTCCGGCCGAAGGGAAATGTCCACCGCAGCCGTCAACTCGGACACATCTATGCTGAAGCTCTCATCGGATGAACTGTCGAACATCATCTTGGATATGTCCAACTTGCTGATGTCGGTCTTTTCTACGAGCACTCGCGGTTCCTTGCGCAGAACGCGCTTACTTCTGCGCAGTAGATCGATAGACTCATCGTCCTCTTCTGGTCCCGGTGTGTTATTACTATTGTTAACATTACTTAGCTTCCATTCCGTCCGTAGCGCCAGCGGTTGGTCCTCCTCGCTATCGGAATTCTGTATCGACTCCTTGGCATGCGATTTACGTTGCCGTTGGCCGGCATCCTTGCCTTTCACCTTTGACTTGGGCTCTCTGCGGGACTTGGAAGGATTCTTCTTGGACTTGCTCGCTACGTTGGACTCGTCCGCTTCAGCATTTGCCTCCGCCTCGTCTTTCTTAGACGTCCAGCTCGTCCCCGTTGGTTTGGGGGACGACTGGTTTTCTTTCGACAACCGGCACATTCGGAAGCCCGTCGCTGTCACTACGTCGTCGCTGATGAACATTTCGCGAATGTCCTCTTGCAACATCTCCAGGGAATTCCTCCTCTTCGTTTTCGTCTTTGGTTTATCGCTCGGGCCCTCACTAGCTTTGTCCACTATAGTCTTGTCTGTCACGTCTTTGTCCAACGACTCTTTTGTGTCTTGTGCTTTTTCCGCAGGGTTTTGGTCGACTTGATCTTCCGCTTCCCCATTTTTCTTACCTTCTAATTGACTGTCTGACTGCTCATCCTTTCTTGAACATATATCAACACCTTCATCATCTTCCAATCGATCTTTTCCAAAATTGTCTTCCAGTAGATTACTCTTCTGGTTATCGCTATCGTTATAGTCTTCCATCGTAACGTTGTTCCGCTCATTACTCTTCTTCGACAGCACATTATTTGCCTCCAACTCTGCAATTTCGCTACAATCGCCCATTCGAACACTGTTCTTCTCGCTGAGATTTTCCGATGGGCCGTCATTCTCGGTATCTCGAGTCAACTCTTCGTTCAAGTGATCAGACGCCGTCGTATCGGCTTTATTCCTTGCAGAGCGCCTAGTACAGTCAGAAGTGTCCGTTCTTTCGTTGTTCTCTTCAATATTTGTTTTCAAGATCCCGAGCCGTTCCGCGAGAGATTCGTCATCCGAGCTGTCCGACACGATCACTCGCCTCTTCTTCCTGATCTGTTTCTTCGGCCCGATGGTCTCATCCTTGTCCGAGTTGCTGCTCTCTGACTCGGACTCGATGATCTTCTGGATCTTTTTCAGCTTCTTCGCCTGCAGCGCCTCTCCGAGCTTGCGTATCAACTTGGCGTGTTCAACTAGTTTCTTGCCTTCGCCGCACTCGAAAGACTTCCTGATGAGCGCCTCGATCCACTCTTGCGTCACTTCCTCCTTCGACTTCGTACCGTCGGCCTCCGACTCGTCCCTCCGACTCCTCTCCATTATTTCCAAAGACCTGATGCCAATCGTTGGGGAATCCACTTTGCTAGTCCTCGATCTCTTCTTATGGGTCTCCTCGACGAGAGACGAGATGAACTCCTCTTCTCTCGTCGTGTCATCCAGCCTGGAAGGCAGGACCGACACGTCCAAAGCGTCCATTGCGTTATTGCTAGTGCTACTGACTTCGGCAATCGCGTCATCTTTGTCCGTATTCTCGGACAGAGATGACGAACTACCGCTGCTCTTCTTGCCGTCGCTCTTGCCGCGTGATGATTTAAAGGCAGCGCCACTGGCTTCCTTCATCTCATCGACAACGTGGCTTGTTGTTGACGAAGGCAACGGCGGCGGTGGCGGCTGCGGCAGTTCCGGTCGCTTAATCTTAGGGATTTTAAACTTTTGCAGGCCACTACTATGACTTAACTTGGCGTCGATCACGCCATAGAGACTCTCCAATGGCGACTGCATTCTATCTGCCTTCGACAATTTGTCCTTTTCTTTGCAGCTGCTTTCCGAGTCGGCACGTTTGTCCGACAGCTTCTGCGGCTTTGATTTCTCTTTGTTGGTACCAGCGGTCTTCTTCGTGACTGCCACAGGTGCCACCGGAGGTGACACCAGAGGCTGTATTGAGAGACGCTTCCTCGGATCTCTCTCGTTGTGAACAACGTCCTTCATCTTCGTCGGCGAGAAATGTTTATCTTTGGCAAGACGGGGATCCCTGGCGGAACCGCTGCTGTTGCTGCTGCTAGCCTCTTTAGCCAGATTCGGTATCGCCGCGTTGTGCTCCATACGCACACGCGGGTCTCTCTCGAACGCGTTCCTGTTGTCGCGGCCGAAACGACCGGGGTTCTCGCGATCAACGCCGTGGTTGTCTCGCGGTCGATCAGGCCGACGTACGTCGCGATTGAAATTGGGCCTGCCTTCCGGTCTGTTCCTCTCGTAATAGCTTTCCCTACCGCGGCCTCTGTTGCCACTTCTGCTCCTCTCCCGCGACCACGGACAAGGTGTGTCGGATCGTGGGTACCCAGCTCCCGTGGATGTCTCCGCGATACCGATCCCGCAGGGAATCACATTGTCACTGTTGTAGGAAGGTTCAGCCACTGGTCGACCAGCAGGAGCTTCCCATGCCGGTCTCCCGTGAGAGTACTCCGTAGACCTATCGAAGGATGGATCATAAGAGTTCTGACCCATCTGGAAACCCCTGTACGACGGCGGAAAGACATTAGTAGACATCAGTGGGGGAATCTCGTCGCGGATATTTTCCGGTCTATGACTCATGTCCTGCGGTCGTGGGGCAGGATTCACCAACGGTCTGGGCCCACCGGCAATATGTGGATCCACGGAACTCCCGCCCATGAACATGTTCATCGAACGTGGTTGATAAGGTTGCATCGGCGAATTGCCCATTCCGCTGTAGTTGGGGGCTGACCATTGCGACTGTCCAGTGAACGGCAGGTCGCCGGTATTCCAATGTAACTGCTTCATGTGCATGTTGTAGTAGTCATTGCTGTCGATCACAAAATCATTGTCCAATCTGGACGGAGGCATATCCTTCCAACTTTCCAACGGCGCGCTCGGACGCCTTTGATACAGCGGCACGCCGATTCTCTCATCCATCTTGATGCTTGACCCGGTGTTATGAAGAACCGGGATCTGAGACACTTCTTGATCCGGCATCCTACATATGCTTTCGGCCACAGACATCTTCTCTTTCCCGCTTTCATGACCGTGAATAGCGTCGCGTTGACGCGGATGCCTCTCGTAATTGTCCGCGTAGCGCGGCTCAAACTTCGAGCTGGTGGAAGGTGCCTGTGGTGAACGATGATCGGGCGGGCCTTTGATTTCGTTCGACTTACTCTCGATCTTCGCGATCATGGCCGAGGCAGCGTTGATCACGTTCGACGTGCATTTCCTACCGCTGAGCTTGATTATGTGCTTGTCCACTTCTTCCCACTGCTTCTCACTCTCTTTTTCGACGGTCAAGTGCAACTGCGGAATCTCCTTTGAAGCCTTACTGTCCTTTGCAAGATTCGTCTCCTGCTTGCCAGAGTTCTTTTTGTGCCTTGCGGCATTTTCACCTTTCTTCTCATCACTGCCGCCCAACAGCTCCTCCAAGTCCTCCATAGAGAGAGGAGGTTCAGTAGAGATAGGCGGCGGCGAGACCAAGAGCGGCATCGGTGTCTTCGTTGGCGTCTTCGGTGTGCCGTCCTTCGACCTAGGCGACAGGACCTTGGATAGCGAACCTGGGAACAAGATCTCAGGGTCGGGAGACTTGAGCCGCACCTCTGGAACATTCACCGGCGATTCCGGCCGGATGTTCACCGCGGTCATATCCAGATTCAGGACTTTCGTCTTCTCGAGCACCGACGACAACCTCCTGGAGCCGCCCAGCGAAGGCACCGGAACGGTCGGTATGTTGGTACTCATCGAATAGCTGCTCCTGCTGCTATCACTGTTGTTGACTATCTGAGGCAGGTTACTGCTCACCAGCTTGGCAGCATTAGCTACATCGTGATCAGAGGCTGTCAACGACTGCCAATCACCACCACCGCCGCCGCCTCTGGTCTTGCTGTTGTGCCTCTGAGACTCCTCCAACATGTCCCACTCGGTGAAGGCGATGTCGTCCGAGTGGTTGGAGTCTGACGACGAGATGTTGATAGTCCCGGTGCGCTCGGTGATCGTGATCACCGGAATCTGCGAGCAGCTTGGCTTCCGGTTTCTCTTACCCTCGCTGAAGTCCGCACTACGCTCCGTGGGTATTATTATAGGCAGAATTTGGCACCCACCGTCGGGACTGACGGAGGGATCCGGGCTCGCCGGAGTCTCCTCGAACTTATCCTTCTCCACGTCTATGACCGAATACGTCGGTTGCTCCGTTTTCTTACTCGGATCTGACTTCGAGTCTTCCAACGAACTGAAAGCCACGAAAATTTACTCCTCATCCACCGCGATGCGAAATCGACGGTCGTAATCGAGCGCGTAAAATAAATCGAGATTCGAATATACAAGAAACACACAGCAAAGCGATAGCAACGATGAAACTGAAACACTTTAACACGCTCCATTTTACTCATTTACCAGTCATTTACACTACGGGAAGAATAGCTTTGTTAGTGCAACTGAACTCTCTGTTGCCTGGGGACCACTCGAAAGGTCGATTGCGCGAACAGGCTTCCAGTTTCTACTCGGTCAGCGAGTTTTCATGGAGTTCAAACGAGTTCAACGTTCAAACGAGTTTTCAGTAACGATAACAAAGACATTCCTCGTTATTTCGAGTTTTCGTGCGAACCTCGTTTAGTTACACGACTGAGATTGACCACAGTACGTCGTGCTATATTATATTTGTCAACCCTTTCGCTGCAGCACGCTTGAGAATGATACGACGCACGCGGTGGTTTCCGTGTTAACATACGAAATTAACACCGCGTGCGAGGTAAATAACTGCGATGTTCGTAATTTTTATACGAACTCGTACAATAAGGTCGTCGCGCGTATGTCGTCTCCTTTATGAGCAAGGAAATGCATGGCATTACGTGAACGTTCGTTTTTAGAGGGCGGATATGCACAGCGTTCGTAGCGAAAGGATGAAAAATAAGGTGTGTCTTGTGATAACTGTGAAAGTATTTCATGGTTGTGTTTCGTTTTGGAAGCCAGATACCGAACAAAACAGAACGCTACAGTTCAGCGCAGGCCGTGAGTGACGCATGTGGCACGGAACATGTCGACATGTACACACATTATAATATTTACTATTTATATAATAATAAGTATTGTATAAATGTTCTCTAAGTAAGAATATACGAATAGGAAAACGCGCCTTCAGGCGTCCCACTGAGAGCGGCCAGACGTTTTTCACACAGTCATATCTACATCGATCGCTCGCCTCTAATGTTTATAACGCATATGACATAATGTAGTACGATATAATAAAAATAATAATATAGTATAACATATACAAACAATAACATAAGTTGAGTATAATATAACATAATATACTTACGTGGAAGATTGCGAAGTGCTATCATCGTTTTGCTTAGTTGGTAATTGCAAACCAGGAGCATTTCCCTGAAACTCGTATCGTATTAGAACGATTAAAATACAAAGACCAAACATGCACTACGAAAGCCTGAAAACGTTCAAAAGTATAAGAAAATAGCAGAAAAGACAGGAAAGACAACGTTACAAGTATAAAGTATAAAGAAAGTTCGATCAAGCTACTGTATATCTCTCTACGAAAGAAAGGAGGAAAGGAAACTTGCTCACTCAATCATCACCGTGTTCTCTTCCCTTTATTGTGTAACATTTGCGTGCAGTGTCTTAAAAAACAAAAAAGGAAAAAAAGTGCTCGACGATACAAAGTGTGACTTCTGAGTCTTATCAGATCTCTCATCACTCTTATCAGATCTCGATAACATTGTGTAGAGTATTTATACTCTTCGATGCAATCTAAACACATGTAGCATGACATGTATGTATGTGTAATATCGTATAGATTAAGCACGGTATCAAACTATACACAGATTGCACAAATGTGGAAGGTGCAGAAAGATTTTCAATCGTGTGTGGAAATACCATGGAACACAGTGCAATTTTTATAAAAATATACAAGGTAATATACAATACAATTTACAATGATGAGAGATGTGAACACGATGAGAGCGATTCGTTAATGTTTTCGCGCACTTTGCTCATATTTTTCGCAGCGCATAATCCTAAGCAATTGTACGCGAACTTCTTACTAGAAAAAAAAAATTCTAGAGTTATGTTCGTTGTGTGTAGCGTAATTTCGCATCTTGCTCACATATCTCTTCGACAGGCATAGAGAAGGCGAAAAAGTATATATATAGGACGCAGACAAAGCGTTATTATCTGTACACGTGCGTGTATCAATATACTTACCTTTTCTACTCTATTGTGTAGCTTTTGTAGGACGTCTTCACATCGCTGTAGAGTCTCAATTCGCAGCCTGCTTTGACAAGAATATTTTACATATATATAAATACGAAAATCCAGCTAATACAAATGAAAACTTCAATTGTACGCATAACATTTTTTATCTTGGTACATTTAATTTCAGAGCAACGTTTCTTAGCTATTTGTCGACTGTTCGCACTCTTGTATTGAATTTAAATAATTGCAAAATAATAAATTAAAAAATAACTGAGCGAATAATCTTTTTCACGTATAAGTTACACGACTGATAAGCTCTGTACGATCGATATGGATGGTATTTGTAGCGCTTGGCTATGATCTAGATGTAACGCAAATGTACATATGTAGGTGTGTGTGTGTGTGTGTGTGTGTTTGTGTTTGTGTATGTGTATATGTAGTTTTAGCTTAACATACTTTCGTTTGCTATTCGATAATATCCCATGTAAGCTCTGCATTTTCTGCAATTGAATCTCCCGAGATTTGTCCTTAACGTTTTGCAGCCTCTCAATCATCGCTTCCAAGAATGGAATATACTTTTGCATTTCTGCAAATTTCTTGTCGTATTCGTCCATCTTGTTCGTTGTGTTCGGTCAACCTGCATTCAGACAAAGAAACGTATTTTTTTCTCTTTCCTCTCCTCCATGAAATTAATCATCGTCGCGTGTTTTTATTTAAATTACGACTTAAAATTTGTAACCACACATTCATCTCATATAGTTATTACATATAATAACTATATATATGTATATATTTGTAATGCGCAAAAATAATCCGGGGCGGCAAGCAGAGATCACTTCACAAAAATCGGAGCTTTGTGTACACATAACGGTAGGGAGCAGAGTTTCTCGAGGAGGGAGAGGCGAATCAATAACGGCAGTTTACAAGTATTCTACTGTCGCTTCACTTTCGGCATTATTATTTTCGATATTCCACATGACGCGCGTCAATTCTCGTCGAAACACTTACGTCCACATGTTCATCGTTGTATACGTCAGGACGTGACACCTTAATTATTCCGGCTCGGCCGAAACTTGGCATAATTGAATATAATCTTGTTCCTAATTATTAAATCAAGTTAACTTTTTATTCCTCTGAAGGAAAAACAGACGCATTCTTCGTGATCGACATACAGCCTCTTCACATAAACAATTCCGATGATGATTCGCTGTTGCAGCGCACTCCTCAAATAAGCCCCAGTTTTAAGAGGCAGAGAGACGGTTCAATAAACGCCACCCCTCGCAGATGTGCAACGTGTTACTCTAGTCGTGTGCCTGTGTCTGTGCCAGTTCTCCCGGAAACCGGATCTACGTTCGGCTGCGTCGCGCGTGCAAACCAGCAAAATTCCTACGTACCATCGATCAAACGCGACTGTATCGTCGATCCAGCTCGACTTTAATCACGCAGGATATTGCGTACAATTAAAAATATTCTCTTCACTGAATGCTCACGCCTGCGAATCTTGTGCAATAAATTATTCTCATCGCAATGCAGCTGAGGGCACATTTCAGCATCCCATCTCTCAATAGCCCGGAGATCGCCCTAAAATCGCAACGCGACTGCGATCGATAAAATACACGGCGGCGAGATGTTGTTATTGCCAATTGCAACAGTTGCGTTCGTTCAATGAGCGTGTGTGCGCGTGTGTGTATCGCATAGCGCGATATTCAGGCTATTCCATATTCAGTTTGTACAGCTTGCGCGTCTCCTCTTTTCTTCCTTCCTCTCCTCGGCCGCTCAATATTTGGCTTCGTTTTTGCTCTACGCCGTCTATGTCACACGATAATCGCATTAACGTCGCTCCTTCCTTCGGATGTAGGCCGGATTCTATGAATATCCATGTCACTTGAAATAAATTACGCTTCTTTTACATATATACACAGAAAGTCGAAAGCTGTCGGAGAGTATCCGCCGGCGAGCGTCCAAGCTTCGTCAAAGGGACCGAATGACCGTGTCGCACGCTTCGACCAGCACGTACACCTCGCTGACGATCGATTATTTTCCGACGATATTCTGCACGCTTTGTCACCGCCATCATGTGTTTGTGATGTGTACAGGGTGGTTCATAAATCCCGCTCTACGTTGGATTCGATGAACGACCTTACCCTTATGTAAAATGCAAAATTAGCCAATTCAGTCGAATTTCATATCGCGAATTTCATAGATGAACAATCGCCTCTGCGGGACATCCTTGATACTGAGCCGACGAGTTCATCGAGAGGCGACGATTCGTCGCGGCTTTTTAATTCGAATTGTGTTTCGCGCTTTGCGCTATAATCTGTCTCGCAATCTGTCAATTTGCGAACAATTTCGCACGAAATACTCATTTCACTCACATCACTCATCATTCTCATGATTTCGTGTGCAGAATTGTTTACAAAGAAAAATACATACTGCAATCACGTTCGATCACATATGACATTTTCAATCTTTTGAAGCATTCGTTACTTATAGGGCACCATATATGTAGCACACGCAGTCGCATTAGGCATACGCTAATGTAAGCGATACGACATGTCCAGTGTGTATGTATTTCGCTGTAATGGACATAAACTTTTTCACCAAAGTTATAGCTAATCATGATGGTATCGCAGAAGTAAAGAGGTGGATATTGATTCAATCAGCCTCTACAGGATGCCAGGATGTTTATGACGCGAAAAACGATCTCTTCGGTAATAATTATGCCGTATAATGTTATTTTAAAACCGGTCGCTTGTATGATAATACAAGCTAATTTGCATCAATTGCAAAAATATTAATGGCGAATATTGATTTGCGTCGCTATATGTATCTGATCGGCCATCAAGAGATGCAATCAAAACATTTTTTACTGTTCAGATAAGCGCCGTTTATAAATATCTAATCGCAGCAGTACAGAGTAAAATTAACATATAATGATAGGAAGAACATCACAGACAAAATACTTATCAAATATGTGTGTGTATGTGTGATAATTAAGCTGAACTGTGACATTAATAATTAAAGCACAATTCACGAATGATATACAGCAGAACGGATTGACAGAAGACTTTAGAAGACTGGTTCAAAATTAAAAATTCCTGCTTTCTCTTTCCTATTGAAGAAACACTAGTAAATCTGTTACTCTCATATCATTGCACCGCACATATGTGTATATTAATTCACAATAATAAATAAATAAATAAATTATATTTATATAAATCCATTTCTCTTTAATGCTCATAAATTCTGCAATTTTTTGTTCGAACAAATACACGACATTTATTTAAGAAACTTATCACATGTATAGTGAGTTAGAAAAAAAAATAGAAACATTTCACACGTACTCGTTGCGTTCACCGTTCTACTTGCAGCGATGAGACACAATCTTGCGTGAAAAAGCGTCTAGGTCAATATGTGTATTCCGGACAATATGCGTATTCCGGAAACGGTTATTCAACCGTTGTGTGAACTCGCGCACACGTGGTGAAAGCATATCCTCCGTCAAAAGCGTTCAATATTTTGAGATATTCTGTGTGTGTTTCTTCATGATAACATTATATTCTTTTATTGGAAACGTAGCATAAGATGACGTATATTTCACAACTCTTTGCGAAACTTTATACAAATAATGCATACTTATCACTTCGTTCATGAAACTACACTCAATCTCGCGCACTCTAACAAAACCACACTCGCGTAATCTTTTTTGCTTAAAAACAAAAACAAAATCTATATATTAGGTAAATAAGGAGCACATCACAGAGGAATAATCGTGAGAAATAAATTTGATCTTAAAATTTGATATTTTACACTTTCGCGCTGTGGGGAAGTACTTTGTCTGACTTCGGGTCGTTTCTTCTGACGAAGTGAACTTTGATGTTCGCGAAACACCGGGAACAAATTCACTATAGACCAGCCTGGAAGTCAGATCAAGCGGTTTCCAAACTTCTCGAAAACTACGTGTCGTTCTCTCATTGGTACACATCAAGGCGAAAGCAAATGAACGATTTATCAAAGCACGTATCAAAACACAGTCGAAATGATCGATTTTGATAACTTCAAGAGATGCATATTATGCGCGGAAGATAAGTCCAGATGAACAATTCTATTGGCCGTTATTCGTTGCTGCAACGTGTTTCGTAGAGATAACGAGTAAGTTTTGGCATACATACCGATATTTCAGACCTTAATGATTGAAAGCACCAATATGGTTGGTTATATCGTTTTGCTGTACGGAAGATGTTCTATTATTCGTGTCTCTTTCACGCTCTTCGCTCTTTTCTGTCTCTTTACTTTCTGCGTGTTTCTTTCTTCCATTCTATTCTCCATCTCTGTCTTCCGCTTTCGTCACGTTTTACTGCGCATCTCCCGCGTGTAGTTTCATGTTTTCGTGAAGTGGAAGAGAGACGACAAACGGAGCCGGTGGTAGTTCATCAGCTTCGATAGGTGGCGTAAGTATTCGTGGACGTAACAAACATGGCGGCGGTGAGTAGAAAGGTTCAGCAGTTGGATAGTTGCTCAGCTCGATAAGTCGAAGAGTCGCAGTGTCTCGAGGAGGCACGAGAATCGCGATCTACTCTGTTCTATTCGGGAGATTCTGGAAATTACATCTCCTCGACATTCCGCGTTAGCACATCTTCGTCTTCCTCTTTTTATGGATGCTTACTCCTTTTGAGACAGTATCACGTTCTACACTCAAGGTCGAATTCTTGTCTCGTGTTCTCTCAGTTTAGGTCTCACAGATACGGCGAAGTAACCAATAATAATTTACATCGTCGAGAACATAAGCAGTTCACGTGACCGTTGGTGACCACGAAGGATGCGCGACTGTCGAATAACGCTAAAGCAGCTCGTTACTTGTCTCAGTTTCCGTTTCGGAAGCAAGCAGCGCTACCGATCACGCCGTTGCTAAACGTTCATCTAAACAAGATGGCTAACCGAGAAACTCAGCACTCGCAATACCGACATACGTGGATTTTCATTAGCGTTGAAGTATTACTTTCAAATCCGAGTGATATATGTTTTCATATAAGAACGATACAAACCCCTTCGTGCGAACCGTGTATCTTAAGTTAAAGTAAACAGTAATATGTCAAGTGAAGATGTTAAGATTAACAATGCTCACAAATCACGAACTGATTAAATGGATGAAATTTAAGCCGATCAGTTCCAATTAGAAACTAGACAAATAACGATTCCTGCGTCCTGTGGACTTCTAACCATCTTGCAAAATGAGAGTTCCACTCATGTGGAAAATTTGGCGACGCATCAAGGCATCCGAGATTCGCCAATATGACGTGTGTGTAACCACGAGTAAGATTTACAACTCAATCATTACTACACCAAGACGGGAGGGATGCCAGAGAAGGTTGGATCGATAGACGCGAGAATACGAAGGAAAGAAACTCGAAGATATCGAGCTCCTGATCCCTTTACCGGAGTAGACGCAAGAGATCCACCGTCTCTAAATGTTTAATCACCAGCTCAGAAATAATCGCGACTTCAAAAGAGCGATAAGGTGAATGTAAGCAAACGCTGACGACGAACCAACACGAGCAGCTGCACACCACAAGCACTAGGCTTACCTACGACTTCGAGTTCCCTTCTCTTCTCTCTAGCGCTCACCCTCTCTCTCTCTCTCTTTCTTTCTCTCACTCTCTCTCTCTCTCTCTTTCTTTCTCTCTCTCTCTCGTCTCTCTAGCCAGCGAGACGAGTTTGCCCGAGTCTATTGTTCCGAAATAATGTATCGTTGTCCATGGGAGATTATTGTCGACCGGAATCATAATATCATATCAGGTAACTGACGAGGTAGATTTCGTGAATAAAAACTTGCTAATATTGAAAATACGTTCACACGGTCGAGCAAACGTCGCTAATTAACAACCCGAACGAAGCTACCGGCCACTAACCGTGCTGAAACTTCATTATCGCCAGGTATACTCGATCTCCAAAACAATCGTGGAAATAATACGCAGAAATAGCGCATGTTACGGGGCGCTTAATGCGGCTCGAAACGCCCACAGAAGTAATTATGGTCGACAGCGAGTCACTCGTTACGTAAACCGTGTCACTAACGTGCGTGTGGAACGACGATAAAATTTTCGTCGACGTGACATTACGACGTGAACACCCACCGCCTTTTCCTCTCCCGCCGAGAGAGAGAGAGAGAGAGAGAAAGAGAGAGAGAACTCTACGCGACACGAGCACCGAGGGGCACCGTCAATAAAAAAAAAAAGAAAAAACTATAAACCTTTTTTCTTCCTAACCGCCGGGAGTGCCGTGAAGCGCTGCATGAAATCCCTGGCGCTGAAACTGCACGAGCTACACGCGGAGTCGCGCTCGTTTGTCATGCAATGGCGACTGGGTATGATGATAATAATAACAATAATCGCAATCACACTTCCCGGAGCACGTGAGCCGTGACGCTGGCGAAAAAAATACGGCCTTTCCCATAAGCGCGAGGACGACACCGTTGGCGATTCGGCAATTTTTTTTTTTTCAAGTCACGCCTCGGACGCGAATCCAACGGACTTTTACTTCGGGACGAATCCCGTCTCGGAGTTCCCAGGACCCGGGATTCGCACCTTCAGTCTGTTTCAACAGACATCTCTCGATTGAGCGGTCACGATCGGCGCGATTGTCGTTTCCTTTCTAAAATTACCACAGACAGACGGCGAAAGAGAAGAGGAGAAGAGAGACAGAGAGAGACAGAGGGAGAGAGAGAGAGAGAGAGAGAGAGAGAGAGAGAGAGAGGGAGAAAGAAAGAGGAGAGAGAGATCCGAAACTAGACGTGAGAGTAAATGTTAGTCAAATCCAAGTTGGTGCAACCGGGCCTATTGAAAACCACCTGGCAGAATGAGACGATCTTATGGCTTGCGCACCTGACAAATAATTACATTCGGCGGAATCAGCGAGCGATGCATCGATTGTTTTCCCGTCTGTGTTCTCTCTCTCTCTCTCTCTCTCTCTCTCTCTCTCTCTCTCTCTCTCTCTCTCTCTCTCTCTCTCTCTCTCTCTCTCTTGCCTCTCCGTTTCTCTTTCTCGGTTGCGATTCTTCGTCTTTGACGGAGAGTCTCGAGCGCTTTTTTATCTGTTCCGCGAGCGAGCGAACGGTGACCGGCACGGCTCGCTTTCCCGCAAGCCCCGATGTACAAATTATACACCACACGCACACAATGTCGCGGTAACGACGCGCGGCACTGATCTCAACCTCTCCTCCTCCGCCTCCTCTACGCTATTTCCTTTTTTCGAAGTTCTCTCGCAGCGCTCTCTATAGCCGCGCAATGCCATACGGGGAACTAAAGCATCGAGACGGCGATACAACAATGACGATGACGATGACGATGGCGATGACAACGACGTAGACGTGGGCACCGAGAACGTTGGGTGGCGGTGCCGAGACTCGCTCGTTTTCGTCGTGTATCGACACGTCGACAGGGAGCGACGACGAAGAGAACGGATCATGTGCGCGCTGTCGTTTACGCGGAGAAACGCTGGCGCTTACAAACGACCACGGTCAATGCTCCTTTCCCCGAGCGCGTTGTAGGGCGTGTAAAATCGTACAAGAGACAGTGAATTACTAATCTAGCGTCAGTTACCTCGAACCGCCGATGTAATTCATCTTGCGACTCGTCTTTTCTCCCCACGTCACGCCGCCGAGAGAGACGCTTTCGTGGAGAGCATTTCGCTCCTTCTCTTTACTCGCTCGTCTTGTTCTCTCCGTCCGTTAACTCCGTACGGAGGCTCGCAGCGATAAATCAGAATCGACACGCGTGTTGTGTGCGATCCCTGTACAGCAGTGTGGGCTCTCGTACGGATACATTTCGTTCAATCCAACGTAGTCATGCGCACGGTTGTTCGTTCGCGACAAGCAGCCGGTTTATACCGGCGCTGCTTCTTGTCCCCGTGTATGCGACACGTGACACGCCGCCGCAGCCGTGTCTACTAAAACATGGATCTCGCTCTCTCAATCTCTCGCAGATAGCTTATGCATAAAAATTCCCCAGCGCTTATTATCCCTAGGACGGGAACACGACGCAAAGCACGCGACGATAGAGCACGACAATCCGATGTGCCACGTAAATTCCTATCGATTCGACGTCGTGTCCGTACAGCTTAATGCGACGACTTCCTGCGCACCTACGTCTTGACGAAGCTCCATTCACATTCCACCTGGAGCCTCTCGCTCTCTCTCTGTCTTTCTCCCTCTCTCTCTCTCTCTCTCTCTTTGCTTCTCTTCTCGTCGCTTGCCTGCCAGGCCTCGGAAGTTATTGTCGCTTACATTCGATAGGCTCGATCAAATAGTCAGCTGTACACCACTACATAGATGTACCGAACGACACCACCACTGTGTATCAGAATAAAATCGTGTTATTAATAAAGACGAATCAACTTTCGTACATTCAGTCTCACGCGAATCTCTCTCTCTCTCTCTCTCATCAATATTCGTCTTTGTTTTTTGCGAGGCTCTTTCTACTTCGACTTCGTGCCGACTTATTTCCAGCCACGGGACCGAGCAATCGATAATCTAATCTGCCGTTATCGTAATACGTTACTTACTTACGATCGGCTTCTCATCGACAATTCTCATCGCAAATAGGCGACGGTAAGATCCGAGCCCTGGCAGCCACGCGTCGAGCACTACGTTCGTTCGATACATGCATGTGATCGTCGTGCGGGGAAAATACATTCGGCAAGACGAGCGATGCGCGCCAGTCGCTTAGCTCGAGTCGCACGAGACGACGGTACCTTGTCGGGTGCTACAGGGTCTGCGATAACCTCGTATCCTGATCAGACGGCGAGTCGGCTACTCGGTGCGTGCATGATCCGTCGCACTCGGTCGGTCCCTCCGCCCCAGCCGTATGGGATACTCGTGTTCATCTTCGACTCGGCGTATCGGCCGGCTAATCCTCACCTAGATTAATCGACCCACTGTGATTATACCGTCGCACATTGTATATCGACTCGCGTTATAACGTCGCACCGGACGAAAGAGCTCGACAGAAACGGACGTCAGCTGAGTGCTCGGCTGTATACTCATGAAGGTACTCGAACCGACCGAGCGTGATCAAAGCGAGAACGTTCGTGTGTTCGTTCACTATACCGTCACGCCACTAAACTAAATCTCCATTTATCGAGGTCCCATCCGATGATGCCCGAAAGCGATTGATCCCTTTTGATCTCGCGCGATCAACGGACGAAACGATGCGCATAAACGCTGCGTTTTCCCGGCACGATCCTCGAGGGTCACGTCAGCGACACGGCGCGAGTCGCGAAAACGATCAAGCGGCATACAACATCGCGAAGGGTCGCTGGATCTCGCGCAAAGGTCCTCTTTCTCTCCCTTTCTCTCTTTCTCTCCTTCAGCCACGACGACCACGACAATGAACACTGCCGGCGGAGGAAGGGCGGACGACGCGACGAGGATCCGCAGTAGCGATCTCGCATAGAACACTGCGACGTGTCATGGCCGATTCATCATTATCGCGTATTACGTATATGTGTGTGGTATGACGGGAGCGCAACTTGGAAAACGAACACGCACAAAAACCGTTTTCCTTTCTTTTCTTCTCTCCCCTCTCTCTCTCTCTCTCTCTCTGCTCTATCTCTATCTCCCTGTCTTCGTGCCGATCGAGATCCCTCCTCGCGATCTTTCGGGCGATCGTGCTCTCTTTCTCTCGCAACTTTTTCGTCGTCGTCGTCGTCATCCACGAGAAACGCGGCTAATCGCGCGAGCTAATTGCGTCGGAGCGCGAGGGAACAGACAAAGGGCGCGCAATGCTTTACGCAATGGCCGCCGGTATACATGGCGCCGTGACGAAACGGCAGTTTCTCGCCGTCGGCGCGCGGTAAAGCGGTCTGCCATCGTTCTAGTCTGCTCGCATGGCGAGCGTGCCACTCGCCCTACCGGAAATTCTGCGGCTTTATCGTTGATTGCCACGTCCGATCGATCCTCGACTTCGTGCTTCTCTCTTTCTCTCTCTCTCTCTCTCTTCCCCTTCTCCTTCCCCCTGCCTCTCCGTCTCTCCTTCATGGCTTAGACTGTCAATCTTTCTTACAATATAACAACGCAAGTACCTAACTCAATTCGTTCACGCATCGGGAGAGGGTCGATAAGTAAAAGAAGAGTGACTACTGACTGCGCAAGATAAGGATAAGGAATGCAATGTACAGGACTTTACCGGTGGGTCTGTGGAACGCGCGGCGGGGAGGAGCTCGGGATTCCGACAGTGAAGGAACTAGGTGGGTCCGACAAAGTACTCGTCTAGGAGTTCGTTCCGTGTACACGTCCCGAGGTTTGCACATCGCTCATATCGTCATCTGCAACATGGAGGCGTACGAGTCAAATCAAGTTGTGCTTTTCGTTCTCTCCGCAGCGCGGGCATGACGGCCCGGCGGCACGTTCGTGCTTTACGAGACGGGACGAGAAGCGACGAATGGACGAGCGCGCGGCTGCGAAACCAAGAGGGAATTGTGACTGTGAGAAATAGACATGACGGCCGCATTCGGATATCCTGCGGAACCAACTCGAGCACCTCGTTATCTCTCTTCCTCTTTCGCTGTGCACGCGAGCCGCCTCGGCGACCGCTCGGACCGGAAGATCCTTGGAAGATCTGCCGGGTCTGATCGGCCGTGAGCGATCAGTGGACAACCGCAATTCAGCTGATCGACGATCGTTACTCGGCTCGAAGACACGCGGGATCTCCGCTCTTGCTCGTCTATTCATCGCTCGTCCGTTCGTTCCTTCTCGCGCAACTTGCGCACAGCACTGCGAGACGATCACGTAACATGCGTTCGCGGTCGCGACGAACATTCTCGGGAGGAAATTCGCTGATTACTTGGCGCGTGAGCTCGGGAACTCGAGAAAACAGGATACGGAGAGGTTCACCCAAGTAAAAAGAGGCATATCGGAGCGGCCTTGCCACGCCTCGACCGCCATGCTCCGCCATTTTCACCTGACACGGCCATTGTGACCGCGGAGGTGCGGAGAAATATGCACTTTTGCATTTTCGGTGGAAGACTTGCCGTCGTTCGACGGATCTTTGCCGATTCGCATCGCGTAGGTCAAACCTGTCGACGCTCGGTCGTTGTTTATTTATCTGATGCGAAAATTGTATCACAATTGTGAGCCAAGAACGGAAATTTAATCGCGATGTCCACTGCTCTCAAAGTGCAGGGACTCTAAGCGCGTCTCACGTGACTTCTTCCCGCCGTTTTGATTGGCTCCATCTCATTCGATACGAAATCGTGAATTTCATTGGACGAGCGTTAGTTCGTACGATTGCCGCCATGCCATTTTTTGTACATTTCGTCTTCGCACGAATTATATCTTGAAGCTTGTTCTGTTCATTAACCGGTGATACAATTTAAGTCAGAGATGGAGACATTAATTTTCTTTTAATAATACAAATCTGCCTGTAATGCTGCGTAATATTTAATACTGTATCCGGTTTTGCAAATCGAGGACATCGATTTGCTCTTGTAATTATCTTAAGATAATGTCTAGCCAATAAAGTGACTGTATCTTTTGCCGGAAGGCAATTAGAACAATCAACGTCTCCGATTTATAAAACTGAACGCGGCTAACGTTCAGTCCAGCTATTGAAAGCAAATATTTGACTCGCCGTTAAAAATACAAATCTGTGTTCAACGACGGATCTAACCTTTACTTTCGACTAACTTAACTGGACATTAACCGTGTCCGATTTTACACCTCGAAGACGTTGATTGCTCTGGCCGTAGAATTTCTGTCTTTGTTGAATCATACTACTTAGGTAACATTTAAAAATAAAGTTTCGTCTACCTTGACGTTGAATAGCTAGTTGAAGATAAATTCTGGCTTACGTAGAGCCGTGAAGAGAGTCTGTGTGATTTGCTGTTGAATTTTACCACAACGAGACATGATTCATCGGTAGAAATAGCGGCGGTTCGTAGCGGAGTCTTCGGAACTATACTTCAAGATGGTTGACGTACTGGATCGCGGTAAAAGTCTGCCTGGCGCTATCTGTCGGTGTTTTCGAAAAACTCGACTGATCGACGAAATCAACTGATTTGAATATCGATCAAGTAGGCTTATTTAAGTGAGCCGTTATTTTTATAGTTTCAAACACAGTTTCAAAGTCTCTGCCGTGAACCGTGATTAAATTACTGATAAATAAAGATGGTAATACGACCAAATGGCAGGTAAAATCTTAATTTCGAGTAGGATGAGTCAATAAAGGAACAGAAAACTCAGTTGTTTTAATTGCATATACAAATAGCGAATCAAATTGACTTCCATCAATAACTAATACTGGAAAATTTAAAAAGTTTCATATCTTTAAGTTGGAAAAGAGAATTTCAGAGAAATTTTAGACTCTAGATTCTAATTGTTGATAACAAGAAAATACTTGATAAAATTGATTCTTTGTCGATTCTGCAAATAAACTTGTTAAATAAATGATCCAAGAGCAGCTACATTAACGCAAACAAATTAAAACGAATAACGAGGATAATAATTACAGTTCCTTATATTTGTGATATCTTGCTTGGCTTCACATAATATTCAGTAATTTTATTTACAAATCATCGACCCAGTGCATAGACTAAACGTACTTTAGTTTGCTTGGGAATCAATTTATTTACAAAAATGTCTTCGGATCATAGAACAACCGTCAAGTCCGCAGATACATGGGACAGCATTTCGTGCTTCGCAATATCTTCCATTTAACGAAAGCGAAAGTATAATCGTCGTGATTGCACCTTTAAGAAAGATCGGAGTGAAAGTCCCTCGCATATCCTGGCAATAATTTCCGCACGGTTTTTCTCTCACGTTCACCGCTGAATATTACTTAATAAATTCTGTCGTCCTCGGAAATCAAGCTAACTATAAATACTTTTTCAGAGACATAGCTAGACCCCTCGGGTGGCTTGAACATTTGAAAAAGGAATCGCTCGGCAGAGAGACAATGAACGTCACGCTTGATCCTGATGGAGAGAAAACGTGGAGTACACAGTGCCTCGGTGCGAATTTTACTTAATTCCAGAAATCACTCTCTAAATTTTAAATTGAGATTCTTATTAGTACACGACAAGAAATAATGACTCATCAATCCATTTTCCGTATCTCTGTGAAGAAGCTTCGATTTCTACAGGACAATATGAACTTCCCCTGCGGGATATTCGACATGACGCACCTCTTTTTTGCGTTGCGACTATAACGTTAGCGTGACGTGATGCTTGTAACACCTTCCGCATGATACAAGTGGTCTGTTCTTTGTAGCTGCACTGTTGAACTGGTGCAATAAGTTAAAGTGAGACAAATATAAGTTTTCTTACTCTAGCTTATTGCACCAGTTCAGCAGTGCAGCTACAAAGAACAGACCAAAAGAATCCGCAATCGTTTCAAAACGGAAAATGATCCCGGTAGTGCTCGCATTAAGACCCATGCTTAAATGACTTGGATTCCTTTTACTCTTCGTCTAATACACTCTTTGTACACTTATGGACGCTTGAGATAAGCTTACACGGTGACGGTGATCGGTCGAAAATACAATTTAAACGATCTCATCTACGATCGCCGAGCGTCGGGCAACGAAAATATTATAGAAAAAAAAAAAAAGAAAATAAAACGAGATCTCTCTCTCTTTCTTCCTGTTACACATGTCATCGTACGGTATTGTTTGCAACATATTTGTTTCGCGATCTCTTCTGTCGATGTGACGAGTACACGCCGATTTCTGACGCACCTAGTTCCATAACGCTGTCTTGTATTTCTCGCGCCTCATGCGGTATATCGTCATGTACAAGAACGTGTCAGAAATTTATGAATGTTATTGCGATCGGTTAATGTGCGATTTCTTCGTGCACATTATCATATCTCATAATCTTTATCTAGGTGTGAGTTGACTCTTTGTGAATCGCTCGTCCCTCCAACATTTTGTTAACATCATACATGCCGGCTGATACGCTAACAAAACGTTAGATGTGGATGAACATTATAAACACGGTCTCGGAAAGGCATACAAGACTTTCTTACAAGATATTACCGTGTCGAAGGAAAATTTTTATACTCTGAGTAACAGGCGTCTAAGAAATCAATTATCCCCGTAGCCGTACAGATGTGAATGCTGTTACATGGGATGAGTACGAACCGAACGTAACACTGTCGCAAACAATGTCTATGCTTTATATACTTAGAAAAAATATTGATCGTACGTTTTCGTCAAAATTGCTTGTAGCGTTGCCATGATACTCTCTTAAATTATGTTCTTAGTGCGTTAAAACAAACGTACATTCGCAGCAGACAAGATAACCGTAAAATTTAATTTTATGTATTTCTCTTTTCGCTGTATCTCTAAATGTGTTGACGCAGATTTATCTTACGCTTCCCACACGAATTCTCATACGATTATACATTGTTTAAAGAAAAAAAAGAATATCATACGCAATAAAATAAAAAACGAATGCAACTAATATTCAGCATAAATTAGATTATGTAACTCGTTCGCGTTATGTCATGTAATTAATATATAAAAGAAATATAGATAAATACTATTCGTCGATACAAGGTACACGTATTTAATGATTGTTCTGCCGTTTGCAAAAAGAATATTTTGCCTTCAAGAGATGCATTTCTCTCGAAGTTACGTGCTTAAGTTATGAGAAAAAGAAAAATGCAATTATGCGCGCATGACGAGACTCTATAATGTATACACTTTCACTCGCACACGACACGCACACGCACACGCGCACGCGCACACACACACACACACGCGCGCGCACACACACACGCACACGCGCGCACACGCACACACGCACACACGCACACACGCACACACACACACACGCACACACACACACACACACACACACACACACACATATGCACAGCAGAGAATAGTTAACAATGCTATTCTGTCAGAAAACGGATCAAATAAACTTTAAAACTTTCAATTAGTATTACGGTTTTATGTAAAACAGACTCAACATCCTTCTTTTCTTTTATTTTTTCCTGTTTTTCAGCTATATAGAAACGATTTTATGTAAAACAGACTCAATATCCTTCTTTTCTTTTCTTTTTTCCTGTTTTTCAGCCATATAGAAATTTTGAGATAAATAATTAAATTGAAAGCAAACACATGTTGGCAACAGTATTGATATCGACTGATCTTTCAAGCTCGCAATACACCTTGTTTAGATTTGATCCTCTATCATCCGGTGGAATGTTCTCCTTTTGTTTTTCTTTAATTAATTCTGCGAACGACTCTTTTCTACATATCCTCCGAGAGGTTTTTTCCTTTTTCTTTATCAGAGACATTTCGGTCTATCTACCACTTTCGATCATGATAATGATACCGTAAATCTCACGCTTCTCTCTCTCTCTCTTTCTCTCTCGCTCTCTCTCTCTTTCTCTCTCTCTCTCTCTCTCTCTCTCTCTCTCTCTCTCTCTCTCTCTCTCTCTCTCTCTCTCTCTCTCTCTCTCTCTCTCTCTCTACGAAGTATATATTATATATTTATTTTTATAATATACGCGCGCGCGCATGACTTGTGACGAGTCATCTTCATTTAATTTTATCTCGCATGTTTCTCTTTTTTTCCTCTGTGATAATAAAGTCGCATCGTTTGCAGTAATACGAATAGATTATAGAATATGATACACACACCTCTGCTCTCTCCGTGTGAGTAATTGTAATTGGGTGCTGACTGCTGTAATTCACAACTTCTTCTGGGAAACTGCGTTTTATTATTTGCCTAAGGGATTTTGCAAGTCCCACTGGTAAACAAGCAAGCGACAATAGTCTATAAATAATACTAGGTTAAACGCGCGTATCCGACTATCTAAGTCTTATTTCCGTTGGCGACAACGATCTGAGCTTGCATTAAACGTACTTAGTACATAGACTACATCTTTATGTTCGCTGAGAGACAACGGCGAAAAAGTTGCTTTGCTCTTTTTCTACCCGGATTCGAAAAACGTAACCGCGAAACGATGCTTTCAATATTCGCAAATAACTGAAAGATATCGCAACAGTACATTCTCTTATAACATATCCGCAATACCGCAATTGTCAAGAACAACGAGAAAAACGCGAGGCCAATACGCTTCGAATGAACATATTGAAAATTATACAGATCGTTAAATAATTCTCGGCATCATGTCGCCGAGTACAATGAAGAAACGCGAGAATACACAAGAAACTTGCAGTCCTATCTTAGGCAAATAGACTTTATCATGTTGTCATTTAGAAAGTACGCATATCAAGGTAACAGCTTGTCATAATCAACAATAAGAATTTTCACATTTTTCAGTCTTATAAGCAATATATCGTTTTTCTTCTCTTTTTCGTAGAAAGCTGTCCATTTCTTCCTCTTAATTATACGACACGCCGTCCGTTAACGTTACACACTATCCTGTACATTTGTAGCTTCTAAATAACATCCCGCGACACTCGGAAAAGTGCTTCCCACAAACGATATTTCAGCGGCTTCCTCACGAATCAAAATCCTTCGAAATACCCTTCTCGAATAATTGACCGACCCTCGTAGTCTTACGCAAAATATGGCATTACCTCGGTAAACCTTGTCGATACGAAGACTTAAAAAAATCTACCATAGGCGACAGCACCATTCTGTAATTTAGCGGCGTACATTTTCGGCATCCGGCATGGATGGTAACGTCATACTGATGTTTCGGATGCAAAGGGAGATGTAACACGAGAAACGTACAGGTTGTTCGGTCAGTAGCAGCGTCACCACCAGGATTTCCGACTGTTCGCGAGAAATTGAAACGTAACATCCGAAAATGTCATTAAAATCACTTAGTTGTGCACTATAGTTGACGCGTGTTGAAGTCTCTCGAGCTCTTCCAACGACAAGACATTCGTCTGCCCGAGCTCTGGTAGTTTGCCGGCCCGTGCTTTAGCGAGGAGTTCTGGACTGAACCATCGAGCGAGTTGATTCGACGTCGGCGACAGATCACCGCCGTTACTGCCCACGAATCCAAGACCCGGCGAGGATTGACGGCCGACAGCAAGGTTCAATTGCTGCGATCGCATTGCACGTCCATCTGCGTGTAGATCAATGATCAACGATATAATAAGAATATTATTGAAATATTAAGCTTACTAGGATTTAGAACGTATTTCGAGTAAACTTAATGTTTATAATGAATTTTTAAGAAGCTTGCGGATTTTTAAACTTGTGAAATACACGAAACACAAGTAACATTTATGCAGTGTGTATTTTTCTGTGCACATGCAATAAAGAAAGGAGAGAATCTATCCGATAATAATATGTGTACAATCCATTGTTCTAATATCCCAACGTAAACTATTTTGGCGTATAGTTGTTTGTACACATGATAATTAAAATTTACTTAGTTTAATCCAAACGTAAATTATGTCAAGACAGGGTTAAACGAGAGGGCTAATAATAGAGGCTTGCTACTATTCCGATTTCTGAACATCGTTGCATGCAATTTGATTTGGAAGACGACAAGCACCTGAAAATTAATGCAAGGCAATAAAAAAAGAGAGAATATAAGTTCAACGATTATTGTTTCTCATAAAAATTGAAGATGAGGATTTTGTTTAGTTAAAAACTTTGTGAAATTGTTAAACACTACTAGATATACATTGTGAAGCTATTGAGTGATACTGTTAAATACTTTGTGAAACTGTTAAATAGCATCTCGAGCATCGTTACCTGTACGATTGGAATTATAGTTTTGGTTCACGACAAGTTGCATCTTTGTTGCAAGTTGCGTATTCACAGCAGTTCGTTGAGGCGGTTGTTGTTGCATGCTGGCAGCTCCATGAGGCGGTTGTTGTTGCATGTTAGCGAGATGCGACGGGACTTGCTGTTGGGTCTTCATTTGGGTATTTATAGAATTTGACCTCTGATTCATCATTGAGCTCTGTGGTACGTTGTATTGCGAAACGTTGTGATGCGGCAAGGAAGTGGCCATCGTGTGCTTAGATCGTGCCGGATTGCCGTACACATTCGACGCTGTCCTATGTTGTTGCTGTTGTTGGAATTCCGCATTTCCCGTGTACTGGAACTGAGTGCTGTTCGTATTGTTACTCTTGCCACCTTTTACTATAGGTCGTCCTGAAATTAAAATTTTATGTGCGATAATTTCATCTGTGACTGTGACGACGATGCTCTTGCAAACTAGCAAAATCTGATATCTAACCGATATTTTATTCTAATTGGTAAGATACACACAAGAAATAATATATTAGATGTATCCTTGTGAAACATTAAAGGAGAAGCATACCTGGATGTTGCTTAAGAGATGGATTCGACCATGTCGATTGAGCAGATTGTGGCCGCATCGTCGTGTGTCTCGGGAGGACTCCCTGTGCAAGTAGCTGAACTGCAGATTGCATTTGTTGCATCTGAGAAGCCTGAGTTTGCGTGGACAATTTCGATGGGTCATTGCTGTTTCCTGTATTTAAATATAAAATAGTTCCATCTTAATTACATAGATTTAGAAAGAAAGATAATATTATTAAAAATATTAATTAGTCTTTGACAACTTTTTTACGACTGCGAAAGATTTCGTTGCTAATGACGCGCCTGATAATTAACAAATATCTTTTATAGAAATAAAAATAACAATTTATATGAATTGTACTGAATGTATAAAAAGCCAAACTCGTAAGTCTATAATTAAATATACAAACTAGATATTATTTACGTGAACAATATATATATATATATATACTTGAACTTATTTATACCTCGAATTATATTATTTATACTTGAACAATATATAAATATGTTCCTATTATATTATTTAGGTGGAATTATATCCAATAAGAGTCATCTTTTGCTACACCATACAATGATACTACAAGTAATAAATATTTATCGTTTGTATATTATAAAGGTTGATTCCGTGCAAAGCACAATTGCATGCAATTTTAGAAAGCACAGAAATCAAACAAGCATGACATAATTAGAAGAAGAAATATGTGTGAACTCATACATGAGAGAAATGTAATGCTGATAGTAGGAGCAAATGTGTGTAAAAGAAAAGCTGAAGCGTATAAGATGGATTGATAAGGCCTTTTATTGTAAAAAAAAAAAGAACTATTTCAACATACTATTAGAGTGTAATAAATTTATATTAAGAAACGAAGAGTTTGTTTTATAAAGTGCTTGAATTTCTATCTCCGCATATAAAATGAAAATATATTTCTAAACATTTGTCAGACATCAGAGACATAAATCGCCAAGCGTTTGCACTCGGGACATCAAGCAAAAAACAAAATAGCTGCCCTTCATTATAATGCAAAAATAATGGAAACAAAAAATTTTTTTGCTGTACGAAAGAATTATTACTTTATAAAATATCAATGTGCATTCTGAAACTTCACGATGATATTTCTCCTCCACGATATGCATCCGGCGCAATTAGACATTTTCGTGGATTGCAAGTGGAGTGGTGTTTTGCGAATCAATATTTTCTACCTCTAATAAATTTTCTATTTCGTCTGACGATGCGGAAATGATTACTTTATCAGTTTCGTCTACGAGCGTTTCCTGCTCAGATGATATTTTTAGTACCTCATCGAGCGAGGTAAGACTATTATTGTTGGTGTCGTTATTGTCGCCTATCATGCTGGAATTCGCTGCTTTCGCATCATCACTTTCATTCGCATTAAAATCGAGGACACTTTCCTCCTTCGTTGCAGTAACATTCATATTATCGTCCGTGTTTTGTTTCTGCTCTAACGGACACAAATACTTGGTCTTTAGAGCTGACTCCTCCGGATCGATAGTGGTAATGTTGTTCGTGCGATGAGTAATGGTAGAATGTAAGAAAATCATTTTAAGAGTTTCATTTTGCACTTGATTGACAGAATTGGGAAATTTAGATAGAGGGTTGGCGGAAGGTATGATTAAACGATCCTGAGACATGCGAGAATGGTTAATATTTCCATCGATTGTAGCGGGAATGGAAGTCGTTTCTACTTGATGAAATTGATTCGCACCGTCAGGTTCCTTATCAGCAGTCATTTTACGTAAAACGGATGTTGGAGTAAAAGCAAGCGGGGTCGGACTCATTGTTTGCTTAGCTGGCGAGTTAATGGGACTCGATGAGCGTTGCTGAACTTGCTGCTGCTGCTGCTGCTGCTGTTGTTGTTGTTGTTGCTGGTCCTGCCGCTTGCGATAATTCTCGCGCTGCTCCTCCAATTTTTTCTTGATTAAAACATTTTGTATTATAGATTGAGTGTGCATAACGATCTCCCGTGGCGACGGCACTCTATGCGGTATCACTGTTATCATAATAACAATTTTACACATTAGAATTCGTTCATATACTTCCCTTGATTTTGTTAAGACTACCTAAAGGACAGTCTATAGAAAGAAACGTCGTGATAGGCTTATAGAAAATATTACAATATACAACATGCCATCCACTATTTTTATGTAATTCCAACAAATTTTATATTTATATTTATGCATGTATATAAATCAAGGTTTAATCGTACATTACGATTACGACTAGATCTACTTCTACATAGAAAATGATATGAAAGAAATAAAAATATGAGGTTTACTGTATTTACTACATTACCTGGGTGCTGTACTGTTAAAGTACTAGGACTAGCTGCCAAATTTGGTGATATTATTGGAGGTGGACAATAAGCTGCATTCCAAACACGAGATACAAGATCATTCAGTTTGGCAAAACTTCCAGCTTATAATTGTTTAATTGTCGTTTAAAGGGAGTTATACTTTGTTTCCTATTAAATAATAACGCCCGTGTGCGCGCAATGACTCACCATTGTTCATAGGAGATGGGATTCTTTGTTGCTGCTGTTGATACAGCATCTGCTGCAGCATGTGATCCTGCGGTGTGGGGGCGGCGGGATGCGGATGTGGACTCGCGGTACGTGGCGTAGTACCACCGTACATTTTCAAAATATTCACCAATACTTCTCGATGGCGATGCTGCATGACGGGATTCTACCGGCACAATACGATTAATTGCAAAAGTTCCTTGCATCAGATAGATATTCCGTAATAGAGATATCTATAAAATGCCTGAATTGTGGAGGGCTCACTTGTAACTGCTGTATGAGATGTTGCCTAGTGATTTCCCCCTGCTGTAGACCCTGAATAATCGCTTGAGCTTCCGGTCGTTGTAGAAGCTCTTGACTCGAGGGGATATTATTCAACATCATCTGCATATCCGTTGGTACAGGACTCACACCTAATATTCGCTGTCCGCCCATCATCATCGACAGCATATCAGAGTGTCGTTGTTTCTGTTGCTGTTGCTGTTGCTGATGATGATGATGATGTTGATGTTGTTGTTGTTGTTGTTGTTGTTGCTGCTGCTGCTGTTGTTGCTGCTGCTGCTGCTGTTAACAGAGTATGCATGTCATTCAATAGAGTTCACGATGTACTAACTGTACCGAAAACGTAACGGACATATACTTGTATTTGCAAAACTTTTATTAGATTCTCATGTTGCATCTGGGCCTGATGCGAGTGTTGAGTGGGACCAAGTGGACCGACATGATTGAATGTTGACGGATGGATTGGTTCCGCAGGCGCTGGGGGCTGTTGATGCGGCATTGGTGGTTGAGTCTTCAGTTGAGAATTAAGTAGCTGGAAAAATAAAGAGAGAGAGAGAGAGAGAGAGAGAGAGAGAAAGAGAGAGAGAGAGAGAGGGGGTTATTATGACATATAGTTTTGCGTATTTGTGTACAATCAAAATTAAAAGAAACACATTTACCTGCATTAACGTTATAGGTGGTTTCTGTGCGATAGGTCCGTTAGCTGCAGGTACAGCTTGTCCTCCGTTTACTTGAGCAAGCTAAATCATTCGCATAGACATCAGTTTAACAATGTCACAAGTATCTTTACGAGTCTAGACAAGCGCGAGTTTGTCGAATACGCACCAGTTTCTTAAAAGCAGAGAGATCTTCTTCAGTCTTATTTACACGGGGCGTTTCAGTCGAGGTTACAGGTGGAGGAGCGCCGCCCCGCATGCGTGCTTCTAATTCTTCCAAACTGTGCACAACTTTTCCACCAACTTCTAAAAGAAATCGACATCTTTCATGGTTACACGATCCGTATCTATCTGATCCGTTTGTCTTACCCAGATCCTTGATGGTGCAGTTCTTCACCAGAGGCGCCATCGAGTTAACCGCGTCCCCTTGGCCGTTTTGATTCGGCTTATTGCCGCGATGCAACATCTCGAGTAACTTGACGCCGGTCGTAGCAGCGTTTGTATTATTCGTCGTGTTGGCCGGAGAAATTGGAGTGAAGTAAGCGTTCGATTCCGTTACCGATGGTATTTGAATATTTGGCTCCGTGATATCGTTCAATAGATTGTTGAGTAACTCGTCATGTATGGAAGCTCTGCGACTGTCTGCTTGCTGAACTGGACTTTCTCTCTTAAACCATTGACTGAAACGGGAACAGGTACCGCCGTTCGAGCCAACTCCGTTCTGAGAACAAGAATAAAGATACGCTTCAGTCGAGTCCGAAGAAAACACGACAAAGAAATCATTTGTACAGATACTCTAAACGATCGATGACAATGACAATGGAGAAACTGAGTGAAGCATTCACCGTTAACAATCCTGAGACGCCAGGGAACGTGTCGGATTTCAGGAACTCATCCAGATTGAAATCGGGATGCGAATCCTCTCGATGCTGATTGGCGGTGGAGGTCTCCGTCGTTTCCGATATCGGCTCGTTTACGATACTCTCGCTGACGTCGTTCTCCTTCTGCGCGGTGGACGACTGCTCAGCCTGCTCGGAGATCGGGGAATGCGGAGCTGGTACTGCGTTTATCGACTGGTCCATGGCGGTCGGGGTGCTGCGGCCCTTCGGGCCGGACGAGTTGCTTTCGCTCGGCTTCTCCTCCTTCTCCGTGGCGTTCTTCTTGGCCCGTTTCTTCTGCGCCAAGGTCTGCTTCTTGTTCTTGCTGTTGCTGGAGTTACCGCCGCTGTTCACCGCCTTCTCCTCCGGAATGTCCTCGAAGCCTCTTAACTCAATCGTGTCGTGCTGAGACGTCGGTCCGGAACTGAACCATTCGGGCTCGTCCGAATCACGATTGTCACTGTAAGTCCGCCGACGGTCATTGCCGAATCTCTTGTCGCGCCCGCGATCTTTGTCGCGCTCCTGGACCTGGTGGTTGCGCTCGTTACGTTCCACACCTCGGTCGCGGTCGCGCTCTCTCTCGCGCTCCCCGTAATCACGGCCGAACGATCGCCGCTCGAATCTCTCGTCCCGTTCGCGCAGGTTGTCGCGATCGCGATCCCTGTCCCGCATGATATTGTCTCGCTCCTTTCCATCGCGATTATCTCGATTGTCACGATCGCGCATAGAACCACCGACACCGCTGCCCGATCTGAAGCCGTAATCCGCGCGCTCCGGTTCGATCTTTTCATTTTCAGACCTGAAGTCCCATATATCCCGCGTCAGGATTCTTCCGCTGCCGATTCGACGGACGGGTTCTCGATGGCTGACCTGTGAAGCATTTCCTTTGCGTTACACGATTTCGCGCGAGGCGCTCTATATGTATGTGTGCGTGTGCGCGTGCACATGTTTATGTGTTATTTGTGTTTATAAACAGAAGACAAAAAAATTTAAAACGAAGACAAATAAAGACGCGTGTTTTTCTCGGTAAGGCAAATCGCGATCGCACAGGACGAGAGTATCACCTCCGTTTTGCCAATCGGGCTCTCGGGACGTCGATTCGCCGGCTGATTCACGTTGACGAAACACCCAGAGTTAAAACTCCTCCGTTGCGGGCTCAAGACGATGCCGTCTTGCTCCTTGCGTATTCGGTCTCGCGGGTCGCCATTGCTGCGTCGCTTGCTATGATTCTCAGTGATTTGATCACCACGTCCAGTCTTTTCTTCTTTCGGGGGTGTATCACTGCGCTTTCTGTCCGAGTGCCAACGCTCGGGATCCCAGACGCCTCGTGAGCTGCGCAAAAACGTAACGTAACGATCAGAAGCGAGAACGTTGATTAGGTAAGAGAAAGAGAAAGAGGGAGGAAGAAGGAATTTTCGATATTCGTACATGAATATCGAGCGATCAACGAATCAAAACGTTACGACGTACCTGTTGTAAGCGACGTCTAAAAATGCAGGCCTACGTTTGGACAATCGCAGATTCTTTATCAGCATCAGCTCTTCCTGAACATACAAAAGCATATATTAATAACACACGATATATCGCCGCAGACACACGAGAAGCTCTCGCGATGAGTCTCAATAATATTTACAAGAGCGACATTTACCCGAGAATATTGAAACTGAGGTCTAGAACGGCCGATTTCCATGATCGAAGTATCAGTCACCTCTCCGGCTACCGACATCGATATAATCGCTTCATCTCCTGCAAAACGCAACAGAGAAATCAGAATTATCGAAGAGGCAGACTATGGTCGAAGAAGTGGTCGATGCTGAACGGGATCCAGTTCGGTCGAGAACGCAAGATTCAACGGCGCATTGAACTTCGTTTCTCGACTTCGAATCAAAGACCGCAAACACGCGCTCGCCTGCGCGTGCAAGCACGACACAGAACGGGAGGTCATACTTACGGAAGGTCACCCGTTTCAGAGGATTGATCGATTTGTTTTTCCGGTACCACCGGCAAGACCTGGTCTGCGTGACCAGGGTCGCGTCTAAGAACGGAGACCCGGTTGGCCCGACCAACGGACGTTTTCGTGGTCGCCGATACCAGTTCGAGCCGATAATGCAATTGGTGGTGTACACTTTCATATTTTTCGCGAGAAAAACGAGGCGCGCGCGCGCACACGACGACGACACACAACGACACAAGAGCCTTTCCTGCTCTGCGTTTATTAGATCGCCTCACAGCACTCTCCGTCTAACCGTCGCGCTTCTGTTTCCTCTGTGCGACCGTCTCCGGCTCGAATGTAAACAAACAGATAAAGGGCAAACGGACAACGAATATTCCCGTTCAGGTTCGTTCACGGATACCACCTCGATCCGTGAGTCAATTAGAAAAGAGATCCTCTCTCCCAAAAGAAAAATTCGTTAAAAGCTCTCCCCTTTTATAAGACTCGACGGTAAAACATCGGCGGGATCTGAATAATCGATGGCTTCTTTTTGATTGGTCTTCCAAGAGGTGCTCTTGAGGAGACTCTCGTCTGTGTTCCTCGTCCTTCGAAGCCAATAGACTCGAAGACAACAAACTTTTTTTCCCTGCCTTCCGTGCCTCTTCGTGAAGAGGAGAAATGTCGAAACCGATATTCGGCTTTTTAAATACACGTGAAATAACTGGTCTCTCCGTTGACTCTTTACTATTGGAATAACGACTCTCTCTCTCTCTCTCTCTCTTTCTTTCTATCTGTGTGTTCACTGGCTGTATATCACTCACGCAACTTTGTACTGTAGGTACGTATGTAACAGTTAAGTAAGAAGGTACAATGCAGACTGACAAATTCAAACTATTGTCAGACATGATGAGAAAAGTGGGCAAACCAATCAAAGCCTACCTGAGGAGATCCTAGACAAGCGGATACTTGATTGGCTAATGAAACATTTTAAATATAACTGACCCTTATCATTAGGGGGTCTTCTAGAAATTGTAATTATCTTCCAAATATAAATAAAAGTCAGCTCCAGATTTATACTGACTCTTCCTAGTGTGAAAAACCTATTAAACCATCCCTTTCTGAATACTCCAATGAGATATCTGTCAATTATGGAAATACCACAATTGACAGCTGACAGGTGAAGTTTGTGTTCTCTCTCACGATAGGTTCCTGCCATCTGAAGGCGAAATGTACACCGGATCCATTCGTTTTAACCTATGCCTTCTGCAGTCTCTCAATTGTCGTTCCCCTTTTTGGCAGATGATAAACAAGTTTTATCTCCTTAAAACTGCAGCAAGCGTATCGTAACGCAGCTAATAGGAAGAAACAAGTCTATTCTCGTCGATGGGAACGAAACGCAATGTCGTGCGCGAGGAGGTTATCTCCCGACAAGAATTGAGATTTCGCGAAGTCAACGAGCTGTCACGGCATCGTTTGAGAAATAAGAAGAAGCGAGTGGCGTTATTGAAAGGAATAAGACGATCACTCGAACGTACCCTCATTCTTCTTCTTCTTCACCGTCGTCGTCGTCGTCGTGGTCGTCGTCGTCGTCGTCGTCGTCGTCGTCGCCACCGCCGTCGTCGCAGTTGCTGGAGCCGTAGTCGTCGTCGTCATCGTCGTCGTCGTGATCGCGGCCGTGGTCGCCGTAGTTGTAGTCGTCGACATCGCCGTCATCGTCGTCGTCGTTGTCGTCGTTGTCACCGTTGTCGACGACGGCGGCTGCTTGTCACTTGTCACAGGCTCCAGAGACATCGCGTCGTCGCCGCCGCCGCTGCTGTTGCTGCTGCTGCTGCTACTACTAATAGTGGTGGTCACGTCGATCTTCGTTCACCCTTTGGAGGGATAAGCGCGTCCTACGGATTCCGATTCCGTTGTCTCCTCTTCGATTTCTTAGATCTTCTCTTAGATCCTCTTTATGCGATCTACATACCCATATACACTATACATGAAGCAGAGATGCGCGCATACACACACAATACACAAAATACATACTGCACACACACACACACACACCCACACACACACACACATACACATACGCACAGAGAGATACACCAACAGAGATTTCCATATACTAACTGGATTGCTAACTTTCCACGTAACTTGCTCCAAGTGGAGGGGGCGTGGGACGCCATATCATTTTGAGTGTATAGTCGCACACATAAATACATCACACCGAAAGTTACTATTAAATCACACAATATTAGAGTTTATAATGTTGAACATAATTGAAATTTTGAAAGCACCGTCATTAATTACGAACAGTATACGCACCGACAGATAATAAATACCTAAAATACTCAAAGCGACATAGTGACATTCACTAGATCTGGTTACAATCGAATTTCTCGGTCACATGCAACGGGTCTACATATTCGTGCATCATGACTGTGATTATTCCGAGGAAGCGGCGTTACCTCAACGTAGCCTTGACAGACAGTTTCCAATATATATAAGGCGAGTTATTGAGAGCAAGAGTTATATTATCACACAAGGAAACTTCTGAAATGAAAATACTTAAAAATGTTTCTTAATATAACTAGACTAAGAGAACCTTATGCAAATTAGAGTTACAAAGCAAATTCGCTTGTTTTCAAATGAGAATTTTGGTTATATACGTTGGGAGTTGTCAGTGTGAAGTTATTTGATCTAACGTTGTCATTTCCTCGGAATAATTATAATTATGATGCATGAATATGTAAACATATTGCATGTAGTCAAGAAACTTGATTGAAACTTGAAAACTAGATGTAGTAAATGTTAAACTATTATATCAGATTGTGCATAAAAACAATATCAGATGGATCTTTAGCTTTAATAAAATAAAATATGATACTATTTCTGCAATTAAAGTAATAAATCGATCATGTGATATGCACAGATACTATATATATTATATATATTCAAAATGATATAGTATCTATCCCATATTATTTTATCATCTAAAGCAATCTAATTAGTATGGCTTATAGTTTACATTGTACTTTTTGATATACAAACTAAAATAGCGATATATGTGCGATATATTCAACTGTGTTTAAATCCAATGTTTATGTCATTTATATATTAAATTTATGAAAAGTATAGTAAAGTTAAAGTACATATTATATTTTACGCAAAGATAAGTCATTCACAATTAAATATTTATGATTACTTACAAAATTGTACATGGAAAATGCTAATTTTCTCTTTGCACTAATACTAAAATTGGTTTTTCTTTACAAGATTCTGAGAAATATAAGTTTCCTCTGTCCAGTTTAATCCCATTTGTAATTTATCCCACTTACGAAATGGTTCAATGAGTCATGAGTCTATCATAGAATATAACAGCAAACTAATCTAATCCAACTTTATAAAATATCCATAATGACTATTATTTGATATACTATAATTTACAGAATCATAAATATATTTCATGCTCACACTATTTTAGTTTGGTACTTATTTTTCAAATGTATTGTACTATAGTTTAGTACACAAATGTTTATATAACTGGAATTGAGTTAATTTAGTACAAATATAATATTTGATATGAATATCAAAAAATCAGTATAAACTAGGCCTATATAGAAATCTATGTAGCAATCTAATTATATATATATATATATGTGTGTGTGTATATATATACAGAGTGTTTCTTAAATCCACTGTCCAATATTTTAAGAGTTATTTTTAAGTCTCTAAACTTTAAAGTCTCTTTACGAAACAATAATTTCAAAATTTCAATAAATTCAAAATTTAAAGACACAGGGTGTTAAAAATTTTATAAAATTATTATTTTTTAATAGCTCTTAAACAAAAACATATTAGAAAAAAATGAATGTTTCGTATCCAACCTTTCTCAAAATATTTATATAAAAATTGTACATATCTAAAAATAACATATCAAGGAATCCAATATCAAAATTTTAAGATTTATTTTAATATTATTTAATCAAAATAAGAAAACAAAATAAATAAAACAAATTAGAAAAACAAATCTTTTATCAATGCTATGTTGCAACTGTCAAACGTATACTTAGTTGAAACTAAAAAATTAAATTTGTAATATATTGGGCATTTCGCATTTATAAAGTCAGATGCATTAAAATACTGAAATATAAATATCTTCTAATAGTTTTATTGCAATATACCAAGAGTACTTTCTTATAGATAATAAAATAAAAATATACAAAACATTTGATTCTATCCATATAAGTTTTAAGCGGTAATGTATTCTACTTGAATTGTTTCTACGCTATTTTTACAATATTGCAATTTTAGATAAAAAAATTAATATAATATAGCTTATATATTTACTAACTCAAGTTTGAAAAAAAATCTCTTCCTTTAGGAGCTATTAAGGAGAAATAATAATGTTATGGAATTATTTACATCCTTATATATCTTACACGTAGAATGTTCAACATCCTGTATATATATTATGGAATTTTTAATACCCTGTATATATGTGAATGTATGTATATATTACTTAGTACTATTTAAATATTATTTAATATCACAGACTGGTTTTTTCCTTTTTTACGTCTTTTAAGTCTTGATGGCACAGCTAGCGATCGACGAAGTCTCGACGGGGCAACACAACTTCTCTCACTCGTTTTGACGGATTGTTCAACGAAAAGGAGGTGCGAGAGGAAGGGAAAAGAAGATATGAGAAGAAGACGGATGAAGAGAAGGGCGGAGGGGAGAGTGACAATCGAAAGAGAGAGAGGAAAAATGAGAAAGAAAGAATGAGAGTGAAGCAGAGAAAAAGAGAGAGAGAGGGAGAGAGGGAGAGAGGGAGAGAGAGAGAGAGAGAGAGAGAGAGAGAGAGAGAGAGAGAGAGAGAGAGAGAGAGAGAGAGAGAGAGAGAGAGAGAGAGAAGAGGTGAGTTTATAGAGCACTAAGAGTTTACACGCGAAACTGGACGAATGAGTATAAGTTTGACGGTTCGACGATACGTGATCACACGACTTTTCCAGCACGTGTCACCACAAAACAATCATGTCAGTTACGGTCCGTAGTGGTTTCCCCTGGTTGCAGATCGTCGTCAGTCCATCGATCTGTATCACGCACAACTAAAAAACTCGTACACACACACACGGTACTTGGCTGTCGCTCGCGCTGGCTATGCAAAAATAGAAAATGGCGCACGATCTCCACTTCCTGCTGCTGTTTCTCGTTGCCACTGTGATTATCTCGACGTAACGTGCGTTTCTTTGCCGAGGAGATAAGGAGATGCAACTTTACAGCACGCGTTCCTGGAGTACGAAAGAAACAAATGGACGACATGTAAGAGGCGATGTCGTCGATAAGGATTTAACAACCAATTGTATACGTCCGACACGCATTCGCAATGCATAGAACGATGCACGAAGAAACCGACCAATCGCGCGCTCAACGCACGTGACGCCGTATTGCGGTTCTTTTGCACTAGAGGACCGATTGGTCGATTTTAACTAGTCTATGCTGAGAATTAGCAACTCGATTGACCAATCGTATGTTTGATAATGAGTTTAGTAATATTTTAGCTAACGTTTTTGTATCTAAATCATCCTCATCGGTACCTATCATGGAACTCTGGTCTGTTCTTTTCAGCTGCATTGCGGAACTAGTGCAATAAGTTAGAATGAGACAACTATATTTTTTCTCACTTTAACTTATTGCACCAGTTCAGTAGTGCAGCTAAAAAGAACAGACCACTCGTCGGAATCGATTCCGATCGGAATAATTCCATTTCCCCTAGAAAAGACAATTGGTCTGTTCTTTTTAGCTGCACTACTGAACTGGTTCAATAAGTTAAAGTGAGAAAAAATATAGTTGTCTCATTCTAACTTATTGCACTAGTTCTGTAGTGCAGCTGAAAAGAACAGACCAAATAGAAATCTAGGAAATAACGGAATAAATTCGATCGGAATCAATTCCGACGAATTCATAATAGGTACCCTGATCGAGTATCAATAATGGCTGCGTTCAAAAAACACACGGTTACACAACGGTTGAGTAATTCGTTAACGTTATTGGTCTGAATGTAATGATCTAACAGTAAGGACCAATAGTTACTAAACGCTCAATGAGCGCTTTGTTTTCTGAACGCAACCAATGCAAATTTCGGGTGATGTGATTGACTTGTTCATTTTATGATACGTAGCAATATCTCACGAATGTTAGACGTACTTGTGAATTTCTTGGAATTTAAGTTTCCTACGTCAAATTGTTTGGCAATTATTAATGACCTCAGGTGAAATTAAACAGTCATCTTACTTGTCAATTGATTTATCTTTTAAACTCGGTCAGTGGTTATGTTTCGATATTCACTGCAAGTATTGAAAATCTATAGTATATGTAACATGAACTATACTTTTCAGTACTTGCAATGAATATCGAAACGCAGCCAATAGGTGCAGTAAATCTTTGCTCCAAATTCCAGACTGTGATATATTTTCTCGACAAAAAGTTTTCCTTACCTAAAGTTACTGTCTTAAATCGTAATCCTTTATAGAAAATTCATATATCGATATACAATGTACAATGTCAATATTCAATAAAAGAAATCGAATTCTAAAGATAAAATGTTGCTATCCCTAGAAATTTTTAAGAGTAAAATATTCTGTTAAGTCGTCATACATCAAATGCAGTGTGAATCTTCCATCAGAGCAATAAAACTAAAGGCTTACTATTATTGTAAAGTGGACATTAGTGAATTTAAAGATAAAAAGGATGTACTTAATATTCATAATAAAGTAAATGAAAGATATAATATAATATTGAAGGAAAGAAAACTCTGCCCCTCTACAATTTATACTTACAATTTATACATATAGATTAACAATTATGTTCTTCAGTATTGACGACAGCAGGATCATGGCTTTAACAACTATGTCACACCTGTCAAATTTGAAACCTGTAAGATTACCTCTATTTTATATGATTACTCGAAGACTTTTTTGTTGCATTATAAAGATTTACATGTATAATTCTAAATATTCTTTTTGGATTTAAAATTTCCTGAACATTTACACATACAGATATGTTTGTACTGCTGAGATATGACAAATTTCTTAATCCTAGCATTTGCCATCTTTTGATACTTAAAGGATCTACAAAGGTTTACAGCAATGCGAGGGTTTCTTATGTGCAATGTTTCACCAATAGGGTTATGTAGTAAGTGTTTGTAGAGTTGTGTAGTCATGTTTGATTATGTTAAATGTTGAGTAGAAGAGAGAGAGAGAGAGAAGATAAATTTATTTTTTGAGTTATACATAATAAATCATACTTTAAAACTATATTAAAATATTACTCTTCATAGCACATTTATATAAGTCAAGTCTTGCTTTTGTTCCAAAATGTGACCCGGTAAGAACAGAAGATGTGATAAGATTGAAAGAATTTATCAACAAACATCATCAATTGTGTGTATTAACTGGAGCAGGAGTATCTACAGAAAGTGGTATTCCTGACTATAGATCAGCAAAAGTTGGACTTTATGCACGTAGTGATCATAGACCTATCCACTACAAAGAATTTTGTGCCAGTGAAAAGACTAGAAGACGATACTGGGCCAGAAATTTTGTTGGTTGGCCAAGGTTCATTCATTGCTTTTTAAATTTATACATTCATTTAGAAAAATAATAAGTAGAGGCTAATAAACTGACTTTTTCAAACAGCTATACTCTTGTAGATTTTCATCTTTTAAACCAAATATTACACATATGATACTAAAAGACTTGGAATATACTGGGAAAATAGGATTTATCATTACACAAAATGTAGATAATTTGCACTCAAAAGCAGGATGTAAGAAGATAATAGAATTACATGGAACAGCATTCAAAGTAATGTGTCTTAATTGCAGTCATAAAATATGCAGATGTGAATTTCAAGAAATTCTCCAGAAATGTAATCCATCTATGGTTACAATGACTCAAATGATAAGACCTGACGGAGATGTAGAATTATCACAGGTATTCTGTATAATATATATATATATAGTTTCTCTGATGTATTTTTAACTAAGATCTTTATGACAAAATATGTTTGACAGGAACATGTGGAACACTTTAATATTCCAGCTTGTAATAACTGTGGAGGTATTTTGAAACCAGATATTGTGTTTTTTGGAGATAATGTACCACACAAGGTAGTGCAGAATGTAAAAACTAATGTAGAGAATTCAGATGCTTTATTAATCCTGGGTACAAGTCTTAGCACATTTTCAGCATACAGAATTGTATTGCAAGCAATTGATGCAAAAAAACCGATTGCAATAATAAACATTGGCAAAACTAGAGCTGATGAATTAGTAAACTTGAGAGTGGAAGGAAGATGTGGAGATATTTTCCCAAAAGTTTGCAAACTATAAAAACCAAATAATTTAATAAAATAATGATGGACATAAATAACTTTATAAACTTAATATATGTAATATATGTATACAGTAATTTATGGAACTGTTGAATTTAAAGACATTTATAATTATTTAAAAATTATGTATTCCTTAATATACATATTTTAAGTAATGATATAAAAATCAAGATACAATAAACAAATACTTCTGTTGGAATATCTCAGGTTTCTTCCATTTAATTTTGTAATTAGTTATTCAGATGTTACATATGCATATAAATACTTTGTTTCTTAATGGGAAGATTTTGTCTCCTTTGCATTTTGAAGACTCTGAGTAATGTATAATTTTGCTAAACTTTGAGCACAGAACTGTGAGATATGCTCACTGTAAGTATTGATTTGTCCAGCAACAATCATTGGATTTAATCTTGGTGGAACTGGCAGAGGTCTCATTTGTTTATTAATATCATCCTCTGGTAGTAATGGTTCATCTTTTGCAGCTCTGACAGCATTTTCTTGAGCTCTCTTGGCCAAAAGCCTGTTCTTATCTTGTTGTTGCCGAAGTACCAACTGTTGATATCTATTGAATTTCATAGCTTCCTGATTCAATTCATCCACACGATCCATCAAACATCTCAATTGATTCTCTAACACACTAGCTGTTCCAAGATCCAAATATTTGGTACCCTGTTCTTCAGGAATCATTTCATCCAATTCTGACATCATGATATTTGTCAGATTGCTGTTTTTAATAACTACTGGAATCTCAACAAAAAGACTCTCATATCCAATCTTCAAGGTACGTAGAGCTTCAGGAGTAAATTCATTCTCCTTATACATTTGTATGGCTTGTGGAGTAAGTCGGTATGCTTTGAGAGTCAAGAAACCTCTGGCAGATTTTGCTGTGTCATATATAAGCACCACTGATTCTTCAATAGAAGTTTGATAGTGATATTGCGATTCTAGTAAAGATAAATTCAGGAAATTTCCAACATCTGCACTTTGGTACCAACCAACATGGAAGTGATCAACGTTCACCCTTTGGATTGATAATGAATAAAATAATAATACTCATAATTTATGTAATAATTACATTTTTTCTTAATTTCTGCATTGATATTTACCATCTCAACCTTCGCATCATGGCAAGCTGGTACTCCTCCTCGTCCATAATTTCGTCATTTTTGGGAAACGGGAAACAATTCGTGATTTCCAAGCGGTTCTGCACTACCAAGCCCAACAGAGCGCCCTGAGCAACTTCCATGTTGCTGGCAGACTCCTCATGGCAATGTTTCACCATCTTCATCACCACCAGTCCATCGCATTGCACGTAATCTATACGCGGCTCCGCTTCTGGGATCCTCCTCGACGTCGCTCTTGAAACCATTTTTCAGAAATTAATCAATTACGATTTCTAATTGTTTGCAGAAATTGTTTTTACAATCGAAAGGCTAAGCTATATGTTAACGCCTCGCCCGATCTAAATAAAGGTTAACTTCACAGTCCGAGTCGTGACGTCACTGCATGCTGAGAAATAGAATGTCTAGAAATTAAAGTCGATAAAAAGTCAGTTGCACACATGGAACACGTCATGTTCGCCGCGTGGTGGAAATTAGTTAGGGAATAATGCAGTAACCAATCAACGTGCCACATGCAGCATATTTCGGCTGCGTTCCGATATTCACTGTCAGCACTGAAATTCTATAATATACGTGACACAAACTATATATTTGCAGTACTGGCAGTGAATTTCGAAACGCAGTCTTCGTAATTACTATTTTCGGGCAAGAAAGATGCTGAATGGCTATCGCAAATTTCCGCTGCGCAATGTAAATTGACCAATCATATTTTATTATTCTTCGATCGCAAATAAAGAAAATAGTTGATTATAATTGGTCAATTTTGTTTGCGACTTTGCAACTTGTGATAATGGCTGCGTCTCGATATAAAGCCAGCGGCACACGGTGCTTGTTTTCGCGCTGGATTGCTTGCTGAATGAAAATACTGCGTTCTGATTGGTGCATTTCCATCCATCTTCGGAAATGTACCAATCAGAACGCAATATTTTCATCCAGCAAGCAATCCAGCACGAAAACAAGCACCGTGTGCTGCTGGCTTTACTGTCAGCGTTGAAAATTTATAGTTTGCGTAACACAAACTATATATTTTCAGTACTTCTCAGTACTGACAGTGAATTTCGGAACACGGCCAATGTAGATGAGCTTTACTGAACGCAATCATCGAGACCCGCGAAAAGTAGATGTGGATAGTTAGTTAATATCAGGCTCACACAAGATTGGTTAGTATGTTTATGTTCGTTTTGACTGGTATCTTTAAAAGCTAGTACGTTTATGTGTTTTCTTCCTGCATATTTAATACAATTTATTATTTTGAATTATATACGTTGCGTATTAAAGCAAATAATTGAGAAAGTAAGTAATTAAATTTTCTAGTTCTATATAATTAATATATAATGTGATTAAGCAAATTAGAAATTTTTGAAATCACGTTTAGTAAAAACGACTCCGTTTCCATAATACATATAATAATGTTGAATTTACGTGATTACAGCATCTTATTCCACAAAAAAATATATTGTAAAAAATGGACAGCATAAAGAAAAAATTTAAATTATGGTTAGAATTGATAGAATCAGAAGAATTGGAAAGTGCAATGAAAGATCTTCAGGTATGCTTGCTATGTAATTATTGTTATTTTATTTATTATATCTTTCTTATGAATACAATTTCACCTTCAATATATTTGTAGATGAATATTCGTGTTCAGCCAGATAATAAATTGAACAAGTATATTTTCAAATTGTTATTGTGCTTATCTTGTACTGCGCATAAATGCAAAGCACAAAACCACATGACTGGAAAAAGAATTGCTGAATTGGCTAAACTGCTTTGCTCATTATTGATTGAGATACCTGATGATAAAGCTTATATTAGTAGTTTGTACCATATCATTCGCTGTTTAATCTGCTTAAATTTATATGAGGATGCAGCAGATATTTGCTGTTATTTACAACCTGGAGATTTGTACAGTCCTAAAGATGAGACTATGAAACTTCTAGTAAAAATAGTATACTTATGGCGCATTCCAATAAACAATATTTATTCCCTTGCCAGTGAAGCATTAAGCACAGCAAATTACAATAATTTAAAGAATATCATAAGACATGAAATACAGATAATACAAATTGCATATAAAAATTATACACAGCACTTAATTGTAAGAATAAGTACACATATAGATAAGATAGCAACAATTGACAAAGGAAATAACATATATTTTGATGATTTTTGTAAATATATATTAGAATATTTAATAAAAGTACAGCTGTGTTTAGACAAAGATGAAAAATCTATAATATATTGTCATATAGTTCGTATAATATCTCGTATAATATGTAAAAATATCAGTACATCTCGTATAAAATATGCGGTGGAAACATTGAATAAGTTGTGTAGTTATTTTAAAAATGTTCTAATAGAAGATGAGGAATGTTACCAATGCTTCCAACAGTTTCAAAGTTTGTGCATAGTACTTTTAACTCCAGTGGAGAATTTTGCGAATGATAGTGCCAAAAATATACAAGATTTTCTCATTTGTGACAAAAAACTAGCACAAAAATATGGATATAAAGAAAGCCTTATTAAGTGGAATGCGTTTAATATTGCAGAAATTGTTGAACCCATGTTTACATATTGGGAGACATACATACAAATTGATAAAAATAAATTTCTTGATACTGGGATCATGTTAGAGACAATAAATTTAATTATACATCTAAGTACATTTTTTATAAAAGATGTATCAAATAAATGTAAATCTTGTTTGGATGAAAATTGTACAGTCAAGAGAGATATATACAATAATGTAATACTAAAATACAGATGCATCTATTTAATAAATAAATTTCCTGCAAAAACTTTGCCGAAAACACTGTGTGTCTATGTTGGAAAAATCTTGGAGCAAAATGTAGCATTGATTTCTGAAATGAGAGAATGTAAATGCAAACGTTGGACACAATTATGGACAACATGTGGCGCTTTAATTTATAACATGGGCATAATATTTGAGCACGTTTACGAGGAAAGCGTACATATGTACACTTTGTTGTGTACCTACATCTTCCGATTTCAAGGAATTGAGTCAGAGTCTAACTATCTGAGCTTCGAAAATCCTGCCTTTATTACGTTACATAGATTATGCGCTGTACATTATACTAACGAAATGTACAGAGAAGCTATGACTGCTTCTGCATTGAATATCTTGTTAACTTACGACACACAATTTAGAAAAGCTTCCGACATGTGGGTAAATATTAAAAAGAAATGTGCCTCAGAAGAGATTGCAAAGTTAACTGTACTAGAATGTTTGAGAAACGATGAGACCAAGATCAGTGAAATGGGATTCACAATTGATTTCTCCAAATATGATCTTATTCAATTATGTTTACACGAAGCAAGAACTCTGGTGAAAGAGAATATCGCGTTTGCAAATGGTGCGTCAGCAGTTCTGCAGGAATTGGAGAAATTAAAACCAAGCAATCGTCAATACACACAGGCGATACAGCTATTAGGACATTACCTGTTAGGTTCTGAGTATGATAGCTCAGTTCTGAAATATCACAAGAAAGCTATATCGCATTTAAGCTCGAATTCTGTAGCTAGTTTGTGCCTGAAAGTTAATTTAGCATTTTTTACGTTCATTGAAGAGTTGCATATAATGAATAAGCAAACTCTCGTGGAAATGGAAAACACAAGATTTGCTCTGTTTGCTTCTAAGTTACCAGAAGTCTATGAAACTAAATCTCCAACTGTAGTGCCAGCTTACACTATGTTAAATATTAAGAAAGATTCCAGTCTCATGGCAAGTTTGCAGGAATGTTTGGAAAAATGGAATCAGCTGATACAGCACAACATACTTGTAAGTTATCATGTACAAGGTACTCATTGTGTTATTACAAAATGATTACCATAAGTTACACTAATCACACAAACATATCTTACCGTCAATAGAGTGAAGTCATAGAGAATTGGGAGCCGGGTCTTGTACTTCGCATATTAATCACATTTGGTGAATATTGTCGCATCTATCGTCATGAAAAATGTGAAGCGGAGGCATGGGTGTTGGCACATAGGCTGGCGTCAAAAATCGGCGATTGCTGCACAATTATTTACAGTATATTGAAGCTCTTGTTACGCTTAAAAGCAAAAAAATTCTCTCTTCCTCTTTCGAATTGCAGTAGACTGATATGAATCTATTATAGTTACAGGTCGTAGTATTTCATTAAGGCAAATCAATTATGATTGGATTGCCACTGCTAAGGAGTATGCTACTAAATACAAAGATTCCAAAGACGAAAATATAATCAGCGCCATTGCTATCTTTTGGATAAGTCTAGCGGATTTTTATTTCCATTGTGGGAAGGTACGGGATAACAATGGCGAAACGTATACAAATATTTCTTTTGCTAAACACAATATCAGTTTTAATGTTCTATTTTTCTTTCTTTTAGTGCGACGAGGCAAAGAAATTGCTCAACGACGCTAGAAATCTCCCGGGAATTTCATTCTTCACTAATACATCTATATATCTGTTCAGTTTAGATGTCATTATATGCAACTGTAATTTATATGAAGATAATATAAATCACGAGGATTACAGTTCGTACATCGTGGAAAGTCTGTACGCAATGATCAATTTGTCTCAAAATCTATCGACAGAAACGTGTGAGTATATCTCAATCTTAAAGACATTAAAGAAACTAGAAATGCGCGAAAATCATTCATTCGCTTACAAAGCGACATTTTTCAGGGAAGCGTCAAGCAATATATCTCTTCAGTTACGACGTGCTCTTCACCGCAACGGTCAATCTGTCATTGCGAGTGAATCACATGTTATCATTTCGCGAAATTAGCGCACATCTGGTGCAACGTGTGAAGTCAGCACAGAGCTTGGGCGCCGTGATGCGCACCGCTGAGTTACTGAAGTCATTGTGTTACATCGATCTGTCACGCACGAAGTTGGACGATTGCGAGGTGAAGTTGCAAGGCCTCGAGCACATGCTGGATATCGAGACGTTTCAATTGTCAATGAACGCCAAACCGAACTCCGAAGCATCCGCTTATCTCGCGGTATCGCCTGCAAGGATCGTGGATCCTGTAAGAGACGTACCTCAGCGTGATGCATCGCCAGTGCTCGGCAAGAAGGTCTTCGACATGCCGAAATTCACGCTGCATGAGAAGTGCGATTGCTACAAATGCAAGAACGTGTCGTATCGATACTTGGTGTTTATCGCTACTTACATTAGAGCGCAGTTGTACGCTTTGCAGTGTCACAACAAATTGGCGTTCGATCACTTCTATGGCGCCTTGAAAATAAGGCAGAAGTTGTTCGCAGAAGAGCAGACTGTCTTGCCAGAAAGCCAATCTTGCGACGAGACTGGGGCGAGACGATTTTCCTGGCAAGCACGATCGTACATCACCGATTACGTACAGTTGCTGATTGACTTCTCTTATTTTCTGGAAACCAATGTGGCGTCAAAACAGCAGGATGCGTCCGACATTGCCAATTTGGCGATAAGTATATGCCGCAAGTACAAATTGGAAAGACATCCCGTCTACATCTCGGCTGAGGAAATAATGCTGAATAACGCTTTTCAAACCATGTTGAAGTCTCCAAATTATTTGGGTATCTATCTCTAATGTTTAGTTCTCTCTTTTGATAATATATTTGTTGTAACGTTTTTATATCTGTATAATATCTGTCTTGCAGACTTTATGGTCCCTCAGATGCGTGATATCGACATAAGCAAGTACATGAGAGCTTCATCCGATTCGAGTACATGTGTTACACCGGCTATCCACGATCGTTACGTTAAAAAACCAGCTTCAATCCGACGTAAAAAGAATCCAGTAATTTTGAACTTGGATAAAATTAATATGTTCTTGAGCGACGACGAAGACGTCGATACATCATCATCACCAGTTGCATATTCGACTAGGGAATCGAAATTGACTAGAGAGAAAACAGTAAAAAGAAAGTTGTTAAAGGACGATTTATCGGATGACGCTAGTTCCAAGAGTGAATCTGTGTCGATAGGAACGAAGTCGACGAAAGATAGAACTCGAAAAGATAGTAACACGCGGATTAAGGGACAATCGATGAAGGATATTATGTGTGACGTAGTGTGTTCAATACCAGATATAGGAAAAAATGTAATGGATTTAATAGAAGAAGATGCACCTGCTACGATGGAGAATGTAAATAAATTAATAGAGCAAATGGAGAATTTGAAAGTTAATTCAAGCACAACGCAAAGAACTAGAAAAGTTAAAAGAACGAATGAATCAACGATCGCGAATTATAATAAAAATGTAAATCAAGCTGTGGAATTGCTGAAGAATTTAGCAATGGGCGAAAAGACAAATGTAAGTACCGACTTGGAAGTGGAAAAATCGAATAGATTACTAGCACAAGATAAAAAGATTACTGAAGAATATGATGGAAAGACATTAACTGTTAAAACGTTGGAACAGAAAAATGCGGACAATATAAGTACACCATCAACGAGCCAAAGTAAAATCAAACAATGTAGCTCTACTAAATTAATGGTAAATAATGACGTTACCGGCGTAAGGACAAGATCCAGCTTGAGGAAGTCAGGGAAGAAGCCATCATAACGATATTATTGATGTAAAAATTATATACTCCTCAACATTCAGTAGAATAAAAAGTGTCTTTGTATTTTTAAAGAATATAATATAATGAAACAAGTTTTTTTAATAAAACTATTTTTGATAAAAGTATGAAAAATTTTATGTAATCGAATGCGTGCATTGTTTTAATATGTTCGTAGAAGTTGTATAGATTTTACGTATTTATGTAAGTTATTCCTACACTAGACGAAAATTAACTCTGAGGTCCCGCTTTATCTCTTTATTATACTTTATAAATAGTAACTGATTTTGCTCTAATTAAATACTTTACAAAAACTCAATTCAACATTTTCGACATTTTTTTTCTTCATAAGAATTTATTATTATTCTTAACATAAGTATCACACAAATCCCTATGATAATAAGTTCACAACAGTAAACTAGTGTAGAAAGAAAAATACATTTGCATCATGCCTTTCATTTGTTTCAGTGTTACAAACAGAATATCTCGCTTCCGCGTTACATCGGCTAGAAAACAAAACGTCATTACAATACTCTTTCAAATCGATGAACATTTGACATGTGAAAAGCGATTATTATGCAAGATAAAAGTAATAAGATTTAATCCTATGAGACACATTTGTTTCACGAAACTTTCAAACTTCATGCAGAGGAAAACTGAGAACAATTCTTGCCGGATTCTGGCTTTGCGAGTGTATAGTTACGGTACTGCACAAGCTTACAAAATAAAAAACTCAGGAAAGTATCGGAATCATAAAACACATAAAATAAAATATAAAATACATTTCGTTCACATGAGAATGACGATAATAATTAAGAATTAAGGTAATAATTCAGTTCGTTCCATTAAGGCAATAATCATCGAAAGGAAACAGATGTGTTTCACAGTAGAAAAACCACGTTTGTACGATTGTTCGGCGACAAAAATCGGCCATATCTCCACACCGCGCGCATGTGAGAAGGGAGTTGGCTTTTATTTATCTTCCTGCGTATAAAAATAACAAAGTTACAGTAACTGCAGTTACAGTAATCACAGTTTATAAATGGCTACAATTTCGTTCAGGAGTCGTCGACTTTAGACTCAGAGATCCGCCTGACTCTTCTTGTGTCTTAGCCAATTCCATCAGCGCTAAAGCACCTAGCCATTTCTTATTGTCTTGTATCGGTAACTCAATTGTATTGTCTTCCTGTTTCACAACTTCCGCTTCCGTTCCTTGGGCGTCCATCGTAGGCAGTTTTGAAACGATCTCTTTACCACTGACGTTACTCGAACTCCCGGCCAACATCAGCACTGTCGGCCTGGTCTCATTCTCATTGATGTGAGACTTAGCCAGCTCTTGCTGGGCGTACTGCTTCATATCCAAGGCAGGTTGATGGTCTGATCTACATTGTATCTCCGCATTGACCCGTTCGATATTATCCTCAAACTTCTGCAACAGACTGCTCGAGCTGTCTAGCGACTCTGTCCACGGTGATTGATTTAGAGCGTGAACGACGTCGTATGTATTCTCTTGCTTGATCGCTATCGCTTTTGGAGATTCCTCGTTCAGATTCATGTCGCAACAATAGGAGTAAGGGGAGGCATATGAAATATCCGATGGTGAGTTCGCCGGTTCGTTGTGCGTGTTCAGTGTAATGTTCCATCGCAACTCGGACGATTCGGTGCAATCGTTGAATGAATGCTTCTCGTCGATCTTGTATATGGATGTTACATCGGACTTGACGTCCCAATTCAGAGGCTTCGCCAGCTGCTGCTCCAGACAAGCCTCTCGTAGCCACCGCTTCTTTGGTTGTAGTCTGTCCAAGGATGTGTTCAATGGTGCGATCACGGACTTGACAGCTGGCACTTCCTCATCTTCGGACATCTGAAGTATCGCGCATGGCTCCGTCGTGTCTTCGTCTTGGCTCTCTTCCTGACTATCATGACTTTCCCCGCAGTACAATCTTTGATTGGGTGGTTTGCGATCGAGATTCTCCTGCTCGCCTGCGGTATCCATCATTAAGCCTTTCCTGGAGGACTTTACTCTCCTATGGTTCTCAACGGTGCTCTTCCACGTCTTCTTCCGTTCATTCTTCCCGGTCGGTGTCCTATCTTCCCGTTCTCTGGACATCTTGTAACGCTCTAACCATCGAGTAACATCATGTGGCAAATCTGTATTCTCAGACACTGGCTTCAGTACAAAGTCGTCTGATCTTGTGAGCGTAGCATAAGGATGCTCAGGGCAGTGTCTGTTAGCGTGGGTGAATCTCATTTCACAGCCTGGTTCGGTACATAAAAATGGTTTTTCTCCTGTATGCAGTCGTTGATGAGTCTTCAATTGCCCTGACTGTGTAAAGGCCTTTGTACAGCCAGGATAGTCACATGGATATGGACGTTCTCCTAAAAAACATACATATTTCATATTTCAAACAGTTCTCTTATATTCCATATGTAATCTAAATTAATATTTATTCATCTTTATTCAAATTTCATCAAAGAATTTATTCTATATACAAATATGAATATACCAAATAATAAATACAAACGTAAAAATATTTACTTTATATGTTATATATTATTTCTCTCTTTATATATTCTTTCTTTATATGTCATTTCTATCAATTCGACCAATGCTTCGATATTACATCAGATATTAAAAATTTACTCAACTCTAATTGTACCGTCAAGGTATTTCAGAATTTTTGGCGCAACCAACACAGCTTAGTCTTCAATGAGACAATTAAACACAACGCGGTTACCGCATCGTGTATCTAACAGAGATTTCAAAGATGTTAGATTTCTCTATCGATTAATTTCTCCACTGATCTATCGTTTGATTCTCAGAATATAACAAGCAGGAATATAAACGAGAATACAATGGTAATACCAACATTTCCGAGGGAGTCATTTTTCGGTGCGACGTTGACAGTATAACGCGGAAACGCGCTGCTCTTTTGTTGTTCACGGACAAAGAGCGTGCAACTTCATACCGTAACGGACCGGTGAGAGAACGCGTACAACGCACTCGGTGTCTCTCCCTCCCTTTCCGTCTCACTCGCTCCTTCTGCCGACCGATTAAAGTCCTTCAACGACTTGGCGCGACCCGGTCGTTACGTATACAGTGTCGTCCTGTAATTTCGCGCGCGCAACAGGCGGGTCCCGCTCGCCCACCGGTCGCGGCGATGCGTGCTCATGGTACATACGTACACACGACGTAACATACGTGCGTAACGCAACTTGAGACTCGGGCCATTTAAGTATTTAAAGCACGGCATGATGGCGATTGGCGGGACACACGCGCGCGCGCGCGCGCGCGCACGCGCTCGCGAGAAAGAGAGAGTGAGAGTGAGAGAATGAGCGAGGCGCGCGCGCGCGCGAGAGACACGCGTGTGTAACCGTCGCGCGGGGTTTCTCGCAATTGTTGAATAGAATCACGCGGTTCCGCGACACTGCCGGCGCCGGGTGGTCGGCCGGCCGCGCGCTGAACGCCGCGAGAATGCCGGCGACGAGCGTGGACGCGGCGGTTCACCTGTATGAGTACGCAGATGCGCCTGCAGGCTCTTCTCGCGCGGGAATACCCGGTTGCAGTAGGTGCACTTGATGCTGCTCGGCGAAGTGCTGCCCTGCATCATGAGATTCGTGAGAGCGTCAGCGCGCGGCCGGCCACGCCGGTGACTCTCCGTGGCGGCGGAGTGCGAGTGCCTGGCGTCGGTGCGTCTGCCCGGCGTCACGCCGTGCTCCCTGTACTCCGGTGAGGAGCACGAGCTGCCGGGGCTCAGGTTCACGTTGCGCGCCTCCTCGCTCCAGTTCCACGGGTAGAGAGTCGTGTCGGCCATCGGCGGGCTACAAGGTAACACCTCCGCCGGGGGATGCGACCCCCGCTTCGGCGTGTGCGACTCCATGCTGCGCCCGTAGCCCCGCCGTCGTAGCTTCTCTCACGTTCGTCGCACGGCACGCTTTCTCACACAATCCGAGACGACTTCCTGCGCTACGACGCAACACACTACCACGGCAAGTGCCGCTGGCGACTGACTGACGCGCGCGACCTCTTTGCCGCGACGCGGTATGTATACGCGTGCCGCGTGCAACTAATAAACCGCCAAAATATACGACGACGCAGGAACGGGGAGAGAAGGACCGACGCTTGCGCATGCCGTCCGCCTGGCGATTGGCGCGCCATCGTCGAAGCAACAAACTATGGCTGATATTCATTTACATTTCGGATCTTATCTTGTGTTTAAGAACGTCTTGTAAGTTTATCATCTGATGCTTCGTAGTCAATGCAACGGCTTTTGCAGCATTTTAACATAAATCTGAGACTATCTGATATCAAAGAACTGACTGTAGATGTGTATGTCGTACGGTTGCGAACATAATAGTGTGTGCCCGTTTCTTTGCAAACTTTCGGAACGCATCCCGACTCGAGAAGAATGAGAGTCACTGCTCCGCCTGCGGAGCACGCCTGCGCAGTGACTCACAACGAAAGGCGAGAAATGAAATATACGCGGTGGGACATATTGACTTGTGCATTCGTTGCAGCTGATGATTCATCTCGTCCATCTCTTTCAGAAGACTTTAAAGTGGAAGTCACATCTTAAAACGATATCTCACGTATCATTTCCACGCTTGGGTGGAAAGGTAAATATTTATAATTATGTTTTATATTGTAGATACTATTAAAGTTTGTGTTAAAGTTTTTTTTGGTCACGTTTTTCCTCTTCTTTTTCTTTTTCTCTTCGTTTCTGCTCTTTTTTTCATATCTTCTTCATTATATTTTCCTATTCTCTTCTTCTCAAGAAATACTTTGACACACACTGTATTTATAATATAAAACATAATTATATTTACCTTTCCACCCAAGCGTGGAAATGATACGTGAGATATCGTTTTAAGATGTGACTTCCACTTTAAAGTCTTCTGAAAGAGATGGACGAGATGAATCATCAGCTGCAACGGATGCACAAGTCAATATGTCCCACCGCGTATATTTCATTTCTCCCCTTTCGTTGTGAGCCACTGCGCAGGCGTGCTCCGCAGGCGGAGCAGTGACTCTCAAGCGTGGTCTACAATGGCAGTAAGCAGTAAGAAGTAAGCGTAAGCGGTAAGAAATAAACCAATCACAGTCGATTATGACAAAAATAATCAACTGTGGTTGGTCCATTTCTTACTGTTCACGCTTTCTTCTTACTGCTTACGGCCATTGTAGACCACGCTTCATTCTTCTCGAGTCGGGATGCGTTTCGAAAGTTGCAAAAAAACGGGCACACACTATTATGTCCGCGACCGTACTTCTTCGTTCATGTAGGCCTATGATATAAAAATTATTATACATAACATATACCTATAGTATGATCAGTTTGTTATTTGGTTTGTTCTTTTTAGCTGCACTACTGAACTGGTGCAACAAGTTAAAGTGAGAAAAAATATAGTTGTCTCATTCTAACTTATTACACTAGTTTCGTAGTCCAGCTAAAAAGAAGAGACCAATTGTTTAAGCAAGGCGTAGACCTGGGGTAACATAGATTTATCTACAGATAATGTACGGATCGTTTCATTGGCTAGGAAGTAAGTGAAGATAAATTCAACATGATCTTGAATGTAAAATCCGACTATGAATAATTCTACTGGTTGACGTGTGTTTCAGGTTAATTTGTTCTGTACGCTCTCATGTCGAAAGCATCGTTCTGCTTTTATACTTCATTACATGCCAAAGAAAAATCGAATATTTTTAATACGAAAATATAGTACGATTGCTTTAAAATCTTTATCAAATTAGCAATTAATTTCTCTGTCTCCTACTCTTCAATAAATATCACATGTCTATTTTATTTTAGGTGTATACGATATTTAATACAGCTGTAGAAACTAAAGTTAATGAACTTCTTTATGCATATTTATTCTTGCGCAAAAGTGAAAGCAACAATTTATCCGAACCGGATCCAATAACTTAAGGCTGCGTTCCGAAATTCACTGCCAGTACTGAAAATACATAGTTTGTGTCACGTATACTATAGAATAGAATTTCAGTGCTGGCAGTGAATATCGGAACGCAGTCTGAACCTAATGCAGGATTTATACTGCATGCGACATACGAATATCCTTCATTCTTATCTAGCAACATTTTTGTCTCTAGAAAACAAATCTTCCTATTGGATGGCGTGCAGAATATCGTGAGCGATGTGAATCCTTCTTTAAGCCTGATTCACTGGATCCAGCTCGTATTCCCGATTGCAACATCGATGGGACAGATGGCGCACTGGTTGCGGGACAATTATGCGGTCTCCCACCCTTACGTTCCTTAGCGAGGCAACCTCGTGGTGGATTAGATTCTGGTCGGCCATATTCGCATTGAATGTCTCTATTACACAAGGGCTCAAGAGTAGCCGTGAAACTTCCGAAGAATCCTCGTTGCTGTGAGGATACAGAGACATCATGGAGAACGAATACACCGTTACGGTCACCAACAAGTTCTTGTTGGCGCTCGACGAGAGCGAGGATCCATTGGAGGTGCTAAAGGTTCGTGAGCAAGAGAAAGAAGCGAAGAAGAAGGAACGAATCTCCGAGAAGGAGAACAAGAGCAAGCAACAGCAGCAGCAGCAGCAGCAGCAGCAACAGCAGGACGGACAAAAGACCGCCAACAACAAGACGCAGAAGAATCGTGTGATCAAGGACGCTCAGCAGCTGCCGTCCAAGGTGCAGGATGCTAAGAAGGATCAAGGTTAGTACCCGGCCATTTCGGCAGTACGCCACTTTCAGCCTCGTGCTGCGGGGTATTATGGCCGTCGGTCCGCTCCCTCGTGGGCTCATGTGCTCGCCGATCACACGATCCTCTTTCCCGCCGGCGTGTTCGCACAGCTCGTTGCTCGCGCGGACAACCCGCGATTTTTCTCACCGGCAGAACTCCCTGGGGGTCGGGGAGGGGGACAACGTACCGCGAAAATCTCTCGTCTCACGGCGTTACGGAAAATCGCCGCTTTGTCGCCTCATTCTCTCTTTTTCTGTCTCTCTCGCACGCTCTCCAGAATTTTCTAAAAATGTTTCGCGCCGTAAAAATAGGATGCGACACATCCGGCGATCCCTGAGACTCGATACGGGAACGGGAAGTGGAAATTACAGGTATGTTTAAAATCAGGAGTTCTGCGCGTATATGAAGAATAGACCTCTACAGACGAGTTCGTTGTATGTTTGATTTCACTTCCGGCATGGTGCCGCGTCATTTGGTTTTGTTTTCAATGTTTCTCGAATTTTTTAGCTTGTCACAGGTAAAAGAGCAACCTCAAGTTCAGGTATTTCTCAGTTGTTGCTTTTTTGGGTCTATTCTTTACAGGTACACGAATACTGCACCTGAAACATTCTCCCTTTTCCCTTTAATGCCCTATTGTGTATAAGACATTTTTTTTCCCCCAAATGAACTAGTACTATACTGGAATTTTGTTCCTTTGTCCACCGATGCTAGGTTATATATTTACCTCACTTCAAAAGCTAAAAGTCATTTCTTTTTAGCTACACTAAATTATATTTTTTGTTTCTAGAATGAAACAAGTGTATAACATTGAAAGATAAAAATGGAGTTCCAGCACTAATTCAGATGAAAATCTATAAACCTATATATTTAATTTATTCCAAAAGAAGAAAATATAACCTAGTTAGGTTAAAAGGAATAGATGTTTTTAGATGCATAGAAGATGAATTAGACAGTATTAAATATCAACTTGTTATATATGTTAGCTTGTCTAACTTTCATGAAACTACTGAAACTCTGGGTTTGTATATAGATTTAATTCCTTCAGGTCTGAAGCTTGTTTTTATATATAGCATTGAATATTAACAATTTATATTGGTATAAATAATGCAGTATAGATTCACACAAATATAAACATTTGAAGTTGTTCTAATCAAAGCAAGATCTTTATATTAGGATATTTTATATAAAACTCATCCTCCCTATGTATATAAGATAATTAGGAATCTTTAAATGTTAATATTGAAGCATCATACTGATACATAATGCTATGATGTGATACCATTTTATCAGAAAAATACATCTATAATACTTCTATTTGAAAGTAAAAGTGTTATGTTTGCATGCTTTATATTAATATTTTTAGTGGACAAGAAGCCATCCCAGCCAAGAGTAAGTGCTGGTGACCGGAATGTGAAATTCTCTGGCGAGTCTAGGGAGGAGCGTAATAATAGGCGCAACCGTGAGGATGGAGAACGAACTTTACGGGGACAGGGAGAGTTTAGGCGAGGACCTCCTGGATTAGCTTCCACGAAACAAGCAACAAATGTTATACGGTACAGTCTATATATTTCAACTCTTTTGTTTTAAGATATATGAAGTATTATATACTATGTGATTGGAATTTTAATTAAATAATGCAATTAAGTTAAAACTTGTTTTTTTTTCTTTTCAGTTAATGCTAAAATTAATATTAACAAATTGTGTTTAATTTTTTTTAGGAAATTGTATTTTGTTCGCGGTAGATACCATTGTAGCTTTTGTTCTAGCGAGGGCCGTGAAACGCGCGAATTCCGGAACTCTAATACCGATGCTCAACGTGGTGAATACGGTGAACGCCGTGGTCGCGGAGGCATGCGTGGTATGAGTCGCGGACGTGGAGGCCCTCGTGGACGCGGTGGTTACGATAATCGTGGAAAGCGGGAATTTGACCGTCAATCGGGCTCTGATAAGACGTAAGTACCGGAATGTATACATTTTTTATATTCCGTTCGTAAATTCTCCTCAAGTTTACTTTAATGTCATGCGAACTCTCGTAAACCAATGTTCTTTAATAGTATTTAATGCGATAGCAAATATTATTTTTCCGTTTTAACTTTATTATATTTTTTTAGCGGGTCAAGTATGTGTCTAATAATTCACTAAGTAGTTTTTAAATTATATCAATAGTAACGTCTATATTGTATAAACGTTAAATGTGCAAGAATAAACACAAGTAGTGATTTTGGTACAACACATACAATGAGGCGTGTGTGTTCACTCTGTCAACGTATTATATTGCGCACTTTATTAATGGGCTTTGACTAACATATCGTCATTTATTACGTACTTAAAACGTAGTTTATTTGTCCATTAATAGTGGCATTAAACCCGTGGATAAAAAAGACGGTGCTGGCAGCCATAATTGGGGCACCCATAATGATGAGATAGAGTAAGTCACTCAAAAGTACTTACCGCTTTTTTTCCTACGTAGTTCAAGCTTTGTCTCTGCAGGAATAGTCAGTGTCCTATTCTTGAATCGAAAAATCATTAATCCTCGACATTAATCCTCTTCTGTTCTTTTTCATTGTAGAGAAAGCCTTAATCAAGAAAGTCAAGACTGGAACAATGACAAGCCGGAATCCGAGGCCACTCCGGGAACAACGGAAGTTAAGAACGGTGATGCTACTGCGGAGACTGCTGTTGAGGAGAAACCAGTCGAGGAAGAATCGCGCGAACTTACTTTGGACGAGTGGAAGGCATTGCGAAACAACCGAGTGAAGCCGCAATACAATCTGCGAAAGGCCGGTGAAGGTGAGGATCTATCACGCTGGAAGAAGATGTATGCTCTCGAGAAGAAGAAGGAAGGCGCTGACGAAGAGGATGACGAGGAAGAAGAATACGACGCGGCCGTGGAGTATCCTCAGCGCGTTGGCAGGCAAAAGCGCGTATTAGGCATTGAGATCCAGTTCAGTGATTCGCGACGTGGTTCTGGCGGTCGTGGACGAGGTGGTCGCGGTCGCGGCGATCGCGTGAATGGACGTGGATACGGAAATCGTGGTACTCCCAGAGATGGGGACTCACGTGGATCTGTAAGTATATATCCGCCACATTGACTGACTTGGGGAAGAAATTTATTTTTCTACATAGCATTAATTTCAAGATTATATCACAAAATAACTGATATAAAAGAAATTTATGTTGTGTGCTTTTTAGTTGCAGTCTTCACAAAACGAGCAAAGGTCACCGCGAAGCCGTCAGAATGCTCCGAAGGTAGATGACGAGCACGACTTCCCCTCTTTGGGATAGATAGTTCCGCCTATCTACTCCTAACATCTCAAGAATACCGACATCAACATTATGATGGAGAACGTTACATTAATTGAGAAAATATTACTATTGAGAATCTTACGTTAGTGCATAACATTAATATTACATAATACAGTACACATCTACAGAAAATGAGATACGTAACACTATTCTTAAATAAATTGTGACGCTTGAACGCGTTGTTACATATTGCTATAGAATGGTACATATGAAAAGTTGCACGACGTATGAACAAAGAAACATAGAGAAGATAACAACCCTTCTTTTGTACTCATGAGGGAACGTTTGTCCATAACTACTCTAGAGATGTCAGCCAGCGGAGAAGCGATCTGTAAGAAGAAAAAAACAACCATATAGTTTCTGTGGAAATTGTTAATACCATAATGAAGGCAAAAATAGGAAGAATATAATTGAAGAAAAAATAAAAAAGGAGTGCGTTAAAAGAAAGAGAGATTATGTGGACCAGCGAGTGTGAACTATTGGGTAGCATCAACCTCGGAATAATAGTTTCAATCTGCTTACATCCAACTCGAAGCAATTATCGAAGGAAAAAAAAATTTGCTGTACACAAAAGTAGAGAAGAAACAGGGCTGCGGTATCGATCTCGAATTCGATGTCGCGTTAAAGGCCTAAAGGAGGCTGAACCGCGTAAACCTGTATAAATATCTCTTTTTAGGCGTAAATTTTAAACGCACTTTTGATTTTATAATTTTTATACGTATTTGGAAATAGTCCTTCCTCGTAACCGGCAGGTTGTTGCCATTCGTAAAGAGTAAGGAAGGCATTTCTATTTAAAATCGAGACGCTGCAACGTCTTTTACTAAAGATAAGTCTACTTATATAGATATATATGGAGCTATATATATATACACACATATATATATATGTATGTATGCATGTATGTATATATATAGAAACAATCGAGATATACAACGCGATACATATTCCTTTTTCGGAAATATGCCCCAAGCGGGATATTTCGCACATGCATTAAAAGCTTTAGGTATATATACATGACACACACAAAACACTTACGTATACACACATACACACGCGCGTATATGTATTTACGATAAATTGGAAATTATCTTAATATGGTAAAAAGCAAATGAGTATATACACTTATATTATTATGTTACATTTATTGCGTTGTCAATTCTCAGAAATCTTAATTATAAATCCATTAATATTAGTTATTTGCTATATTTGTTATAACACAGTTGAAGGTAATCAGTCAAAAGAATCACCCCTCCATCATAAGCCGAAAAGGGATAACGGAAAATATAAAAAGCTGTTTGAAGCTTAGACATATGTGTAAATAACATATTTACAATAATAAATTGTGACAATGATCACAAAGACGCTTTGAAACTCGAGTAACTTGACCAGAGTCAGTGGTAAAATTACTGTAGGCAAATTTTGTTTCTTACTCGTGCACATCTGTACAGAAAAAAAGACGTAAGTACAAAAGTATATCTTAAACATTGCGATTGACGAGAAAAGAAAAAAAAGTAGGAATCAGGTTTGACAAGAATTAACTCTCATTGAGATGTGTTGTGTTAATAAAGTTGTAAGTGTAATATTTCATTGTAATTTCTTCTTGCGATGTAAATAATAGTAACAATTATCCTTGCCTGGCAGAATTTGAGACTGACGATGATTTCTATAATGACTTTCTGCTTAACCATTTTGAGGTTTCAATTTTTCAAATTGCCGCCATGTCATAACGATGGACATCATGACGCGGCCATTTTAACCGCATATCACTAAGGTCAAGTGACACAGCGCTAAGCATGCATTAATTAATTTATCATCCTACATTATTTCTACATAGGATAAATAAAATTGTCACGTTCGATACCGTGACTATGTTAAACATGATTTCACCACACGTAAATAGAACCGAGCTACGTTTGTTCTACTAAAATACGAAGTGCAAGAGTCTCACCGCGAGGGGGCGTTTCTTCACTAGCAAGTGCGTGCGCACAGTCATACAGGGTGTTCTTGAAATCGCACTCTTACTGATCCACAAAGATTAACAAACAAGTCGAGGAGCAGGACAGTCAATCATTAGCAGCGCATAGATGAGCACGTCGCTGATAATATCGTTTTCATTTTACAAGCTTAAAATTCTTAAAAGTCTGATGACCGTTAAGCTGAAAAAGAAATCCTTCCGGCCAATTGTAAATAGCCCTTACTCTCGGACAAAACCCTAGTCAACAATTGCGCTCAAGAAATCTAATCTCACACAAACGAGGAACTTGACGAACTGGGCGACTTAGTTTCCGCGGCGAAAAAAAACTCCATCCTTTGCTTGCCCGAGCGAGTCCGCAACCGAGGGCAAGTTTTGGAACATCCTGTATATACATAGTGTATACATGCATACGAGTACATAAGGCGCTGGAAGCGCGAGCGAGATGAATGAATACGAGCCGGGAAAGTGGAAAAAGAAGGGTGAGAGGGAGAGAGACGGTGAAGATACGTGCTCGGCAAGAGCGAAGTCCGGCTTGAAAAGGATCCGCGGCTAAGAGCGAGCGAAAGACGCATGCGAAAGTGAGTGACTGAGAGTGAGCGCGACAACGGCCGAGCGAGAAAGAGAGACGGAACAGCGGCACATGCCGTAGCCACGGCCCCCGACTCGCTCTAAACTTGTGCGCGGAGAGTGGCCCGTGTCGGTCGAATTTTAATGGCGGCTGCTCCCGATTCGGTCGTTTGCGGTGTTGTGTTGTGAAGTGCAACGTACGACGGCCGGCGCTCGCACGGCGCCGACGTATGGTATCGACGCGGCGACGGGACAACGACGCGATCGCGGCTCATCCAGCAGCGATTCCCGGGCGGTGCTGTGCCGTTCGTGCGACGGTGGCCACGGCGGTGGCGACGGCGGCGGCGGCGGCGGTGGTGGTGGTGACAGTGGTGGCGGCGGCGGCGGTGGCGGCGGCGGCGGCGGTGGCGACGACGACGACGACGGCGGCGGCGGCGGTGGTGCTAGCGACGGCTACGGTGACGACTCGTTCGTGGTGGCGACCAGTGTCTGTCTACGTGTACCGGGACGGATTCCTTCGTTCATCCGCGCGAGTATGCCGCACATTCGCGATGTGCCATAGCGACCGCGCTGTCCGACCAGCATTCCCGCAGTGTGCATCCGTCGCAGCGTGCGAGTCCCGCCCGAGACTCTCTTTCGCGCGAGCAAGGTAAATCTCTTTCTTTTTTTTCTTTTCTCTCTTTTCTCATCATCTCGCTCTATCTCTCTTCCCCCGTCCGCAAGCTCGAGAAGAGCGCGCGGTGGCGGCCCTCGCGCCGCGCGTCTCTCCTCGTCGCCGATACGGCCGCTCGTTCGAGAAATATCGCGCATCGCGGCCGAGTTACTCTATCCGTGCGCTCTATAATACGAGTCGTTTATTGCTTATTTCCTTCCGTTCCTGCCGATTTTTCGCCACGTTCACGCTCGATTACAGTCACGATTCGCTCATTCGTCTCGCAGCGATCATGTTTTGGTAGGCGATGTATTGTGACGGGGTATGTGAAAGGTGAGAGAGAGAGAGAGAGAGAGAGAGAGAGAGAGAGAGAGAGAGAGAGAAAGGAAAGAGAGAGAGAGGGAGAGGGGGGAGACGAACGGTGGAAGGTATACTTGCCTTTGTGCGAAGACAGTGGCCTTAGCTGTCAAGTGCAGCTACTCTCTGGTCACGCTAATGAAGGGCGGTGCGTGCTGTGCAATGCGTGTTGTCCGAAATGCGTGGAGCCATCTGCCATCGGCCTCTCATCGCGGCGTTATGCTTCTTTATTGTTAGGAGGTGCTCGGAGGTGAGCCCTTATTTACGTTCTCGATGGTTGCCGACGAGTGAGAGAAAGAGAGAGAGAGGTGCGAGGAAAGAAACAAAAAAGAAACTTCTCGAACGGAAACGCGACGCCAAGTGCTGTACTCGTGTCGTGTCGTGCGACAGACGCATCTAACATTTTAATTTCGATATAACAAATTGTATATACTTGGTGTGATATTTCGCTCGCGAGTGAGACGCAAGCCTTTCCTCGATATATCGCGCATGTACATCTCGCCGAGATCGTTTCTGTGCATTTTTTAAAGTCGATCTCTGCAAGTTTTATGTTAACGTGAACGCACTTATCTGCACTATTATTCGATTTAATTATTTGATCTTTAAAAACCTGTAAGGCTGCATCTACAAAGTGTAGTAAGCTTTAAGTAAAGAAGTTGACCAATCATAATCGAATACTCAGAAGAATAATCAGTTATGATTCGTTAATTTCTCACGGCTTAAAGCTTATTACACCTATTGTAAACTCAACCTAAAGGAAGTTAAACATGAGTACAGTTTCGAATAGCAATATAGTTTAACGTGATATAATTTGTGGATGTTGAGAAAATAACTGCAAAGTTAACACACCGCTTTATGTCTTGTAGCTCGCGCGGAATTTTCCACTTAAGCCATTTGATGCCTTTAAAACGAGATCACTCAAATCAAAATGTTCTTATAATAATTATGAAATATGTTATCTGGCAAATAAAATTTGGCTTATAACATGGATAAGTCACGCAAGATTAAGCTGGCATGGAATATGTTAATATATAAGGTTGTATGAGGGACGTATGTGAAGTTCTCAGCATTCTAAGTGATTAATTGGCACATTTGTGATGTTTTAGGGGTACAGGACAATGATCGACATGTCGGTGCCTGGACTCAAGCATAGCTGGTAGTACTACATTAACACTGGCTTGCTACCAGCAGGGCACACACCCTGATCATACCTTTTGCATTTCCTACCCTAGACCTGCATACGCACTGACGCACACGCCAAGCGTGTGCGCATGTGCTCTGTCAGCTGTCGCATACACACCATGAAATTCCTGGGACTTGTGTCATCTCCCAAATCACCCACAGTGACATCTCCACAAGCGCTGCTGTCATTCTTTCATCGATTGTCTTTCTCATCCATGTCCATTGCCACATGGTTCCTGGTTATACTAGCAACTGCAGCGATAGACACTCCTGCCAGCACTGTCGCACCGATACAAGACAATAGATTTCCTCATATAGTAGCGCAGTTTCCTGTGGGAAATGAACAGCGATATGGACATCTCCACTTGGATACCAATACAACCAGAGAAGGAGCTCTGAGATTCAATCATCTTACTATAGATCCTACTACAGGAAGGCTCTATGCAGGAGCTGTCAACAGACTCTTTCAGCTTGACTCAAGTCTTAAGCTGGAAGAACATGTCTCGACAGGTTAGTTTTCTTTCCTTGCCTCTGAATATAGTACTGTGACAACAATGTGGTAGTAAACAATTCTTTATTTCAGGTCCAAGACTGGATAATCCTCAGTGTCATGCAACAGGTTGCATGTCAAGAGAGATAACAACCTCCTTGATGGATAATGTGAACAAATTGCTAATCGCCGATCTCGAATCACAGACGATAGTCGCATGTGGCTCTCTTCTTCAAGGTGCTTGCGAAAAGTACAAAATGACCAACATATCCATTAAACCGGAATTCATCCCCCTCAGCGTGGCGGCTAACGATGAGAACTCCTCCACGTACGCCTTCATCGGCCCCGAGAAATACAATCCGTGGGGACAAACGAACATACTCTATGTAGGCACGACATTCACCAACAAAGGCGATTACCGTCATGATGTACCAGCGATTTCCAGCAGAAATCTCGGTACGCTGGAATTCGCCGAGTATACGTTCAACAAGCAGTCAATCGTATACATCGACGTCAAGTATCGGGATCACTTTCTGGTGAAGTACGTGTACGGCTTCAACGCGAGTGACTACGCGTACTTCGTCCTAGTGCAGAAACAGTCGTATCTGCCCGAGCAAGAGGAGCTGGGGTACATCTCCAGGTTGGCGCGTAGTTGCATCAGCGATCCGAACTACGACAGCTACACGGAAGTGACGCTGCAGTGTGCGGTTGATACGGGGGACGGCAAGCAGCACTACTACAACTTGGTGCAGGACGCGAAGGTCGCGGTAGCCGGCAGCGACTTGGCCATGCAACTCGGCATCTCCGTGGGTGATCCCATCTTCGTCTCTGTATTCTCGCCCAGCAGGGGCATCACAAACGAGCCACTGTCGCGCTCGGCGGTCTGTGTCTACAGTTTGCAAGACATCGAAACCAAGTTCAACGAAAATATCCACATGTGTTTCAACGGCAGCATTAAGTATCGGAATATGGGCTACGTCAGCGGCCCCATACAAGACGGGAAGTGTCCGACTGCTGGCGTAAGTAAACAACGATTGGATTTGTGTAAGCTTTGATGGGATCTCCGCTAAACTTGTTATTCTTTTTTGTATGCGCAGACCACAGGTAACATCTTGAACTTCTGCGAGGTGGGACTGAAGATCTCGGGTGTATCGCCGATCACGGGCCAAGCCATTTTGCATTTTTCCGACACATTCATCACCTCGGTGACCATTGCCAATACTGAGAGCCATACCGTGGCGTTTTTCGGCACAAATGACGGCATTCTGAAGAAGGTCTTATTGTCCGGAACCGAAGCGTTCGTCTATGAGAGTGTTACAATTGACAAGGGACAAAAGTTGTTACCGGACACATTGATCTCACCGGATGACGAATATATCTACGTACTATCTGCCTCGAAAATATCGAAGGTCAAAGTGGAACATTGCAGTAGTTATACCAATTGCAGCAGCTGCCTCGACGCGAAAGATCCTTACTGTGGTTGGTGCTCCTTGGAGAAGAGGTAACTTGAATATATTTTCGGAATAAATGGAATACATTATTTACATTGAAATTAAATACATTATTTAAGTTGAATATATTTGTATACGGGAAACAAAGAACTCGTTTTTTGTGATCAATCTTCTGTCATCAGTGGACTAGAATTCGGTTGTAGTAGCAGAACGGTTTTTTTTTTTTTTTTTTTTTTTTTTAGGAGATTTGTATTCAGCAGATTATTTTCGGTTATCTCGGCCGAGTTTTAATGCAACTGTTCAGAGCGTTCGGATGAGTGCTTTCGGTCGCGATAACAGAGATATCGTTTCTCGTCATCGAGTTTTTGTCTGCCACGCATCCGGTTATACGCGAACTGAGAACTGAGATTTTTTTCCATGACATGCATCATTTCCTCGCAAATATTATCAGCATAATAATACGTCGCTAAATATGCTGCTGATAGTATAAAAGATATATAATTATGACGATAATTATGATTTAAAGATTCCTGAAACCTATGAGATTCCTGAAACCTATGAGATTCAAGACCAGAACTAGAATTGGTCACTTGGTTCTCGAGATATCAACTTGTTGAGCTATTTTGTATATTATTATACAAGACCTATAGATGTAAAATTTTATTATATTTATAAAGTTATATATATAATGTAATATATAATCTCTTTACATAGATGTACAGTGAGAGGAGACTGCCAGAAAGCGAGTCACAGCAGTCCGCGATGGTTGTCGTTAGGCACGGGTCAACAGTGCATCGATTTCGAGCAAGTTCTACCCGATCGTATGCCCATTAATCAAATGACCACGGTGCAATTAACAATTAGAACTCTACCCGAGTTGCCGGCGGGCGCTAATTACAAATGCGTTTTTGGCAACGCCGAGCCGATAGACGCGCTGATGACCGGTTTTGGGCTATCTTGCCCTACACCACCTATCATGGAAAGACCCAGCATTCCTGAGGGCGTCGATCACGCATTGGTGCCACTGTCCGTACGCTCGAGCGAGACAAACAAGGATTTCGTCTCGCGCAACTTCGCATTCTTCGATTGTTCAAGGCACACCGTGTGCACCGAATGCGTCAAGTCGCAGTGGGCATGCAGCTGGTGTGTTTACGACAACAAGTGCACCCACAACACTAGTTGTCAGGGTATTATATCAGGAGAAAATGTGAGTGTTCTACGAATTTAACGAAATACAAATGTCTCGTACGGATAACTTTTTTTATCGTTATTACTATAGTAAAACGCTGTTTACTCAGCGCTCTGAGGGACAAATCTCTCTCAAGCACAAATCACTAATGCATTTATATTTATAAAAATACAGTATAATATACATTCTGCAACTTATATTCATGAAGTGAGCACACATATATACGAGACGTAACTGTCTTTTACAAACATGAATAAAGGTCAGAAAAATAATTAAATATAAGTTATATAGGACATTTATATTATTATTATTATTATTGTTATAGTAACAAGCATTCCTGCTTCCAGCAAAATCAGGGTAATCTCGCTGCGCACGGCGCGCAATACTGTCCGCGATTCACGGAACGTAAGGAGCCGTTGATGCTGCCGAACAGCGTGCCCAAGGAGATCGTGCTCGAGGTGGAAAATCTGCCGCACCCGCAGGTTGGTCACAGCGGGTTCCAGTGCATTGTTAGCATCGAGGGCGCGAATCTGAAGGTACAGGCTCGCGTGGACAGCAGCCGTTTCATAGTGTGCGACAAGACGGTCTACTCGTACGAGGCGGTCACTGGGGAATACGAGGCCGAGGTTACGGTCGTCTGGAACACTAATCACCACGTGGACAAGACTACGATCATTCTATACAAGTGCGAGGTGCTCGGCTCGCATCGCGAACACGCGGACTGTTCCCTATGCGTGACGCGAGACGCTCGTTTCGAGTGCACTTGGTGCGGGAACAGTTGCGTGTACAGGCACTCGTGTCTGCAGTCACCGTTCACCGAGTGCCCGAAGCCCCGGATAGACATGATCAAGCCGCTGAGCGGGCCAATCGAGGGCGGTACGTTAGTAACGATTGAGGGCAGTAATCTCGGATTGAAGGAGAGCGACGTGGACGGTAAGATACACATCGGTAATACACCGTGCAACCTGGTAGACTACGAGGTGTCGGTGCGTATCGTCTGCCGCACCGGCCGGCACGAGGCCACGGATGCTGCCTCGGTCGTCGTTGGCAACGACGCCGGATACACGGAGAGCGCGGTGCTATTCAACTACAAGGACATACGTCTGTCGGGTCTGTATCCGTCGGTTGGGCCGCAAAGTGGCGGCACGCAATTAGCCATCACCGGTAAGTACTTGAACATCGGCAGCACCATATCGGCGTACCTGGACGAGCTACCGTGCCATGTGAACGCGACCCAAGCGAGCAGTACGAGACTGACGTGCGTGACTAGCAAGTCGGGCCATGTCCGGCGGATTCACAGACTAACGTTGAGCATCGACGGCGCGAATCGCACCCTCGTGGATAATCCGTACAATTACACTCACGACCCGACTATCATGGAGATCAAGCCGCTCAGAAGCTTCGCTTCGGGCGGTCGCATGATCACCGTGCACGGCACGAACTTGGACACTATTCAGAAGCCAGAGATGGAAGTATACTTCGACAACGAGCCGTTGCCGGTGAACAGGACTGTCTGCACTGTCCTGAATCCGACTCAGATGGAGTGTCCAAGCCCGAGCGTTGCCAAGAGATTCACGTCGATCCGACGTCGCAGAAAACGCTCGATGGTCAACACCCAAGCGCCTCAGTCGTCGAAATTGAAGGACTCCCAGCTGGCGTTCAAGATCGCCTTCATCATGGACAACGTGGAGAGCGTGAGAGACCTGGAGAAGCACTTTCAGAACCTGCGTAACCGTCTGCTTTACGTCGACGATCCGAAATTCTTCCCGTTTCCGCGCAATATCAAGCTGTACAAGGGCGACACCTTGGTGATCGAGGGTGAGAATCTCAATTACGCCAGCGACGAGTCCGACGTAAACGTCACTGTTGGCACTATGCCTTGCAACGTCACCTCGCTCGCGCTCACACAGCTTGTGTGCACTCCGCCGGATCAGCAGCCTGCCGACACGGACGAGCTCGGGATCAAGACCGAGAGTGGACTGCCCTTGGTGGTGGTGCGGGTCGGTCGCAGTCTCCGCTTTCCCATCGGCTTCCTGCGCTACGAGGTCATCAAGTCCTACCCGATCCCGCCGGAAGCCATCGCGGGCATCGCCGCCGGCACGTTCGGTCTCATATTTCTATTCGTGCTGGTGCTGGTGATTTATCGTAGGAAGAGCACGCAAGCTGAGCGAGAATACAAGCGGATACAGATACAGATGGACACGCTCGAGAGCAACGTGCGGATGGAGTGCAAGCAGGCGTTCGCCGAGCTGCAGACAGACATGACCGACTTGACCGCGGATCTCGAGTCGTCAGGCATACCCACTCTGGATCACAAGAGCTACATCATGAAAGTGTTCTTCCCTGGTGTAATAGACCATCCTATATTGAATGATCCGCGCTCACGTAGCAACGTCTCGCGGACCAACTACGACGCGGCGATGATACAGTTCGAGCAGCTCGTCAACAACAAGTACTTCGTACTGACTTTCATTGAGACCTTAGAGGCGCAGAAGGATTTTAATATTAGGGACAAGGTGAACGTCGCCTCCTTGCTCATGGTCGTTTTAATGGGCAAGATGGAGTACGCCACCGACATACTCATGAATCTTTTATTAAGACTGATCGATAAAGCGGTGAACACGAAGCATCCGCAGCTTATGTTAAGGAGAACGGAATCCGTGGTGGAGAAGATGCTCACGAATTGGATGGCGCTCTGCATGTACAATTATCTGAAGGATTACGCCGGCTCGTCCTTATTCCTCCTGTTCAAGGCGATCAAGCATCAGATTGAAAAGGGACCCGTCGACGTGATAACGCACGACGCCAGATACTCGCTCTCGGAGGAGAGGCTGCTGCGCGAGCAGATCGAGCATACGATCGTCACGCTGCACGTCGTGCAGGACGATCTCGACGAGAAAATACAATGCAAGGTCTTAGATTGTGATACGATTAGTCAGGTGAAGTCGAAAATCCTCGACGCGCTGTACAAGAATACCCCGTTTTCGGTAAGGCCGTCCGTACACGACGTCGATTTGGAATGGAGGCATGGTCGGGGCGGTCACCTGACGCTGCAGGACGAGGACCTCACGACCAAGTGCTGCGGTGAGTGGAAGAAGATCAACACGTTGGCGCACTACGGCGTCAAGGAATCCGCGGTGATGTCGTTGATACCCCGGCAGAACGACGGTTTCTCAGTCGCTTGTAAGCCGCCCTGCCACAACTGCAAGCCCTCGCATTATCATCATCAGCAACAGCAGCAGCAGCAGCAACAACAACAACCAATTCACCATCACCACCCGCACCACCATCACCTACATCGACACTCGAATCACTGTTCGTCCACGCATCTTCCATCCACGCCCAATCACGGCTTGATCAGTCCTGTGATGTACAATCATCCCGTGAGCGGCCTGTATTACGACTCCCAGCATTCGCCGCCGATCATAACGGCGAACGGCGACGTCGAGAGCGGTCACGGTGGCAATCAGCGGCTGTACCACTTGGTGAGACCCATCGAGGAGGTGCACTACCCGCCCGGCTTGGGCTTCACCGGCAGCAGCAAGCACCATCATCCCGAGCGCACGCACAAGGCGATCCCGGAGATCTTTCTCACGCGACTGCTCTCGACCAAGGGCACTGTACAGAAGTTCGTTGACGATTTTTTGAACACCATACTGACCGCCAACGAGGCGCTGCCGAGCGCGGTCAAGTGGCTGTTTGATCTCTTGGACGAGGCCGCGAAGCAACACGGCATCGTCGACCCGGAGGTGCCACACGCGTGGAAGTCCAACAGTCTGCCGCTCAGATTTTGGGTTAATTTCATTAAGAATCCAGACTTCATGTTCGACATCAACAAGTCCACGACGGTGGACTCGAGTCTGTCTGTGATCGCACAGACGTTCATGGACTCCTGCTCGATGACGGAGCACAGACTAGGCAAGGACTCGCCGTCTAACAAGCTACTGTTCGCCAAGGACATACCGCACTATCGCGAGAAAGTGGGTCGATTTTACACGGACGTGCAGAGACTGCCGCAGATCACCGACCAGGAGATGTCCAGTGCCATGCAGCAACTGAGCGCGTCACACGCCAACGAGTTCGACGTAATCGCAGCGCTGAAGGAGCTCTACATCTATGTCAGCAAGTATTACGAACAAGTGAGTGACCATTTATCTACTTCTTAGGTATATTATCGGAGTCTGCGAATGAATTCCAGGATAATTAGAACAAATTGAGCGTAACACCGCAACCACCGACGATTAATGTTATCCATTTCTACCGGAATAGTCGAAATATTGATAAGTTTTTGAGAAAAGAGTTCATTTTTTTTAGTTGTATTCTACGTTCAATAAGAATAGAGAATATATTGTATAAAATTTGGAATAATTATAAGAAATTACAAACCGGTTTTTTTTTTCTTTTTTTTTTTTCGATCACTTTTCTACAATAACTTTTATCTTCTTCTATCTTCTGAGAAGACTGTTTCCTGAGAGCTTCGATCGAACTTAAAACAAATGGTTTTTATCTTTTTTCTATTTTTATTTCCCTTAGCATTTTTCTCTGTATTCTTTTTCTTTTTCGTAACATTCTTAGAGGACTTAGCCTCAGAATGTTAATAAATACACTTTATCTGTCGGCCATTATCTGTGCATTTTCGCGCAATATCATTAATAACTTAGACACGGTATACCACTTACACACACGAGATACGGCGTTTACTATCCTCACATGAGATTTTTTCAGATCCTAGAGGCCTTGGAGACAGATGCGGGCTGTCGCAAACTACATCTAGCTCATAGACTAGAAAATGTAGCGTGCACGCTCGAGGGAGAAGAGACCAGTGCCTGCTGACATACCCTCCTCACTTCCATCCCAGGACCCGTCAACCTCTCCAGAAACACTGACTAGTGCCTCCACTTCATGCATCAGATACACCTCGTTACATATGTACAAATATACACATACACACCATGTGAATAACAACGCCGTAAAAATACATGCGATTTCGTTAGGGCTAGTCAGGCGATAGGTCACGGGATTAGACAGTCCTCGTGGTTAGTATTTACGTCTTTACATGTTGGCCATACCGAAATACGCTTGTAAACATGTATGGATATTAGTAGGCAATGTACGCGTCTCTGATCCTTAAATTATCACGCTAGACAAACGCCTGTTGAATCTCTCTAGAAAACAAAATATTTATATAAATATATATATATATATATATCTATATATATCTCTATACGCGCGAATCTCATTAAAGTGGAATGAATCTCGAGTGTAAGGTATTGTCGCGAACGATTTATTGTTATCGTAGTGTAAGTAAGCTATTAAGTTGTCTTATAGGTATTAAATTATTTCGACTTTCTCGCTACGTTCTACTACTATTACTACTACTACTACTACTACTACTACTACTACTACTACTACTGCTACTACTACTACTACTACTACTACTACTTCTACTACTTCTACTATTTCTTATCACGGCGTTGTTGCGTGTACAACGTCGTCGCGTTTCTTTGTCGAGTCTTGTTTGAGGATCTGAGACGTGGATCGGTGCAAATACTTATTAGGGAAGAAATTTAAAGTGTAAATTTACGGCCGATCTGATATCTATACGTGTATACGTAAATACGGAAGAGATACATACATAAAGTAAAAAAGTAACATGTCTCTAATGGTAAGTGAAAGAAAAAGCCATAGTGTCCACCAGACTGTCTGTACGGGTAACGTACGGCAGCGAGTAGTCTGTGATCCGAGCACGAGTGGCTATGCCTACTATCTTCATTATGATATATATATAATTATTAATATGTTATATATATATATATACATGAAAAAAGTATATATAAAGCAAAGAATCATGCAACACACCTCCACGGATTGTAGTGAGCTAGTTAGAGAGGGACTATATGTATTATAAATTGGGGAAGGAAAGGGAGGGGAGGGACGCGCACCCTCTTCAGAGACAGAATAAGAGATAATATTAAATTAAGGCAATTACCGTAACGTTAAAAGTAACGTTAAAAGAAAATTTAAGAGTTAAAAAAGATTATAAGAGCAGCTCAGTCTACTCTAGGCCTATTCATGCGTGTCGCGTATGCGCGAAGGAAATTATTTCTTTTATTTTTATTTTTTTTTTTTTTTTTTTTTAATTCTTTTTTACATCTTGCTTATCTCTCTCTGTGAGAATCTCTCACTACCCGCCACACAGTAGTTTGCGAAGTGCTGTTACTATTATGTTAGAGAAACCATCTTGGGTGGTGCATCTAATAACTGTCTTCTTTATACACACCCATTATTATTATTATTATTATTATATTATTATTATTATGTTATCGCCGGTTATTATTATTATTATTATTTCTATTGTCTTTATATATATAATTATTAATGCTGCCTATTAATTATGGTTATCATTATGTTGTTAGGAGTGAATGCAAAACGGGACGGATCTTTTTTGCATTGTCGATGTGAAAATATAGACTGTTCGGTTCATGCTGAGGAGAAGAAGTGACGATGAGTTTTGTATTCGCCGAGGTATTCTGGCCGAAGTTTATGTGCTATTAATATTATTATTATTATTAATATCGCAATAGGTGGTACGTATCGCAGACACTCGTCGTGGCACAACGACACGCAGTATTCTTTGAAATAACTTACATATCTTTAGTTATAAGACTGCAGAATTTTTTTTATAACTCATTTTTATCTTCTTTTTCTTTTTTTTTTTATAACAGGACCGTTGGCAACTCATTTATGTTGTATAAAGCCGATGAACAAATTTGCGAACATTTATGTTCGACGTGCACTGCCGTGGTTTTCCGTGTATTTTCACGAATCGTCAATCTGTTGAGCCAATAAACTTCTCGCTTGTCGTTCAATTGAGAAACGACAGCCGAACGGATAAGTTATATAACATAGGTCCAGGGAGGCTGGAGACGTGCTCATACTCTTGTACTTAATATTAAACATCATCGTGTAACTTCAATTATAATTCCAGGTCTCCAGGCTCCCCAAACACGACCATCAGTAACCTATGTATATATATATCTCTCTCTCTCTCTCTCTCTCTCTCTCTCTCTCTCTCTCTCTCTCTCTCTCTCTCTCTCTCTCTCTCTCTCTCTCTCTCTCTCTCTCTCTCTCTCTTTCTCTCCACTGTATATGTATATCGTATTTATTTATATTATGAGAAACAAGTTGTAACGCGAATGTACGTCAATCTGTGCTACGTAAAATGTTTTTACACTCTGTCATGTATACGTCTCTTTGTATCGAACTGTATAAATATGCCTTTGTATGTATATTGCTTTCGTGCAAAGTATGTCTCTCGGTATGTGTGCCATCTGTCTCGTCGCAGTAGAGAATTTGTTCGCTCTAGTGATTTAATCCCTAAAATAGATACAGAGTTCCTTCCTATTGTCGGTTTCCCACGTCGATCGATATTTAACGTAGTTGTCAACCGCGCACGAGTTACGTCTCACCTGACTTCGAGTACCACATATTGTTTGCAAGCTATGCATAACAACTTGAGTTTTTTATCTCTTGTGATATATGTGGAAAAAATAAATATATGTGTATATATATACATATATAATATATACGTATGTGATGTTTTATGGTATTGTTTTATATATATTATGTGTACGTGTATCGTTATATATATTATTTACACAGTGTGTGTGTGTATACATATATATATATAAACATACACGAATAATATATATATATATATGTGTATTAATACCATGAAATCTGAAAACCGTTTGTCACTCCAAAACAGGAAGCCAGGTTTTGCTTGGATCGACAATCCATCGAAGAAATCACACCGCACGGTTGACAATGTGTCAAATGTTATCGATGCTTCAATTAAATTTTACCGATGAGGCAGCCTCGCTGGCATCTTGATTCTCTCTCACAAAGCGAACAAATTTAATGCCGCTTGATGCAGTCTTCCCTGAATGAAATTAATCGAGAATTTCGTTGTATCTGAACGTTCATATTGATTATTACTGCGACACTTTTGTACGTATTTTTTTGTACATTACATCTAGCTACGTTATCGTTCGCACGATGTTTTTTCGTCCGCGAACTGGATACTCTGACTCATAACAATATTTATGTATATATCTTATCCGCAAAATATATACAATTATATTTCCGAGATACGGTGTGTACAAAAAGAAAAAGAGAAGCTGAAATACTCTCAAAGCGATGAAGCTTCCCGTGACAAATTTTGAAATCTGTATGTCCGAACGTCGAAATCGAAATCCGCATACAGGATAACGAAAGTATTATCATATCTACGTGTAATCATGTGACGATGGGCGAGGCAAGGATCCGGCGTCCTGCCTCGTTCGTCCTATGTTGAAAGTATATACCTTTCGGTTCTCTTTTTACAACGCTCTAACGATGTAAGTTACACGACATTCTTGTTTAATAAAACGGAAATATTTATGAGAGATAATCGTGTATAAGTGTAAGCATGTAACGCGTGAGAAAATTAAACCATCGCGACGAGCGATTGGCGAACATAAATCGTTACAAACGTCGACTCGATCGAAGCACTGCCGTTAATGTTGTTTCAGAACTTGTGAAAAGAATACAACGATAGAGAAATTGTCCTAGCACGTGAGTCCTACGACACTCGACACAACAAACGTCCTTTCGTGAGTTCAAAGTGGAAGCTGAATATAAAAGTACCTCGCGCACATTTGATTTTCTCGTTTATTGTCACTGCCATGTTTCGCATTTAAAAGCAAGGCCATCACCGAGCCATTAAATTGTTGCAACAATATTTCTAATTACAACTAGATACTTTGTACGTTTCCCCCCATCCCCCCGTGGGATAAAGCAAGAGGGGAGAATAACGAGAAAGAGAAAAACTATAAAACGGCCGTTATACGTAAAGCTATACATATATAAATATAAATATATAAATACAAACATATATATTTAACTCTAGCTCGTATTCTAATCGCACGTTTGTCGCGCTGAATGCGGCCGTTTGTAACTTGTAAGTCCTGCGCATACAACACATGCTATGTATGTAATTAGAGTAATCTCGGAGAGAGCGAGCGAGAGAGAGATAGAGAGAAAGAGAGAGGGGGGGGAGACTCATAAAGCGAGACGCGTTTTTTTAACGCGAAACGTGCGGCGAGAATACGGCCGAGCGTTTCTTGCGTCTGCGAACAATTACATTGTACTGTACACAGATTGACGTACATGAAATCACGCACGTGCGCACATATTCGTAATATATACATACACTTATTTCGTCACTATTATCGGATGCCAGTTGGCCTCCTGACAAGCGTGGAATGTTTTCGTAAAATTTGGTCGGAAGATATCCGCGCGCGCGCGAGAGAGAGAAAGAGGAAAAGAGAGAGAGAGAGGGTGGGAGAGTGAGAAGAGGGGAAGGAAAAGAGAGAGATTTCTCACACACGCGCAGCATGTAACATATAAAATATATTTCGAGCAACGTTCGAGAGCGCGCAATCCGATAGAACCCAATATTGCGTCACACATTATACTTTATGAGCGTACAAGTGCTCGCGACTCTGCCGCGTTATGTAAGGAGCGTAGCGAAACTCCGAAGGGAAGAAAAAAAACGAAAACGTTCAGGAGATATCCTGTATTTATTTATATTTATTTACTCGTCTCCGCGTGCTTGCGTTACGAGAAAGATTTACCCTCTTGCGTCGCCTTTTTCGCGTATCGGGGACGCGACGGAAGTAAAAATCGCGCAGAAGGAAGCACACCGGAGTGAGCGCTATAAAGAAGGGGACAGTTACGATGTGAAACGTTAGATTGACTCGAAAGTCTACCTCTCATAAATGCTGAACGAGTGTAATACGAGAGCGGAGCGTTGTTCAGAAATGTGAAAATGTGGTAAACGAGGGAAACAGTTTTCGAGTCGATTTAATATCGACGCGTATACGCGTCTCCTGCGAAATATCTCGTCCGAGTATCACGATTTAGTGCAAATCAGACGCGGCAGAGTTCCCGGTGCAGGTTGTACAGTCGAAAGTCGACTCCATCCATCTGAAAAGCTTGTCAATTCCGCATTCAACGTATGTAATTATAACGTAATGGACTGAGGGGTGATTTTTCGCGGCGGCCGTGGGGCGATTAGTGTGTCATGCTTCGTAGTATAGATATAAATCTGAACATCGTGTCGAGTTAAGATTAAACTCTTCGTTAAGCTTCGAGAAGGGAGGAAAAGAGAACACGCACGTGGATGGGGGGAATGATCCGAATTTTCCCTGTGTGAGAGAGGATACTTCTCTCGTGTATATTCTTCGCCGAGAAGCATCGTCGACGAGCGGCGATTCGCGCTGTTTCCGCGAAGGTGCGATCAAGAGGGACGAATTAATTAATTGCAGAAAATCCTCGCCAGCAATAATCGACCAATATCGTGCAAATGACGATGCTGACATGCTCTGTTTTTTGCCTGATTTTCATTCCGTCAAATGTCCGAAGTAAAGCGATGGAATTCTAGAGATTCATAAGAAGAATATCATGTCGTGTTGATCCATTTTGACCGCTCCTAAACGTACCTCGCGAAAAAATCTCGTCTATGCTTCTCTATTCACTGAAAAAGAAAAGAGAAAGAGGAAAAAAAGGAAACGCGCGCGTGCACGACGGTAAATTCGCATCATGCTCGCTGCGCGTATGTGTGCGTGTGTTATTAATGTATGTATCGACATATGTGCGCGTGCAATTGCAAGCTCCTCTTCGCAAATACGTCCTCTCTCCCCCCGTCATTCTCCCACCCTTTCCCGCCCGCACCCTCATTGTACATAATATCTCAATCCTCCCCCCATCCCGCGCACGAGTAGACATTAAGCGAATACTCGAGGAAACGAAATGACTCTTGCCAAATTTTCAATGGGACGTAGGGACAAACAACTAATTGCATTTGAAAAGATCGCAGAAAATATATTGGTATTATAAATGACTCATACGTTATCTCTTCGTTATTCTTTCGCCCACCCGCAATTATCGAAGCTGTACAGGCTGACCGTAGCACAACACTAACACTTACAATTAAGATACGATGGAGTGTGTTCGTGTATCGTCTCGATAATCTGTAAGCGCAAAAAGAGAGAAAGAAGAAGGAAGGGCCAACCGAGGTTTCCCCCATTTGAGTCACTATAATTTGTGATTCATCCAAGTGTCTGTTGTTGAAGGCGAGAAGAGAGAAAGAAAGCGCGCGATCGGCCTTTCCTCGGCCCTTCCGATGGTTTCCAAAGTTTTTAACGTTGTGTCGTAATAAAGAATTTCTCTCGCAATTGGAGACGGGCACGGTGAATAATAATCGCCAGTGTGTGCTAAATTATCACAACCTGTTGGGCGCTAAGAACCTAAGTATGGTCACTATAAATATACAGATGGACACGTGGACTCTTCGAAATAAAAGTTATTATTACACGACGAATCTTCGAATACTAAGAGCGTTATCGTATCGCGTATCGTCACGTTAATTTGCAATTTTTCGCAACTCTGCCACACTCCTGTCGCATTCGCGGGCACACGAGAGTGTTTACATGTATATCTTGTATACAGTAGTACGTACTTGACGCGCGTTATAGTTTTCCACTGTGCATCTTGACTACGTGAAAAAGATCGACCGGCGTCGATCGACGTGTATTGTTACGCCGGTAAAAAAAAAAGAAAAAAAGAAGGAAGAAAGAATCAGCGTACTTGGTACGAGTTGATTTCGATAACGAAATTGTGTATATGCGATATACAGTACAATTAACACGCAATCTCTCGAGATATGTGAAGTTTGTATAATTTTATCTCGCTTTCCTTTTATAAATATATCTCAATAAAAAGGTATTAAAAAATGATCTATTGTATATTTACATTAAAACTATATGTCAACGCAGACTTGTATTACGAACGATATTACGTGTGTAATAATTATTAGCGATAGTAATATTATGTCATTATTTTCTACATACTTAATATTTTTGTAATAATAATGCGAAAGCTTAAAGATAACAAATTTACATGGCACGTTTGTACAATTATTAATAAATTGTATAATATGGAATTGTATTTATAGACAGTAAGAAATTCAGACACTACACAAAGGCCCAATTGTACTAATGTCGATTGAATGTAATTCGAGATTAAACTTCAATATAAATACATACTATATAGTGATATCGTCTACTTAGGACTTTTGTCTTTGTCATAAAGAGACACAATTCTTACTTATTCATCATAAGTAAATATATTCATAAAAAGTAATACGAAAGATTGTCGCCCTTTCTTCCACATCGACAAAATCTACTAAACAATAATTCCGTTATTAATAAAGAAAAAGAATGGATATGCAGGTTATTTTTGAAAACTGATTAATTGCACATTTAATCAATTTCATTTTGGTGTTCTCTTTTCAAGGAAGGTTTACTCCATTCCTGACTTTATCTTATATAATAACGATTTATCCTGAGAAGACTTCGCTGAGGATAACGCAGGCGAATTGGATGAAGAGCCCTTTGAACTCGTGGCAGTACTTGTGTTTCGTTTGTCTTGTTTAGCTTTCTTTATCATGTCTTTCAATCTTCTATCCGCACTTATAATGTTAATATTTGGTGTATTCACCTTAGATGTGCTACCTACATGAATCGATAGTTTAGTGATGAAAGATAATACCATACAATAAGAACGTCGAACGTTGAATATTATATTTGAAGTACTTACTTGAGCTGGGTTTCTTCTGTTCTTTCGATTTGGTCTCTATCACAGTCTTTGGTGAGCTTCTTTCTTTAGAGATCTATGAGGAGTTAAGATTCTCTTAGAGATTTATGATACAATGAATATCAAAGTATGATAAATACATAAATAGTTAATGATTAATAATAAAATAGAAATAAATAAATTTTTGTACAATCAGGTATAAAACAATTTTATAAGGAATATAAAACCATAAATATATATAATTGTCATACAAATTATAAATGTGGGTGAATACACACACCTGAGACTTGGAACAGTTGGAGCAGTACCACACTTGTCTCGGCACATCTATCTGTGAATCTAAAATATGTGGGACATGGCATTCCTGATGATATAAAGAATGACACTCCAAGCATTCTACAAGTCTATTTCTTGCCCCGACATCCATTCCCTTGCAAATGACACATGTCAGATCATCATTTAAAATTTCCATCGCTAGTGTGTCATCTGTCTGCAGTATGTCTGGTGGTGTATCACGTGTTGGTAGATTGACAGGTGAACTATTTTTGCTTGATTTACTCGAGTGCTTGGATGAGCTTGAACTCTTACTTTTCTTGCTGCTACTGCTACTACTGTGATCACTCAATACTGGTTCTTCCATCATATACTAAGATGTAAGAACTTTTAAAAATTAATTTACTGGATATATTTCAACTATTATATAAATTTTATTTATATTACTGTGTTCATATTACCTTTTTATGTAGTACATTAAGCAGCATCTTGGATGGTCCATATTTTTGTTTGATTGCTTCGTCTAACAAAGCTCGCAGCTGTTCTGCAGAGTCTTTGTTGGTGGAATGCAAAAGGCGCAATCCTTGTGTAAACTGAGGATCCAATTCCAATTGGGTCATCGTATAGAAGCTCTGCTTTCCTTCTTATTACTACATATACCAACTTATACTTACTGCATGATATAAAAATTTTAAATAACTCTGATGAGGGAATAAGGTTTTGTATGGCAGTTAAATTAGGTTATGCAGTATCTCAATACACTAAATTGCGCATAAAAATGCATATACATTATCATACATTGATTTCATACGTACGTACCAGCTTAAACTATAAAGATGTTTTTTTATAGAAGAATAAGGCTGTCCAGGGATAAAATCTATTCTTGTTTTTATCTTAAATATTCATCGACAGTAATTGTTGCATCAGACAGAGCATCGGACGAAACATGCGGGATGTTGCGATTTAACCTGTGAGACACGTAATATCCAAGCTAATACGAAGCATGTCACGCGCAGTATCTATAATTATGCCAGATACAATACCGACATTTTATTGTCGTCTATACCAATCGCTAGCGTGCGTTAACGCTTCGTTGTTAAACGTTAAATAAGCTATCCATTCCAATCTATTCTAGGTTATCGCGTGTATTTTTCGAACATATGACTCCGAGCTCAGATTGTTCATTAATTTCAACATGTTTAATTGGCACAGGAAAGCGAAACTTCAACTTATGTCCGCCAACATTTCTGACAATCTTGAATCAATAATTTTATCCACAAAAAACAACTATTCTCGTACTAACTTTAGATAGAATTTCTTGCTATTTATATGTGTACGTTTCTCTTTTATCGATAAAAGTCACAACTCGCACAGATAAAGCGAAAGGTGAGAGTCAATTAGCAAAAAAGTACGACTAAGAATGTTTAAAGGATCATATATCATTGGGAGGGAAAGAAAGCAGCGCGAGTAAAAAATCGCGCGCGATCGATATCGATCGATGGACGAGATCAAACGTCAGATTTCCAGGCTTTTCGCGGCTGGAGTGGATTTCAAAACTACCGCCAAGAACGCTGCAAAATAGCCGACTACGCGCTCAAGGAGCCGCACGACACCCACGACAGGCCCGTCGCGCTTCTCGCGGACTCGGGGAATGTAGGCAAATCGGCATACGCGATCCATTTGCTCCAGTCCTCCCATGCATACGTACGTGCGTACCGACGCGTTCCAAATTTAATTTCGCGATCGTCTTCGATCCGCGCAGCTGGTCGGGCGCGAAAACGAACAGACGAGAGAGAGAGAGAGAGAGAGAGAGAGAGAGAGAGAGAGAGAGAGAGAGAGAGAGAGAGAGAGAGAGAGAGAGAGATAAACGGGCCGCATCGGCGCGTCGTGTCGCGTCGCGTCGCGGAGTACACGCTTTTTAAATCGTGCAGCGTCTCCGCGACATCGTCGACGTCAACGACGACGAGGACGGTGACGATGATGATGAACAGGGCATACCGGCGTGAGACCGAGCGCCGTCGACTATCTCGAACAGGCTGACGAGAGGTGAAAATATAACCAAAGAAAGACAAAAATAGTAACCCCGCGGGGCGAGCTGCGCAACGCGCTAGCGGCGGCGTGGATTTCTCGCCGATCGCGCGCACGGAGCGCCCCCCTTTCTTCCCGGCCACACATACGTGATACGCGGCGGTGTCCCACTTCCACCGCGTCGCGACGCATCGTCGCGTCCTTGTTCACCTTCTCGCCGTTCGCGCTTACACGCGCGCGGTGCGAACTCGATGTCGAACTTTTCGACGGCTACAGTTGGCAGCCGTGCGTAAAAGAAATAAATAATCAAAGCGACCATGAAGTGACAAATAAAGTCGGGGTAGAGAGAACAATGCTTGCGCGTACGACGACGACGACGGCGAGGAGGCTACTCGGGTTGTGCTGCCGCAGTGTGCGTTCGCACCGCCGTTGATATTGTATCCGCGTTCCTCTCTCTGTTTCTTTCTTTCTCTCTCTCTCACTCTCTCTCTCTCTCTGTGTGTGTCGCTCTCTCTCTCTCTCTATCTCTCTCTCTCTCGCTCTCGCTCTCCTTCTCTTTCTTTTTCTCTCCGTTTCTCTCCTTCTCGCGTTCAGTGAGCAGCTACGTCGCTACGTGAACGCGCACCGTGTATACCGTACTGCCGCTGCCGCTGCTGCTGCTCTACCACCGCCGCAGCCGTAGCCGCAGCCGCAGCAGCCGCGCGCGCGAGACACACGGAACAGCCGGAGAGGCGAGTTACACGCTCTCTCTCTTTCTTTCGTTTGTGTGTGCGAGTCGCGAGGGTGACATTTGGGATATTTTTCCACGGTGCGGCCGTGAGAGCGACGTCGTGCTACCGTGTTGTGACCGCCGGCTTGTTCGCGCTCGATCGTATCGGGTCGCCCACCGTCGGGCAGCAGTAGCAACAGCAGCACGACCGAGGCACCCCAGGTGGAGCTTCGGCATCCCTACGGCCACGGTGAAGATAAATGCGCGAGACAGACTGCTGGTACTCGTGCGTCTGTAGCGACTCGCCGTGCTATCCAGGAAGTGGGCGCACCGCCATGCCCTCCGCGAGAATGCTCGCGGCGGCCGTCTGGTGAACGCGCGTGACTCTCAGACGACCGGTCGACGTGCACCTGGTCGTTAACCTCTTTCTCTCTGTCTTTCTCTCTCAACGTCTCTTTATCTGGCTGTCGCACGCAGCCAACGCATCGTGGACACGGTGTGCTAGTGGCCATGTCTCTGGTTTTCTCGCCGTCCAGCACCAGTGAGGTCTGATATTGTTGTTTGCCCTGACGTCGACACCAGCCAGCCATGAAAACCGAGAAGAAACCCAACGAGCCCAGCTGTGTGCCCACTACGGTTGTCAAAGATGAGCCTGACACCGATCCGGTTAAGATCAAGGAGGAAGGTCCAGGTGGTAACAACGACGACACGACTGGAGAAGACACCGCTGAGTGTCCCAGGGACCCTTGCTTGGATCTGCCCAATGGCGAAGGTACGATGCCTGGGGAGAATCAAAATACCAATGGGAATCAGCCGATCTTGAATTCGGTCAAGCAAGAGGGAGATCCTAATAATCCTACCGACGATCTACCTGGTAAGATCGATTTGTTTCCATGATCCTGCACCCACCGAGTCTTTATTTACATGTTTCTCATGCATTGGTACACACTTGATATTCTCATCCTCAGTCTTGTATTAGAATAATCAGATTGTCCTTTTTGCTGTAGATTGTAGTGGAAATGTTATTACAGCGGACGGCATTCAACCACTTGTTAGTAATGTACTGGGAAAGCAGATGGGAACTAATGCAGGCAGTGGGGAGGCTCAATATATGCAGCAGCAGAGCCAAATTTATGTATTTTCTACAATACTAGCAAATAAAGGCGCAGATGCTGTGATGAGAGGCGATTATCCATCTATCATCGACTTTCATCGTGCTCAACCAAACACTAAGAAATATTTGGAGGTATCAAACATTAATATTGACTTATTCAAGTAATACTGTAAGCTATCACATGAGCAGTTTATTGTGAAACTTGTACTTTTTGCTGGTCGTGTATGCACGTGTGTGTGTGTGTGTGTGTGTGTGTGTGTGTGTGTGTGTGTGTGTGTATGTGTGTGAGAGAGAGAGAGAGAGAGAGAGAGAGAAAGGATTTTGTTACAATAGTATGTACATGTATAAAACATCAATTTGTATCTTCTCTTATACTTGTTTTTAATTCATTTTTGTTTGACTTTACACCTTCAACATAAACAGCTCACTTTGAAACGTTATTTTTAGTAAACTTATAGTTTCATGTGACACACGTATTATTTGTCATTCATTTAATTACCATTAATACTCACCGTTTTTATTCTTTTAGAAACATCCAAATAAAGTAAATCAATTTCGCCAAAATCCTGCTCAATGGTTAAATAATCTTGCTATGATGAAACAGAAAGGCCATCAGGGAAATACGAATAATACTTTCCCAACTGAACAACCCCCGGATTTACCAGCACTAGACCCAAATCCTACACAATATTGGAACGAGCAACCTAACTTGCGAAACATAAACGGTGGAAACTCTCTTGGTAATTCTGAACCATCATTGGATGATGGTAACATAGACGTGCCTTGCCTTGTGCCGAATTCACCTGGTAATTCGGGTAAGCCTTATTAAATTTCACCGATACAATCGGCTCATTAACTATCCACCACGCTCTACGAACACATTTATTCAAGAGATATATCTTGTTCCGACACAGCCAATCCTCAACCCACTAATAACGCTATCATGGGCCATAGTCCTAACATAACAAGCCCAGGTCCAGGAGGTCTGCAGCCATCGCTTCAAGGTGTTAAAGTTCCGGACGAAAATCTAACACCGAAACAAAGACAGCACAGAGAAGTTCAGCTGGCGACTCTGCGGAAAATGCAGATGATGCTGTTTCCTGGGCACAAAGAGGAGCCTGGCACTCTGGACGCAACGCAAGGAACTACCGTGTCATGTCCTCCCTCGAATGTTCCTCCCGTCAGTGTACCAAATCAATGTCCTCCGTCTATGGATTGGCACAAATTGCAACATCAATTTCTTGATGGCAAAAATAAGGTATATATTTTTCTTTCGTATGAAATTGAATTCGACACCTCCAGCGAGCGACAGAACTTTCAGTAATTATACAAGGTGACCCATTTTGAATGCCCATTTGAAATATTTCAAAAATGCGTTATTTGAAAACGATATTTCAGACAAAAGTTGTTTGATCTTAAGAGAGCAGTAAAATAGAGACTTTGATTTGATTTTATTTTATCCGATCTTTATCCGAAATTTTCACATAATTGTCTCATAATGCTTTTCTGTCAGGATATTTTAGCTGGATACGTTTAAAATGAGTCACCTTATATGCATTTGTCTGGCAATATTTGGAACAATATTAGCAATCTTAAATATATCTTAAACATTTTCAGCCAAACGTAGGTAATCCAGGTGCGGTGCCGCTGCGCGGCACCAATATGGTCGGAGTACCTCGAAGTCAAGGTCCCCCGCCTCCGTATCATCAAACGACTCGATCCGCGAGCGTACCGATTGCAATCCAGAGTCCAAATCCATCCTCGCCCAACAATCCGACGAGCAATCTGTCGCTACCGTCACCGCGCGCGAGTTCGGCTTTGAATTCACCGGCTGACTGCAACAGACAGTTTCAGCTTGGTAATCAAAGAAGCAGCCATTTGCCGGGACAGAGTCCAACAGGTCAAGATTCGCCAAATCCAACGGTCGGTACGGCCGCCAGCGCGGTGTCGACGGCTCGACTGAATCACAGCAATCCAGGAACGCCGGTCTCTCATTCCCATATCACAGCTCTTAGTCCTAGTGGTACTAATGCTCAAAAGGATGCTTCCCTTGATTTTCCTAACAGTCAGCCGCCAAACGGTAATTGAAAGCTTAATCTCGTTCTTTCGTTTGTAATTTCTATAAATTCACGCAACATGGACGCGTTTATGAATCTCTCTGTTACGAATCTCTCGGCTTTACACAATTGGACTTGTTCTTTTCTCGATCTAGTGGACGGTATGTTTTGCCGAACACTACAGTCCTTAGCTCAACAAAAACAGCAACACACCGGAGCCGTGAACGCCTCAGCCGTGAAGGAAGCGAACCTTATGCCAGTACCGAGCCCTCATCAGCTTCAATATCTCAGCACGTTCGAAGGGCAAGAACTGACTATCCAGAAGCAACCCAACACAAGTCTGAAGGATGGCAATTCAACTACGTAAATATCTTCTTTCATCTCTGTTCCGTCGCACAGATATTTCGAATCAAACGCACCTTATGATCTTATCAAAGTAATCGTTTAATTCACGTTGCATGAGCACGCATCTTAGGATGCTTTTTTTCTTTCACAGGAATACAGGCAGTTCTTCGGAGATGTCCAACAGAATCCTGTCGGGAAGTTTGGACAACAACAATCAGTACCCCACTAGATCAGAGGGTGCGAGTCCCGTACAGATGGACACCATGAATCGCGGCTTCACCGGTTCTCTGCACAGTCCTCACACACCACATACGCCACACACGCCGGGCAGCGCCGCGCCTCACACCCCGGCGGATCCCGCGAAACCGGGCAACAAGTCTAGCGCTAGCGCACAGAGTAGTCCGGTGCCGCACAATACCAGCATACCGGATATGGGTCCTCCACGAACAATACCGGCGTCGCCCACCACGAAACCCGATACATCATCGCCATCCGCGAAGGACGTCCAACAACAGCAGCAGCAGCAGCAACAACAGCAGCAGCAGCAGCAGCAAACGCAGTCGCAACAGCAGCAGCAGCAACAGCAGCAGCAGCAACAACAACAGCAGCAGCAACAACAACAGCAGCAGCAACAACAACAGCAGCAGCAACAGCAGCAGCAGCAGCAGCAGCAGCAGCAGCAGCCGACGGTGATAAACCCGAACAATTCTGGCAGCACGACAGTAGTGCCATCACTGAGCGGTCCTGGCGCTTCGTTTCCGTGCGGCAGGCCGTCCATAAACGTGAGTCAACCTTCCGACAACGTGCCTCTCAATCCCAACAACATCGGCGGCCGACTTGGCAACTTGACCGCCATGAGTACAAATCATTTCGACCCCATAACGTCCTTGGCACAGATGAGTCAGCAGCTGACGAACACCGCGGCGAGCAACTCTCTGGGCAACGAGCCTATGCACTCTGGCAACGCCGGTATAATGCCGTTCGGCAACCCGCACGGCATGCACATGATGCAGATGGGTGGAGAGATGAACGGAAGTTGCCACATGGGTCCCACCAATGAGCCTGGCGAAGTTGGCGGTATGTGCATGGGTCTAGCGGGTGCGCCGACGAGCTACAGCCCGACCACTTCGCACACAGGTAGCCCCGGTGTGCCCACCAAGATGGGACACCCCATGATGAGCCACGGAATGATGGGTAGCCACTCGACGGGCGCTGCCGGCGCGTACCCCGGCGGTGAGACTCACGCGCCACCACCGAGACTGATGACCAGCCACGTAACCGGACCCAGCCCCTACAACGGTGCGAATGTTCAAGTGAAACCGAGTGCGCCGAACACCATACAATACTTGCCGGCTAGGCCGAACGTCGGACACGCGCCACGGGGTCCACCCAGTCTGGACTTCCTTCAGCGATTCACCAATCCATTGTCCAACCTGGAGTCGAAGATGGGCACACCGTCGGTGAACCTCCAATACTTCCCTAACGGCTGCGTGCCGAACAGCATGGGCCCGCACAGCGGTATGCCGTCCACCATGAACGCCGGGATTCCCATGGGAGGCTCGCCCAGGATGGATGGGCAGTCTATGAACACAAGCGGCGTGCACCCGTCCATGAGACCGGTCGGCAACATGCGACCGCAGCCTAATCTCATGCGTATGCAACACATGGTGGGCGGTGGTGTCTTTCCAGGCGGCTCCATGGACCCCGACAAAGTCTTCCCGCCTGACATGGTGTCGCAGGTGTCGAACCAACCGAATCCGGGCATGTACGTGTCCGGCAGCAAGGGCAGTCCGATGGGACTGGGCCCACCGCCCGACGCCACTCAGCCCTTACCTCCGAGCATGGGTAGCGCTACCAGCAACTTCAAGAACAGCCCGTTCGTCGGCAGCGGACCTAGTATGTCCGATCCGAATTACGCTCAACAGTTTCACAACTTCCAACAGCAACTTTATGCCACCGGCACCAGAGGCAGCGGGCCACCGCACCCTAACTTGCACCCACCGCCGAACTCGCACTCGCATCAGCAGTTCTTCATGCCGAAGTAAACGCTACCCGGCTGAATCATATCACCACGACGACGACGATGACGATTACTACGGTGGCCTTTCAGCGTCCCTTTTTCTCTCTCTTTCTTCTTTGTCTGTTTCTCTTCTCTCCCGTTCTGTCTCTTTTGCTTTCTTTCCTTTCCCATTTTTTCTCTCTTCACTTTCTCCTTATCCCCCTATTCCCCCCTCCCCCCTCTTGCTCTCTCCCTTTCATCTGTCAGGGATTTTTCTATCGTCTAATCATGTGACATAATTCTGGAGATGTAAGTTAGGCTAGATAAGATTATCTTGCGCGGAGAACAAAGAGATCGACTGTGTGGAGGTTCTAATGTCAAGCCTGTAAGGCTGGTTATCAAGCCTTGCGAATATTCGCGACTGAAGCGTGACGAGAGATCCTAGTTCTACTTTTAACTTATAAAATTTATTTACGTTTCTTGATGAGCGAGAAATTAATGAAATTATCTTTATTCTTTTTTTTATTTTATCATCTCTGGTACACGATATCGGAGTTCCTCGTGTATCCGGAAGCTGTTATCCCGTGATATATTGGAAATATCGTTTCACACACGAAATCTCCCCGGGACTATCTGTAAATTCCACATGTTGACAGAGATGTGCAAGTACCGGCTTACGCGTTCATGTAAATACCGATGTATAATCTGGTTCTTTTTTCTGTTCTTCATCCTTTTTTTTTGTTTTGTAGAGATTGTTACTTCATTGATTGAGGTGCACAGCGTTAGATTTAATAAAAGTACGTTACTATAGCTCGAGTATGAAAGAAATGAGAGAAAGAAAAAGGAAAAAAAAGAGAACAACAAGAAGAGAACGCGCGAGGAAAAGCGAGGATCGGTCACCTTTTCTCCTCTTCTTGCACTTTTGTTCGCAGCCAGAGTTGCTCGGGATAAAGTAATTGTGCGCAGAATTACCGCAGTAAAATAACGAGCAACGAGAGGATTTGGTACGCCGGTGTCGTATAATTCATCCTTCCTTTATCACTAAACTTACTTAAACGCAGTCAAACAAGCTCAAATTTATTATTGTACATATATACCATATACATATTATACATATTATATATATATATATTATATATACCTGTTGCAACATAATCCTTAAATATCGCCCGTCCCTCCGCTCCCCACTCATCGATTCCCCCTATGACCAATTCTGTGCATAATCATGATCCCCTCTATGTAGTTTACGTAAATAAGAAAAGAAATAATTGACTAAGAACAATTATGTTGTTGATGAATGATTTTTATTATAAATGAAAAATAAAGATATTTACAAGAAGTGTGTCAGCACAAGATTTGATCGACGATCGGTGATCGCAACACGTTCGCGCGATTCGAGAGCGTCTATCGAAGAGAGAGAGAGAGTTGGCCTTTTATTCGCGCCCGCAGGATGTGCGTAAGCGAGACACGACCATCTTGCACCACGTTTATTTTTTTTCTTCTTCCGAAGTAAGCAGCCTTCGAAAATCGCTCGGATTCCACGGGCAGGTCCGTTCCTTTCGCCGCGCTGCATCGTGCTACTTCTGCGCTCGAAACGAAACTACATATCCCAGACTTTGTAGAAGAGAAGGGGTAAAGAAGAGAAGAAGTTGAAGAGTAGCGAAATGCTCAGAGCGCAGCCAAGAGGAACGGACCCGTAGTCGAAGCGAGATAAAGATGATTTTGACTCTGCCACCTTTACTTCCTCCTTTTCGAAAGTTAGCAGCACATCTCCATTTCGTTTCGGGAATGATTACTTAATACTTCACTTTTACGATTGCTCATTTAAATCGAATGCCACTCGTCAGACGAAGGGCGGTAAAAAGAGAGACAAGAGGACAAGGGAAAAAAGCAGATTCCTCCAAGCAGTTTGAGCAATATAAGCAGTGACACGACTACATCGACATAGTACGTTTGTGATAAAGTGATAGGAATTTAGAACACTGCGACGCGATGAAGCTTACGCAGAGCTCTTCACCTACGTAGGAATAAGAGATTACTACATTAGAAGTTCTTTTTCTACGTCATATTCAGAGCTTGTAAAATGAGCTGTGTGTATAATTTTCTCTATAGATTCACTTTGTTTTGAAGATTATCCTTGTCTTGTATCTCGCTAGCGGAGCTATTCGCGCTGTAAAGTGTTTCACGTTTCATCTTTCGAGAGCAACGACACCGCGTGCGCAAATAGGAGATCCTACATTTGCTTCCTTAGGATGAACGCGAAGCTATGAGCAGAATTATAAATGTAAAGCTTATTGTTAGTCGACTCCCTTTGTAGTAAGTCACGTGTTATATCGGCCACTTTATCTTCAAAGGTGCATCACTAAATTGCTAGACTTGCGTTGTGTATAGTTTTCTCTTAGTTGCCGAGCCGACTGCACGCATCCTTCCCTCGAGTCTTGGCGCTTTTTCATCTGCAAAAATCAACAGAAAGGAAAATCACACATCAAGCGAGAATCGCGTTCGCGTCTGCCGAGGAGTTTCGCTAATTTCGACGCTAATCTCTACCCGATATCTTTATGCGATACCAAGATATAATCGCAATAAAAGCAGGTTATACTTGAAAGAACCTGAAGGATCTGGGACTATACATTATTTTAGCAAGACTCATCACTGTATTGTTGTTCTGCGATTGATCATCATAATCAATTTTATACCCGAAACCCAAGTCAAACCTGTCCTTTTGTACAGCATTTCATTGGTTGGATGTGCCCGAATCTCTCCAATCATCTCCGTTTCTGCAAATACGTTCGTGTCTTGTATAAGACGATCCTCGCGTTTTCACCTAATCGTTGATCGATGTAACTTTCTTTTTTCTTTTCTAAAGCAATCCTACTGGCTAATATATATTTGCCACATTGTATTACCGCTAATTACCTTGACCGTTGTGCTTCTGACGATATAGCACTTCCGTTCGTACTGAAACGATGGGAATTTTCATAGTAATCTTTACGACGGAGTAACGCATAGCCGCGCGTAATTACCTTTTCTTTGCCGGCGCGAAATCGTCCCATTCGCTAAGATCATATTTCGACAAGTCGCCGTCTTCCTCGTCATCCTCTTCTTCATCCTCCTATAATTTACGATATCAATGACGAACAACATGAAGCACAATTTCAATTTCAACAATTGAAGAATGTAATCCATCGATTCTTTTCCTTGTACTATACTTTTTACTTTGTGTTTTTAAGCGTGTACTGGATACGATATAGTGCAACTTTCGCAGTTCATATTGTTCTTCTATTTCGTTGTATAGAATTAAAACACTTTTACAGAGTGAAAAGATACAAATGTCAATGAACTGAAGAGCACTTTATCGAAAATAATATTTTGTATTAAAAAATTTCTTTTTACATTTAATATAACATGAGATTCACTGACTTTTTTATTCTGTAAATGCATTTTTATGCAATTAAATAGAAAAATAGTGCGCTCTACAAGCTACATCCATTGTGGCTGCACTCAGCATTATCTCGAATGTAAAATTATATTTCAATTGGCCGTAAAATTTTAAGTAATAAGAAATTACATTTTCTTCAGCCTGCTCGTCCTCGTCCCTCTCATCCCTATCGTCCTTGTCTCTGGATTTACTGCGCGAAGGACTACTATATTTGGAATCTTTGGAGTCATCGTCGGAACGGCTTTCAAGTTTCCGCTTTTTCTTACGTCGTCCGAATTCGTCATATTCGTCGTCCTCATCCCGTCTCTCCTTATACTCGACGACTCCTCGATCATTATAACCGCCTCCGTATCCTGTGCGCTCTTCTATCTCGCCAAATTTCGGGGCGTTGCACATATTACACTGTTGACGGCGAGCCCAGTTCACATTACCGCATTTACTGCACTGCCAGTCATCCGCACTAAAATCAAGTTTCCATTTATTCAAGTTTTCACTTACATGTATAAACAATTATTTAGAGCACGAGAAAATGACACTAACACATATTAACATAGGTAAAATAGCATTGCTGCTGCATCAATTGATTTTACATATACATTATACAAACTTCGAAATTGTCGGTGCTTGTTCCGATAGTCTGGGAAGTACATGTGCATAGTGCTAGCTTTGATTTGAATTTTTATTCATGCTTCCTTTCCCCTTTTCTATCTACTTCTCTATATCTAATTATATTTATTGAATATTACTGCACAATAAAATTATAGTCTTGTATACAAACAGTTAATCTTTGTATATTTATTAGCATATGAAGAACAATACGAAATTATCACTGAATGAAACATAACATTACCTAAAGAGACCCCTGCTTTTTTCAGCGGCTGCTTTCCCAATTTCTTGACCCAACTTTTTCTTCTTTGGACACTCACCTCTGTCTGCATTGAAAAATCATATTACGTAGAGAGCTTGCGTGTTGTACATCATATGACAGATGTTTGTACTACCAGTATCGTTAACAGAGAGTTACAGCCAAGAGTGTATTTAACATATATGACAGACAAGATTCTACAATCAGCACAAACTGAGCTAGCTAGAGTGAGTGTGAATGAGGACTCACGTTCACGAAATTTCATACATCAGCATAATATTTTTTTAATATTCCAACTCTGCTTGACTGCGTACCTTTACCACAGCGATTGCAGGAGTTTCGTCTGGCGAAGTTAATATTGGCACATCTAAAAAAAAAGAGACAGACCACGTGCCCGAGTTACCAAGAGTTATTGCTCTGAGTTCATTGGGCAGAGAGTGGAGAAATGAAATCGCGGTTACCGCTGCTCGCGTTACATCTCACTATCCGCGTCGCAAAGCAAAAGTACACATACTGTGAGTCCGGGCAGACCCAGTCGCCGTCATTGACGCTACGCTGATTCTCGTCGTCCACCTTGCCGCCGTCCATATCGACTGTCGTCGTTGTCCGCGGTGGTGGTGGCCGTCTAATCAGCTCTCCTCCACCCGAGGTTGATCCCGCACACTCGCTCCTTCTCCTTCGCGGCGCACCTTGTGCCTAACCTTGCGTCGACGGGTGTCTATTTTGTCGCGAATATGCTCGGAATTTTATTGTCGCGGTCGACACCGAGAGGCCGGCCCAACGCAACACTCGCCGCTACGTCGCGCAATTACGCATCTACTGCATAATATCTCGAACACGAGCGAGTCCGGCCGACTCAACGAAGGCTACGGAAGGGAACATTAGTCGCGCTAATATCGCTGGAGGCCGTCGGCCGTACTCGGCCGATAGCACCGTGATATCTGCTGCAGTGGATCTGGTGCAGCGGAGACTGTGCCTTTCAGCTGAACTGTCTGCACCAGGTGCAAGGTGTGCGCACTGAGGCGTTCTTTTTGGCGCAAGTGACGTCACCGCGTCGCGGCTCCTCTCGGCGAGGTGCGCCGGTGCCAAGTGCGTCCTCTTGGAGCGTAAATAAATCGACAGGTAATTGATTGACCAATTAATTGAAGGGACAAATAAACAAATGGATTAATATTGTGCAAGAGGCCTGCGTCACGAGTAAAAATTCAAGAATCGTTATCCCCAGCGATGAAAGTTCGACGAGAATTCAACGGTCTATGACTTTGGCGAAAGTAACAGTGAGATCGTTGAAGATTACTTTTCGCTAAAGTAAGCATTTTACAGCCTGAAAGCTTTATTTTCCAAATTTCGGATATAAGGTTTACTTATTTCTTACGATATACTGATGTACTGATATAATTAAAGATTCATCAAGCGTCGATACACTTATTGATGAAGTCGTATATACGTATACCTTAGTGCATCAAGTAATATTTTTCTAGAAGTTATGCAACAAATTAATAGAAAACTGAAACTTATTTTTCATTAAAATATATCCGTCATGTATCTTCGATATATATAAATTTTCGACATAGAAACTAAACTGAAAATGAGGTTAAAAATTAAACAATTTCTCATTTTATTTAATGCTGTGTCAACATAACGTTATAACCGTAAGAAATCTGTAAAGCAGAGACTTTAAACTATCAAATGCTTTTTAAACTATCTGATTATCATCATTTTTACGAACGTGATAGCTCGTTGAATTTACCTATTTTTCACGATTGCGAAAAATAAGTCTTTCATTTTTATTTATAATATAGAAATGTATTTAATATGCTGTTAAGGGACGAGCTATTTACAAATAAAGTGATCTCTTGTCTTGTTATTTAGTCGTAAAATTTATAAATAATAAAAAGGAAAGATTTAGAAATAATAAAAAGATCTGACTCTTGTTGAATCGTAAAAATAAATCGAGTGTCCACTCAATCGTTGAATTCTACTACTTGGAAGACTACGGTGTGCGCAGCGGACATAAAAATTTTTATTAGTTCCCAAAATTCCGCTACAAGTCGCCACCATTTCAACACAAAAGAGATCGTAGTACAACTCAACGACGAGTCAGCCAGTTTTTATTTACAAGTAGTATAACTCAACTAAGTTTTTCTCTAAAATTTCTGAAAAATACGTTGTTTTAGGCGCTCGTCACCAAAAATTTTTTTCAATTGAGGTTTCAATTGTTGTGTTCAATATTAGGTTAGATGAACATTAATTTTCCAACGATGGCTTTTCGAGAAACTAAAAATCAAGATCTAATTTTCAAATAACGGATGCTATTCGTTCCACATCAGCATGGGAAGCAAGATAAATTCCAACGGACAGTAAGAGCGCGTGAAGGCACAAAATTAATGAAAAATAACAGTAAGTAGAGTTATAAATAATAATAAATAAATATCTTGGTTTTACTAATAAAACAGGGTTAAGATCAATCGTCCAATTAAATCGAAAAAATTTCTTATCGGTTGCAGATACGTAAAAAAAGCTTAGGAGTTAGCTTAGGAGTGCTACTTTTATAGCCAGCTTGAGATAACTAACCAAATCTTTTTTTGTGACATTGTAAGAATTTTAAATATTCTATTCGTTCGTATACTCGACGTCACATACATTTAAACTAACATGTATAGACTCACATTACAAATGTACGATTGCGTTTATTTTCATATGTTTTGGTCTTCGTCGCTTCGTATTGTATACTACCGTGTCTCTTAATATTTGACGTGTTATCATTGTACAATTTGTGGTGAAATACGTTTTGTTGGCAGATGAAACAATGAATCTCTTCGCTTCGTCGTAGCGTACAAAGCACTTCCCGTACTCTTGGTCGCATTTATTAACACTAACGTTGAAGGATCGATGATCAACGAAAGAGGAAATCGTTAGTGATCAAGGTGATCGAATGACGCAGCCGCATCTTGACCAAAGTAATTTATTTGTTTCATTAAAAACTTAGACGTTGGAATGCGACTTCTACACGTGTGACGGGTATAATATGTAAAACTACACGCTACGATATTTATATTTATAACTATATGCTTCTTTTTTTTTATGATTCCTCACTGGTCAACGTAAATATATCATGTATATGATAATAGAATAATAGCGGCTTAGTGTTCGATAGCGATAATTAAACCTCCAATGCGCTAACTACCGCGTGCTGTCCCTCCGCACTGATTTACAAGCGAACGGATCTTGAGGCCAGGACGCAATGATACGCGAGATGCGAGGAATAAGAGACAGAAATTATAAGAGCGAAACGTATCGTAAGTAAAAAAAAAAAAAATTCATCTCGAGATTTTACAGTTTCCAAATTTTAAGGATGACTTTCACCAAACTCCCCTTTTACGATGAATAAACCGGTAAACCTGTCAGTGTTAATCTCTATCTATACAATTTATCGTTCGATACAAAATAATTGAAAAATTTACAATCTCCATTTTAACATATAGTTCTCTGTTAACTTAATATTTTCTATTTTAGCAAAATAAAACGGATGTGATCCTTGACTATTAGTAACTTTAATCGTCGATTGGACTACTAGTCAGAGTTTGCTGAAAGTCATCATCCCAGAAACCTCGCATCACTCCGATCATGATGATCATGATTCCAGATGATCTAGAGTTATTCTTAGCGCGCAACTCAGATATAAAGGAACAAACGAATTTCGGAGATCGCACTAAGATTTCACTTGCTCGCGTTTTCAACCGTCAGTCGTCCTTGTGAGATGATACAAGTTGCTCGCACAGAGACACATACATACACATAAAGAGACATGTGTCCAGAAGACATCTTATTTTCTTGTTTTAAACATCTTACACATTTGTGTGTCTCCAGCGCTTTCCAGAGCTCATTTTACCTTCTTCGATCGGTTATATACTCATGATTATCTTATCTTGCCTATTGATAACGTCACATTTCGTCCTTTACAACCTAAACCGACGTGTCGTTGCGTCTTGGCCCGTTGTCTCGTCGTCGTGTCGCACATACTGTGTGTAGGGGAGGGTGTCTAGAGATATATTATTTACAAAATATACAGAGCGGTTTCTCTCGGTGCTCACAAGGGCTCTCTCGTGGAGTATCACCCTCTTTCTCCGCTCATCCGTCCCATCCCCCGGTGTCGCCGCCGCGCCGGTCGTCTTTAATATCTTTTATATATGTCCTATATACAACCGCCGCGCGCGCGCAAGATGAACGGCAACTTCAAGGGGCGAATCGCCTATATACCAATGGTGCGACGTAACATAATTGAAGAATACTTTCCCTTTTCTCAAAAACCGCCGGGTTCTCGGCTAGGTCTGCGCGGCGCAAATTAGAAACAGCAAAAAGAAAGAGAGAGAAAGAGAGGTAGAGAACGAATAAAAGAAAAAGGAGAGAGAGAAAGAGAGAGAGAGAGAGACAGAGAGAGAGAGAGAGAGAGAGCAATTAAATTGCGAGACGGAGCGAAGTCGATCACCTCATCTAGCTATCTTCCCACCGTATTTCCAAATATTGCGAAACACACAAAAAAAAGCACTCTTATATTTAGTAACTACGTAATATATTGTAATAAAATATAACTGTGATAATATAATGTAATGTAACATAATATTATAATTTATATTATACTCTTTTTAATACTTGTGCTTTAATTAAAGGAAAAACTAAAGGAAAATATCGATCTTAGGCAGTGTGATCGACTTCAATCCGCTCTTTGCGCTCCATTCTTCATATAATGCGCGCTTACAGTCTAAAGTACACTAATGTACACAAGAGATACACGACGTTTTGTATAAAAGTTTAATCGATAAGTAGCACGGCCGATTCGACCAAATGTCCATCGAATTCGGATTAACGAATATCACACATTCATATTAATGTCTTTCTTTCTTTCTTTTCTTTCTTTCTTCCAACAGGGCTCGAGGTGATTCGAAGGTTCGTCGAGTGACAGTGAAATAATACACTGATACAAGCTTCGTGGTGCGTTTTATATCTATCTTCTCATCGTTGCCGTCGCCGAGTATCAAACGGATGTTGTGTGTTATGAGAAAACTTGGTGAAACCGGCCGTAAGTTTCGCTTCGCATTACACCGCTTCTTTATCCGCTTAGAATGAAAGAAAGAAGGACGTGTCTCTCTTTCTTTCTTTCTTTCTCTCTCTCTCTCTCTCTGTCTGTATTTTAAGTCGAAGCCTCGTTTTATAATAGAAAATCAATCGCACGCATCGTAAAGTGGCTGCGCTCTTCGTTTCATTGGTGCTGATGAGAGATTTGTACACTCGACCTCGATACGTCGATATTATTAATTCTAAATGTGAAATGTGTGAAATACTCGATATCGAAGGCCGTGAGGGATTCTAAATACGACGAGCACGCTCGTCGATCTATCCGTCCGCTGCTCTTCTTCCAGCGGCGCTTCGTTATATTCCTCTTCTGTTTAAATTAAAACAAGTCTATGTATTCAGGTCTCAAGAAGAAACAAGAGACAGCAGCGGAAAATAAAACCGCATGAAAATACAGCGAATGAAGAAAAAAAAGACTCAATAGATCGATGCAAACTGTTTTCATCTCTTGCTTAATTCTTAATTATTCGCGCGTCTCTTCCATGCACTGGTGACGTTAGAAGGTTCGATACAAGTAAGGGTACAACAGTACACTTTTTTGATTTTTCAACTCATGCACACACACACACACACACACACACACACACACACACACACACACACACTCTCTCTCTCTCTCTCTCTCTCTCTCTCTCTCTCTCTCTCTCTCTCTACTCTGGATAATATAAAATTAATTTTCGTCTAGGAAAGTACAATCTGTTCTACATTATGGAATCTATTGTCCGGAGGATTATGTCCACTTTTCTGCGTGCTACTAACTCAACACACTCTTCCTTCTCTGTGGTCGAAGAAGCGTTTCATTCTCGGTGAATTGTCGGCGCATATTATATCTCATCTACTTTCGGAAACATGTAAACTTCGCGAGCGCGCACACACGCACGCACACACGCACATACACACGCACGCACACGCACACACACACACACACAGACACACACACACACACACACACACACACACACACACACACACACACACACACACACAGACATGTGTAGCTGCGTTCTCCGACGTTTATACACGACATGACACGACGGTCGGACTTCTTCTCGAGGTCTATTCCAAAAATCCAGTATCTTACAATTATTTACACTAGACACGGCAGTCCTGTACAATTTGCGGAGAAAATGTTTCGCGAAAAAAATGGTGCTCGATATACGTGGCCCTTTCTTTCTCCCTCTTGCCATCCGGATGTGACGAGGACGCAAAAAACACGACAGAACGCGTCCACAAGAGCGACAGCCACACAGGTCCGTCAAGATGCACTTCCTTTAACTCACTCGTGATGTCGATGCTGTTAATTGTTAAGATTTATACGCTCCATTTGTACACACATACACATACACATACACGCGCGCGCGCGCGCACATATACGCAGCGTACATGGAAATCAGGATTAGTTTTTACAGATTGATAAAATGAACGGCTATAGTGTATAACCGGTGGTATACAGCTTTACTGCAACGAACAGAGCGAAGGCACCTTATAAAATATCGAGTGGCGTATTTAGTATCCAGCACCTTGATTATTTCTCCGGTTTCTCCGCTATTTACCATATTTTGTGTAAGTAGCCCGGAGTTGGGAAGGAGTTTAGACTTCTCCTTCCGCCTTGCGGATCCTTTTGTTCATAATTTGGTCCTTTTTTCGGGGACGCACCTATTCGGTGCTTCGTTTTTTCTTTTTCTCCCTCTCTCTCTCTCTCTCTTTCTCTCTCTTAGTGATCGTCCGCTTATTATTTATCGAATTATACGTATATATCTCGGGACTTATCGTGCGTGCGAGTCTTTTCTTCTCACCTCTCGTCTCGTCCGTTTCGATTTTAAGCCGAAAAACTCATCTCGAAGGAGACGATACTCCACTGTTCGTGAAAAAGAACAAAAAAAAAAAGCCTTTCGAAAAGGTCTCCAAAGATATATAGAAAAGTGTCTAAAAAGGAAGTCTCTCCGTGGGCGAGTGTTTCATTTCTTTTTTTTGTTTTTAACGACCTTATTTAATCGAGTCCTGCTGACTTTTTAGGCACCTACGATTATGCTATGGAACTAGAATTTCTCACGCGATTGTATACACACGAAAACACACAAACACACACACACATGTACACGCATTCGTCGTCGAGCCGTCTCATCACACAACGAATCGGGGATGTGGCTCTGCCGATTGCGTATCACTCTCTGTATAACATATGCACCTGTTATCTATGTACATTTTCATTGTACATCACTGCCCGATATAGTAAATGCGTCTCTCATCATTTCTCTCACTTCACTCTCGCCCCGTTTCGCGGGAAACGACAGTTCAACGGAAGCCAAAATCATTCTCTGACGTAGAGCACATAATTGGTAGAATCGAAGGATACCGAAACCTCTTCCACGTGTCTCTGCGATTTTGCGATTATCGGCGATGCGATGTGAACGCGTAGATAAGAGAATATAAACAACCATACATATACGTACATATATGTATATATATATTTTTTTTCGAACATACGATTATATAAAATACGGGTTTTTATGTGTATAACGAAAGTGCGTGTGACACAACGACAGTCCTTCAATTGAATTTCTCGTACGTGCAAGAATGTCGTGACCAAATATACATGTATCACTACGCCCGACGAACTTATTAAAATAAAGTGTAACATGCGGCGGCGACACGCCGACTTAACGTAAAACTCTCCGTGCCAAAGTTGCGATCGTCGATAAAAAAATGTAATAATTGTTGTACGTACAATAACGAAACGCAGGATAGTCGCACTGAATGAAAAGAGAGAGTGAGTTCGCTGTCACCACCAACGCGCGAGGCACATTCGAAATAGGGCAACGTCCCGCCGTCGAGAGACTCGCGAGAAGCCGCTTCACGATCTTTTACGTATTATCATCTCGACGATATACACTCAGAAATTCCGAGTCGGTCACGCGCTCTACCATGTTGTATCGTTGGCCTTTTCACGCTGCTGGTGGCTTCCTGGAGCTACGGATCGAACTGTTCTTTCTTTCTTTCTGTTTCTTCAGAACATTTTTATTATACAGAAATATCGTGTTGCAGTCTGCAATCAGTCTGTCGTCAATGTCCAACTGTCTCGAATCGTTTTCCGTCTTCGAAGGCGAAGAGTTTGTACGTTTGTTAATGCGCACGATTTCAACGACATAACACGACTTCAACGAAGAAAAAAGGAAAAGAAAAGAAGACCGAAAGATGGACAACAAAAACGAATAAGCCAAAGAGGAGAAAAATCTCTCCAATTAACTGGAAAGTGCGTCGTGCAGTTCGTGGGGGGAGGGGAGGGGAGGGGGGAGGGAAGAAAAGAAAAAAGAAAAACCAGACATCGGCGATGTTATCTACCGAGTTCCGACCGGTCGTTAAACCCACCACAACTAGCGACTCGAACGAGGGAAGTGGAGAATGTCTTTTTATAGTTATACTATTTTACTATAAGAACTCTCAAGGTATAAGATATTGATATCAAGTCAAGTCAAGTAACCCACCGCGACAGTTTTGCGATGCATGTATCAAACGTAAAACGGCGTTCAAAAAATCTGTCCTCTCCGGCTCTATGCTAATGTGACTTCAATCGTCACATTTTACACGTGTATAGACATGTGTGTGTGTGTGTGTGTGTGTGTGTGTGTGTGTGTGTGTGTGGTGTGTCATGTGTAATAGGATGTCTCACTCCTATCGTCTATCGAGACATTCAGCGTATCTAAGATATAAATACTCGGCCGATGCGTGTCGATGAAAACAAAAATAAGAAACAGTTACAAAAATAGTCGCGAAAGGTGAGAAAAATAACAATCTACTGTTGTGTGCTATTGAGAATCGCGAAACGAGCATGAGTACGGCCACATTGACTGGGAGAAATCGCGATCGACCTTTCGCGGATATAAGGTGCGTTGAAGTTTTCCGCGTTTGTTTATTCTTTTTTTCGTTTTTTATACGTAGCGCGGGATGGACCAATGAATTCATAAATAATTTACTACGCATTATTAGCTTATACACAAATAACTTAAGCGAGCTTCGCGCGATGAAAATGATCCTCTGAACGGAAGATGCTTTTTTTTCTTTTTTAACTTATGTACAAGTATGTGTAGCACACTACGTGTCGTGCTAATCGGGGGGAGGGAGGGGGGCTGTGGGAGAGGAGGGGGATCAATTTCTCGATCATAAATTTGTACAAATTCCCTTTTGTACACCTCTCAACATTGGTCGCTTATAACTATAAATATTAGTTTTACTTTTAATTCTCAGCAATGTACGAGACGCCCGGAGTTCTTTCGTAGCAAAATAATTTTTGCGATCCTGTTATCGGTAGATGTTGTGTTTGCCCTTGTATTTTGTCTTGTGTATGTGTGTGTGTGTGTGTGTGTGTGTGTGTGTGTATACATTGGCTTTCGAAATGGTTTCGACAGTTTTTCTTCTCGAATGCAATTCGGATGCAAGCAGACATCTAATAAAAGAACCGAATTTACGTGAATTTTTCCGTACCAAGTTCTCCCATCGGATTGTCGGTTGCGCTCATTGAAAATCATTCAAAGAAATCCGCCCAAGCCGTTTCAAAAGCCAGCATATGTTTCGGTGAATAATATTAGTGAGTATTATTCATGTAATATGAGTAACACTATTTCTCTCTCTCTCTCTCTCTCTCTCTCTCTCTCTCTCTCTCTCTCTCTCTCTCTCTCTCTCGTATTGTAAATTTCTCTGTTTTGAGACTAAGGCAATGTGTGCGCGCGTGATGTGTGTTGCGTGAGTGTACATGTAAATGCAGAAGTATGTAACGTGTGCATGTGTGTATGTATGTATGTATGTACGTACTTATGTCATCACGAGGAAAAGGATGAAGTAGCAAATTCTCGATCGGTCAAGTCCTCTCTTCTATCTCGTCTTTGGAATCTCGTCTTTGAAAACACGGCGACCTCTCTACTTTGGTAAAAGTACAATGTCTTCCGCATATATCGGGTACTCACAAAACCGGCTTCACCGTGGTTCTCCCATCTCGTTCCTCTCCTTCGTCGCTCACTGTCCAACTCACGTACGCTCGCGCAAGCGAAGCTCTCTCAGTCAGAGCTTCGCGTTACGATGCTCCCGAGGAAACCGGCGGTTCCGCCGCGTCGTGATTTCGCGTCCCTAACAAGCGGATTGTACTACAGTTGTCGAGAACAGTCGTCACCTTTTCACGTGCTCGATATAACAGTGTTCGTCGGCGACTCTTGCGTCATCGTCGTCGCCGCCGTTGTCACCGTCATCGTCGATGTCGCCATCACCGCTGCCGCTGCCGCCGCCGCCGCCGTCGTCGTCGTCGTCGTCGTCGTCATTGTCGTGGTCACCGCTGTCGCCGTTGCCACCGTCGTAGTTGAACTCACCACGCTGCTCGACACATTCGACTCGGAGCTTCGCGTGGACGAGTCTACCTCTAAACGCGGTCTCTTCGCCTCCTTGTGCCCATCGGAAGACTTGGACTTCCTCTTGTGGTTCGAGCTCGACGAGTGCGAGCGACTCGACGCCACGTGGCTGTCCTTGTCGGCGCGACTGCCGGACGACCTCTCTTTCCCATGTCTGTGACTGTAGTGATGACTGTAATGAGTCTTCCTCCTTTCGTCCAGTCTCTCATCGCCGTCCTTGGAGTCTGACCGCTCGGGTTTCCCGGCGGACAAGAGTGGACAAGTGTGCGACAATCCGGGGATCTTCAGCGCATCGTGCTCGCCAGCGTCGCCGGTCTTCGACTCGGACTTCTGCTGGGAACTGCTGTGACGATGTCGATCGTGCTCCCGTCTCTCGCGGTCCCTTCTCTTCTCATGTCTCCTCTCACGGGAGTCTTTCTCATCCCGGTACTTACTTTTGGACTTGGAGTGCGACGCGCCATGACACTCGGACGACTTGATCGAGTTGTCGTCGCTACTGCCGTTCCTGCTGTGTCTCTCGTTTTCCGTAGAAACCGGCGACGTGGATGTCATCGATGACGAATACGAGAGAACACCGGTGTTCGATGACGTTGTGGTCGAGATCTCGGTGCAGGTGGAGTTACCGCTGGCGGCTGAGAATTCGGTCTTCTCTTCGTTCTTCGCTCTCTCCTTCGCCTCGTCCTCCGCGGTCTCGATTAACGCTTTTACCGCGTTTTCCGTCGCGCATTCCATCTTTAATGTGAACGCCAGTACCGTTTCTAACTCCAACAAGTGACAGTACCTCTCCAGCTTGGCAGTGTCGTCCTTGAACCTCTGCTCGGCGATCTCGTAGCTCTCCTTGTGGATTCTCTCCAGGACTTCTTTCGACGCCTCGGAGACACCGGTGCGCAGCGACTGGCACACTTCCTCGACGTCGGTCTTTGACTTGTAGATAGCTATCTCCAGCGCTTTGTCCACCACCTCGGTGGCGTACGTCTTGGCGATGGCCTGCCGTTGCGTCAGTACCTCTTCTTCGGGAACGACCAAGTCGGCCTCGGACATGTCGACCGGTGGGGACAATTCCGAGCCGCTGAGTCGTCTCTTGGTCTCTTTCATGGAAGACGAGCTACTACTGAAGCTGCTTGGAATCACTCTGGCTTGCATCACGTCGGGAATACTCTCCTTGCTTGATATGCTGTTGCTGTTGGATCTGCCGTGGTGACTGCAATGTTCCAGTTTGTGACCGCTGCTGCTGTATTTTTTCTTCTTGCAGGAACTGCAACTATGATGACTACTGCTCGACTTGTCGTCGTTGCGATGGCGATCCTTATGCCGCTTCTCCGATCTCTTCTCGTCCCTGTTCTTATCGCCGCTCTGTTTTTGTACATTCGAGCTGCTCTTGGACGACTTGGTATTGCCGAACGGATCCGATGGATTGTCGTTAGTCTCCTCTTTGTCCTTTCGTTTGAGTGACGAATGTCTAGAGTGATGTTGACTTTTCCGATGCTTCCCATGCTGATCAGATTTCTTCAAATTACCCTGATATTCAGCCGCTCTCTCCTTCGCTTTCTTCTCCTCGAGGGAGTCGATCGACAGTTTCTGCTCCAGACGCTGTCGATTCGTATTCTCCTTCTGCTCATCTCCTATACCGACTGCCTCTAGCGGTTTTTTCTCCTTAATGCGATGAGCGGACTCGTTCACGACGCGAGTGTGTCTGATACTCGTGCTGTGCTGCGACTCCGGATAATACTGCTTCAGTCGGATGTGCCAAGCGATGCTTGAAACGGCCGAGACCGTTCTGAACTGGTGGATGATGTTGCGCGGTAGAAAATAAATGTCATTGTCGTAGAGATTGATCTTGGCATAACGGACACCCTGTCGGCGCAGCTGATTCAGTTTGGCGTCCTCTACCCACTGTACACATTGCGATATGGGCGGCTCGTGAAGGTCCAGCTGCAACTTCTCGACGAGCTCGGTAAAGTCTCCTGCGTAGAACGCCACCACGTCTTTCGTGATCCTGTTGTATTCGGACGGTTGGCCGCCGTGGACAGCTTTCAGCACGCCGACCGCGGCCGTGGTCATTCTATCCAACCCGTGGCCGACGTGATCCGCGTGCGCCTTCGTGCGATCCTCGAACATGTACTCTCGAGCCTCGCTGAGTCGCGGCAGATATTGCAAATTTCTCAGCTCGTTGATGCCGGTCCTGCGTCGCTTGTATGGGCTTTTGTTTATGTCGGCTGTCGGCACCAGTTGCTCGCCTGGTCGGATCCACAGGATGGGACCGTCGTTCGACTCTTGCGGCGTGTCCATTTTCACAACAGAGAGAGGACCCCAGGGCATCGTCTGGAACAGGATTATATCGATTAATCAAGACGATATGTGTGCACGTATACGAATACACGCAATTATATATATTTACCATTTTCAGGAACGGATTTTCTTCCAACTTTTGCAGTAGGTCCGGGAAATATCCGCCGACTTCTTCATGAACGGTGCCCACAAGGCTGATTTGGTGCAGTGGACCGTAACGGACGGTGCCGTTGTTGTAAGCTTTACAAACTTGATCTTTATACTGAACCATAGTCGTCGTCTCTATGTCGCTGCTTCTACCCAACACGCCGTTTTTCACAGTCAATGTGGGGTATGTATTCGCCATGTAGTCCAAAAGATCAGGTAGATATGCAGCCGCATTGTGCACTATGCCCATGACGTGATGAGCATTCCCATTTTCGTCCTCACCGAAAACCACCTAATAAACGCCAACAAGTGCACCATTATAATCAATAATTCAGTTAAACGAGTATGAATCAGCAAAATTTTGAATTGCATCTACGCTCCCTACAAGACTCTTTTGATTCTTTTACTTTATTATATATTTATCTCTTAGACGCATAATCAAATCAATTATTCAGATTATTGGTTAGTGTGAGTACGATAATACTAAATAAAATACTAAAAAAAAATAAAAATCAAATTTATAAAATAGAAAACATAGCGCAACCGAAACGTTTGACCAATGTATACCATATTTTGTATTTTATAAATACAACTAATAAATTTAACTCATTGTCTAACGGTATGTCTTATTTAGTATTATCAAATTTTTCGAAAGTAGTAACCTGCGCTGCCTGTTACTGGTTTTCTTAATTTCATTTTTTGATATTCATTATCCTGTTATTCGTTTTCTTTATATATCTACCTTGAAGTACTCCTGTGCCAGTTCTTCCGTTTGTTCTTGCGACAGGCTGTCAATCTCATCTTGGTACATGTGTACTACTGTTGCACCTCCGTTCGGGTAGGTTTCTATGTGAATGAACTTCTTGTACTTTAGGCCCTCCAGTATTTCGCTCTTCACAATTGGATTGTTAAGCATCTTGTAGTTTTTCGTTTGTAAATTTAACCTCAGGTTATCGTTGGTAGACTTGGAAAAGGGCAGGGACATCGGTTTACCGCTCAATGAAGACAACACATGACGGTCGCGCTTGCACTGCACACCGATGCTGGCTCTCTTGATATTCCTGCGTCTCTCACAGCGCGAGCAATGTCGTCGCTCGCTGTGCTCCTTGGAACGTTTCTTGCTCGAGGACGAGCATGTCTTCGAGTGTGAACTGGTGAGCTGGAGTGAACTGGAAGGTGTGTTATCGGGATCCGCGAGTTTCTCTTGAGACGCGCCGGCCTCCGTTCTGTTCGACGATAATGTTGCTGAAGCATTAGCTATCGACTCGGATTTGATCGTCTGCAAATCTTCCTGCGATTCCATAGGTTCTTTCTTAATCTCTACGTCCTCCACTTTCGATTCTCCCTCAGCAAGCTCTGTCTCTCTAACAGAAGAAGCTTCTTGCTGTTCGCTCGTTGATTCTATCTGTTTGATGTCAACTTGCAGCTCATCGGTCTTTTCCTGCGTCGAGCAAAATGAGTACTCGTTCATCTTGTCTATGCGCATGTCCACGTTGTCAGCACCTTCTTCGCTGTATTTCGCCGTGTCCATTATAGCTGTAGTGCTCGCGATAGCCGACATCATGCTGATGGAATACGTTATATTTGGACTGTGGGGACTGGCGGAAACCCTCGGTGGGTAGTCGGGGCTCCTCGGACTGCTGATTATCTCGCCGCTACTCTGAGGGCTCTCCCCTAACTGTGGTGTGTTGTTGGAGAAATTTACGCACCCTTCTAGTTTTGCTTTTGTGGACAATGATAAGTGCATAGCCCCGGATAACATTGTATCGTTGTTACACGTAGAGGCAGCCTAAATAGAAAATTATTTATTGAACAATGGATACCTGTTACTTCTGTGGTATACATTATAAGTTAAAGATAAATAAGTAGCGACAAACCATCAATTTATTATATAACATGTTTGCTACCAGTGACGCACATGTGACACACTGATCTCTCAAAAAAGATAAAGTGTCGCCTGTGTGTGGTGATGGTAATTTTTTATCTTTACATAAATAAACTAAGTCTGTTTTACACATACATAATTGTATTAAAAAAGATAACAGAGTAGTTTATTGTAATAAAGGGAAGTCTTCCAAATGAACCCTGGAACAAACATGTTGAGATTAATATATCTTATGAAACTGCATAGTACCTACATGTATTATATGTTGAATAGGTTCCCTAGTAGCTTTTACTATTTCATTGTTGCAGTGATCTGGATTACCTGCATCATATATACATATTGTCCTACTTAGTGAACATATATAACATTTGTTGATTGTATTTTCTTTAAAACATACTTAACATTATATAATTTAGAAACATAATATATTCATAATATCTATCTATGATATCAAAGATTATTATATTTATTTTTTCTTATAAGATTAACTGTTATCAGATTAATGCCTTTATTTTTCTCATTTTATATTGAAAAGTTTTGTAAGAGAAAATATATATATATATGTTTTTATGACAAATAGATGATGTTATTCAGTTGAATACGATCAACTGGTTCTCGTATTTGCTCTATATATGATGAATGGAATTCAATCTATTATATATATATAATAGAAGCGTATCTACAAACCCATTTTCACATATATCATATTCCTTAAAGCAAAAGAAACAATTAAATTAAAAACAGACTTTATAAATATAAATTTTTTGAAGACATATATATCCCTTAAACAATAATAAAATATATTTGCTATATATTCTCAGACCCAACAAGTCTGCCTCAATCATTATTCAACATTGCCCAACTTAAACATATCTTACATCAAAATACTGAAACAATTTTCGAGGGAAAAAAAAAAACCCCATATTACTAAATCCTAGCAACTCAACAAATACATTCTCAGCATCACAAACGGCGTAGAAACGAGTGAGTCCGCTATCCACGCGGAAAAACCTCACCGGAGAAATCGCGCAACGACGACAGACACAAAACGAGATTACCGTCTGGTTCCCCCGGAAGACAAGCGGTGCCGCTGTCCAGGTCGGTCCTCTGGTGAGACATGCTGCGCCGTTGGGGAGACGGCGATCGGGACTCGTTGTCAGGCTCGCTCGGGACCCGTTCACCAACATCACCAGACAAGCTCGTGGGGTCCGAATCCCTCTGCGACGTTCCGTGGCCTTCCGTGTTCGCGTGAAACGGTGACGCTGCTGGGAAACCCGTGGGCGTCCTGGACGAACTGCGTGCGGGATCGGGATCGCAGGCACGACCTGCTGCTGCTGCCGCCGTAGTTGCTGTCGTCCTCTCGACGACGTTGCGCCACGTCGTTTTGGCCGACGTCGCGCTCGTTGCTTGCCCACCGGCTGGTTCGTCCGTTCGCTGGCTCGTATTATTTACATCGCATCCTACGTTTGACACGATACCCGCACCGTCCTCGGATGCCATCTTGGTTCCGTGAGCGACATCCCGGACGCGGCGATACTACGCCGTCGCGGATTGGCCGTCGCGCGACTCGCGACGGCGCACGCCATCCGCCATTCGCCCGCGCCAACGTCGCTGAGTGGGGGCCGCGCCAGTAGACGGGGCGGTTCTATCTCCGTCGAGAGACATTTTTATCCGCCGGAATCTTCGATCTCCAAACCTCGTTTTCCGCGAAAACTTTTCGATTTCCGCAGCGCGTCGAGCGCGACCGCGACGACACGCGAGACTAACTCGCGAAGCGCCGCGAGCACCGCCGTTGCGCCTCGGCTCGCGAAGCGCCGCGAGCGGGCCGAACGTCGTGTTCGCTCGCGACGGATCGGACACACGGAAACTCTCGAGCCGGTCACGCTCGATGGGAACTTTCGAAAGTGCTACCCGCGGAAGGAACGGATATAGGGTCGCGGTAGGATCATTTGCAGGAGATGCCCTTCCCTGATCCTTGATCCGTGGCGCTCGACCAGCAAGCGCAATAATTAGATTCGCCTACTCGCGGCGAGACCGCGACGGCGAAATATAGAAAGAAAAATGGCGTCCGCGCGCGTGCTATATCGTCGGCCAGCGACATAGAACGCTTTTTTTCATCATGCGATATCGATACCTAGAATGCGTGCTTTTGCTCAACCGTCTTTCCCGGAGTCTCGAGGAGACGAACAATAGCTGCCATGTCTGCCGGTTAGATAAGAATCGCACATAACGGGGATTGTTGTCTTTGCCTCTTGCAATTGAAACACACACACACAGAGCGTCAATAGCTTCTGCCATTTTCTGTCAGGATGTCTCGTCTCGCGGGTATAGCATCTAAACATTTCATATCATTGGTTTTGAAGAGAAGCGGCAATTCAACTACATGAAATGCAATATATACGATGAATGTACGTGCGCATTCGTCTTGCCTGATTTTTTAAAAGAAATTTGTTGATAAGATATGTGGTCTGTTCTTTGTAGCTGCACTGTTGAACTGGTGCAATAAGTTAAAGTGAGACAAATATAGGTTTTCTCATTCTAGCTTATTGTTCCACCAGTTCAGCAGTGCAGCTATAAAGAACAGACCAATGGCTAGACTCTATAAACTAGGGACTCGAGATGTTTCGTGTTGCCTGCAGAGGTCAGTAACCGAACTGGCAAAGTGAGCTGTCAGTTGATTCGCAGGTTCTTCGAAGCCCAGCAGACGCTCCTGGTTGTTCTCCTTGTTTATGGAGCAGAGAGACAGATTTGTTGTGTAATTTAACTATCACTAATGGTTTCTGAGCAGTGAAATACATACACCCAATTATTGCTAAAGTGGCCACTGTTTTCTCGATCTATTTGGTCCTGCGTTTCAATATTCATCGTTACACAGTACTGAAATTTTATAGTGACACAAACTATGGCTGCGTTCCGATATTCACTGCCAGTACTGAAAATACATAGTTTCTGTTACGTATATTATAGATTTTTAGTGCTAGCAGTGAATATCGGAACGCAGCCTATGTATTTTCAGTACTGGCAGTGAATTTCGGAACGCCTTGATATGGTTTTTCCAAGGATTTGAGTCGCGGAACTTGGTTATAATTTTTCCGCTACGGTTTTCCAGCGCGACTACTTGCTGCCAATAATTTTTCGACATGGAAAAAGCCGAGTATCGCGCGATTATTAAGTATTTCGTTTTCAAGGGTTTAACGGCAAGTCAAATTCGGCATGAGTTGGAGGAGACGTTAGAAGAATTTGCCCCTGCATTTTCAACGATCAGAAAGTGGGTTGCTGAATTTAAATATAATAGAAGAAGAAGCTGTGAGGATGCGTTTCGCTCTGGTCGCCCAAAGTCGGCAACAAATGAAGAAGTAATTGAAAAAGTGCAAAATATCGTGACAAATGATCATCGATTAACATTAGGAGAGATAGCAAACATTGCAAAGATCTCAACGGAACGCACACACAAGATTTTAAAAAAACATTTGAACCTGAGAAAGATATCCACACGATGGATACCATGTGTGTTAACTATTGAGCAGAAACACGTGCGAGTGCAAGTTTCCAAGAAATGTTTGGAACATTTTGAGTACAGTCCAAGTAATTTCCTGCGCTGTTTTATAACCGTTGGTAAAATATGGATCAACTACGATAATTCTTTGAGAAGCCAAGATCCAGAACAATTGACTAATAATGGTTCTCCACTATCAAAGAAGATAAAGAAAACACCAACAAACAAAGTTATGGTCACTATGTTCTGGGATATATATGGAATTATTTACATTGACTACCTTGAAAATGGTAAATCAATCAATGACAAATATTATGCAAATTTGTTGCAATGCTTAAGAGAAGCAGTAGACAAAAAACGGCCACATATGAGAGGAAAGAAGTTGTTTTTTCATCAAGATGATATACCTGCTCACACATCACCATTTGCAATGGCAAAAATTCATGAATTAAACCTTGAGTTGCTGCCATATGCACCTTGTTCACCAGACTTATCCCCATGTGACTTCCATTTGTTCTCAAATCTCAAGGATTGGTTAACACTTCAAAAATTTGCATCCAATTGCGAGATTATCATTGCCATAAATGACTATTTTAAATGGATTAAAGAATCAGAGTATGAAGAGGGTATAATTGAATTGATAGAACGCTGGTATACATGTATCAAAATTAAGGGAAACTATATTGATAAATAAAAAGAACTTTGAGTCATATTTCACATTTTCTTTGGTGGGTTAAGACCTATTGATTTATTCGACCCTTGTGTATAATTTATGTCTGTGTGTTATTATTTGGATGTTAAATATTTTTGCAGAGAATAATATTTTTACTATAATGTATTCCTGCGTGTCTGTCAGTCTGTCAATCCCACGTTCTGTTAAGGTGCCAATACATGAGAGCGTCAAAGCGTCCAACCAATCAGTTTTTCATTTCTTATTTCACGGATAAAAACAAGGAACTTTGATTGGTTGGACGCTTCGACGCTCCCATATATTGGCACCTTTAGTCCTATTGTTTTTCAATAACGATGAACCCGAATTACGTCTTCATAAGATTTAGCTGTGATCCAAACCACAATTTGTTAGTTTCTAAATTTAGCCGAGACTCAAACCACATTTTACAAGCTCACTTAAATAAGGGGTGTAAGAAATATTACCCGTTATTTTGGTGAACCAATAAGGTATCTTCGATAATTATTAGACCTGTTATTTTAATAAACAAATAAGGGGTTTGGTTTACGGGATTACCCGTTCGTCCATTTCGCGTCGAAAATAAATTTGTAACAAATCAGATGAAATCGCTTCCGGAGCGACCGAAATTGTGTTACGTTTGAAAACGCTATAAAAGTTCAAGTATAAAGATTAAAAAATTTTATTTTAAATGTATGTATTTGTATTTTTTATTTAACTACAGCACTCTTATTAATGACGTTCTAGAAAGCCAATATTATTATATCATGAAGGTCATATGTCAAACATTTCAATATAAATGAATTTCCTACAAGGGAATAACGACTGGAGAATCTTGATTGGAGATTGTTGCATATTATCAGAGTCAAAGCGCAAGTCAAAACGTGAACGTGTGCATTAAACATTTCCTAAGCGCTTTGTTCCGGTTTGTGCGATAAGCATGGTGCAGATCTCTCCGGCAAACCGTGCCATGCGTCTCTCGTCCAACATGGCGACCGGCAAGGGGCTAGCTGTGATTTTTCGACCGAAAACTATTAGCTTTATCAGTAATAACAAATTAAATAAATTGTCCTGCAATGCTCTACAACATTGCAATGTGTGTCAACGGCATGTGGCAACTATCGCGTCAACTGTCAGCAAGTGGGACTGCGGAAAAGTGGAAAAAAGTAAAGTACACATCTACGATGGTTTCGTTGGATTACATCATTGTACACTTCCCGGCAAAATTTCCTTCTCGGCACATTTGTCAATCTGTTGTCTATTATTTAACTGCTTACTTTAATTCCTAAATCCTTGGCAATATGAATTTCAAACTGTTGCATTTCGTTTCATGTATGTCGTTCAACGATTATACGACATGCGACATAACCTGCTGTTCTATATTATTTTTTTACGCGTGTCGTATCCAACGCAATAGTTTGTTCTAGAACATCGGAGAGCTAATATAAATACATATATATAAAAAATATATGTGCGTATATATTTATTTTTAAATCTTCAGCTATTTACAGCTAATATAAGTCCTACATCCACAGATATATCATTAAATATGCAAATAATTCTAATATAATTGTACAGGAACTATTTTTTCTTTTATATACAATGAAAAATTACCATGATATATTATTAACATTGAGTCGCAATTTTGTATATATCTGTTTTAGATAATATAGGAAGGATAGTTCAACCACATAGGTCCATATATTTAACTAATAAATTATTAAAACGTAACTACTATGAGATCTTAGGTGTCTCAAAAAATGCATCTGCAAAAGACATAAAGAAAGCTTATTACGAGCTTGCTAAAAAATATCATCCTGATACGAATAAAGGAGATCCAAATACTGGTAGAAAGTTTCAAGAGGTCTCTGAAGCTTATGAAGTATTGAGTGATGAGAGCAAGAGAAAAGAATATGATACATGGGGTGCTACTTCTGAGCAAATGGGAATGGGAGGAATGGGTCAGAAGGCTAAAAATTACAATCATTGGCAATATAGATCCACTATTAATGCAGAGGAGTTGTTTAGAAAAATATTTGGTGATGCTGGATTCCAAAGTGGTGCTTTTACTGATTTTGACGACTTTGCAGAATCAAAATATGGTTTTGGAGCAGCTCAAGAAGTACGAAAAACAAAATAATTTGCATGTTACTTGTTGTTTAATGCAACACCAAATAATGATAAATTTTCTTGTAGATTATAATGAATTTAACGTTTTCTCAAGCTGCTAGAGGTATAAATAAAGACATTGATATAAATGTGATAGATGTTTGCCCAAAGTGCGACGGTTCACGCTGTGAACTTGGCACTAAGCCAGGAAAATGTTTTTATTGTAATGGTACAGGAGTAGAAACAATAAGTACAGGTCCTTTTGTAATGAGCTCAACTTGTCGATATTGTCAAGGTACAAGAGTATACATCAAATTTCCTTGCAACAATTGTGACGGAAAAGGACAAGCGGTATGAATATCTTATTTGTCTATAAGAAGAATTGCCATTATTTTGATATTTGTTACAATTGTATCTATTTTAATCATGTCTTTACTGCATAGGTGCAACGTAAGAGAGTGACAGTACCAGTTCCAGCTGGTGTAGAGGATGGCCAAACGATTCGTTTAGCAGTGGGAAGGAAGGAAGTATTTGTAACATTCCGTGTGGAGAAGTCTAGATACTTCCGTCGGGACGGAGCCGACGTACATACCGATGCAGAAATTTCACTCGCGCAAGCTATACTTGGTGGCACGATAAGGGTGGAAGGTGTATATGAGGATCAGACTATACAAATAGCACCGGGTACATCGTCCCACACGCGCGTTCGTCTAAGTGGCAAGGGGTTGAAGAAGATTAATGGAGTAGGTTATGGGGACCATTACGTGAACATTAAGATAACTGTTCCTAAAAAACTAACTGACAAGCAGCAGGCATTATTACAAGCATATGCTGAACTTGAAACTGATACCCCTGGCAGCATATTTGGTGTGACAAATAAGACAGATGGTAAGAATAAATAATAAAATATGATCCATTTATAATATGATATATTCATCCGTGTCATTTATTATAGTTCATTGTAGTAGATATTCATTGGTACTACAATAACTACTACAATAACAATACTATTTCCCTTACCATAGTACATCTCCATTAAATATTTATACATGTCGCTTGAGTTTTCCCCTGTGTACCAGCTGCACTAATTAAATAAAGCACATTAAGATTATAAATGCGTTTCATTGACTTTGCTTGAGAACAGAATGTTTTGCGATAACAATTTTCAGATTTGAGTAAAAAATTATTTGTACAATGATTAATTCAATATAGACCATTCATGCATTTTGAAAAAGAGTTTTTGTCAGCTTTGATATCTTTTTTAGGCAGAGCAGGTTCAAAGGTGCAAACTCAAGCGACACAAGCACAAAATGAAGCACAGATAAATCAAAGGAATAATGGCCTGCTTAGTAAAATTAAAAAGGTCATATTTGGATAAACGAATTGTAAGTAAGTTATTAGACAATACATAACTTATGTATATGTAACATATTTGTCATACAAATGCATAGTGCCATTCAATATTAAATATATTCAATATTAATAGATCAAAGTGGTTTTAAAAATGGAATTGTAAATAACTATATTAGTATAACATAATCTTACACTATCAACCTAGATCAAATGTATTTGTAAGGTACTAAAATGTATTTGAGAGACAAAGTTTGTAATAAATTTTTCTCGATGGAAATATTGATTCATTACAATTTAATGAACCATCATAATTTTATGAATCAATCACTATCACTAAATTTCAACTAATTGTCAACTAATTAGTCTTCCATAGCAAATCTCTTCCGAACATTCTATGTGCGATACATGTCTTAATAAACGATATTAAAAGTGTATCACATATATACAAATGATGTAAATCTCACTGGCGGGTCTAATTACAGGTACAAAACAATGCTATACAGGTCCGTTACACTTAGTAGAATCTATACGAATAGCGCTAGGAAATACGTCTGATCGGAAAAAACAGTCTTCATCCTCTGAGATCGAGCATCCAGGAGACAAACTTATAGATAACAAGTCCGTATATGCTACCAAAGATACATCGAATGCCAATGGAAAAAATGAAGCAGACGTCGAAACGAAACGACAGAAAATGCCCTGAGGATGCTACCACGAATAGTTAACGATCTGTAGTAATCTAGGTCCTAGATGTTGCTCCGTTACACTGCTGATAAGTATGAGAACATACGTGCGCTAATATCAGTACTACAAATGGGAATTCTAAGGAACACTTATATACTTTCCATCAAGATGAAGAAAACAAGTACGAAAATTACATAATTTACTGAACATACTGACATAATTACAAATGAGCAAGTGAAGTCAGTCTGGTATCGTTTACATGATCTAATTGTACAGTCGTATATTATAGATTATACATTTCTTCATTTGTTACGTTTATGAACGCAATCAAATAAAGATACATGAAGATACAAATAGCAAAGTTACTTATATTATCATATGTAACTTCATATGTGAATTTATGAATTGAATGCTGTACAACGCGATTATATTTCCAAAAAAATTAATATGAGCCAGTCCTGAAGCGCGCGGATAAATGCGTAATATAACTGATAAGGAATATAAATATATTAATACATGGTTAATTGTATCACACACTTACATTGTGCCTTGCGCTCTCAATGTCTCACTCTTATATTTTGATCGTATATCTAAGAACCTTTATAATTATGCCTTCCTATACACATACATATTTTTAGCACGAAAAACGTTTACATCGGTCGTGAAATAATATGTTTTTCTATATTACAATTATGCATTGCAGTTTGTGAAATAAGAAGTATGTTGCCTAAAATCTACATATATATGTACAATCTCTACAGATTTTTAATGTACATACGTAATAACGCAGTAATTCAAGATAAGCATGTAAATATTGGTTGGATTTGCTCGTTTTATTCGGAACTATACTTGTTAAACTATAAAAGGTAACTCTTAATGGTAACGGTCTGTGTGTAGATAACATTAATCTTTTATAGCTTGAATTTCTTGAATAATATTTATAATTCTAAAAAGTATTGTATTCACATAATACGTGATATTTCTTATTAATAATTCCTACCTACAATAGTTTGTAAATTCCAAAACACGTGAACGTAGAGATTTTATTGAAGACCAAAGAAGCAAGAAAATGTAGATGAAAAGGAATATGATTCTCCCTCACTGGAGCTCTAAAGTCCTGATAATCTATAAAGGATTAACAATAGTACCGACAAGTCATCTACAAGATGTTAAAAATATCTCTTTGCATCGTCGCGAATTTACAACTTTAAGCCTCGATCAGTAAGCCGTATTTCAACCCGATGTTGGTGAGACTCTGTGTTGCTGATACTTGTAATACGGCTACCGTTATCGCTGCAATGGTAACAGCACCTTCCAAATATAACCCGTACAATATACGTACGTGGCCGACGATAGTCGAAAGACCGCCCGCTGCAGTGAAATCCAACGGGAAAAGCACGCTCGCTGCGATCGGCCTCGATCGTGCTATGCCGAAGCACAGTATTCCCAAAACGTAGTAAGCGACTATAACAGAAATCGAGACATTTTCACTTCGTCTTGATTGCTACCTTTATTCAATATTATTTGAGCAATGTTTGAAGCTTCAATCACAATTTTTCAAACACATTTCGTGCTCGCTTCATTTGCGAACTAACTTTACATATGAAAGAGTGGGGCGTTTTGATTTGAACGGAAGGAAGATGCCAAGAATTTTTGTAGACGTATACCTGAACAAACGAATGGCACGATTTTGACCCATCTCGGTATCGGCAGGGAGTACTTTGGTTCCGCGTTGCCAAGTTGCGAGTTTCGCCTAGCGTTCGCGTACCTTTGCAAACGGAGGACTGCCATCAGACCGAAATTCAGGATAAGAAGAAAATGCACGGGAATGCCAATGGCGGCGAAAACCACTCCAACCGTGCGGCCGGCAGTGGTACGCGGAACTGGTGCTCCGAAACCTATATGGTCAAGAATATATGGAATAGTAAATAAGGATGTATCATGAGATATAATTGTAGTAGTTTCCGCAGATTGCTGTAAAATTACTGGGGATGAAGTCGAGTGTAATTAATCAAGAGTTAAAACAGAAAATGCTCTTCGATATAAAAATCGTAATTCAGGATCAAAGACTAATCAGACTAATCCGGTACTTGTTGAAGGGGATCTATAGCGGATTAAAATGCTTTTTTACGATAGTCACTGATACGAAACTACACGCATTTACATTTGTACTATTTCGCCTTTCTCTTCTTCATTGTTATTTAAGAGAATCGCTCCCTTGATTTGATCGACCTACCCAAAGTAGTAATCAGTGAGATTGCGAACAGCACGCAACCGGGAAATGTCCACAGCTGTCCACTATTGCCACCTTCGCCATAGCCGGAAGCGACGGCGGCTAAGAGGAGTTTCTCGTGTTTCGCCACGTACTGACGAACTTTGTCGCTCCACAACGGTTCCACGTCCTGATCCTGTTCGGTGCGCAGCTGTCGCAGCTCTGTAGCCAAACCGACCGCCAGGTCTTTCTGCATGTTCTTCAGTAATACGACTTGCTCGCGCTCACGAGGACCTTCCGTGGCGCAAAACGCCGCCGCACCTGCTACTGTCCAGATCACAAGGAACCATAGAAGACCTGTGTGAAATGAATTGCCAGTAAGTTGAATGAACAACGTTCAAATTAATAGACAAACGTTAGATATTAGTAATGGGATGTCTTTCTCTCATACCAAATTGCGAGAATGCCAATCGTCCCAGAAATCTCAGATACTTCAGAAATGTCGAGAATCTTGAATTCGACGGATTTCCGTCGTTATTTTCTTCAATGTCCCTGAGAGACGGTAGAACTCTCAATCGCAATGGCAAACCTATTATAGTCTGAACAGCCACAGACTTTGTCCATTTGGTTCGTATTATGCCGTTTTTCATGCGAGGCGAAAGCTCTTCGGATATCGTGGCTGGCGTATCTGCAACATTTACTTTTAAATACATTTATCTACGTTGTGTTTGCGATTTCCGAGATCAAACTACTTTAACATGTCCTATAAATAGAAATAACAAGACGCAGGCACAAAAATATTTAATCAAACAATTGTAGCAAAGAGATAAGGGAATTTTCTTTAATCTTCTGTTTTCCTCAAAATTTCCCAAAACTTTGACTTTGTTATTGATCGGTTTAAATCGAAGAGATAACGATCTTACGTATTTCAAATGATTTTTTGCAATAAAAGCATCTTTTTCTAAAGCGATAAAATCGTAATCGAGACTTTTAGTGTATTCGTCGTTGAGGTTCCGCACGTTTCGGTATGTTACGCAAATTGAACGATCGGACTAAAGAGAACGTCGAAGCGTACTTGTCTTCTTCAAGTTCTCGATGAAAGTTGCATTAGCAAAACACGCAGTGATCGATTGCTTGAAACTTGGTACATAAGGCATGCACGTTTGAATGTTATAACGTTCCGTTATAACGTTCGTATGTGACTACTATACTATACGAATTGTGTACGTTCTTCCGCTCTTTTTTTTTTTTTTTTTTTATACACTTTCCTAACACAGTCAAATTATAATGTAAAGAACAGAAATTATTAAACGCTTACAGATGTTTCTTCCGGCGAATTATCTACCAAGCTTCCGCACGAATTCGTCTTCGCCTAGTTCTAAGATCCGCTATCGCTTCAATAATATCTGTATAACATTCTCCAAGCTCTCCGACTGTTTCTGATAGCCCAACGCGTCAATTCACGCGAATGAAAATCATCCGCAACAATTCGGGTTACACTTACGGATGCCGCAAACGACATCGTCATCGTCGTTCCTCTCATCGTGTTTCACACGACGCTCCGACATCCTTACGCAGAACTCGGTGACGCGACGGCGGGCGGCATCCTTGACGAGGGCGATGCGCGGGTGGATCGAGTTTTTGCGGACCCAACGCCGCTTCCTGGTGCAGGAGGATTGTTTGTACCCTGTCGGTCCCTGTTCGAGCGCGGCATCTTGTGCGCGAACTTGCGGCAGAATGCTTACCGGAGCGCGTGGTAACGTCGCGACGTCCGGCACGTCACTGAAGGGTGTTGCGACGCTCCAACGCGCCGGCGGCGTCGGGAACAGGGGTACGTCCATGAGCTAAGGTCAAGATGAGGACGCAAGCTACGATCACCGGCGACTCCACGATCGCTTCCGGCGATCTTCCTTCGGTCGATCATAGGATGATGCATATTTTACGCACCTCCGCTTCCGACGATGATGCCATGCACCCTCGACGCTTGGACGTTATCTATATACCGCGACATTATTCGGAGACTCGAGATTCGGCCGGTCAGCCGTCGGCCGACGACGTCTGCGAGCACTTGTTGAATCGACCGTCCCACGCACGAATGCTCCCGTCCTCGGGGCTTCCGGTGAAGATTCGTGCGTTCTATCTGAGCGCCTCATCTGCCAACACAGCCTCGGAAATTCAAATTCACACTCTGATGTCTCAACATACTTCTGCCGCGGTGCGTACCTTCATTTTGTCTACTTTCAGCTACCAGTTGACTATGCGAGGAACGTTAATCATCTCGTTATTATTATTCTGTTCACTATATTTTAGATTCGACCGCAGCCGTGGCGAGCCTAATTATCGCCCATCGTCGGGATATCCGATATTCCTCAACGTTTAATCTTAATATGGAATCAAATTTTGCCTCGACAATTTTGCGTTCTACCGTTTGCCGTTTGCTGTATCATTCCAGGTCTGACCTTTCAATTTAGCTTCAGACATACCTCCGACAATTTCTCTCGTCTATTCTTCTGCGAGAATTTTTTGCTCAATTATCATGTATGTAAAGTTCGATCGATGGACCTCGTACCTCGGGAATACCGCCTGATGTATCATTAATAACAATGCTGTCTCTCGACGCTATTGTGTACACACTATACGAACTTATGGCGACAACATTTATGTTAGACATTATCTATATTCGACACATGCTATCATGGCGGTATATTTTATAACACCGATTTTCATATTATAATGTTTACAATCCTTATACAGGAGAGTTTTCGTCCACAATAGTATGTGTGTGTAAATTTGTCGTCAAAGCGTCGTAAAGAAGTAATTGCAATGTTGCATATTGTATTTCATTTGAAGAAAAATACCTCGTATATCCATGATTATGATATAATCAAAAGACGGTCTTTTGCCTCAGACGTCGTTGTACTTATCTCGTCCATGATCAATTTCCGAGCATTATCGCATTATCCGCCAATCGATTAGCTCAAGACTGTTCTAAACTGCTCTGAAGAGGTGAAGCTGCGAAGCGGTGATTCGGCGCCTCGGAGAATTCTGAAGCTACTGGGCCGTGCGGAATGAAATTTTCGTGCATTCGGCGCGTTGCACCGCAAACAGGCCGAGAGGAGTGGTGGTGCGATCTCCACCTGCGAATCGCTAAAATTAGAATACAGCCTTGGAATCAATGACGACGACCCTAAGCGCCGAGCGTAACGTACCACCGTGCTGTCTATAACTAATTGCACACGTGCCCTATCTTCGATTAGATAAACTTTCTCGATGAATCCTGCGTGAGAGCGGAACCCGCGCCCTCGTGGTCACAACGAGCGCACGTTCGTGCAAGTATAATGCGATCGTATTATAGTACGATGCCATACAATATGTCACGCGATATCCCGATTTGCTCGCGACTTCTGTAATATGCATTAAGAATGCGTTAGCGATATTTCGAAATCTTAATGCTTATATAAGTGATATATGTACACATATTATATATTGCCATGAACCCTGTTGACACAAAACACAATTTTACCATTTAATAAAGTGTGTGAAGAATGCTTCTTTGAACGCCAAGTAACATTTTATTTCTCTGATACCGTTACGAGGCGTGCTAGTTATATCGATCGTTTAATCGTTCTTTTTTATTTTTCGTTCTATTCATTGTACTCGCAACACAGCGCTATTTCATGTATTCGATAAAATGTAAGGATCGTGAATTCTTTCTCAAAGCTTCAGCGTTTTGTGTGTACATGGGCGACGGGGAATCTTCCTAAAATAAATAAACGAAACATGAAATTCTAACATGAGAGATGTTGGGGATGAAATATCAAAGAAATATTATGTAAAATAAATTTCCTTCAAAATTTGTCGGAATGTCTTCCGTCGGCAGATAATTCCTCACAGACCAAACGGAAGTTCGCGATTAGCGCGGCGCTATTCGACGGCCCACAATCACAGCCGCGAATTCGCAGGCCGTCGGCTGCACGTACTGCGCCTTCGCGGTTCGCCAATGCGTTTGCGCGACATCGATCCGCATTTCGCGGTCTCGCCCTCGCGAAATATGCCGTGCCAGTTCAACGGGGGATGTTCCTCGGAGGACCCGCCGCACCTATAATATGGAATATCGTTCTACCGTTCTCGATCGGCGACGAGATCGGGGAACTCTTGAGGTGCGTTTAGACAGGCGCAACCTTTCTGCTATCGATTTCAGTCGGTTTATTTGCGTGCGTGAATTTATCGCTTCTTAGGATCGCTCCACATTGCTAAAAATATGACAGCGAGTGAATGTCAAGCAGTATCGGCGGGCAGTATGAAAGTAATTCTCGTATTTCATTCTCTACCGCTATCGCTCTATTTTTATTTCGGAAAAATTGATTGTATATAGATTCACACTGGAGAAGCCGTGATACGAATCCGTCAGTTCTTAGATAACACAAATATCTAAGATACCTCCCCGAGACATCTAAGAGACATCTAAGAGAGTCTAAACAAGTCGAATATTTTTACAACGTCTTCTAGATGTTTATTCTATCTGATTATCTAAAAAATTTCACATCTTCTATTAAAACAAAAATAATAATTCATCATATTTACAAAAAGAAAAAAGTAGAAACAGTTGACTTTTCATGTTCCATTGTCTTCCCACTTGCTCACCTATTTACGTAATCGTATCGATTACAAAGAAAGAATTGAGTTCCCTTACTAATCCTATTAACTAATTGTATTTCCTTCCCTTACTAATCCCTTATTGTCTAAACATATCCTCAGACGAGAAAACGATGCGCAGCCTCGCTCGCAGGCTACTAGTATGGTCTGCGTTGGTGCTGTCCTTCCTGGTGGTCGGTCGTCTGCTGTTCGGCCGCGATTTCCGGCAATCGTCGCTTGTTCCTCGCGACGAAGGTATCTCGATACCTGGTAGCCGCGCAAATCCACAGCAAGATGCACAGCCAGGATTATCCGCCTACTCGGCGGGCATATACATGGCCGGTCGACGATCCCATAACGCGAGTGTCTGCAGGTGGTACCACGGCCTGCCGGATGTCCTCTCCTATCCACCGTCCAGGCTCACCTGGAGTCCCGAAATCGGCGAGAAGAGTCCCTACAGGTAGAACCATTCACGAGCAATCGGATGCAATTTATGTGTGTTTGCCGATATAATTAGCACATCGATTCCCGATATCGGCCAAGTATCGGCGACGGAGAATCGGTAAGCGAAACGGAGGATGCCGTCGGAGTATCGTGAGCACCCTACCTGCAGGGTCCTGCCGTTCGTGTTGCGCGCCGCCGAGACGACGGACAGGTTGCCCCAGGTCACGTTGTCCACGCACGCCACCGCCGATCAGGTTTACGGGATTGTGGAGTTGGCCAGGCGATGGGAAGGACCGCTCAGTCTGGCGGTGTTCGTGCCCGGTCTCGACGCCGGCCTCGCTGTCGCTCAGCTTGATCGGGCCTGTCGGTGCGAGCCTGCCATGTACAAGGTCTCTTCAACTTCCTCGTCATGATCGTGAGCCTCGCGACACATGGCCTCGTGACATATGGTTTGACACGTCAAACACGTGTCTCGGTCTTCGAAGTTTTAAGTTTTCTCTCTCTTTCTCTCTCTTCTTTTTTTTTCTCGTTTGTTTATGCGCGATACAGGAAGCTCCGTGAATGTAATACGTTCGCTTCTACAGCATCCTATATAACTGTAAAATATAATCGCTGTCAATGATTCAATAACATGCGTGCAAGCAACGAATTTTTACAATAGTCTTTCGTATAAGTCTTTCGTTAGGTCTCGTGGGACGTGTCTCATCGATTCACTCACGTAAACGTGGCGTTCAGAACGTGTTACATTCAGCATAGATATGGCGTTATAGATCCTTCACTTCGGCTTTCACGTGTTATTTAATGTTGAAAGAACTTGTCGAACGAAACTTCTCACAAGGCCGGACACAAGTCCGGCCTGTGTAAGTACAATACGCTTGCTGCTAATAGCATGATAGATGAGGACATCGTTACATCGACATGTCCGCTTACTATTAGCACAATCGCTTCGTTCACATAGAAGATGTAAATTGTCTCGATTAAAATAAAATTAAGGACGCTTGGCTCTCCTCCTTCTCTGTGTGCGAGACTGTGTGCAGATAGAAATTGTAGAAATGTTAAACACACAACGCAACAGTCGTCCATACTTTTCAATTAAAGGGCTTGCGTAACAGCATGTTAAATCACACAGAAAAAATTTGACTTTAGCTTAGCGACTATATTTTCAGGCTAACACGATACAAGGCATGATAGGAAAAATTCAAAATCGACGAGACGATGAACATGAACTATACATTTTCCTTAAACACAGACTTTGAAGGCAATTTTTGCAGGCGAAATCGCGAAATTGGATTTTGCAAGACTATTCTATATTTCGAATACATATTCAGTCTGTTCGATCAACGTTCCGTCGATCTTGATTTCTAATTAGTATGAACCGTTAAATGAGTATCATTCATAAGCGATTCTTATGAATATTAATAGACGTTGGGTCCGCACTATATATAATGGTGCTTCCGAATTTCTTTTGTGACCTTTTCACACATGGTTCTACCTGACACGAACGATCGCAGGTTTCCGTCCATTTGGTGTTTCCGGCCGGTCGACCACCCGCCGTGGGCACGATCGGCCGTACCCAGGGTGATTGCGCCGCTTCTGATCTTCAATGGCGGCAGGCCGAAACAGAGAGGCGGAAAAGGAGCATGACCTACCCCATTAATGTCGCTCGAAATGTAGCAAGAACAACGGCGAACACGTCCCGCGTGTTGGTGTCTGACATCGAGTTGCTACCGAGCGCGCGTTTGGCTTCCGGTTTCATGGAGATGGTACGTCAGAGACCGCCCAAGATCGGCGTGATCTTCGTTGTACCTGTCTTCGAGATAGAATCCAACGAACAGCCGCCAGCGACGAAGCTGGAGCTCCTCGCCGCCTGCCACGCTGGTTTAGCAGTGTATTTTCATAGGTATATACTCGTTCTTCTTACTTTCGCTGGACATGGCGATCTGAATTCAGACTTATCAATTACTCCCTTGTATTGCAAGAAATAAGGTTTGTCTACTATTATATGGGATAAGAGAATCAGACCTTTTCTGCAGGTTCCTTTGTCCGCACTGCCAGCGGTTTCCCGGACTGACAAGATGGATGATCAGACCAGATCCGGGTAAGGTTCGACCTCTAATCATTACCAGGAGGGAATATCCACATCACAGGTGGGAACCAGTCTTTATCGGAACCCGCGAGGATCCGCTCTACACGGAGGAGATGTCTTGGGAAGGAAAGCAGGACAAGATGGCCCAGGTATAGAAAGCAATGGGTGTTGTCCTTAAACATAGAGATCATCCGCTGGAACACGATGTAAAAATGTACAAACTAACGAAGAAGCATATTTAGATAAAAATCGAGAGCTCTTTTTTGCTTTTAAGCAAACGATTTTACATCTAATAAATGTTTTCAGCGATGTGATGTCTATTCGCAGATGTTCGAGATGTGTCTTTTGAATTATCGACTAGTCGTGCTTGATGGTGCCTTTTTAGTGCATACGCCGGGGATCAAGCGAAAAGCACGCAAAATCAGCGTGGCTACACAGGAATTCTTCCGGCCGCACGAGCGAAGAAACGCGAGAATCTATCAACGCGTGATAAAGCGTTTAATCAAGCAATATCCTATTAATCGTAGGTGCTCGCAGTGAGATTAGATATCAGTGATGCATAATTCTTACCTAAACACTTACCTAGGTATTTACCTAATTGAGAGACCGCTTATAGACACGCACACGGTGCCTGTATCAGTGTATATCGATGATAGGAAAATATTTTTCGGTGACGTCGAGTTTACTAGTCTTAGAAGAAGAGAGACGCGAATTAATATTATATATAGAATTGTTTTTTTACCGCTGTTTTTTAGAAATAAAAATTTTTACACAGAACATTCGGCTGCGAAGTTCATTTCACGTAGCTTATTCTGTAAATCCCAAAAGACAACGTCGTTGCAAGTCAGAATAGTAGAAGACCCTTTTTATTAAGGACCTGGTCATGACGATGATTTTATCGAAATCCAGCGAGAGGCAAATATTTGAAATTTTTCTCTTTAACCTAGCATACCCGACGTGTTTACGCAGGTGCATAACATTATTGTATAGTGAAACGTCTTACCGAAGATGTCAGTAAATAGTTATATCAGTGGATTGTAGTAGTTACATTATCGAAAATTAATGCACAGAATCCTACTTTATAACTCTTTTTTATGTTGGAATCAAAGTTACTGAGGTTATTTTAATTCGAAAATTCAAGCGAAAGTGACAAACATGGGGAACCAGTCATATCCAAGTATCTTACAGACAGATTCTAATGCAAGATTCATACGGTATTCAACGTGAGACAATCCGATATCCAATAGAAATCCAATAGAAAATTTTACTTTTCACAGTTTTCATTGAGAAATCTCTTGTCTGTAAAAAATAAATTCGCATTTAAAAAAGCGTGAATTTATCATTAATTCAACATGTCATTAATTCAACATGTCAAGTAATGCAATAGTTGCGTTTATGTGAGCGATGCATTAGTTTCGCATTTGCATGTATATACATCTTCATAGAAGCATTGTTTCTTATTTACACCGCACGAGGTCACTAAAGTCAATTTGGGATTTGCTCCTGACTTTGTAGATCTTTAAGGTAATGTTAATTATTTAATTGTATAGTAATTGATATATATTTATTGATATATATATATTCTTTTTCTTTAAATTCTTCCTCCTTTTCTATTATATATCTCAGTTTTTTTTTAAATGAATGTTGTTCTTGACTCCTTTCCTTATGTTATCAATGGTTGAGGTTAAAGCAATACTTGAAATAATGACCGCCTATTTATAAGTTTTTGTTTTCTTATGTGAACATATATATTTCCATTTGAAAAACTTTAAGACATTTAACGTTTGCTATGAGCAATACAGCACCCATATTTGTATCTTCTAGAATTTTTAGAAATTTTTGTACAACTAGCAAGTAATTTTTGTGCTATTTGTACATTTGACCAGATTTATTTAGAAATTCTGAAGAAATAATTCTATATCATATATTGCTTTTAAATTTTTTGAAGAAAATTATTTTTTCATAAAATTTACATAATCTACTGTAGGAAATACAGCAAGAAGTAAATTTATTTTGATTACAATCGGTTTTCAGTATAAAAATATGGAGGACTTCATACCAACACGTGCTTCTTGTACCAAGGAAGACTATGTCTCTGTACGTTATAATTACCCAAAGAAAAAATCGACATCAACAGATGGTTTGGCTACTAAGCCAAAGTTTCCAAAGAATGATTCGACTGATTCAGTAGTGGAAAAAACTTCAGCTGAACTAAAAATAGAACAAGAAAAAGAAATGAAAAAAGCACGATATGATGTTATTAAGTTTGCTATGTCTGGTTTTGACAAAGTTAAAGCAAGAAAAACTAAAGATGAGCTTGCCATCAGTTTGGGTGCAATTCCATCCAAAAATAAAAAGATGAATTATAAGAAATTGAAAGTATGTCGAAAGAAGATGAATGATGAAAAGATGAAAAAGGAAGAACATGTTTCAGGTTTCACCAGTAGCCTGATCAAATATAAGCACAAAAATCTTAAGCGCAAAAAAGTTCATAAAAAGGACTCTGGTATTCTAGGAGTTTACGGAAAAATACCAAAGAGTTCTTTGCCTAAACAATAAAGCTGAGCTTGCCAGCAAATATTTAAAAATTGAGCAGAAAAAAGGAAAACATCCAGAATTCAATTAAAAAGGATTATAACTGTAATTAGGAATAAAAATTTTGTATATATATAGGTATTTAAGTATTTCAGTTATCCTTCACTAATTAAATTTTCAATGTTTTAATAGAAAAAAAGCTGAAGTTTTCAGCAAATATCTGAATTGTCTATTGAGCTTTGACTATTTTTGCATATTGTTGCTTTCAGATTTTTCTTTAATTGTTAAGAAACTAATTTTTGTGACATTTCCAAAGTACATAGAGGGACATGAAGGAAGGAAGTGGATGAAGAAATAGAACCATATTTATAACTGTAAACATTTAAAATATTTTGTCGATTCATTGCTGTCTCTTGTTACAACATCAACTATCTATATCTAACAGTAACATCTTTTCTGTGTGTTGTATACTATGTACGAAGAATAACAAGTAATAAAATAATATTCTCATATTTTTTATGGGTCTTCTCTTTTTTCTTTAATTTTAAGGATAGGGGCCAGCCTTGAGCTCTGCAATAGGATATATATGCTCTTGTCTGTATGCATATTTAAAATAGGTTATTCATGTACGCAGTTCACAATGCCACAATGGAATGATTCGGCATTCTGGAGAACTGTCGTTGATCTCTCAAAGTGAAATCAGTCGAAGGCAACCGCCGTCGGAGCCACTTCTAGTAACATTTGGAGAAAGGCATTGACGCCTTCTGAAAGTGGAAAATGGACAACTATTCAATAGAAAATTTAAACGTAGCCGTAAATATAAAGTAAATATATAACAATTGTCTCAAAGAAGAAATATAACTTTATGAATGAAACTTATAAATATAATTTTTTCCAGATATATCGTGAAACTCCTCATCTTCCATTAACTTTAATCATCATTATCTTCATAGTATCAAGTGACAGCGAATACTTACCCATGAATTTGGGCACGTATCCAAACTTGACAAACGGGAGGTAGACAAGCATGCCCGCACCAATAAAGCCGGCCGCATACAGGTACTCGATCTGCGGTTTGTCGATGATCGGCGCCACTATCAGATACGCAGAAATGCCGAGCACCAATACCGGTATCAACAATGGGCATTTGTACGGTCGTGGATGATTGGGCCTGGTCCTCCGCATTACCAGCAGGGCAAGCATTGCGCCGCCGTAAAATATCCAAGCAGTAAACGAGAAGAAGTCAATCAGCGAATCAATGTTGCCGGAAAGAACCATCGCACCTGCATAATCGGGCGTATTCTTATTTGCGCCATAGATACGTTTTACATTTTGCAAATTTCAATTTTAACCTGAGATCCCTTGCAATTTCAGCTTATCTGTTACAGTCACGAGGGCCACGAGAGATCGATCTACTACGATCACTTGATTCAGAACGCGCAATTGTCCTACCCGATATAATCAAGACGACATCGAGTTGTATTGCGTAATACCTGCTACGAGGGAATGGAAGATGAGGCCTGGGGCGGGAGTGAAACGTCGTACGTGCACATAGCTCAAGCAGTCGAGCAAGTGTCCTTCTCTTGACGCAGCGAAGCAGAGCCTACCCGCAGCGAACAGGGTACCATTGGCGGATCCAAATGTGCTAATTGCCACGGAAAGTGGCATCAGCCACGCCATGACGCCCAGTATCCGATTGCCGAATGTCTGCAAACCGTAAAACGTAGCTGGATCGTTATCGAAATATGCAGGAATAACAAGGTTCACCGCGATTACGCTTACCACCGCTACGGCCTCGCTCTCGATCATCTCAGAAGGTGACATAACCGCCAAGTAGGAGACATTGATAAGCGCGTAGCAGAGCGTGACAAGGGGTATGCCGATCATGATAGACCTGGGCAAGTTCTTGGAAGGATTTTTGATCTCTTCGGTCACGTAGTTGAGATTATTCCAGCCATCGTAGGCCCAGAGGCCGGTATAGAAGGCGGTAGCGAGACGGCCGATGTTGATCGTGCTGCCGTCGATGGTGTCGAACGCCGTCTGTAGGTGCTGCGTATTACCCTGTATCAATTTATATGAACCCCCGACTATTACGACGAGTATCGCCATCAGTTTGGCGGCGGTGAAGGCGTTCTGCACGCCGGTCGCCAGGTTCACGCTGTAGCAATTGACGAGAAGTATCAGGACGATCGCCAATAAGGCGACGAGCTTGACGACCTCGTCGGGTGGATCGCAGTCGGCGGCGAACGCCTCAACGGCATACTGGGCGAACGACAAGCAAATAATGGCCATCTGCGATGGCTTCAGCACCAAGGTAGACACCCAGGAGAATAGAAAGGCCGGCGGCGCGCCGAACGCATCCATGAAGTAAGCGTACTCGGCGCCGCTGCTCGTGTTCATAGTGCCCAGCTCGGCGTACGCGAGGGCGCCGCACAAGCTCAGTAGACCGCACGCAGTCCACACCAGGAAACTCACGCCGACGCTGCCGGTTCGCAGCAGCAGACCCGACGGCGAGACGAAGATCCCGGAGCCAATCATCGTGCCGACGATTAGAGCCACCCCACTGACGAGTCCCACCCGTCTCTTGAGGTGAACAGCGTTGTTCTCCTCTGCGTCCGTCCCCTCCACCCCTCCGCTCCCTCCACCCCCGTCTTCGTCATCCCCCACACCCCCAGATTGGCCTTGTTGCTGTTGTTGTTGTTGAGGATGACGTAACGTCGCCAGTTTGCCACTCTCCCAGCCGTTGCTGCTGTTGCCGCTGTTGATCGATCTGCCCGTCGATGATCGGCAGACCAATCCACCGCCGATATCGCCGGCACTACCCCCCAACCAACTACCCCCGGAGTGCAACTGTTGCTGTTGTTGCTGCTGTGATAGCTGTAACTGACCACCATTGCTCGTCTGCGGATCATGTCCCACGGTAGCTGGAACGGAAGATTCACTTCATCAGTGATACGTCAACACATTCGCTCGTTGTTGATTACATACTACGTAGTCGAGATCGGAAGAGCTCGTTTCAAAGCGTTTTAAATACTTGAATAATGGGCGTTATGTGTATTAGTCCTCGTTAGTTTCTTACAAGTTGTGTCGTATATAGTTCTATAACTCTGTAATCTCTATTTTTTCAGGATATATATACTTAAAGGGGATTTTATTGGAGAAGAAAGCTCTTCAAGTCTTTATAAAGTACGGTCTTACTCGAAAGTAAAGAATGCATTGTTTAGTTTTACGGAACAGTGTTACGGATTTGTTCGACGAATAATATTACTACTCTCTCTCCAAGGATCAAAATGGCGTACGTTAAAAACCTCAAAGAACGAGATAACTGATGGAACTTTCGTAGACGATGACAGTATATATCCTGTCCAAGTTGCTTCGAACAACAAACTTATCTGCTTCTTATAGCGACGAAAAATCGATCGCATTTTTTCATGAAATAGCAGAACTTAAGAATGACTCGTAATACGTAAAACGTACTGAACAGATCAAAGCTACACTTTTCAAATCAAATCGGTCAAAGAACAAGAGTCACGTAATCATGTAAAGCTCGCAGCTGGAAGGATAAAGGATCGTATAAGGGACGCATTCACGTCAGCAATATTTATTTTCAGAAGTCTTTTTCCCAAACGTTTGATCGCGTTTTTTTAAATTCGCGTTAGATCATATTTTATGCGCGGATTTAGCATATGACATATAAACAAATTAGCGTTTCACAGTTTAATTTGGTCGTTTAATTTTATTGTACTCTGATCTTTGAATGTAATTTTAGCAAGAGCATTTACCGTGAGACTCTACTCCACATACCATATTCCAATCTCGTTGGAGTCGAAAAGTGAGATCATTAGCCGGCATTGACTGCTCACGGAAATTTTATTTGTATTCAGTGAAATCACGAGCTTCCGGGATCGCACTTGTGTGGGAAACATCGCAAGAGAGAATCGCGGTTGTTATGCAGCGCAATCGATAGCGTCAATCGAGCGGTGTCGACGATACATGGAAGTTTGATGTGCGTGACGCGCGAAACGAAGCATAAACCGCGCTGGTTTTCGATTAATTTAATTCTCCATGCTGTTAGCGTTACGAGCAAGGAATTGCGCTCACTTTCGCGTTTGTGTTTGTACAGATTACGATAATTATTGTGTTATTTCTATAGCAGGGAAGTTGATAACTCGTGAAAATTATAACAACTTCAATTCCCAACACTAGTCTTCGTCTCATGTTTGAAGTAGTCGAAGAAACTATACAAACCCAAGTCGCGATTGAATTCACGTAAAAATTCAACGAAACATCGGTCGTTTACTTTTAGTTTACTTTGAAGAAGATACAATTTTGTCACTGTATACACTGTCAAGTATGAAGATATAATTTTGTCACCGTAGTCCTGGCATTTAAAATTGAGCACTTTTTGGATAAATAGGGTGAATGTGTGAGGAAGATTTAGTCAATTCGTTTCAACTGTGTCTGTTTGGTAGTTCCTCGACATATAAAATGAGACACGTAGTTCCTCCGAGAAAAGAATAGGAAGAGGCCGGGTGTAAAAAGTGCTACTGAAGTGAACGGACCTGTTATTCGGGTCGCGTCGGTTCCTAAGTTTAGAACTAGCCGGCGAGGAGAATCAGACCACGTGGTCTGCCCTCGTGTATAAATCGCGCGCGCGGTATTGGGCGCGGAGGCTCGAAATAATTCCGGATTTCGCCGCTTCTTCTTACATAAACCTGGCGAGAACTATTATGCGTGAAATGCTTCAGCCACTGATCTCCTTCGAACGGCAACTGTTAGTTATTGTGAGAGCTTTTTTTGTAAGGATTCTTCCGCAATGCTGAAGTGAGTCTTGCATTTATTATTCGCACTAACACACTTACGACGTTTCGACTTGCGATTTTCTTTTTGTTTAAGTTACGTATCAATTCCGGTCGGGAGACCGGAGATAATCGAGTAATCTCGCGATTATTATCACAAAATTGCATGTTATTCGTGTCGAGCACATCTTTTCTTTTTTTTTTTTTTTTTTAAACAAATCAGGTACCGTGATGAACGTCGTTGACACAGCATGAGATACTGTTATGCAAGTGCGATCGAAAAAAATGCCGATTGTGAATAATTACTCGAGAGTGGACGCGCGATGTGGAAACTGACCGGCTCGTGCCGCATCCCTTTCGTGACTGAGCGACGATGAGCAAATCGCTGTTTGGCTAGCCTGCGCCTCGTTCGCGTACATATTTGCTAACGTGATCACGTGACAGCAATTGTTGTATTATTTATTATTGTTGTCGACACCGACTAGATATTATTAAAGAACGATGGCTTTACGGCAGTTCGCCCGACTGCCAGCGTGTGTACGTAAGTCAGTCTACATTGCGATTAGTCTGTTAATTCTGTCATTTTTTTGTCAACCAGATTTCCAGATCAGAAAATGTAGAAGCGGCGGTAATCTCGATAGTGCTCGATGACACGTAGCCGCTAACGACGAGAAACAGAGAATGCGGTTTGATATGCAGGTATTGGATACTCAGTAAAACCAGCAAAAACAAAAGGTACAAATTTACCGAGGAACGGAATCGTGATTTGTTACGTTGAACAATCGAATTTATTGAAGCCTTTGCTCCACTTTGTTAGTACAATTTCGCGTTTACGACCGAATAAACCGGCGTCAGCTGTAAGTACGGGAAGACATGGTCAACTGTATTTGTAATTAAACTCGATCGTCGATCACTTGATTCGACACTTCGAGCACTCGTTCGCGTGCAACATTTCATTTCAAAAGAGATCGAAAGACACGGTAGAGTCTCGCGCCAAGTGCATGCGCAAAGCGACACATGAGCCGCGAGGCCAGCCGTCTATACTTACTCGTGCAACTAGTTGAACGCAACAATATCGTGCCGCCGTAGCGGCAGATTTTTATTTAGTTTCCGAGTGGGCTCGATCGATTGCCTCGAGGTTCAATTATAGAAAAAAAAAATGGTCTTTATTCATCTTAACGCCGCGTTATCGAGCCTTCAAATTCAGGTCGCTGCATTTAGAATCACCTTAGAGTCTGGGCTACGAGCTGCCGTCACCTGGAGGAATTCCGTATATTCTGATTCAGCTCGCTGAGAGTCAATTCTGCGCGCGGAACTATTTGTTGGGAATACCGTTCAAAGTACGTACCGCGCGTTCGTCGCGAATATAGCAGTTCGAAATTCGAACTCTTCAGGTCGCTTACGTTCTTTTACGCTTTCAAGGAATATGCCCGCCGCAGCAGAGTCTTTTGCCACCCCTTACAAGCTTTGGAATTTTAATTACTGCGTTTTTTCCTCCGCACTCAGGTAAATCCGCCTTAAATAATGCACGTCATTCGCTAATTTAAATCAAATTTGAAGCGACCAGAAGAAAAAGAACACACTGCTCGAGACTAAGATTTAAAGTACAAGTGATAAAATATAGCGAGTGCCCGAATTTTCTCGAAATGAGATTTATTTCGCGCGTCAACGCGTCGCGAGATTATTGATAATTAATCGTAAATTAATACAGCCTTAAGGGCAAAACAATCGATAATATCAATGTTTTCTAATCATCCACGAGTGCCCGTTCCCCGGGAATCCTATTAATTCTCACTTTAGATAGGGCCAACGGTCTTTAATAGTATCTCATCGCGAATACTGTGTCATTCGTGACCACAGACTTCTATATAATACGTTAGATTGCTCGATATCCTTAGATAGATATACCTCGACATATAATGTACAAGTTATGTACAATAACTCGGATCGGATATACCTCGCTTATTTGTATGTAGCAACTGTCGCGTACGCGATCGCTAGAAACCGATGATAGTTCTTCCGCATCATTCTCCTAATTTTTAATATATTTTAATATATTTAAAATAAGTATATTTCAAAAAGGTTGATATCGATTAATATTAAACGGGTTATTTTGCACACAAAAATGCGCGAATAAAAAAATTGCTTCTTGGTTTGTTAACTCAATTTTACTTATCAACCTTAAAAACATGGAAACTTAATACACTTTTTTCTTATCACATGACAAATTATAATCACAACAAAAATAATGCAGAAAACAGCTGTTAAACTCTCAAACATGCTATATATAGCGAAATATAAATACACAAGATGTCCTAGTTCTCGCGACTATAATTGATACAACAGGTTGCCGAGCTCAAATAGAAAACGGGAGGATCCCGTCCCATTTTGCAAACAACCACGATAATTATTAATATATTAATAAAAACAAAATAATGATTAAGTATGAATAATGCGATAGGACGAGCTTTTCAGACAGAATCTTATGCACAACGTCTAAAACTCATTGGCAATTTCTTGGCAACAGCGGGCATACTGGATTGCTCGCCTCTCCACTGTCGGCAAAAGGATTAAATATTAAGTCTGATTACCTACTCCGATTTACCTACTTATTATAACTTTTTCTAACTCTCTCTCTCTCTCTCTCTCTCTCTCTCTCTCTCTCTCTCTCTTTCTATTTCATTTATCTGCTAAATCCCATCGAAACCCACGTTCATTAACAATCGTGTATACGTTACTACATTCCGTATCGTCGCACATGCGCTGAAAGCCGAGCTCGTCTCGCAATATCGCTTGCGACCGTAATAGTTAGCGTGGCGACGCGCCAGCAAGCGTCGTTTTGCGAGCACGCAAGTGCAGCTCCTCTCTCTCGTTGTCGAGAAATAATTGTATGAAAAATGCGCGCGAAACTCAGCAGCGCGACGTGACGCGGGAATTTCGGAGATTCGAGGGTGCACATCTTCTGTTCACCTCAAGGTGACCTCGTTGCACGCTATCGATCTCATCGAATGCGTATATACGTCACGTTAGAGCGCGTTTTCCACGGGTTTTGGAATCCAAATTTATCTCGCGAAAACCGGAAGCTCACCCTCTCGAGATGAATCTAACCGATAAGATGTATCGCAGTTATTTCTGTCATTCGTAAAATTAAAGGAGTTCTTATAAATAATATAGCGCACTCAGCAGCTCCAATTCAATGGCGCTTCTTAATTACGTGTACATTCTTAATTAAATTACATTCTTAATTACATATCTTCTACGAGGAAAGAAATCGTACTTGTCGTATCGCATTTCCCGGGAAGAGGCTCGTGAAACATCGCTGTAATTGATAGGCAATTGGCAATTCATCATTGAGAAACCTAAAGCCGCTCGTACGTCCGACTCGATTGTCTCGAGTGACAGCTGCGCATTTCGGTCACTTCGCTAAAAATATGGAAGTCCAAGACGGATCGCTCATGCCAAGTGGACAACGTGCATATTGTTTAGGATTTTACGCGCCTGTGGGTGTATATATATATATATATGTGTGTAAGCAAAAACGCTTGTGGGATATCACAAAACATGCATGACTGCGTATCACTCGTAAAACCGTTACGAGTAGACTGCATCGATATCCGTGTTAACATCAAGGTAGCGATACAAATGCAACAAACGTAAACTGCACTGTAAAAGTTCATACAACGTTCATTACTCCGACTTTTTTTCGCGAGAAATCATAAAAGTTTGCAATTATTGGACGCGAGCGTTCGCCTGCGGATTCGGTGACGAAAAATCGAGGTGTGTCTCGAGGAAATTTTTCATAAAATTCAACACACATCAGGAAATCCTCGGCGGCGCAGCTCAGTTGCCAAAAGAGAGAGAGAGAGAGAGAGAGAGAGAGTGAAACGCTTTTGAGGTCGATTTAACGGAACAAGATCGGGAAAACAATAGATCTTCGAATAAAAAGAATGAGCCGACAGACTGAGCCAAGATTCCTGCCATGGAGATCCAATCGTCGTCGAGAGTTGCTTTGCAGTTTTGTGCTAAAATCGTGCACGACGAAACATGGCGCGCGAAACTTCGCTATCAGACGAGAGAGAGAGAAATGCTCGCGTTTCAATCGCATCGCTCGATGACGATGCGTATAAGCGCGTCCTCAGCTTCGCTGACGCGAGAGATTCATCGAGGTTGCAGTAGTCACAAAGTGGAAATTGCGTCGCGCCTCGCATCTCGCGGACTCCCACTTGTTGTCCGCCGTAGCGTGACACAGCCTCATAATCCAGGCTCATTTAAAAACGATCACGACCGATATTCCGGCGTATCGTTTAACGATGTAATTGCCAACGGCGACGTCAGGATGCGAGCAAGTGCGCGCGCGCGCGCTTTAATGACTTTAAACGACGAAGGCGGCGACGACGACGACGACGTGGATCAGACAAAACAGAGGTGACCATCTCCTCCCGCAATGGTGTGACTACTGTCCTTCATGCCGCATGAATTAACTTAGGCTTAGATTACAAAATTCCGCGAAGCGGTAACGCGATATGACAACGACGATTCGCATGATGTCCAACAACGGAATAGAATAAAGTAAGCATTTGTCAACATGACTATGAACGAGATTTCCAAGGCGACATCAGAAGATTTAAAAAACGAGTTCCGTCGTCGGAACGATATCCTTCCGCTAGTGCGCCATATTTCAAATTTGAAAAATTACGAATTTTGAATTTAAACAATAAGCGATTGAGGAAATCGGTTTAGCACGCAAGGCGACTGGGTTATCAGAACTTTTCGGTCGCACGTATCGGTGCGATACGTTACTTACTATTATTGTATCGTATTAATTATTATTCAAGGAAGTAGAAGTAACGAGTCGAGGTGGTAATTCGTCGCTGTGATGCTCTGCGCTAATGTCCGGAAAGAAACGTGTGCACGGTCAGGAAAGATCAATTATCTAATTATACCGCGCACTGAGGTCATTACGCTTGTTTGTGTACGCTAAAAACATCGAATGTCAATTTAGCTTGACGCGTTCTCCTCGGCGTACGTCTTGAGACCGGCTTGATTATAACGACGCGCGTTTCACGATACCAATGCGATTCGCGGCCGCGGGTCAAATCGCATTAATAATCATTCGCCGTAAAGTGCCGCAATGATCCAATTGCATTTGATTCGAAGCTCGTGCGGAACGAACGAACAGTTTCCGTCTACGAAGGTGTTGACGGAACCAACTGTGCGCCGCCTGCGTTCTACGAACGATTGTCCATTTACGGACGTCGGTCGTAAGAATACCGTCGTTTCGTTCCGAGGACGCCGCTTTCGTCAAATACGAGCGAGCGAAACATTGTTTCTTTGTTTCGTGACGTTACGCTGACGTTACGCGTGTGTGGAAATCAGGGAGAAGATACATGAGATATCGTAGACGATACACAGAGAGAATTTTTTACAATGAAAGATATTCAGCAAGGCGAATTCTATTGTATGATGATCTATCCGTGAACTACTAGAAAACATGGTACGTTGGAAAAGAATTTACATGAAAAGAAGAAACTATCCGTGTACTTATCCATCTGACGTTAGGTGCTTTTGCGGAAGTTAGAAATCTCTTTCTGATCACATATATTTATTCCATCCAGCCAGTCTTGACTCGTGTAATCGGATTCGACTCAATTCCCTGTGAGAAGTAAGTTCATGCAAATTGCGAACACCTTTTCCCGAACACACGTAACAGCCTCGCGATAACTGAGTGAAGAAGCTGCGAGTAATCGCCTTTTAAAGGATTCGACCATTTGCCGAACAATAAACTTGGCTGTGACGCGGAAACGCTTTTGTCTCGAAATTCTGTCCAAGCGTTTGCGAGTAAGTAAACTCGCGAGCAATTACATAATGTAGCTTCTTGGAGCACCTTGCTGCTAATTTGACGACCTTCCGAGCTAATTCATGCTAAATTACGATTATCATAATTTACTCGTAACAGGCTGTCACATAGCCAGTACTTGAGCCTTTTAAACATAGTCACTGTACTGTCTCCACCACGGGTTCTCTTGGAATTTAAACATTCAGCGTGAATGGTTCATCGTTGGTGGACCAATTGATTCTCCCTACATGTATGTGTGTGTGTGTGTGTGTGTAGTTTTCTTCATATAAATTTTTTATAACTATATAATACATTTTTTTAATAATAGAATTCTGATAATTCTACGTAATTCTATTGTTCTAAATAATGTAATTTTTAATAATGTAATGTTAATTTAATAATGTAAAGAAATAAACTATTTTGGTAGAATTCATCTCGCTGAGAAACATATAGTGCATTTTTCAGCAGTAGAAAAATAAGCTCCTAAAATATAAATAGCACACATGAAACATAAGGACAATTAATGAAAGCAGAGAAAAACATGTCGGTCTCAGCTATATAATAATTCTTATCATTAAATTTTCCGTGTATATATCCGAGCACATTACACGTAAGCGTTCTACCCTTCGAGCGACGTCGTAAAGTACGTTGAAAAGTAAAAAAATATAAACTTTTTGTAGCGAGAGCTGCGATATATAGTGCAATTTCGCGCTCCTAATCGCGAGCGAAACTCATAGCTCGATAACGACTATCGGGTTATCGAATCGATAACCGATAGCATGAATATTGCTTGGCATGTAGGCTGGTATTTTACAAATACCACCCGGAAGGAATGCAATTTCGTAGATTTCGCGGTGCGCGTCGCTTTGGCAGTAATGGCGGTACAGACGATTCGATTCGGAATATTATTCGTTTCGGTTTCTATCGATCGACACTCGAGTGCGAGTTATCGTTCAATCGTAACGTGCGTTACACCCTTCTTCCGTTTCACGTCCTGCAGAAGTGAGAAGTTTTGAAAAATTGGAAAGGCAAATTGGAAACGCTACAAGCGCTGTTCCTAACCCGCCCAGAAGTCGCGAAACTTGTGGGGAATTTATTGTCCTCTGTATTGATTGCGGACGCATTAAATACTAATACCTCATCTCGCCCAACGCACTCGCCCGTTGATTGGCCCTTATAAGGGTAGCGAGAGTACGTACGCCGCACCACATAGAGGAGGCTACGGGGAGTTGCGTCATCTCGTGAAACCAGAAACGCGCGCGCGCGCACGCAAGAGAGAGGGAGAAAGAGGAAGATTCTGGAGCACGCACCCCCGGCCACAGAAGCAGCAATGCGTTTCAGAAATATCCACTTTGCGTGTGTCTCAGCAGCATATCGAGCTTGAGCATGAGGCAAGATCAATTCGTCGCTCTCATGCATACGCGACGCGTCGCGTATGCGTTTACGAGACGAGTATTGTATTTTCGCAACGTAATTCGTATACGGATGTTATTGCATTACCGTCGTTACGTTTCGATGTGTTTTTATACCATACGTAGGTAACGTACGATGGAGTTTTGCACTTGACGCTAGACGCGATCGATTTTCATTTGCCACGCGATGTAATAAAATTCAAGTAATTAGCGCGTTTGGTGCCGCGAGCGACGATAAAAAGACGGCGGATGAAACGCTAATTGTGACTTTTCACTTTTCAGGTGACAGTTCTAATTAAGAGTTGAATCCTGATTTTGAATCAAACTTGATTCATTACTGTAGTAAAAAGACTCTTGTAATAAAAGCATGAAAAAAATTTAAATATTTTACTTCTTCTTTGAAATTCAACGTTAAAAACTAAACATGAAGAATATATATCGAAGAAAAATTACTATATTTGAATGAATAATATTCTCTTAAAACGCAAAATCGATTAATTTAAAGTCCAATAATTTTGCTTTAAAGCTATGGTTGTTTATATATATATATATTTATATTTATTATTATTATTATTATTATTATTATTATTATATATATAACACAGGCAATTCCTCTCGACGTGCTCGATCGATCAATTTATGTAAATAAATGAAAGATATTCTAATCTTAGGTGATTTATAGTTAAGGCCGTTACTCGATATCTATCTGTTTTCACGATTACTCGAAAATCACCGGTTGATTCGATACGCGCCCAATCGCCCACGTGCGCGATCACGAGCTGCTTATTTTTAACATTCCAAAATGGGCATGCAGCGTGCCGAAGTGGCCGCGAATAGACGCATGCGAAATAGACGGTCCTCAACGAGCTCTGATCAGCAAAGAGAGGGGTGTGTGCGTGCCATAGTGTGTGGTGCGTGCGTGAGAATAGAGAGGGGATAAGAGAAAAAGGAAACGATAACGAGAGACGCTTGACGACATGACATTTAAGCCAATCATTCTTTCCACGCAAACTGATGCATGACACGCACTTCATCAATGAACTCATGCTAAATTAGTGCACAATAGAGTACACGGTGCTGCTCGTTGGGAGGAGAGGTCCAAGCGGTTTTGATCACAATAAGGGTACAAAGTAGCGCCATGCATACGTGGGAGTTAATGCATGTTCCCGAATTGAAAACGTGGGTCGCTGAAGAGTCAACCGTAAATTGAGACCGCGATCACGAGAGAAAGAGATAGCTGCGACAGGCGCTTCGTGATCGCTTTATTGATCGATTAATCGCGAATTAGCGGGCCTCACTCTCGAGCAGACGTCCGACTGGCCGATTTTATCGCGCGCCTCAGCATCTGCAACAATTACGCGGCAACAGACGTGAGAAAGCGACATTGGCGATGAGCTCGCCAATGAGATCGTTATCAGATGTATCCGCTGATAAATTTGAGTTCATATTCGTCGCTTCTCGCGTTCGCTTGTATCGCTTCGCAGCGCTGTATTACCGTAATGACGGATTAATCGGTGATAATCATTCTAACACACACTTCTGACGATACCAGCACTCAGCCGGTCGCTAGCTTCATCCTACTTAACCCCGACTCCGTTCTCGGCTAAGTGCGAAACTCAAACGTGAGATTACGCAACGCGCAGCTTCCCGCGGCATAACACACTGTGCATCGCGGTGATTGACAATCTCGTATCCTCCGGGCTGCGTCTCGTAAAAGTTGTTTTTCATTGACGAGGAGAGGAGGTCTGGCGCGCGACGAGACGATTATAATTAGCAAATGGTCGAGAGTAACCACCGGACAATTTCTTCTTCTTGGCACACGACATTCAGGAGCACGAGGGTGACCAACAGGTTTTTCACAACCTTCTTCAATTCGCGACGTTAAATATCCGACATTTGCACAATTGTGATTTCAATTGTGATATCTCGGATATCCCGAAATTATTGCCGTTGATTATCACATTGAAGATATTTCGCGCGACGCATTTTTATTTTTACTTCTGAAATTATCCAGAGACAAGATGTTTCGCTTTTGTCCTTATATGGGACAAAAACGGGTGACACGTAGGAAGAGAAATCTTTATTCTCGCAAGAGAAGAGCATCGTTCTTACGCGCGAGCATTGAGCATCGTTTTTCATCGATTACGGCCGAAGAACGTTTTATAACTTCCACGTGGTTTTCTCTCGCCGACCTTCAACTACACTCCTCATGCCTCATAATTAATGAGAGTGCCCCTAATGCTAGGGTCATCGCAGCCAGAAAAATATCATCGGTACTTGTTATCGATGTTAGTATAGCTAGGTGGGAATTGTTCACTTTGTACTACATCGATAAACGAATATAGGCATCCTTAAATAGCAGTTGAACATTTCCTTTATTTCTTGCAAATTTACTGTAGACTGCAAGTATCCTTTTGTTTTCATTTTGTTGTTCCCTCTCCTCTTTTCTTTCTCTGTTTTCCCCCTTTTCGCATAGTACTAATAAGCCAGATTAAATTCGCGGAATGTCCTCAGTACATTTTCCTTTTCAGACAACTACTATTCTGGGAACTTGAAGTGACGTCATTGTAAAATAAATAGCGTTGATGCATATCGTTCCATTAGGATATTCTTATCAAGATAATTTCATCGCTCTTTGTTACTTTTAGACGAAGAAAGAAGATTTGACCGCGTTTAGTATCAACCTTTACTTAGAGAGCAAGAGTTTAAACGCTTTCACTTCTGAAAATAAAGATAAAATTTAGAAAAAATAAAATGCTGCTTTCGAACAAGGCGAACGAATTAGTTCTTTTTGCCTTATTGTGGTCAGATATATTTCTATCTATTAAACTTCCCTTTTTGATATCTTCTATCAAGAAGTTCCCTCTTCTATTTCTATTAAGAGTTCCCTCTTCGGAGCGCAGCCAATTCCAGCGCCCGAGAAAGTGCGTGACAAAAAGCACGCCAGTCGCAAACAAATGTAGGCGTATCGCGTGTAGCCGGCGAGACACGCGCGACCATTAATCCAAGTTCAATGGGTTCATACATTCATACATACATACATATACATACATATACACACACACGTATACGCATATGCATACATGCACACAGTGGGACAAAGCGATGAAATCTTCTTTCTCAAGCAGTGTACGAACTCGAGCTTAAATTGAATTCGATTTGATCACCGGCAGTGGAGGCTCTCTTGAGCGTATTAAGTTGAGGAGGGCCGTTCGATCGACGGGCGTTAACGCATTTACCATACATACGCGATCGACCCTCTCTCGTTCGCTCTCAGATAGTTACTTCGGCGACTCGATGGTACTCACCTCGTTTGAGGGGCGCGACATGCATGACTCTGAGAGGGACCGATAAGAAGGGCGGACCGTGAGACCGCCTCTCATGACACCACGCCGACTTTTCAGTGTAACCACTGTCCTCCGTGCGTCCTTTACGCAGCTACTGCTGTCCTTTCGCGCTTCTTCCTCTTCTTCCACCCCTGTACCCGACCTCTACCCTTTCACTTCCGGGACCGGCCTCCTCCGCTGCTGTCCGTCCTTTCTGCCCTTCAGTGCCCTTAGTGCGCGCGTGCGCTTGCCCTTTTTATCTCGTTCACGTTCTGTCTTCTTTCTCTATCTGGGGGTTAATTCTATCCTATCTATCCTATCTCTTTCTCTCTCTCTCTCTCTCTCTCTCTCTCTCTCTCTCTCTTACCTTCTCTTTTTTCGTTCTCACGGTGTTGCTCTATAATACTCGATTTGCTCCAGCTACCGCGTTTATTCGTCGAAAGGTCCCTTCAGAATATCCCTTCTTCTGATTTGCTTTCTCTTTTTTCTTCTGATATATCAACACCTATCGCCTGTTGAAATACCGTCTACGCTCTACAACACGCTCTACACACTTCCACCGGCTCTCGCGCTTTACTGGGCGGTATGTGCGTTTAGTAGCTTTAGAATAACGAAGGTGTTGGAGAGAGGGAAGCAGAGAACGAGGAAGAACCGGCGTCGGCGCTTGGGAACTCGCTCGATACCGACGACGTGACGCTGCTGCGACCGCCACCATCGTCGCCATCATCATCCGCTGTCTCCATTGTCGCCGCCACTGTCGCCGAAGACCCAGGTTCGCTCATCATTTATCATGAGTCTCCTGCGTGCGGAAGCATGCAGGATTTTGCAGTAACATGCAGTAACACTTTGCCTTTCTTTCTCGCATATGTGCGCACGGGTTAATGATGATTATATTAAAGAGATATATCTGGCCGGGATTTTGCTTTTCGACCCTGTTACTACATTTACATAATAATGGCCGTTTATCTATCTTGAAAATTTTCGAACGATTTATTTCTGCAAGAATCTGTATATCGAATATTCATTTTGAATATTATGATTAAACGCAGGAAATATGAACCCATTACAATCTGAATTATAGTCGACTTCTTTTCCCAGCTGATCCGCAGAAATTCAATAATTTAGCGACAATTTGCGTGATTTGCGTCTATTTCAATATTTTAATATTTGACTAATGTAATATTTCAATATTTGACTAATAACACTTATATTATATTTATATTAAGTATAGTATTAATAAATAGGGAAAAGTTATAGAATCGTCTAGAATAAAATTTAAGTTGAAATATTTATTAATTTAAAGATAATACAAGTGAAGAATTTCACAAATGCAATATCATATTACGATCTGAATGAACATATTCTATTGTGCAAATGTGTACAATGGATTTCGTCTTGAAATAATATAAAGATAAGGAAAGAAAGATGTAACATTAATTCTATGACAATATATGCTAACTTTAAAACATTTATGAAAATCATACTATAATTATAAATTTAATGATAGTTATTATATTTGGTACATATAAAATATATTATCTTGAATTGTTCTCAAACTGCCTTTTCATTTTTTTCATTAACAATACAATGGACATTCCAGCTTTCTCGCAATTCATTATGTAAGATTGACAATAAATGAACTACAGTGTAAATTAAAGTTTGATCGAATTACTTTTGAATTTTTGTTCTCTTGATTGCATTTATTACTCTTTTCATTTGCTTTTGAATATTAAAGACAGGACTTCCTTTTTCCTGAAGAGCCTTTTCTTTTCTCATGGAATTAAATTAGTTTATATTTTCTAGTCAGAGGACTTCAAAATGTTTGATTAATACATGACACGTGTACATGTATCAGTGTGCGTGGCGTGTATGTGTGCACTATCGAATGTATACATACAAATATATAAATGCATGTTTTTCTGTATTTATTTATATAATACATCATTGGCCGTTTCCCCTGTTTTTAAATGCTAGGCCTCTAAGCACTATCTGTTTTATAGGAAACAATTATAATGTTGCATGATGTACACTTGGACCGATCTATTGTACAATAGTTGATTGATATACATATTAACAAGTAACACAGAGAAAGGGACTTGTTGGACCTTGGTTGGAATTCTGTTTAGTGCGTGCTGATGAAGTAGCGATAGACAAGGGTAGCAAGCACCCCAAGTGCAATGGGAATTAACCAGGAACGCCAAGAACTGCAATGGTCAATCATTATATTGTGATACAACTATTTAAAAATGACAATTCTTGAAATATATAGCAAAACAAAAATTTTTATCTACTTTACAAATTATTTACTTGAACAATTGTGATCTCTTTATTTATTTCTCTTTCTACGTAGAATAAACTTAACTCTGAAACTTAAAATTTTCTTATATGGAATAAGATGCACTTATAGATACTGAATACAATTTATAGAATATTAAAATATAATAAATCAAATTCTTAAACAAAACTTGTACTGTTGTAAATGAAAGAATTCATACCTAGAATTGTTATCATCAGAGTTGTTATTAGACCATTCTACTTTCTTTCTTTCTTTTACTCTTTCCGCCTAGAATATTTCAATAAATAATAAGGAAATATAGAGAAATATGAGATACAAATCTCTACATTTAAAACTGTATTTCTATTTACTTCTACTAGTTCTCCAATCTTGAACGATATCATCAACTCTCTTGCGTCACTTGAATGTCCAATGTCTTCAAACGCCTCAGTTGCATCCAATCCATTTTGTTCTAAAAGTACCTCTTCACCACCAGGATGCTATGTATTGATAGGAATATTATAAATATATTCTATATACCGATTTTAATAAAAATATTTTAATGGCTGCAAAAATTTTGTTTCAATAGAAATAATATGTGTGCCAAGTTACTCGTTATTATATTTAATACCATATTTTAATCAAATAATACAAAAGAGAAAGGATGTATGTAATCTCTATTTAATATCGAAAAACTGCAACCTCATTCAGGAATGACGTGACATTGTAGATTTCATTGTGGATGATGATCCATGTGTCTGAATTTTCCAAAGTAGATTGTTTTAACACTTCCTCTCGTGTAAAAAGTTTGACAGGAACAGTAGTGGCAGTTTTTTCCTTGATATCTTTGTCTGCCATGCTTTTTTTCAGTAAATTAATTTCTATTGCTCGTTGCTAATTTAAATTTTACTAATGTACTTAACCAATGACAAGCTTCTTTTCTAGTCTCACTTTGTCTTCGAGACTGTTTTGAATGTTTTCGAAGTAATAGAAAGGAATCGGATCTACTTTAACTGATTCTTTCAAGTTGACTCAGCAACTTTTGTTGAACTATACACGCGCTTAAATAGCGCGAATACCATCTGCTAAATTCGTTAATAATAAACTTATATCGCTTATAGATGAACTTTATCTATCAGCTTCCGATCGGTTACATCAGCATATTTTGAGCCAATCTCATATATACAAACTATTAGTGAGAACTCCAGTGACTTTTTAAAGGCTATCCTTGTTACTGTTATCTTCGAGAATACCGTGCATTGTAGTGAGTATAGTACTGATCTATCCTCAAACATGTGGACAAGAAGTGACATCTAACGACATTACATCTAGACCGAATATTCATGTTCATTCATAATCAGATCTTAAGATTATGGAACACACGTATTTGTTCTTTTGCGATATCGCATGCGAATTAATCATCAATTATCAGAAATATACCATATATAACAGCATTTCTGATATGTTACTAAGTCTACTAATAAGTCTACTAATAAGTCGCAATCTAACACGGAAACAACCACAGTGTGCTTAGACTTTATATTTAATTGTTTTCATTTTTAAATATACAGATCGTTTCATTGACTACATAACATTTGATGATGAATTTCATACAATATTAAATTAAGATTAAACTATGAATCCAGACTTTAGATTTTCTATGTAAGAAATTTAAAGTTAACATGTAACGAAGAAAGAATATTATTTTTAAACATTCCTCTTTTTATGTCATTGGTTGTCTTATATCCACTTCTTCAGATGGCGTGACTGAAAAACCATTCTACAAAATTTTTATTGCGTGATCTCTCTTAACCTTTTTCTGCTGCTTATCATTGTTAGCTTGACACTGGTGACAGCTGTCATAAAAGAGATGTGCTCGTGAGTTGACCCAGTCGTATATAAACATACGTAAATAATTATTTGGCAGTTTGCAACGATCGTTGCGAAGCAATTACCGGTTTAGCATCTCGTTTCGTCTTGCACGATCGCTGCTCAAGCTGCTGATTATATATCTTTGGCGTTTCAAACAACATACGCGTGAAGGATGACAATGGGCGATGAGACCCCAGTTACATCACTGGTCCTTCCTGTTATATTAAGACCGATATTAACTAAGGTAATATACATCATTCTTTTAAATTACTTGTAATTGATTGATATTTCTACGTAAATAATATTCCAATTCGTACAACACTTCACTTGTATCGTCGATAATTAATAGTACTTTTTGAAAAAGATAGTAGAAAGATGATTGTTGAACAATTTTGGTCTATATATTTTTTGGTCTATGATTACTTTAGCATATTAGTTATATATTTTGTACTTTCTTCTCTGGCAAAAGTTTTCTTGCCAAAATCACTACTTGAAGCATATAATTATAATTCAATAAATGTCTATAGCTGGAAAGGCAAAATGTGATGGCTGCACAAACTCTACGTGCAGCTCTCTCGAAAGCAGAGAACTCACATCCTGGAATTACACATGATTTAATTTTGGGTATAATACGTAGAGCAGAACTTAATCTTGATATGAATGAGAGTGTTTTACGGTTGCAAGGTGCTGCTTCTGATTACGATGGTAAACAGTACAAATATATACACAAACACATTATTATAAATTTATATATTACCAAGTAAACTATATACTAGAGCAGTTTTATTTTATCCCTTAATTTAAAATAACAATATATTTTCATTTACTTATGGTTGTAGTTGTGGAATATCGGTCGGCACGTTCAGAAGATGCATTTCAAGAATTGAATCGTAAATCAACTTCTTTGAAAAGAATTCTCAGCAGAATTCCTGATGAAATTACAGATAGAAAGACTTTTCTAGAGACAATCAAGTTTGTATAATATTTGTAATTTTTCTTGCATATATACAATAAATATCTGTACAATGATTGTCCTTTTTGCTGTATTTATTTTCTAGTATTATTAATACTAAAAAATCTTCTGGATAATGTTTATCCTTTAATTTAGTGTATTTCTTTCAGAGAAATCGCGAGTGCGATAAAGAAACTTCTAGATGCTGTAAATGAAGTTACTGCCTTTATACCTGGTTCAGCTGGCAAACAAGCCTTGGATCAACGCAAGAGAGAATTTGTAAAGTATAGCAAAAGGTTCAGCAATACATTAAAGGAATATTTTAAGGAAGGACAGTAAGTAAACAATCCAAGGATAATAAATAATGGGAACTTACAATTTTATTTGTAATAGACAGGATATCTCATTTTATTCAATACAGTTTAATATCACTTGAACTAAATGATATATATCAAGATATTATTTTTTCAAGATTGTATGGTGAGAGAAATATATTCGGATAAAAAAAGAATATTATTTGATCATAACAGTTTATTTGATTTTAATAAAATACATATATAATTCTAAAAATAAAATATGATAAAAGAAAATGTAATAACATAAAATGAAGTGATCAAGAATAGAAACAGATATAAAAATTAAATTAAAGATATAAAAATTAATAAATTAAAAATTAAAAGTTGAACATTTAATCAGAATATAATACAGTATATATCTTTTACAGAGCAAATGCAGTATTTGTAAGTGCATTGTACCTGATACATCAAACAAACATGATTATGCTCACAGTAAAGGATAAATGTGAGTAAACAACAATATTACAATGAATTCTCAGAAGTCGTATGTGATATCTTTCATACACAGGAAAGCTGGATTATATTAATATTACAACCTACCAACATCCTAATCTACATTCTATTATACAGACAATGTGTGTGGTGTGTGATAGAATTGAAATATTCGATATAAAAGATTTTATGTCATTATGTTCGCGCATGTTGATTACTTCATCATAATTTTTGTTATATACATTAAGTAATGTTGGGATATATATCATTCAAAATTATTTATGCTTTTATTTTATGCCAATTCATATAAATTCTCATTGTAATGATTAATAATGGTATGTATAAGAGAATGTTTAGACGTGAGGATGATTTTATTGCTATATGAAAATAATGCATCATGCTCTCTTTTTATCTCTTCATTGCTTTAAAGAATATAAAATATCTGACAATTTAAGTAGAATATTGAAATCAATAAGTTTGGGGTGTGGTAATAAATCAGTCATAGTTATATCTTATTAGAAAGTTATAAAAAAGTAAAAAATTTGTGATTCCTTTTATTTTTAGTTCTGTAAGATTTTTATATTTATATTCTTTAAAGCAAAATGAGGGCAGCGGTAGATATAGAGGAATTATTTCTCATAATGTATAAGAAATAAAAATTACTTTATTGATAACAAATGTACACAAACTTGTTATATTTTCACATGAAAAGTTGTTTTCCCATGTGGAAAATGTGAATGCCTTGCCTATCTACATCCTCATTGCATTAACAATGACAATGAGTAACAGTGAGAATTAATAGTAATTGTTGCAATGAAGGTGTTACTGCAAAATGTACAAAACTTCAAGCCCGTTTGCTGTCAGAAAATACACGGACAATACAACCAACTCCACTTATGTTGAAAACTTTTTCATGCCAAATTAACAAGTGACTACTGCTGCCTTCTGTTGGAATCTCGAAACCTCGGTAAATATATTTCATTAGAACATCCACTAAGTCACGATCTAACTGTGCTAAACAATCGTCTATTTGGTTTGATTTTATACTTAAGAGCACCTTTTGTGTTAAGTTTCGTGCACTGTCCTGAAAATAAGTGAGAAATATTTTTACAATTTCTCATAGGTTAAACAACATAATTTATATAGTATTGTGCGAAATAACATCAACTTTTATATATATTAACATAATTATACAAGAATTTCATTATTAATGCATCAATTTTCATTCACAAGTATGAAATAAAGTTCACCTCTGTCACAATAACTCAGTTGAGAGAAATGCAATTAATTTTTATACATTTATAAATTTTATAATATTAACTATAATATTAACACGCGTTCAATAAAGTGTAAGTATATTATATTGCGCACAATGATAAAGATTATCGTTATCAGACAGGATATGTTTTGAGGTTACCTTAATTTGCTGGTTTTTACATTCTAACGGTGCCGACTTTAATACAGATATCAATGCCTCCGCGTTCTTACCCTTAAAAAAAGTGTTAAGGAAAACAACGGGGGGTTAAAAGTTATAGAAAGAAAAACTCGATAAACGAATATAAGAGTTTTGCAAAGGATATTGGCTAAGAAGTGTTAGAATTTCGTTCTCGTCCGGGCCAGTGGGTGCGCCTATACCACCGTCAGCGTCTTCCTCTTTAAAATTGTTGTCGCTATATTGGTCCACGTCGATTTTCCGAAATGCGGATGCCGAAGTATCCTTTTTACCGTCGTTTCTCGACATCTCGGCTGTATGTTTGACGTTTCCTGCGATCACGCCCGGCTTATCGAGCAGCGCCTAAAGCCAGCGGCATACGGTGCTTGTTTTCGTGCTGGATTGCTTGCTGGATGAAAATGTTACGTTCTGATTGGTACATTTTCGAAGATGGATGAAAATGCACCAATCAAAACGCAGTATTTTCAGTGTGCAGCTGACTTTAGACCTGACTATGGCCATGTTCCAACATTCACTGCCAGCGCTGAAAAGTTATAGTTTGCGTGACACAAACTATATATTTTCAGTACTGGCAGTGAATTTTGGAACACGGCCTATGAATACCGACCTTAATTCAGCTAAAAGGAGCAGATCTAATGGTTATGCTCAGTAGAAACGTAAATGTTCGGTGATTCTTGCTCCTGATTAGTAGATTCTTCTACATTTATCAAGGATCTAAAAGTTGTTCTAATCACAGACAATAATCATTAGGCGCTTATGAAACTCCGATATCTGCTAAGCACAAGCAATACTGCACAGTAGATCAACTTGTTACGTGAATCACGTTGCGTCTTATCTGCGAACATATGTAAGAGAAAACGAAACTAAAGCCAGCGGCACACGGTGCTTGTTTTCGTGCTGGATGGTGCATTTCCATCCATTTTCGAAAATATACTAATCAGAATGCAGTATTTTCATTCAGCAAGCAATCCAGCACGAAAACAAGCACCGTGTGCCGCTGGCTTTATATTTAAGATCGTTTTAAGTTCACTTTCAGATACCTCATAACCAATGAAATGATTTGTACAGCATCTGAAAATAAACTTAAGACTTAAATATAAGCGGCCTTCTACAATAAGCAATTAGTCATAAGCTATAAGCAAATTGACCAATCACAATTAATTATTTCAAAAATAATCAACAGTGATTGGTCAATTTGGTTACAACTTATGACTAATAGCTTATTAGAAGGCCTATAAAGGCTCGTCTACAATAGCTGTAAGAGTAAGGCTGTAAGGCTGTAACGTAAGCTGTCGGCGAATGAAAATATTTCATTTCGTGTCTTGCAACCTTACAGCCTTACTCTTACAGCTAATGTAGATGAGCCTTTACTGCTTACGCTTAGAACCTTATTCTTGCAGCCATTGTAGATGGGCCTTTAGAGGTATATAGGCTGCGTTTCCGATATTCACTGCCAGTACTGAAAATCTATAATATATGTGACATAAAGTATATATTTTCAATACTGGCAGTGAATATCGGAACGCAGCCATAGAGAACAATCACATCACGTGTGTAAACATTAGAGTAGACAAATACGTCGAATATAAATAAAAGGAATATTTATTTTCTACATTAAAAATTAATTTTCACAGATACGTGGTTTTTATATCTGTGCACAATGCAAAATAAAGCCAATGTTGAAAACACATGTGAAAATATACGTAAAACCGCATTTCCACTCAAGGTACGTACATACGAAATTATCTAAACATTTATACATTTATTATATTTATGTACAATGTATCCTTTTATATGATTGTAAAAATTTTTTAACAAAATTAAAGAGAAGTAGTTTATGAAGGTACACGTAATGCTATTAAAATCTTACCTTCGAGCATTCCTGAAGAAGATAGATTATTTTAAAGATAAAGTCCTTTTAATTTTGATGAGGAATGTATATTTATTGAACTAAGAAACAAGATATTTGTTGACTATTTTTTAAACAAATTAATAATTGAAATTAAATATAACTTTTCTTTATTTAAAAGCAGCTTTTTAGATGTTTTTAAGAATGTTTTAGAAATAGATTTATTATTAGCTATGTTTAGCAAAATTGATTAAACATTTAATTTGTTTATGAAAAATAATTGCATGTCATATTTTGTTCAATATTGGATATCATTATCTTCTTGATTAAATCAAATCTATTATGATTTCTGATCATGGCGATCTTGAATTATTTATTATATATGATCTTAGTTAATATAAATTGTATGTTATTAGAACAAATGGGAACTAGTACCAGCTTCTTTGAAGGAAAGAGGCCTAGTAAAACACCATATTGATTCCTTTAATTATTTTATCCGTGAAGACATAAAAAAGATTGTTAAGGCAAATGAAGAAGTATATAGTGATGCAGATCCACTCTTTTATATAAGGTAAAGTCTATATCTATCAAACTATTTAAAAAAAGATAATATTTTTATCCTCATATAGCAATAAGATATCCTATAGCAGACATATCTGATTTTATAATCATTCCTTTGTTTCAGATATTTAGATATACATATAGGTGAGCCTATATTTGATGAATCACTTAATGACATTCGTAAACTTTATCCTCACGAATGTCGCTTGAGAGATTTAACTTACGCTGCTCCTATTATAGTAGATATAGAATATATAAGAGGTAACCAGCCAATAATAAAAAATAACATAGTAATTGGACGGTAAGTAATAATTAGAAAGATAAAATAAACATAGGTAATAACAATTGTAAGTTATTTACAATTATATATATATATATATGATAATTTGCAGGATGCCAATTATGTTGCGTAGTGCAAATTGTAGACTGACTGGTCTGACAGCTCATGAATTATCAACCAAGGACGAATGTCCTCATGATCCTGGTGGTTATTTTATTATAAAAGGACAAGAGAAAGTAATATTAATACAGGAGCAGATGGTGCGGAATAGAATACTTCTGGAAAAAGACAATAAAGAGAATATTGTTGCATATTGTAACAGCTCCACTCACGAGAGAAAGACTAAGACTAGTATCATCGGGAAATCTGGTAGATATTACATGAAGCACAATATCTTTCAGGACGATATATTGGTGACCATAGTTTTCAAAGCTATGGGCATACATACTGATCAGAATATCGTGATGTTGATCGGCACGGAGCACGAATTTCAAAGTAAACTAGAATGGAGTTTACGGGAATGTCATGATCTGAATATCTTCACACAGAATCAAGCATTGATGTATCTCAATAGCAAACGAACACAACCTAGAGTTTTTAATGCAAATGAGATGAAAGATGTATTAGCAACGAATGTGTTATCACATGTGCCGGTTAAGAACTTCAGTTTTAAATTGAAGGGGATCCACCTGGCCTTCATGGTGAGAAAAGTGATTATGGCGCAATCCAATAAAAAGCTTCTCGATGACAGAGATTTTGTCGGGAACAAGCGTTTGGAAGTAGCTGGTTCCCTTCTATCTCTAATGTTTGAGGACCTATTCAAACGGTTCAATTGGGAATTGAAGCAGATCGCCGATAAAAATATTCCGAAAATCAAGGCGGCGCAGTTCGACATAGTCAAGCATATGCGGCAAGATCAGATTACCAATGGGCTGCTTTTTGCCATATCAACTGGCAACTGGAAGATCAAACGTTTCAAAATGGAAAGACAAGGTGCAACACAAGTGTTATCGCGCTTGTCTTATATTTCAGCACTTGGTATGATGACACGAGTTCATTCTCAGTTCGAGAAGACCAGGCAGGTGTCAGGGCCACGTTCATTGCATCTTTCGCAGTGGGGGATGCTATGTCCATGCGATACGCCCGAGGGAGAATCCTGTGGCTTGGTGAAGAATCTCGCTCTCATGGCTCATATCACAACAGACGAACCAGAGGATCATATTGCATGGCTATTATCCACCCTCGATATGCAGGAAATACAATCGCTCGGTAGCCAAGAGATAAACCATAAGGATGAGTGGCTAGTTCTCCTGAATGGTGTCATTCAAGGCGTCACGAGTCATTACAAGAAATTGGTGCACACTCTAAAAACATTACGTAGACGAGGTTACATCAGTAGTTTTGTGTCTATATATATGCAGGATAATCATAGATGCGTTCACATCAGCACCGACGGTGGCCGATTATGTAGGCCGTACTTTATTGTAGAGAACGGTCGACTCGTTGTCACAGCGGAACATATGAAATTATTCCAGCAAAAGATCTTAAAGTTCGAAGACTTCCTCCAGACGGGTGAGTGATACAATTCGGGTCATTTTTCATGAGCGTTTGTATTTTCGTTCTGCGACCGTCGTGATTTATTTTCCGTTTTCTTGTCGCATATTTGATCATAGGTATGATTGAGTACTTGGACGTGAACGAGGAGAATGACGTTTTGATCGCGCTTGACGAAAACGAGATTCAAGCAGAAACCACACATATGGAGATCGAGACGTTCACCATCCTGGGAGTGTGCGCCGGTCTAATTCCGTATCCGCATCATAATCAAAGCCCAAGGAACACTTACCAATGTGCCATGGGCAGGCAGGCGGCAGGTACCATAGGATACAACCAACGCAAACGCATGGACACAGTGATGTACAATCTGGTGTATCCTCAAGCGCCTATAGTAAGGACGAAAACATCTGAAATGATCAAATACAATGAGTTGCCAGCTGGCGAGAACGCGATTGTAGCTATTATGTCATATGGCGGATACGATATCGAGGATGCGCTCGTTGTTAACAGAGCCTCCCTCGATCGAGGGTATGGAAGATGTTTGATATATCGAAGTACGAAAGCTGTCTTGAAGAGATATCCCAATCAAACGTACGATAGGATCATGGGTCCATCGTTGGATAGCAATACGAACAAAGTTGCGTGGAAACACGATATACTGGACGCTGATGGGATCGCAATGCCCGGCGAAAGAGTGGAAGACAAGAAAGTATATACCTTGTTATGAAGTTTCGTGTTTGTACACAGTATAATATATAGTTGCATTCATTTCCGAATTACGTCACATTCAGGTGCTAGTGAACAAATCGGTGCCATCACAATCCATCGACCGGGTGAACACTGGGAGCGATGCTTCACCGAAGACGCAGTATCGCGATGCAGAGATTTACTACAAAGGTCTGGAGCCTGCATATGTGGAGCAGTCTTTGTTGACTAGTAACGCTGATGATTCTTTTTTGATAAAGCTATTGTTGCGGCAAACTCGCAGACCCGAGATCGGCGACAAACTCAGTAGTCGTCACGGGCAGAAGGGTGTCATAGGTACGGTATTATTTTAGATATTATTTTTGTTTTTCGTGCATAGAGACCGGCTAACACATAAGAAGTTACACATCTTAAAGCGCACATAATATATCTTTTATGGGAAACTCTAAAATGTTTTCGTATACTTTGTAATATGGATATTTCGATGACATATATTCAGGTTCAATCGTGAACCCGGAAGATCTGCCATTCAACGACCAGGGCATAGTTCCCGATATAATTATGAACCCGCATGGTTTTCCATCTAGAATGACCGTCGGCAAGTTAATAGAGATACTCGCGGGTAAAGTAGGCATTCTGAATGGCGAATTTCACGACTCCACAGGTATATTTTATGATGAAAATAGCATGATGACGAGATATGATGTAACGATGCTTAATTTTACTATACGAACTCTTCATTTTCAGCGTTCGGTGGTTCCAAAGTGGATGATCTCTCTGAGCAAATGCAGAAGCATGGTTACAACTACTTGGGCAAAGATTGTTTCTACAGTGGCATCACCGGAGAACCGATGGAAGCATATATATATACCGGAACGGTAAGTTCGTGAAATAAAGTTGTTTAAATTGAAGCATTCCAACAATTTGATTCGCAAAAAGTCGGGAAGTTAGTCTCAGTAAGTCTGTTCATTTTGTCTGCACTGCTGAACTGGTGCATTAAGTTAAAGTGAAACAAGTGTAGTTTTTCTCACTTCAACTTGTTGCATCAGTTCAGCAGTGCAGACAAAACGAACAGGCCTAATGTTAAATCGTTTCTTATCAGTGCCAGAAATATATATTTCATTGGAAAACGTTTTGGAATATTCGGTTAATAAAAAGTAAACATTTGAAATTAATGATCTTTCCACAATGACTTATTCTATAATGCAGGCATATGAGAATGATACATGCTCGTGTTATACCGCGAATAATGCATACAATTTGATGTACAGGTTTATTACCAAAGATTAAAGCATATGGTGCAGGATAAAATACACGCTCGTGCCAAAGGGCCAAGAGTGGTAATGACTCGACAGCCAACAGAGGGACGTTCTAAGGATGGTGGTTTACGTTTCGGTGAAATGGAGCGCGATTGTCTGGTTGCTTACGGCGCTAGTATGATGTTGATAGAGAGGCTAATGTTATCAAGTGACGGCGTCAAGGTCGACGTTTGTAACAGCTGCGGGCTGATGGGTTACAGCGGTTGGTGCCAAAGCTGTCGCTCCAACTCCAACATATCCTCGGTTACGATGCCTTACGCGTGTAAATTGTTGCTTCACGAACTACAATCCATGAACATTGTACCCCGTTTGAAATTAAGGGACTATCGTGAAAGAAGTCATACCGAAAAACGAAAATATAGATATAAATAATAAAGTTTTAATTTCTTTAAATGCAACATACATTGTTTTCTTTAAAATCTGTGATACTGTACTATAGTTTTGACATCGTGTCTGATAGTTTGCGTAAATAATGTATAAAGTAAGTTAATAGAATGAGCTTTATATGCAGCAGGAAGACAAATATATTGGTCCTTTTTAATATTCGATCTTTAAATATATTAATATAAACATTAATGTGCAGGTCAACAAGTGTACTTGGTTTAAACATTAAATACCATAAACATTTTACATTTCACACAGTGTATATGTGTATGGATATGTATATATACGTGTGTATGTGTAAGATAAACATAATCATAACTTAATATGTTATACTTTAAAATGATTCCGCGAATAGGCGTATCTCAGGATTTTCAATACTACTTTTACTTTGTATGAGTCGTAACTCAATCTTTTTAGCTGCCTGTGCTTCATTATCTGCACACACTGTGAAGGAAAAATTGGTTACTTATAATTATATTGACCTATCTTCCAGGTTCTCTACATGAATATACACATGTACAAATGAATAAATTACCTTTTGAATATTCATAAGTATTAAGTAATACACTGTATAAAGAGTTTACAGTTTTTTCCATAATGGTTTTGATGTCATTTTGTAAGTGTATATGAGCAAGAAATAATGCAGCAAAGAGGTCTCCAGAGCCTGTGAAAGTTGTTGGTATTTTAGGAATGTCTATCTTAATTAATTTGTTATCTGAAACAAAGACATTTATAATCAATTTCTACTTGTTGAAAACAAAGTTACCTTGTAATGCACAATCAACCTTTTGCAGTACTAACTACTGCTGTTAATTTGTTATTAAGCTCTGTTGAGGATACAGCTATGGTTTGTGGCCCAGTTGCATGTAATTCTTTTAACACACTTTGCAGTTCATCCATATTAGTAATATTTTTGTCTGTCAGTAATCTGAAAAAAATAGATAAGAACTATACATAAATAATTATAAAATAATAACATGATTTTAATGAAAAATAATAGATAACTTCCAAGCATTATTGATATATGGTATACAAGTGCAACGCAAGTGATCAATATATTAAAGATAATAGTATAGAAAGCAATAATATGCATGACATATATAGTGCTATACAAACTCTAATTCAAATTGATTTGGTGTCAGCACATCTGCCAATGGTACTATTTCTTTCTTATAAATTTCCTTTAGAGTTTCTGGGACATACATTTTTCCATTATCACCCATAACAGGATCACAAACTAATAAAAACACATAAAATCAATATTAATTATAAGATCTTCCAAGAGATTTTTATCATTGAATTAAGAAGTAACTTACCATATATAAGATTTGGATTTTTACGTTTCAATGTTGCAACTAGCAGAGCTATTCTCTTTAGGAAAGAAGCTGAACCAACATATCCAGTAAGTAAATATGTATATTTATCTAAGTTATTATATGCTAGGCCTTCAACTAAGTCATCTAAAAAATTATTTTTAGAAAATATTTTATTACTGAATAAATAAATATTATACATATATCACATACTTGTTTGTATCTTACCTAGATCTTTATCGTTAAGTATTTGACCTTTAAACATTTCATAACCAGTGTGATTGGATAATTGCACAGAATTGATTGCATCAACTTCAAAACCTAACAACTAATTAAAAAATAATTGATATCTCAAAATATACAATTATTTTACATAAAATTATTTTCCTACGATTATCTTTTTAAGCCATATTTTGATAATCAAAATATTAAAAAAGAAAAACGTTTAATGGAAAAGCATGTCATAAGTCAGTGAATTGGTAACTGATAAGATCTGAAATATGTAAAGTAATATTCGGATTTTTCCCACGGAATTTACCTGTAATGGGAAAGTAGCACTTTTGTTGCCGACATATCCCGACACTACATGACTCTGGATTGAAAGAATGCATGGGGTTTTCGCAGAACACATGATAGCTAGATAATATATCACGAATTAACTTTTGAACATTCAATACGTATCAGAATGTTAACATTCCCGCTCAGTATAACATGACATGACGTATACAACTACTTACATTATAGATAGTTGCACACGACTCTGTAATCTCTATAACCACATGAGTCACATGTGTTTATTTCTCTCTCTCTCTCTCTCTCTCTCTCTCTCTCTCTCTCTCTCTCTTTCTCTCTTGTGGCAGTGTGGTTATCTCAAGATAGCAAGTTTTAGATTTAGAACAGAAATAGTCGAGTCAATTCGATAACTTAGAAAATGAATTTTCCTTGAATAAAAATGGATGTTTTAAAATCGATTCTGTTCTATTTAATTTCGGCGTAAATTGATTATTTCTATAGAGAATCGAGATCTTAGAATCTCGAAGAATCTTTTAAAATCATTTTATTCTTAATTTTTCTTCTTAATCTTTATTTAATTTTTTATTCTTAATTTATTAATTTTTACATATTCTTCTTTCCTCTTAAACTCATAACATTTGTGTCATGATTATACTCATACATATACGTTCCTATATTCATGTTAACATTGAAAAGCTATTTCTATCTAATTCATCTTGTGCGTATTATAAATTTCTAATAATTCTAGCAGCGAATATCGGAATGCATCTTTTATATAATTTTCATACAATCCCATACACTGGCTGCGTTCAGAAAACACAACGGTTGAGTAATTCGTCAACGTTATTGGTCTGAATGTAAGGATCTAACAGTAAGGACCAATAGTTACTAAGCGCTCAATGAGCGCTTTGTTTTCTGAACGCAACCATTGGGTGCATTCAGTACTACAACCGCTCACTGAGCGCTAAGTGAGCTCTTGCATCTGATTGGTGTATATTTCTAAATTTTTTTAATTGATGTATAATTCTAAAAGAATATATCAATCAAATGTAAAAGCTCATTGAGCGCTCAGTGAGCAGTTGTAGTACTGAATGCACCCATTAAATAGTGTTGTATTAAACTGTATGATTATTTTATATCTAATTATGCATTATACATTGTATAAATGATTTTATATATTATATATTCTTACTATACTATTAAATATATACAAATTAAATACGTAAGTTAGAGAGAATACAAATAATATATTAAATATAAATGTAGTTACAAGAGTCACCTAGTTTCAAAGCGAACTAGAATGGCTGAAAATGGCGGTACCGTCTCTTTTAGAATCTCTACAATTTTTATCTATGGCCAAATGTATGGTGATCACTTAACCAAAATATGTGTTCCTGATGATCGGGAATAATTTCTAATAATCTTCGACTTTTTCTCAATAACGTTCCTCCTCCTCTTTATACTTTATATTTGTTTATAATGTAAGTCGCATATTACGTTGATCGTGGCAAATATCCGCGAATATTGCGAACTAACATACAGGAATTGACAGTACGTAACTAATCCTAGCCTTCGTCGATGATTATATAAATAATCATTTTGCAGACTAATTATAATGCTGCAGTTCAGTGCAACCCTCTATTCTGCGACAACGAGACTTACTTTGCGTTCGTTCTGGCGTTTTACCCCTCTCTTAGTCAATAACTCCAGCACATCAATCATCAGTGAGCAACCTGCTCAACCTACTTCTACAAAGGTAAAGTACAACTGACAATTATATTTTTCAATTTTCGTGTATGAACATTTTACATAAACAGTCTAATTTTTCATTCCACATGCACTATATGTCAATAATTCTTTAATCAAAAAGGTTATCAGTCTAATTTGTTTTTAGCAAGATGAAAATCCGAAATATTCAGAGATACAAAACAACATCTCACAAAAAAAGGAACAGCATGTATTAAAGGAAATAAGGTCTCAGATAAACATCAACTCATTTGGGATCAGAGAAAATGACAAATTTACCAAAAATATTCAAGCTGCTGAATCTATAAATGACTTGCTGGATATGGCAATGTTACCAAATTTATCTATACCTAATGCATTGAAGCTCATATCGCAAATAATGAATGAAATAAATAGTGGGAAATCACAAATGATGAATATTGAGACTGACTTCAGGTTTATTCATCTTAGGAAGATGGTTAAGACCAATGATCAGACAAAAATTGATATAGAAATATCTAGTAATGATCTTTCACGGTATTCTCGATTATCTACACCTGCAATGATTGCTGTAAGTACAATAGTTATTTGTTAGCTAATATATTGCACCAACATATATTATTGTTATGAATAACAGTAATAGTGTAAAATAATTTTACTTAATTTCTAAAATAAGTATCTTCGAATATACAAAAACTAGATATAGTATATATAGAACATATAAAAAGGAACTTGAGTAGAATATATAATATTATTTTTTTGTATTCGCTATGGTTTAGTAAATACAGGGTTTTATATGGGTATAAAGTATTAAAATTTTTTAATATTTTGAAAAATACAAATTTTCAAAAAAATATTTTATATAAAAGTTATTCAGTTTAAAATGATGCGTCATATAGTAAAATTTTCTATAACCTAGAGTACCATTAAAGTCATATTATGTATTGTATTTAAGCTTCTATTTTATCTTTTAATTGGTTGACTTTGTATTGTACTTAAATTTCTCTTTTATCTTTTAATTGATTGATTTTTTGATACATATTATATATTATGACGTTCTTGATAATTTTATGAATATAAAGAAAGATATAAGAAAATGCAAGTATATATATAAATAGATGCAAATAAGATAAAATTACTTACAGTTAAAATTAATTGGAATTCAACAAAAAATTGATAAACTAATATTTATAAAAAAATGTTTCGCAGGTGATAGTTTCCTTAAGAGAACAAGGAAAGAGAAACACACCTTTACTGAGAATGTTATCATATAATATTGTCAAATATAATGTGAAATTAAATTTGAAACAGTGCGCGACTTTGTTATATAACATGGCTGTATTAAATTTCCTGGATAAGGTAGGTACATATTTATGTACTTCTATGATAATAATAAGTTATAATTACTAATATAACGAATGATGCAATAGACATTGTTAGAAAAAATCATGGCTGATTTAATGCAATGTTTACCAAAAAGCACAAGTGCTGTTACAAATAAATCTATCATAACATCGCTAGGATTCCTACATTACAAAAATGTAGACGTACTCGACATGTTCTGCGACACATTCTTCAACAAATCGATAGATTACAAATTGCAGGACTACTCGTCGATTTTACAAACGTTTGCGACTTTACAGTATAAATCACAGAAGGCGAGCGCTTTTATTAATGTATGTAGAAAGATATTACAATGTTTTATCTATTGTGTTAAACATCTGAGATTTCTCTTACCAGTATTTAATTATTTCTTAAACATCAGGATTTCGCGCAAAAAGTGAATCCGTTTCATGTATCTACAGCGGAATGGTTGAACATTGTTTGGTCTTTAACAGTTTTGGACTCTGTGCTGCAGCAACATATAGAATCCGTGTTGGATTCAACATTTATGGCGAGGTTGAGCTGTTCGTATTTACTATAAAATTGAAATTCTATACCTATTAATTTTTCAGTATATCAATAACATTAATTTAATGGTCATGATTTGCAGCCTCCGCTAAGCTAAATGTATCAAAGAAAATGAAATTATTAAATATCAATGCGTTTGCGCAGTTTGGGCTGAAAGATTACACAGGTACTTATTAAAAAAAAAAGGTATTACTACTATATATCTTTAATGATTTCATGCATCATCATTTAAAATTACAGGGCCACTTTTGAGCAAAGATTCTGTGTTGTTTAAGGATATGTCCTTAAGTAGAGCAAAGGGAAAGCAAACATACATAAATGCATTATTAGAGACGCTGAAGAAATTATTTCCATCACAATCTTTCTATAAAACGGATATTGACACAAATATGGGATTTTTACTAGGTAATATTTTTAACATTAAAATGTTGAACATCAAATTGAAATGATTTCCAAATAAGAATATATATAAATATATATATATATATATATGCATTGTATCAATTTTGAGTGACTAACATTATTTCTGGTTAGATGCTGAATATTGTATAGATAATCAATACGATATCATACCAGTCGAAAAATGGAATGAACAATCAAAGGATGTGAGAAGGTATGTCAGAAATAATAAGAAAGAAGTTAAATATTATGATTTATGCCCATATCTATAGCCTGATGAAATTTGTAAAGGATTTCAAACTATTTCAAATTTATTGAATATTAATCACTAATTTTAAAATATTGAAATAAATTTGACAATTATTATACTGTATTTTAGGATAGGAATAATAGTACACGATTACCATGATTATTGTCGAGGACAGAATGATCTTCTAGGAACAGTGCATTTACATACACAGCTGTTAAAGGCCCAAGGATATGATCTTTTAACAATTTCATATGAAAATTTTAGTATACAAGACAAGCTCGAGAAACGAATCGATTACTTAAAACAATGTATGCAAAATGTACAGGAAAAAAAATCAACGTAGTAAAATATTGGACTCAGTCTTATAAGTTAAATAAATTTGAAAAATGGTATAAATAAGTGTTATTGCTATTACTCCATACACAATATTTTTAGAATTGTAAAATATTTATAAATTTGTTAGTTGAATGTTATTGTTTATGTGTGTTATATTACAATTTATATTGACATATTGTTGCATCAAAAGAAGAAATGAAGGTGGTTTCTTTTGTTTTTTTAAGTATATATAGTTCCTTTATATTGAAATAATTATGTTATTTACATTGAACAATATTTTACTTTGTTACAATTGTGAATAAACTACTTTATTCTATATGTTGCACTGCTATTTCAACAGAGATTATCACTGTGGTGGATGCCAAGGTTCAATTTTTGGTTTTGTAGTACTGTAAGGCATATATGCCTGATTGGTGCCACTCATATTCTGCTGATGATCCTTCATCCATTTGTGTTTAGGCCGAGATGGATCTTTAAATGGTGGTAAGTCTGTTTTGTAATGTAGCCAGCCAAACCATTCTGGTGAAACTTGAGAAGCATCATAATTAAGCCCAACTCTATCAGCATATATCACCCATCTGTTACGACCTATGAGAAATATGGAATAAATTAACAATATTATTACTTATGTATATTTTTAAAACATTTAGGGAAATTTATTATTCTTAAATAGTATTGTCAAAATATTTCATATATAAAATAAAGAAAAATATATATCAGAGAGATAGCATCTGAATAATTGTTATATTATAATTCATGCTAAAAAAGTGGTTTATATTGACGACAAACAGCTTACCCATAAAGAAGTTGTTATCCTCATAATATCGATTCCCATATTTATCTTCTCCAATCAAAGTACCACTCTTCAAATCATCCACCCTGATAAATTAAAAATAATTATATTTAATTAAGAATTAAATAGAAATTTTACATACGCTATTATGGTTCTAAATAATTTCTAAATAATTAATTTCTTGTAGAACTTAAAATTGTGATAATATAGTTAAAATTAGAACAGAATGCAATATTAAATAAGGAGTGGATTACACAATACCAGAAAAAACGAAAATATTGTAAAATGTTGTTCGTACGTTACTAATATAATGTAACGTACAATTGTGCAACATTAACCTGTATATTGTTTTCAAGGAATTCCATATACCACCGTGATCACGTATTGTACGAAATAATGCAGCAACTTTATTCATGTTTGTTTTTACGAATGGAGTGTTAAAGAACCCATGAACAATTTCGATGATTTCGATTGGATTATAGTGACCTCATGCGGCGAGACTGCGAATCAATGTTTCTATGGTTGCGTTCCGTTTCACGCTTATGCGCGCATTTATCTATAGTTTATGACACGTATACTATACGAAACGGAATGCATCCTATGTGCAAATTTTTATCTATGCACATGTAAACAGAGAGGAACATGAGAGCGGCCAACACGGCGTTTTCGGCGATACCGACATTCCCCAATTTGAAAGGGCGCCATTTTGAGATTAGAACTAAGATGCTACAACTACTTTTAGGTTTCGACGGTAAAACCTACATGTACTGGCAGTCCGTCCTACATCCATTTTCAGGCGGTTTATGTCCGTGCTACAACCATAATAGCGTACTTGACAAGCACGGTTTCGCACATTAATATCTCCGTTTCTATTGGGAATTGAAAGTCGAGCTTTATGGTGAGAATAGGATAGATATAGAATTATATTGTGGTAAAAGCCTGTTCCTGTACCTTGAACCGTTTAGGAGACAAAGGCCGCGTTCCTGTATCTTTAACCGTTTAGGAGATATTGATGGTTAAAGTTTTAAACTTGTACTTTTAATATCTCCGTTTCTACTGGGAACTGAGAGTCAAAATTTATGCTGAGAATAGGGTTGATATAGGACTATATTGTGGCAAAAGCGCATTCCTGTATCTTGAGCAGTTTAGGAAATATCGAAAGTAACATTTTCTATTTTCACGTTCATATCTCCGTTCCTACAGCAAATTGAGAGTCGAGCTTCATGGTGAGAATAAGGTTGATACAGGACTATATTGTGGCAAAAAAACCTGCCTGTATCGTGAATCGTATAGGAGATATCGAAAATTAAACTTTTCCAAATTGTAACGTTGATATCTCCGCTTCTACTGGGAGTAGACAGTAGAAATATATGGTGGGTTGTAGGGTTTTTACAGCACTATATTTTGATGCAAAAAACAGGCCTGTATCTCCAGCCGTTTAGGAGATATCGAAGGTTAAAGTTTTCCAGCCTTTCTCCGTCGATATCTCCGCTTCTACTGGGAGTAGAGAGTCGCCATTTACGGGAAAATGTAGGGTTTTGAGAGGACTTTATTTTGGTGCCAGAAACAGGCCTGTATCTCTAACCGTTTAGAAGATATCGAAGGTTAACATTTTCCAGCCTTTCTCCGTCGATATCTCCGCTTCTACTGGGAGTAGAGAGACGCCTTTTACGGGAAAATGTAGGGTTTTGAGAGGACTTTAATTTGGTGCCAGAAACAGACCTGTATCTCTAACCGTTTAGGAGATATCGAAGGTTAAAGTTTTCCAACCTTTCTTCGTTGATATCTCCGCTTCTACTGGGAGTAGAGAGTCGTCATTTATGGGAAAATGTAGGGCTTTGAGAGGACTTTATTTTGGTGCCAGAAACAGGCCTGTATCTCTAGCCGTTTAGGAGATATCGAAGGTTAAAGTTTTCCAATCTTTCTCCGTTGATATCTCCGCTTCTACTGGGAGCAGAGAGTCGCCATTTACGGGAAAATGTAGGGTTTTGAGAGGACTTTAATTTGGTGCCAGAAACAGGCCTGTATCTCTAACCGTTTAGGAGATATCGAAGGTTAACATTTTCCAGCCTTTCTCCGTAAATATCTCCGCTTCTACTGGGAGTAGAGAGTCGCCTTTTACGGGAAAATGTAGGGTTTTGAGAGGACTTTAATTTGGTGCCAGAAACAGGCCTGTATCTCTAGCCGTTTAGGAGATATCGAAGGTTAAAGTTTTCCAATCTTTCTCCGTTGATATCTCCGCTTCTACTGGGAGTAGAGAGTCGTCATTTACGGGAAAATGTAGGACTTTGAGAGGACTTTATTTTGGTGCCAGAAGCAGGCCTGTATCTCTAGCCGTTTAGGAGATATCGAAGGTTAAAGTTTTCCAACCTTTCTCCGTTGATATCTCCGCTTCTACTGGGAACAGAGAGTCGTCATTTACGGGAAAATGTAGGGTTTTGAGAGGACTTTATTTTGGTGCCAGAAACAGGCCTGTATCTCTAGCCGTTTAGGAGATATCGAAGGTTAAAGTTTTCCAACTTGTACTGTTGATATCTCCGCTTCTACTGGTAGTAGAGAGAAGAAATTTATGGTGGGTTGTAGGGTTTTTACAATACTATATTTTGGTGAAAAAAAAATGGGCCTGTATCTCTAGCCGTTTAGGATATATCGAAGTTTCGAAGTTATTTAAAATTTTCCAAGTTGTACCGTTTATATCTCCACTTCTATTGGGAATTGAGAGTCGAAATTTATGGTGAAAATAGGATTGATACTGTACTATATTATGTCAAAAGAACGGGTCTGTATCTTGAGCCATTTATGAGTTATCGAGGATTAAAATTTTCCAACTTGTACCGATATTTTCTCCGCTTGTGCTGGGAATTGGGAGTCGAAATTTATGATGAGAATAGGGTTGATACAAGGCTATACTGTTGCAAAAGGACAGGCCTGTATCTCTAGCCGTTTGGGAGATATCGAAAGTTAAAATTTTCCAACTTGTATCATTAATATCTTCGCTTTTTCTGTGAATTGAGAGTCGAGTTTTGTTGTGAGAATAGTGTTGATATAGGACTATATTATGGCAAAAGCGCGTTTCTGTATCTTGAGTCGTTTAGGGGACAAAAGCGTGTTCCTGTATCTTGAGCCTTTAAGGAGATGTCGAATGTTACTTTCCGCATACTTATCCGCAAAGGTGATCGTAATGCGGATTAAACAGTCAGGGGTGCACCTGCGGAAGGAGAATCCGTGTGATTTTTACGACCTAATCAGCAGCAGGCATATCTTCCCGTCTTTATCACCGACGAAAGACGGGCCCATTTTAAAGAGCAATCATGGAATATGCGACTACTTTGTCATGTTTATATCATCAATGTTCTCTTCAATCCCCCACCCTCGACAGTGTCAACGCACGATCAAGCGCGTGTTATGAAGTTTCAGTTTTCGCGATGAAACAAGTCGGGAGACGTTCGCAACCGCGGTGGAATTTAACGCTCGCGTTTGCAAGGAGCCTAACATTCTACTCGCGAAGGAGCGCCATCGCCCCTCATTTCACAACGGTTCGGATGTTTAACTCCTTTCTACCTCATTTTCGGCGACAATAATTTCGGCAACGAGGCGCTAACGAGTCAAGTTCGTTTATAACCAGTGTTTATGTCAAGAGCGCTTTTCGAGAACATTCCGCTCGAGGGGTTAATCTGCGATAGAAAGCGACCGGAGGCTGCTATGGTTTAAAGTTAAATTGCATCAGCATTTCTACCGGACAGCCCTGACACGGGCTGCTGGCATCCGTCCACGACGTCTGCCGTGCACCTTTGCGATTATCAGCAATTTCATATTTTTTCGATTGCTCGCATGATTTCAAGTGGCCATAATATATGGCGATAATACATGGCAATATGTGGCAATAATATATGGCAACAATATACGGCAACAATATATGACAGCAATATATGGCAACAATATATGGCCATAATATATGGTAATAATTCATGGATTATATTTTTCGTTACAAAAGTCAATGCAAATTTGCGGCATGCACAAAGTAATAATAAAAGAGCTCTCTTCGAGCATTGAGTCAAACGCTCACCAATGATGATATTGATGATGTCCCGTTGCATCCAACCAGGTCCATCAATGTCTGCCCATGTCTGCTGCCGCTCTTCATGTCGTGCAGCATCCATCTTGCAGCGTGTCTCACGTTGATTGCTACATTTTCGCCACACTTCTGAGACGCGGTCGATACTTGTATGAGAGCGGCGATATTTGCGTCAATTAACGAATGTTTTACGTTGACATCGATGGAAACTTTTTTTGCTGCGAAACGGACTCTACAAACTCGATCAGCGAGGGGCAAGAGCCGTGTGAAAATTTATCGACTCGTCCAACAGATTTTTACGGCGTTTTTCGCGATCGCGTCTGAAAAGTCGCGAAAATGCGGGAGTATCGATATGTACGAGAATATTCGCGAATGCACGCGAGGAAAGATTAAACAATCAGAAACGGGTCACTTCGAAGGAGCGCAAAGAGAGAGAGAAAGAGAGCGGGACAAAGTTTTCACGCATGATAGTTCCGTCACGATCATGCTTACGTTCGCGATACTTTGGCGAAATGAGGATTTAAGCTTCCTTTGTTAGCAGGATACGCGGATAAAAACGCGTATATTGGTAACCGCGGTCGCGATATTCAAAGGCACGCGAGCAAGGGTACCTCAAGCTCGACATGCGCTGGCGCAATTTTTGCGCTCATTATACGCTACTCGAGACAATAGGGATCGTGATGAATGGACAATATTGCCAAATAATTTTACAGCCTGTTTTGGAAATAAAAAAAAAGTAGCCAACAGTATCGTATTTATCAGCATTTATACATATCATACTGTATCAGCATTTATACATATGAATATATTTTACACGGACAATTGAATATTGTCCGTGTACTTTTATTATTTCTGCTCCTCCTCCCCCCCTCCGCTCTTTTTAGACCTTCGGGCATAATCTGGTATAGAGATGGCAAGAGATGGTGGTTGCAGCATGGACATAAACCGCCTAAAAATGGATGTAGCACGGACTTCTACCACATGCAGATTTTATCACCGAGACCTGAAAGTGGATGTACCATCGTAGTTCCCCTCTCAAAATGGATGCAGATGGCGTCCTTTCCCAGTGCGGAAAGTTGGTGTCGCAGAAAATGTCGTGTTGGCCGCTTTCAGGTTTCTTTCTGATGTAAATAATTAAGCCAGCGACACCGGTGCTTGTTTTCGTGCTGGGTTACTTGCTGGATGAAAATACTGCGTTCTGATTGGTACATTTCTGAAGATGTATGGAAATGCACCAATCAGAACGCAGTATTTTCATCCAGCAAGCAATCCAGTACGAAAACAAGCACCGTGTGCCGCTGGCTTTATATTGTATCACGCCCGCTCTGACACAAAAGCAGGAGGTTTCTCTCGCATTCGCGTTTACTTTCTATTTTGTCGGTTGTGTGGATTCGGGATTAATTTTAATACTATTTGAACACTTTTTCTTCGGGATGAGAATTTTGAGATATAGACAATATCTAATAAAAGAATTTGTTTTTCAGTAACACTGGGAAGGAAAAAATATTCACATCTTTCTGCATCTCGAGTATAATTTTTCAGACATTAGAAGAAGAGATTAAAAACAAAGTGCACGAAGTGCAAGTTCAAAAAGCATCATTTCTTGCGGATTTGGACACACATACACATCACACACACATATATATATATACAATTATAATTTGGACACATACACATACAGACGATATAGGTTATGTTTATTGCGAATTAATCGAAAATGTTCGTATAATGAATTGTAACAATTTAATATATTGTTTGTGTTACAAAGATAAATTTTTCACTTATTGTATTATTTTCATTGAAATAATCGAGTAATTATATAGATTAAATAATTAATGTTATTTAAATAACAATGAATAAATTTTCGTTATTAATTGAACAAAATATACGTTTGCAACTGCGACGAATGAGCACGACTACGAAACAAAGACAAACACCATCTGAATACTGTTTGCAGTTAGTTAGGTATTCGTTTCTACCATATTAAATAAGTAAAAACAATCGATTATGCATAAGGTATTTTTAACTCATTAGTGGCCAGTGTTTTACTTACTTCCGTTTTATAAAGTATAATTCTCTTTTTATTTTCAATATTTATAATTCCCAGTTATTCCAGTATTTATGATAAAAATAACTTGATACTAATCTGAAGTCTCTAGGAAATAAACATATCGATGCTTCCATTAAAATTGTGAAGTAATTATGGCCTTTAATGAGTTATCAGTATTATGTTATTAATATACAAATATGTAATATCTTGTTGACTTAACAGACATTTTAAAAACCCTAGAGCATGTTAAAAATTGTTTAAAGATATGCTTACACATGTGATCTTTGTCTAGGAAGAGTGACTATGAAAACTTTTTGTGTACGTTATTACTCCCTCATAGTATCAGATCTGCAGCTTTCGCAATACGTGCATTTAATGTTGAAGTGGCTCAGGTAGAAGATCAAGTGAGCGACAATAAGATTGGAGCTATGCGACTGCAATTTTGGATTGATTCATTGAATAATATTTATAATGATCGTCCACCTAGGAGTCCAGTAGCTATGGAATTACACAGGGTAGACCTTATAGCTTGTAATATTTACAGTTATATTTACAGAATAACAAAATTGATTCAGAAACATCTATCAATTTATATAGAATTGTAAATTAGCTTTTATATAATATGTAACATCAGTAAATTACTGCAATATTGGTAATTATTAAATCAATTTTATATGAATCATGTAAATATGAGTAGTTTGATATAAACTGAACATGCTACTCAAAATTTCTTGTATAAATATAGTCATGTACTCAAATCTATCAAAATTTTTACGAGTAGTTTTTTTGCATCTTGCAGATTCTCCAACAACATAAGTTGTCTAAGCGCTACTTCAAGCGTTTAATTGATGCTCGTTTAGATAAGCTAAGTAGTTCAATATTTGTGGATTTAGAGTCGCTCGAAAGATATTGCGACTATACTGTATCGTCATTATATTACTTATTGTTAGAGGCCCAAGGCACGGCGAATATAAACGCCGATCATGCGGCCAGTCACTTCGGCAAGGCACATGGTCTAATTACTTTGATCCGTTCCATACCATATAACGTTCACAAACGAGTTATGGTACTACCACAAGACATTTTACTTAAAAATGGTGTCTCCTCTGAATCCATATTTCGGAGACAACTGAATGTTGGATTCAAAGACGCAGTATTTGATGTCGCTACTTGTGCAAACCAACATCTGCAAATGGTACTTGGTTGAAATATTAAACTCAATAATAGTTACATGTGATGTAACTGACTTGATGTGACTGACTTGAATTGTCTTTCTACTTACATTATCCTATTATATTTACATATTCTTAACTAGAGAAAATAATATTTAAGCTTTATAAAGAATGTTATCTTTTTTTATATGCAAAAATTTATCTCTGAATATATATTTTCCAAATTTAATATGTAAACTAGTCTTCAATAGTTAAAAATTTATATTGTTGAAATTCAAATCAAATTATTTTCAGATATATATATATATATATATATAAATTCTTTTTTGTTTTAGGCAATGTCACTAAAGAAAGTAGTAGGAAAAGATCTCAATATGATATTTTTGCCAAGAGTTCGTATGGAGAATTACTTGGAAGAATTAAGGGAAGTAGATTTTGATGTTTTCCATCCTGTACTACAAAGGAGGAAAGGTTTTCTTCCATTGCAACTATTTTGGCAGAAGATATGGTTTAGTGATTAAAATTAAAAATATTTTAAAGATGACATTTAATGTTTTATTATTTTATCCTTTTACTCAAAACAATTTCTTGAAACTTTTAACAATTTTAATTTACAAGATCAGTAATAAAGATAAAATTTTAAAAATAAACAGAAGTTCTCCTTGTATATAATTTATAATTTATACGAGAGAAAGAATGAAAATTTCACATTAAAAAAGTAAAAATTTTAAGTTACATATGTCATTTTCATGCATTTGTACGTAAATTAATGTATAATTTCACTCGCGAAATAGATTAAGTTTTGTATTATAATTTTAGATTTCTATACAGAGGAATTTTATAGAATTATCAATTATCATCATTCTGTTTTTACAAATAAATTTATATTATTTTCCATTCAGAATGTGACTTTTACGAAGAAAAATATAAATTATGAGAGTTATCAGTCGAATTGGCAGAATGTTCACATTTAAATTTGCATTGTAAGGATGTTGGTATTTGTTTTGCTGAAGTTTGCACCATAGGTTAGTAAGTTGGGAAGAGTGACGATCGTCTGGCATTCTATTCTATTGAACAGTACACTCCGTGCTTGGTAAGTGATTGATGCACTTTTTGACTTTATTGAATCCATGAATCATCGCATCATTATAAGTAATCATTATATATCACGTTTCTGTGAGGCAACGGTGTTGTGCATTTGAAAAAATTGATATTCAACGAGACTTGGCTGGATATTTTATTACATTGTAATATAAAGTACGCAACTCTCAATATTTTCAAAGGTAATCTTCGTTTTCTTTATATGTTTTGTTTTGTGATTTTGGTTCTGTTTATTCGTGATATTTATTTATGTCATTTATAACTTTTAAATTGCTTTATCTACTTCTGATGTATTTTATGCGGAATATTGATAAAAACGAATAGATCGAATGGTAAACTTTTTATTCTTTTAAGGTTATAAAGCTGTAAATTTATATGTGCAACAGTAAAATTTTCATGAAAAATCGACAAATATTTTTCTCAATAAATTTTCTCAATAAACAAGTTAACCTTAAAATTTAAGATTTTCACATTTGCAGATCAAAATGTCTACCACATCGCAGAAACATAGAAACTTTGTGGCAGAACCAATGGGAGATAAACCAGTAACCGAACTTGCTGGTGTAGGAGAAGTTTTAGGGAAAAGATTAGAAGCTGCTGGTTTTGACAGAGTAAATAACATTGATGTACTATATATGTAATAGTTTCTCTTTTCTAATTACATATCTATGAATATTTAAATTTTGTTACATAGGCATATGTAGTACTGGGGCAATACTTAGTACTAAAGAAAAACAAGGAATTGTTTCAAGAATGGATGAAGGATGCATGTTCAGCAAATGCAAAACAGTCTACAGATTGTTATCAATGTTTGACTGATTGGTGTGAGGAATTTTTGTAAAGTAATTATGAGAAATCTAAAACTTGGAATATCCTTTTAGAAGTAAAATATTAGTCGTAAAGTTTTATAACATTTACAAGATATAAAATATATTTCAGTATTATAAATCACATTTTAAATATATTTTACATAAGTGAAGCAAGAATGTAAAGTTTATTTTTGCAAGCTTATATTTGTGTGTTCACTATAAAATTCATCATAGCATTCGTAATATTGGAAAAATTAATTTTGTCAAAATTTATAATAGAAATATTTGTTTTCAATAGTATTTATATTAACAGTAATTCAACGAATCTCAATATTAGTAAAATGTTTATTTGATGCATTAATTGTTAAGTCAAAATTCTAAAATTTTTAAATAAATTGAAGGATATTACACTTTGATCACACAGTACAAAAATATGTAGAGAAAGGTGTAGTTTTAAGTATAAGAACATGGATGTTGTGCTTAGAAACACATATAACGTTTATGTAAATATAACAGAATAAAACAAATGCACTTTATTCTTTATTTGAATTATGGTTAAAAGATGATTATATCACACCTGCAAATTGTATTGAAGATATATTTTATTTATATTATATTGTATATATTCTTTTTTTTAATTGTATTTGTGTGTAATTTATATAATTATATTTGTTTCAATAGTGTAATTTATATAATTGTGTGTAATTTATATAAACTGCATTACACAGTATTCACTGCCAATACTAAAAATCTATACTATATGTAACATGAATTATAAATTTTTAATATTAGTAGAATATTTAAGTGATTTAAGTAATTCATAGTTAGGCCTTATATTTAAGACTTCCTTAAGTTTATCTTCAGATGGGGTGTAGCCAATAAAATAATCCATGGAGCATCTAAAGATGGATATAAAGAAATCTCAAATATAAGGCCTAACTGAATGAATATGGGTATAAATGAATATCACAAGGTAGCCATAAATATGATGTAGCTTTAATAAAATAATTTCTATTCTTTCAATTAACAATTATAAAATATAAGTATTTAAATAAATATATATGATCTACATAAAATTTCTTAATTACGAAAGTTCAAAAAACCTATGATGTGGGGAAAATGTACATTGTAAACTACTAATATATTCTTAGGCAGGTATTCATAGTCGGATTTTATATTTAAGACCGTCTCAAGTTTATCTTCAGATGCTGTACAAATTATTTCATTGGCTACGGGGTATCTGAAGATGAACTTAAGACAGTCTTAAATATAAAGCCAGCGGCACACGGTGCTTTGTTTTCGTGCTAGACTGCTTGCTGGATGAAAATATTGCGTTCTAATTGAGGCATTTCCATCCATCTTCGGAAATGTACCAATCAGAATGCCATATTTTCATCCAACAAGCAGTCCAGCACGAAAACAAGCACCGTGTGCCGCTAGCTTAAGAGAGAATTCACACCGAGGAAGAAAGACAGAAAAGCAGCATCCAGTCAGAAATCACTGATAACCTATCTCTCTTTTCTGTCTCTCTTGAAAGAGAGAGAGAGAGAGAGAGAGATTGACTACCAGCGTGACTTCTGATTGGTTCTGCTTTCTGTTTTCGATTTTTCTGCCTAGATGTGAATCCTTCCTGAGTGAAGAAAAAATATAGTTATCTCACTCTAACTTATTGCACCAGTTCAGCAGTGCAGCTAAAAAGAACAGACCACTTGTTTGCACTTTAGTTCAATACTAGTGTAGTTTTATGTTTTGTATCTAAAAAGAACAAACCTTAAGTTTGGTTATATCAGATCAGGTTAAATTCGGTTGATATGTAAGGTTTAATCAAATTTAGTTAGAAAATTTGAAAGTATATGAAAAATTATTGAAAATTTGTGCAATCTCACGAATTCAGTGTCAATGAAAAATTGGAAGGAAGGAAAGGAAATCTGATATTTATCTATCTTAAAAGAGACGTATGTTTATGAAAAAGTTATCAGATTTTCTTTCAGATTAAGTAAAAATATGCATCCACATATATACACATACACACACACAATGTTTACAGATATTCTGTGATACGAATTTTCTGAGCTACATACATCTAGACGTATGTAAGAATATCTATATATATATGACGATTGTTGTAGGCATCTGTGGTTATAAATTATCGATATATGAATTATTTTGAAAAATGAGGATTGCTGTAGAGGGTTGTACACATGGTGAATTAGATATTATTTATGAGACTATACAGGAGATTGAAAAAGTGGATGGGAGAAAGATAGATCTGCTAATTTGTTGTGGTGATTTTCAAGCTACCAGAAATTTAAGTGATTTAGAATGCATGGCAGTACCAGACAAATATAAGGATATATGTACATTTTACAAGTAAGTTCTATAATTTTAACAGAGATTCGCTAAAGATATAATTGCATTTTATATTTTATCTATTACTAAGATGTATTTTATTTATTGCTTCTTAATATTATTTTGATTTGATAAAAATGCTATAAAATTCTGATATGATGTATATATTTAAAAATACTATTCGTAGATATTATTCTGGTGAAAAAGAAGCTCCAGTATTGACAATTTTTATTGGAGGCAATCATGAAGCTTCAAATCATCTACAGGAGCTACCTTATGGAGGATGGGTTGCACCCAATATCTATTACCTTGGCTATGCTGGTGTGATACAAGTGGCTGGTATCAGAATTGCTGGACTTTCTGGCATTTATAAAAGTCAGGATTGGATGCAAGGGCATCATGAGAAGCCTCCTTATACATTTAGTACTATACGAAGTGTATATCATGTTAGAAATTTAGAAGTATTTAGATTAAAACAGGTATATACCAGTACATATGTATAATTTATATTTCTTTGAGTATAGAATTATAAATTTTGGGTGAAGTATATTTCTAATGGTAAAATAACATATTTATTTATTTACTTATATAAATGTTAAATATATGGTTGATTTATTTTCAGCTCTCTGGTAAGATCGATATCTTCCTGTCTCACGATTGGCCAGCAGGAATAACAAAATATGGTGATGAAGATATGCTATTGAAACGAAAACCATTCTTCAGGTAATAAATGAAATAACAGGCACGGTTTACTATTATATCGAGACAGCATTGAATTGTCATGTCACAATTTTGTCTTTTAGGAACGATATAGAGAACAATATACTTGGTAGTCCACCATGCATGGAGCTATTGGAGCATCTCTATCCGTCCTACTGGTTCTCCGCGCATCTGCATTGCAAATTCGCTGCTATCGTTCCGAAAAAAGGAGAGGAGGCGTGTGTGACCAAATTCTTAGCGTTGGACAAGTGTCTGCCGAAGCGCAAATTCCTCCAAGTGTTGGAAGTGCACTCACAGCAAGGCGATCCTGTGCAGTTGAGCTACGATCTGGAATGGTTGACGATACTGTACCTGACGAATCATCTGTTGAGCGTCAAGAATAGTATACATTACATGCCCGGCCGTCACGGCAGCGGCAGATGGATATACACGCCAACCGCGAAGGAGAGGCAGACCGTGTACGAAAAGTTCGATTCTAACTTGCGAATACCACTTAATTTCACTCGCAATGTTCAGCCGTATAATCCGTCGATCGACACTCAGATCGAACAGCCACAGCTACTGATAAATGATCAAACCACGCGATTCTGTCAAACGTTGGGAATTGACGATCCATCTGCCTTACTGCAAATCATTGCGAACAGCAAGGGCCACAGTAGATCGGGCGAGATGTCGATGGATATGTCCTCCGTGGAGCCCATGGAGATTTCGACGTTGTTAGATGAAGAAAACATGCTCTTGAGTTCCTTTGAGGATCATTCGAGTAAATATTTGAGCGGTGATGTCTCGCCCACGAACTCATCCTCCAAAAGCAACAATGGTGACGACGAACATGATGACTCAGTTGACGTGAACACGAGCGAAAGCGTTTTAGACGATAGCATTGCCAATTCCACGACGTTCGTGGATTCCGCCTTCGCGGACGATAGTGAGTATTACAGTTGAATCTTGCGTAATGTTCAAGTAATGTTAATATAAAGTTAATGTTTGCATTCAGAATGTTTCATATAAGTTGGCAACAAATATGCTAAACAATATATTATTGTTATTATTTAATAGATATAGATTTAAAGATATAGATTTAAAGTGAACATTTCATATAACTTGACAATAAATATGTTAAACAATATATTATTATTATTTAATAAATATAGATTTAAAGTAATAAATATTTATCGTGACCACTAATTGTACAGTTCTATTAATTGCAGGTAATGGACAATGTGTACAAATTGAACCAAATTGCAAGAAATTCAAACGTCGGAATTATTCTATGTACTCCAACACACTCTAATCGTAATAATAGTGTTATATTTTTTGTACAATCGAATTTAATCACTGACATTTATTATTTTTTTGTTCATGTATGTCGCGACCGACGAGGTAATACAAAGAAAATATTATACGAAATATTAATTATGACAGTCCTGAGTAAGTTTTTGTATCAGCCAAGGGGACCTTAAAGGGCTCGGAGATAATTGAAAAGCGATGATAATGCCGACTATTACAATACGCCACCGACGAGATCATTGGTCTGTTCTTTTTAGCTGCACTACTGAACTGGTGCAATAAGTTAAGCCAGCGGCACACGGTGCTTGTTTTCGTGCTGGATTGCTTGCTGGATAAAAATACTGCGTTCTCATTGGTGCATTTCCATCCATCTTCGGAAACGTACCAATCAGAACGCAGTATTTTCATCCAGCAAGCAATCCAGCACGAAAACAAGCATCGTGTGCCGCTGGCTTTATAATCGATGTGGTTTACGTCTAATATTTTAGAGGGCGCATCACAGGAAAGCATCACGAAAATCTTTATGGAATGGCCATTCTTAAGCTTTTCATTGGTTCAGATTTTCTAATTATTGGACTCTATATGACATAATAACCTTCGAACGTCTCTTTCATCATAATAAATTATAGTGGATAACTTGGACTATTTTTGTTTTGTGGTTAATTGTTTGTATTAGCTGATACGAATTCTGAAAAAGTAAGACTTTCCGTACTATAGTTATATGCATTAGATTGTGAAAGATAGGGTAAAGTGGAAATAAATTCAATATATTTGTTGTCATTTTTAAATCACCAGAATATTCGACTACTGTTAATTTTCGAATTCACGGGGTAGAGGAAGAGATGGATTCTTGATATTTTATACTAATTTAGGGTATTTTATCTATATATGAGCCATCTCAAATATAATATAAAGCAGCTACAAGTAACTCTAAAAGAGTTACCTGTTTTCAAGTATTTATTTGTCCTTTTTTGTTTTAAAACAAATTACATCTTTTAATTAATCCTTTTGTGAGAAATATGTCTTAATGTTATATTTAAAGGATTTGGTTTTCTAACAATTAAGTTATGTTAAAGATGCTTTTGTTTTGCTGTCAATCTTTTTGCATTATTAGCTAATAGAAATGTAAAAAAAATTTCCATATTGTAGTTATGTTATTCTAACTTAACAGATACTTTTGTTTATAGATGTAATGACATTCACCAAGGAGTGGTAGCATCTGTATATTTAAAAAATGTCTTGATTAACAATAAAATGTTTATGTTGCAAGAGTTAATTTATAATGAAATGATATGTCCAAATATAATAACAGATAATTGTGTATGAGGATATTGTAAGCTTTCAACAGTCAACAGTTCTGGAAGCAAAAATGGACAAATTAACTATCATATCAGGGATATTGTTTTTAGCTGCAGATATCTTTGCTATAGCTAGTCTGGCTATGCCAGATTGGATTATCACTGATGTTGGAGGTAATTGTAAATCTTGGCTAATTTCTTTTTATGTTTTTAGAGATGATCCGCTTTGTTATAATTTTTATATTGATAAAATATGATCAATAAGTTTAGTATATTTCATGGTAATGGTAAAATTAATTAATATTAATAGTAAAACATCTCCAATAAAATTTATATTTTTCTTAGTAAATATAGATAGAGATATTATTTGTATGATAGATTTGGAATATTTTTTATAATAGCATGCAAGTTATAAAAATCTTTTATATCATTTTAATGTAATGTTAATTCTATTCTTTTTTCTTCTCATAGGTGATACAAGATTAGGTCTCATGATATCATGTATGACTTTGTACAATAGACCACAAGTTTGTTATAAGTCAGATTTACAATCAGAATGGTTGATGGCACTGGTTTGCATATTTGTTGGTTGTATTTTAATAACAGCAACTATAATATTATTAGTTAGTTCGCATTGGGACCGTAATGTCATCCCATATGCACGTTGGGTAGGATTTGGTGCCAGTAAGTATTAAGATATAAATAATATCAACTATAAATTTCAAATATATATATATATATATATGTGTCTGTGTTACTAATTATTCTATGCAATAATTGGTATAATCATATTTCTTTTAGTGGTGCTATTTTGTCATGCAGCAGTTATATTTCCAATGGGATTCCATATTGATGAAATTGGTGGGCAACCTTACCAATTACCAAATTCGCATCAAGTTGGAATTTCTTATATTTTGTTTGTCTTAGCTCTATGGATCACTGTAATTTCCGAACTTTTTGCAGGTAAAGTTTGTCTGCCACATTTTTAGCATTATCTTACAATACGAATATTTCACGGTTATGTTTTGTTAACATGTTCACTTCTATTATGTGGTAGTATCTATTTCTTTATTATGTAGATTAGTATATAGAATCATTTATATTCCATAAAACTATATTGTAAAGATGTAAACATTAAATTCTTGTTTTATATGGTAATTATATTAAAATGTTACAGAAATCTGTTATATTTACCTTCAGTTCGCGTGTCATGTAATAAATACGAGATTAATATATATATATGTGTATGTATATGTGTGTATGTATGCATGTATGTATGTATGTGTATAAGGGATAAAGATATATAAGAATAGCATTAAGAATAGGGAATGATACAGAAACTGATTGTAATTTTAAGAGGAGATAGTGAATAATTAAACAGTGATATTATATGTACACATGTATTTGACAATATATACATGTTTTAATCGTAGTTCAATTTTATATAACATATGTACAGTTTTATATTTGTTACAAATTCTTAAAACTTATTTACAAAACCTTAAATGGATGCGAAGTATGTATAATGTCTCGATTACAATTATATTCAGAATTTTGTTCAGACTGTTTTTTATTACCTACATTATGAACATATGCAATGTAATGTATTTACATTGCATAATTTTGTTGTATAATGTAAGAGATACTGTAACTAAAAATAAAGAAAGTTACAAGCTATATATTTTAAGTTTCTATTTAATATTCGGTAATATTAATATGTTCTATTTCAATTTAAGGTTTTGCTGTTATACTTTCAACATCTAGCATCGACAATGAAAATAAAAAGAATGTTTGTCTATCTGCCTTTTATTTGTAGTGTTTGAAATTTAATATTTTATATTAACAAATAACAATGCAGTCTGTACTGATAATAAATGGCATATGAATTAATTATGTAGTCATAAAGTCACAAAATACTAATTAACCCCTTAGTTATTAATGACAGAAATATCCACGGAAAGGAAAGTGGTCTTGTTGAAATTGTTGATAACACCTTTTCTTCTGCGGATATTTCCATCATCAACAATTTACGCTATTTTTCTTTCCCTGGGTATTTCCGTCATTAACAGCTAAGGAGTTAAAATAATATTTACTTGCAAGAATAAAGAAATTTTTTTGAACACTTTTCAGGTTTAAGACAGTATACGAAGATCGCATATTTAGTAAAGATTAAATATAAAACGCACGGTATATATCTTACATAAAATTTATATGATAAAGTCTTTCAATGCTTTCAAGTCTTGCCAGTATATTTTCCATATATTGAGATAATTACAAGTATTTGATGAGAAAGAGATCTATGTTAAGATCTAGCCAGAATACATGTATGATTTGTTATATACACGTGATTTGAAAATGCTATAAAAATGGTAACGTATATTGGAAAATAACTGGCAAGAATGGAATCAAGTTCCACTGTACAGGATGATCATATAAAAAAATAACCTAGAACTCACGTCTCTCGTGTGAGTTTACATATAATAATTACACTTCTAAATTCTGTACACACGATCTCGTATAAGCGCACCTCTTCAAGACCTATCACATTTTTGCTAGTTTCCTCGGAGTACTTAGGAAACTAATAATTTAAGATATAGTTATATTTGGAAATAAGAATATATATATATATACACATATACATATATGTATATATATATGTGTATATAAATATATATGTATATATATTATATACATACACGCGACACACAAGTCTCTTTTAGTACTTTATAAATTGTAACGTATAAAGTATATAGTACATAACGTTATTTAGATCCACTAAAAATATGAATCCAAATTGGAACACTATTATAGCCTTAACTCTGTCTATGTCTAATTCATAATTCGAGAAAACTATTTATAGTCTTTAACAACAATCTCCGTAGAAATATTTTGTGGAAAGACAGTAAGTAAACGGAAATATTCTCTTTCCTTATCTTTAATGGACAACAAACTCTTTCGTATTTTTGTATATAAATATCAACAAGAATGTGCTATTTTGCTATGTTGGCATTATTTGCTATGGGTATTGTTATTACCTATTGTATCACATCGGCGGTAATACAATAGGTACGGTACTCGGGGAGGTACAGGTTTTAAAACAGTACCTTCCGATATAGCTTTTGCGGAGGTATCGTCATATCGCACCCAGGTCCCATAACCGACGTGGAAACAGTCCGTTACGTAATGGCCCTTTGTCGCTTCTTTTCCATCGTGATAGGTGACAGCAAATAATTTATATTGTTTTTGTTTCGGCGACAGTTTTTTCGCCGTACTTGCCGACAGGAATTCTACAAAAATTAAAAAAATTTGTTACATTATAATTATATGTGCCAAATTTTAGAACGAAAATAGAACAACGTAAAACTATATGATTAAATATACTTACTGTTGTCAATTTTAAGATCAATCGGAAATTCTACGGATTTAATCAATTTTGAACATCCGTTATATTTATAGACGAACCATTTTAAATGAAGTATTAAAACGGCCGGTAACTCTTCCAGCGTCATTTGCTTCCAGGCCTCTATTTGTTTTTTCGTTTTCGAGCAAGTCATACCTTCCAGTCTGTCCTTACTCACAAGGATATCGAGAGCTTCTTTAACCGAATCGGCTTTCTGTAATAATTAAGTTGTATTATAGATACTTTTTTTCATTTTGTACAATAAATCAATATTTATTAAATTAGCTCAGCATTCAACATATATTAATAACATATATTAATAATAATAACAAACATATATTAATATATATTATGTTGGTTTACAATGTGGCTAACTTAGTACACAAGAAGATGCTTTTATTGTAATATATATCATTCTAATCCTTATAATACTGAATATTGAAATTTAAGATACTGATTACTGCTTAAACTTAGTAAAAAATGCATTCAAAGTTTCATTCGGTTATTTAATAACAAACTCGTTATGTTGCTTTAAATAATGAAATCATATTCATACCTCGATATCAAGTTGTAGAGTGAAAAATGGTTGTATATTATCGGACGGTTGTTCGCCAGGACGTGATACTCTCGATCGTGATTTTCCTCGGAATATATCTGACAATGGGGTTCGTTCTAATTCGGTAGATCTAGTAATAGAACCCTTATTTTTTGGGCCTATTACTCTCCATTCTTCTTCCTTTCCATCATTCTTCTCTGCATTATTGATGTCGTTATGCTCATTGTTAGCTAGTTTCATCAACTAATAAATAAAAATACAATTAGAAAAAATTAGTTTTTCCGGTCTTCAATAATAAAAATTAGTCTTCATTAATATTGAGAATTCATAATAAGCAAAATATATAAAAACATACGTCAAGCATTTCGTCGTTGATAGCATTTAAAAGACACGATAAAAATTCTTCTGCATCTTCCTGTCGTCCTTCCACGGGAAAGACACCGGCAGAAGAAGTGTACTTAAGCATTGTATACATGTACGAAGGCTCCAAAGCAACACCGTTTTCAATAATGATATCATCTCGCTTATTAGCTCTGGCTTTTCTGGGCAAACGAGCATTCTCCGGCAAGGGATTAAATTCACGAATAAATCTTATCCTGTTTAGGAATAAAAAAATACTATTTATATTCATCCAAGCGCGAAATATGCCGTCTCAAATTTCAGTATTGTGAACACAAGCATGATAATCATTTTTACAAAATCTTTAGCGGAAATATCGAATATCAATATTGTCGTTAACTGTACTTACAGACTATTGATTGAGGGTATAGTAGAGTGCTTATTCTGCTTGTTGCAATTCTTAGGATGTGGCATCGCTTTGAAAAGATTATAAAACAGTGAACAAGACATTAAAGCTTGTAAGATGCTATTGATGTAGCAATAATTGTTGCGATTTGTCAATCCTCTAGGTACCAAACTAACAGTCTGCATGTTCATCTGATATTGTAATAGAAATTCTGGAGAAAGATGTTAAGATTTTAATTAGTACCAATAAATATTTCTGTGAAATATTTATTTTACAAATAATTTTAAAACAATGAATATTATTTTACGCTTACCTCCCATCCTAAATAGATTGGGATCATCATAAAAACCTTCTAATTCACCATTCTGTAGAGCCTTAGGTTCGGATGAATTATTGGATGAAGCATTTTGATGTGTAGCTACAGGACTAGCGACTATCGTTGTCTTTTCGGTCGCTTTTATTATACCATTCTGTACTGGGACTGCATTGTATATTGTTATTTGAGATGCGGAAGACACTTTTGGCTCAGTATTGTTGAAGAGACTTGCCCAACTTCGTTTAGCTGAGGAAGTCGTATCAACAAGTACAGATGCAGATGATGTGACATTTAACATGACTGAAGAATCATTCGTCCTCTTGATAATATTCTTAGTTTGGTCATTTGTTAGTGTAACATTTTCCTCAACTTTCATTTCAATTTCATCTACTTTGATGTTAGACTCCGTTACAGTAGTTGTAACAGTAGATACGTTTTCATCCTCATCCTTATTTTCCGTTTCTCCATTTTGCTTTACTTCCACATTAACTTCAATATTTACATCCGTAATTACGCTATTTTCTTCAACCTTACAGTTGGTATTTATGCTCGATTTAATGTTATGCGTTGTCTTCTTTTGAACTGGCTGTACCTTGTTATTGCCATTGTTAGTGTTGGAATGCGCACATTTTTTATCATCCCCAGTGGCTTGTTTACTCGTTGGTTTAGCGGAAGGACATGTATTTTGTTGTGTAGATGTGGTTAATGGCTTCGTAGTTGGTGGATTTGGATCTTGAATCGGCAGCACTGAATGCGATTGTAGCACGAATGTACTGTCTGGTTGATGTGCTGGATGATGCGTTGCATTATGCGTTGGATGATGTGTTATATTATGTGAATAGGTTGAATGTACAGTGTATGGATGTACTGATTGTGAGTATATGGGAGTCGCGTAATAGATTTGTCCAGTTATTGGGGGTTGCGGAGGCACGGTGTGATGTTCAGGATAAACATGCAAGTAAAGTGGCACTGATTGCAGAAATCTCTCGTCATTCATGTATCTAGTTTGCATTTCGTTGGTATGATTAAACGTGTGATTGTAATTGTCCTTCCTTGAACCTTTTACTCGGTTATTTCGTCTGCCATTGTCTTTAGAGTAATTTACATCATGGTGTACTTCTGGGACGACATTGTATTCGGATGAAGGATAGGCCATTCCGTGTATAAATGCAGGTGGCATGTGGCCGTTAGTGGGAACATTGTACATTGATGAAGACTGCCAAGATTCGTTGCATACGATACTATTCGTAATTACCGAAGGTACATATGGCGTCATAACTACAAATATAAAACAAGTCTGTAATAAGATCTCATTACGTTTCATGATTTTTATTTAATGTATCAAATATTCATAAAGAAATTTTTGAATAAGAAAAAGTCTCTGTCACAGAGTAAATAAGTTCCATATTCACGAAGTCTTTAATTCTCTTTGTACTTTGTATATTTCTAATTCTACATTAGTTCTACTTTTTGTATTTGCTTACTTAATGTTTATTTTTATTTTCTTTTAATTTACTTTTCTTCCATCCTCACAAGGCTATTTATTTATAGAATAAGTCTCTTGAGAACACCTTCATTTCTTCAAGAAGTTTTATATAAATTTTCAGACAAAATTACAGTTTTTTGTGTGAAGATTATAAATTTACTTATCAAGGATACTTGGTATTTCTTACTTATATGATCACAAGGAAAAGAAAAAAAAGATTTGAATTTTAAATGTTAGATTTAGGAATGTACTGAAAAGAAGCAAAGAGCTTTATATAATTTCTGAAGGCTATAAAAATAAAAGCTAAATTTTTACATTTGCTTTGTGCAAGATATATCTGACAAATATGGAGCTATTACTAATATGTAAGAGACTAATCATCATATTTAATTACACATTGACCAATTATATAAGTAAAATAATGAGTATAATAATGAGTATAATAATGGAAATTTATAATATATTATTCTTATATAATCATGTAGAAGTAGTATACTCACTGTTGTACCAAACATTTGTATTGTTTTGTATCTCCACTGGAATTTCTATTTCCTCAACTGAATTAGTATCAGTTTTACTTTCTGTATTATTTTTACTGTCACAATGAAGAATATTCCTTATATTGAGTATCTCTATATCAGATAACCCATCAAAATCTATAAACTTGAGATCCATCTATAAATAATAAATAAAGAAACAACGATGTAATATGTCTTATATATACCAAGAAAAATATTATATACGTATATATGTAAAATTTTTATTTCTAAAATAAATTTTTTAACAGAAATATTGTAACAAATGTCTTTCCAGAGATGCTACAAAATCTGTTTATTTTTTGATTCTTGAATATAGCCTGGGATATAAATATTATTTTTGGAAAAATAAATAGTTGGTTAAAAAATCATTAGTAGATCCGTAATAGATGTGTATATATTGTTGTACTTTATATATCTTGTTTTTATATTTGAATTAATCATTCCTTCTTCTTCAAATATTCAATATTAGTAGATGGACTTCAATATCCTTTTTCATACTACAATAACAAAAGAATATAACTATTATAATGACTAGTTTAGTTTCAAATAAGGCACAACAAAGTATATATATTATGCATTTTATCAAGATATAATAATTGTGTTTAATAAGGAGAATAAATTTGTTTATAGAGCTAAGTAAGTACACGAGGTAAATTTTCTTTGAGAAGATCTCCTTTCTCTAAGAAATATTTCCAAAAATATATCTATTATATAGTAAAACTATGAAACATAGTATCTACTATGAACCTATGAACTATGAACCTATGAACTATGAAAACTATAAATCATGATAAACTATGAAATTGAATGATTCTGTTTCACTCGCATGGAACCGATAGATATATTGATAAATATAAAGAATTCAGATAATCACGCCTAATTTCATAAAATGTTCGATTTTACAAAAGTAGATGCGTCAATTGTTTAAATTTTACAAAATTACCGTTGAATATACACTTCATTCCAAATTCTTGATACGTTCCTCGATTAATCAGTGATCACGTAGAATTATCAACGACTCTATGAAAAAATCAATTAATTACTTTCACTGTGATACAACAAAATATTGAAAAATTACTACGTGAAACGTGCCGAATCGGTTTGGAGACGCGGTGACATAACCTCAAAATTTAAGTCGGTAACGCGAATGTTATGTTGTTTTATACTTATTTGCTTGGTAATAAATATCAAAGAACCTGCCTTTTTCATAATATCCAGCCTCGTCCGGAGTATCATCCAAAATTAGCACTAAGCATTAAAAACGTAATGTTTCAAAACGCATGGGACCTTCGCTCTTCACTTCACGATATTTAAGCTAATATATCACTGACACTTCCTTGGCTATACTGCGTCGTGATACAAGAGAATATATGAAAATAACGCAAAACTAGTCTTATTAGCACTACGTCGCATACGGTAAAAAAGACTTGTCGGCTGATTGAGAGGATTCAGCGATCACGTTCACACTTCAGCAGCTCCTACCAGGAATATGGTACATCCGAACAGACCAAGTGACCAGAGCTGACTGCGCTGCTACAACGAACTCCTACTTATGAAGTGCTTGCTTACAAAGAGCGTTTGCAAAGTAGATATGAGGAAAAGAGGCCTAAGCTCTCGCTTTAAATCGAGTTAGCTATTGGATGCGTCTTTTTCTTCTTAACGTAGCAACCAATAAGAATAGATTGTCGACTATTGCCGAGATGTCAGGAAAAAGAACAAACCTCGCATTTTCATACAACCAAAAGCGGGATATGCCAAGAAATATTAAATGTTCATAGTTGAGTTTACAGTATCTTCTCCTTAATATATTACTATTTGTCACACTATCACCTTTCAATGTCTATAACGCGTTGCGTTTTATGTTCTTTGATATTTATTAGTAAACAATATAAAAGTGTATTAAATAAAATATGAAACTAATCCTATCAGTACTATTCATTCATTCATTCAATAAATGGCTGTGCGCTGGAAAACCCCAGGCTGATGCCAACCCCTAGACCCCATGTAATCTGCGTGAATAAAGTATTTGGAATCAATGACTATTCCAAGAGATCCATTACAGCATTCTTTGTGTACTCCTCAAGAATTTAGCAGTTTCTTTAATTCAGTTCAGTTCAATATATGGCTCCGGCCTGCATTCAGCCTTGTCCATACGCCATTTTCTAGTAGTATGAAGGTAGAAAAAGAAGGGACAACGCGTTCGCAGTCTCCACAATCAAAAAGTATGCATAGTTACAGGAACTACATCCAACCGCCACGAAGGCGAACAAAAGACTTTATCAGTACTATATTGTATCAGAGAGAAGAAGGAGAGGTGTCATGGGCCGCTTTTAGTCGAGTCAAGTGCAAAGCGCTCTCTGTACAATCGTGCACATGAACTAACGACGCCAGTGTCCACGGTTCTTTGCTGATTTCCGCCCACCGCGCACGTACATATAACCGGCTCTATTTGTGTGACACGGACGCTTGTCCTTCTTCTTTCTGCTTACACTCTTGGTACAATTTTAGAATAGGGCTTTTTCCGAATTTTGATATTTATTTTGCTACTCTCATGGTAAAAATCTTTGTTGTGACTCTGACAGTGATAATCAATCGTGGGAGCCCGAAAAAAATGTTACCCATTTATTTTTTTGAACAATTTTTTTGGTAAACATTCAAAAGTACTATTATACCAGAAACTACGTTTCTTTGTTCAATAATTTACAAAATAATTTACAAAACTAGCTGTAAAAAAACATATACAAAGTTTTACATATATATTAAGGGAGGGGGGAGGGGGACTAAGATCTTTATAGGAAAAAACATGAAAATTTTATTCCATATATTTAAAATTTTAAATATCGATTTTATATTGATTAAATACCGTTCACAGTTGTTACTCGAATCTTTCGCCTTACTAAACAGCCCTGTATAAAATGTCGTATTTAAAAGTATTGTTTCGCATTCACGAGATTTCGTCGTGAATTCTGCTTTACGGAAATCTCAGATTGGATCGCGGGCCAATACTTTTCAATGCGACGGGAAATAGAATGTAAAAATCTTGTATGCCTCTGAATCCGAAAACAATTAGGAGAAGAAGTGAATATTTTTCAATGCGAAAATTTGCATTTGAAAAATTGGAAATTATCGATTGCGATTGAATGCAAGGGATATTGAAATGAATTGAATCTTTTTCAATGCGAAACATTCACCACTGCCGTCTCGCATTTAGTGCAGTAAAATTTAATGGGAATTAATACTTTTCAGTCCCTTTCTTCGGAAAGCAGAATTCAGACGTATTCAAAATGTCAATACTTTTTAATATGTTTCAATTCAACATTTTATACAGGGAGATGAGTCTACGATATACTATAAAAAATGGATACTGAAAAGATTAGCAAGATCCCTACGCAAGGACGTATCATAAATTACAAGCAAAATAAAGCAGAGCATTATTCACAATCATGTTTTAATCTGTTTTAATCAAAAGCACAAATTTATATTATAAAGTCTAAATTATAGCGGACAATAGTTTATGTCTTTGGTTTATTAAAGTTCATTGAGTTTTTTATACTTTTACTTAATGGTTTAAATTTGATTTTTTCTTCAGAGTTTCATAAGATCCGAAAAAACTTGAAGAAAATAGGTCGGTAATATTTTTTTCGGGCTCTCCCCCCCCCCCATTGATTATCATTATCGTAGTCACAGCAAAGATTTTTATCCGGCAAGTAACAAAAATATATCAAAATTCGGAAAAGGCCCTATTCTAAAGTTTTACTGCACTCTTTACCTTACCTTTCTTATGTAGCAATGAAGAAGATAGTCCGTTGATGGCTTCTAAGATGCCAGAATGAGGAAACACTCGCAGAAACTCTTAAAAAGAGAACACGTCTGTACAAGCTAGATCGTCAAAGCGAAGTGTGCTGCTACAGCGTCTTTTTCATCATGTAGGGACTTAAGAAGTGAGTGGGGAAAGTGAGTGAGTGGGGAGAGTGAGTGAGTGGGGAAAGGAATTTCTCTCACGTGTTTGCCTCAAGCGCGATGCCTATTGGTTGTTTTTAAAGGAATGAACGTCCGTTATATTAAGATGATTTATATTCGGTTTTACTTAACAAACTAAATTTTTATATTGAGAAAATGTTACTATAATTTTTAATCCATTATACATTATTGAGATCATCAATCCATAATTTTTAATCCATTATACATTATTGAGATCATCAATCCAATCTAAAACACGCAAAAGAGAAAATATTTCTTTTCGGTGAAAAAAAATATTTCATGCATTTTCAAAAATGCATAGAAAATTTTAGACGCGCAATTTTTAGAAATATACTGATAAATGATCCGGACTGCATCATACGTGGCAAGCACGTCGTTACAACGTAATGACGTCATAGCGACGTGCTTGCCACGTTCTTGCCACGTCTGTGCAGACAGGGGAAAAATGAGAAAATTTAGAAAATTCACATTTTGAATGTCGTTTGAGTCGATTGTCACTCCAACGTCTTCTTCTCTTCATTGGAAAAAAGAAAAAAGAGGAAATATACAGTCTGTCCCAGATCCAATGAGACTGGTCTAAATAAAAATACAAAGCGTTTATTATTTTGATTTTTTATTTTTGTTTATTCAAAATAGTCTCCTTCTGAGTCAATACAGCGCTGGAAACGTTCAACAAATTTTTCGAAACATTTTTTATACTCATCGGCTGGAATAGCCTTTAGTATGGCGGTCGAAGTCTTTTGGATGATGGGGATTCCCGAAGGAATCCGGCAAGCATGTCAGCCATTGTAACTGGTAATGAAACATGGTGTTTTCAATACGAGCCAAAAACAAAACGTCAGAGTACGGCATGGAAGTCACCAGAAGAGCCAAAAGAGAAAAAATTACGCTTTCAGAAGAGCAAAATCAAGACAATGCTGACCGTTTTCTTCGATTCAAAGGGAATTGTTCACAGTGAATTCGTCCCAGAAGGTCAAACGGTGAACGCAGAATATTATCTGGGAGTTCTACAACGATTGTGGGCCAGAATTCGACGAGTTCAACCGGAATATCGAGAGCCAGGTAGTTGGTTTTTGTTGCACGATAATGCACCATCGCACAAAGCCATCATGGTACGTGAATTCTTGACCAAAAAAGGCATCATTGTTATCGATC